TATTTAATCTTTTAAAATTTTCCTTATAATGATAAGAAATAAAAACGGGGAAAAGAGAACTTTTGTTCTGGATATATATTTCAGGGTTATAAATAGAATTATACCCTACCAACTTCTACTCACACTTATACACATCCTGGACGATATTTGTCGTCAATCTAACAACTTCTACTCACACTTATACACATCCTGGACGATATTTGTCATCAATCTAGTGTTGTTTCTTATGGTCGAAATTTGGGTTGACATTGAGTACCTGAAATAAGTTCCTTTTCTAGAACTCTGTGCATTCGCTCATAGTAACTGTTTTCACATATATAAAAATATACTCTTTTGAAAGATTTATTCTGTAAATATTATATTGCCATGAAACTTGTCAGGGAGAGTGTTTATGATCTTTGTCCATCATTACACCTTCCACCTACACGTCTTAAATATTTCACCAACAAATGTGTCTTCCATCGAATTGGGAGACATGTTTAGGTTGCCATGAGGTTGCAGTGGTACCTTGAGTGAAGGATTGTGTTTGTGAGCTTTATGTGGCGTGATATCTAATGAGGTTATCAGTTCTATAAGGGTGGCACTCAGTCACCTCTATACATTATATGTACACTTTATTTACATAATATTTGCTTTGTACAGGTTTGCTACCATAGTCAGATGCTTAGTTTTCACAGGAGTGTAACCAAAAGTAAATAGTATTGAACATAACTTATTTTTCAATAGCGTTTACAAAACTGGAGGTGTTTGCAGACCTTGAACACTTACAGTATATGGTAAAATATCTTCTCAGGGGATATTTGGTCATTTTCAACCTTTGTTGCTGGTTAATACACAAAAACACATATTTCAGGTTAATCATCCAACTTTCCTTTTATTTTTTCAACGTTGGCAAAAGGTCAAAACAGGGCAAAGTTAAACTGAGGCTAAGATACACCAATTCATAAATAGTTGATATTTTAAATGTAGCTTTTTTTAGTAGTAAAAACTTATTTTATCACTTTTCATGCTTAAGATACGGGGCTCAAATATGATTGCAGATTTTGTATGTCATCAATAGCAATTCAGTAGCAAAACTATGAATTCTACATTCAGCTTATTTATTGAAAATTGATGTTGCATAAAAATTTGATTGGGCACAAAATTAATATGTTTAAGGTACTGGGAACTTTCTGTCTTCGTCATTCTGAATTTTGAAATAAAATCCAACATATGTTATTATGGAAATTTTACTGATGTTTGAATTGTAGACCAAGTACAATGTCACTTTCAGCATTACTGATGGTTATTCTTTATTCTGTCATTGTGTTCATGGAGAGTCTCGGGTATCCGTGTTGTGTGCTCGTATCCTGTTCATTAACGATATTAAACTGTACACCTGTGTATTGTTAGTCTCATCTTTGTCCATTTTATATGAATTTAAAAATTTCCACACCAAATTTCCAAAAAGCTAAAATCCACTTTTTATATTCCAGTAAACATAAAGGCTCTTAAGTGTAGTTTTACCTGAGATGTGGGTTTTTGTTTGATATGTGGGTTTTTATTTTGTTCAAATTTTCTCATTTTGAATACAAAGCAAATACTGATTATCAGATCATTTGTGTCCAGGTAAGCTAAGCTTTCAAAACTGTAATAAAGATATAAACACACCTAAAATTCCTAATACCACAGAAACATACAGCTGTTACCTGTATTTCACAATGTGCAACATAAGGAACTTCATTAGCATATTTTCATATCCTGTTTATGTCCTTTACTTAGTACTAATTATATTTAATATTGTTGGTGGCTTGTACGCTACCTATTGACAGTAATTTGTACCACAAACAGTGGTAGTGACTTTTGTACCCACACAGTGGCAGTGACATGTGTACCCCACACAGTGGAAGTGACTTGTACCCCACACAGTGGTAGTGACATGTACCCCACACAGTGGTAGTGACTTGTACCCCACACAGTGGTAGTGACTTGTACCCCACACAGTGGTAGTGACATGTACCCCATACAGTGGTAGTGACTTGTACCCCACACAGTGGTAGTGACTTGTACCCCACACAGTGGTAGTGACTTGTACCCAACACAGTGGTAGTGACTTGTGTACCCCACACAGTGGTAGTGACTTGTGTACCCCACACAGTGGTAGTGACTTGTGTACCCCACACAGTGGTAGTGACTTGTAGCCCACACAGTGGTAGTGACTTGTACCCCACACAGTGGTATTGACTTGTGTACCCCACACAGTGGTAGTGACTTGTACCCCACACAGTGGTAGTGACTTTTGTACTCCACACAGTGGTAGTGACTTGTGTACTCAACACAGTGGTAGTGACTTGTACCCCACACAGTGGTAGTGACTTGTGTACCCCACACAGTGGTAGTGACTTGTACCCCACACAGTGGTAGTGACTTGTGTGTACCCCACACAGTGGTAGTGACTTGTGTACCCCACACAGTGGTAGTGACTTGTACCCCACACAGTGGTAGTGACTTGTGTACCCCACACAGTAAAAGTGACTTGTGTACCACATGATGTTGATGACTAGTATCCCACAGTGTGCTGACTATATGGAGGTAAATTACCAATATACCTGTCAGTGATACAGATTGTACAGCTGATGATAAGATAGGTAAAAGTCCATCTGAAATTCAGTTTTCTGCATATTGCATATTTACTACTTATCTACTGCCATAAAATATTCATGAAAGTGTGATTTTTTCCCATATTTTTTATGAAAATTTATCAAATGGTTGTTTGTATACATGATCATAGTCAAGCAGAGTGTTGTAGAGTACAGGTATATAATACTGGTGTAATAGCTTTGATTGTGAAGTGTGTGTTTATGATTAAAACTCCCTTTGAAAGACAGACCTGTGTTTATGGAATCAAGTTTTATGTTTTAGTATTTTGAGATAGGGATGGTCGACTGTTGTGCAGAACAATTGTTCTCTGTGTGAAAGAAATTGGTATAATTCATGCACGAAACATTAATATAGAAAATTAAATGTGCATGAAATTAAACTGAATTGACATCCATATTTTCAAATCTTTGATGGTTGAAAGTTTATTTAGATTTGATGGAGTTTCATAGGAAATTCCATTATATATATACCATGTATTGGTATCATATTCTTATGTTCAGTTATATAGACATAAATATCAAACAATGGAAAAAATCATTGCTAAACCAGAGTTTAGATCTGAACCTCGTGTGTAACCAGAGTTAAGATCTGAACCTTGTGTGTAACCAGAGTTTACATTTGAACCTTGTGTGTAACCAGAGTTTACATTTGAACCTTGTGTGTAACCAGAGTTTACATCTGAACCTTGTGTGTATCCAGAGTTTACATCTGAACCTTGTGTGTAACCAGAGTTTACATTTGAACCTTGTGTGTAACCAGAGTTTAGATCTGAACCTTGTGTGTATCCAGAGTTTAGATCTGAACCTTGTGAAATTTTGGTACAAACAGAGCTGTGTGTAGCCGTCAATCTGCCAAGTGTGGCTCCATTATTCTCCCTCCAACAAATTGGACATTAATTTAGCTGGATGTAATACAAAAGAAAACATACACGATAGTCAGACCAGAATTTGAACTTGAGACCTTCATCCGAATCTTGATGTATGCTCCAGGCTATATAGGTATCTGGTCGTTGGTGATGGTCTTCAGTTTTATTAACAGATTTTATACGAGTTGTGTTCCCAAAAATAATGACAATACAGAACTACATTGAATGTCTACTGTTACCTAGTGCTGTGATTAGCATGGACATCTTACAGCTAATTGACAACATCAGAATATTGTTAATGGTATCAGAAGGCATTGTACTATATATGATACAATACAAGTTTTAGCTTAGGGAATAGGGTGGACATTTTCCCTGTGTATGTGACCTTGTTTTGACCTTGATTTTCTGCAGAATGTAGGCAACAGAATTATTGGAAGCTTTCAAATAGCTTTGTAAAGACCTGTGACGATATCAATGTCTATGTCCAGGCCTGCCTTTGGGTGTGTAGTGTCTGTGGACAGCTAGTGTTAAGTTTCTTTGACTGGCTCTTTAAAAAAGGTCATTCTTGGAGATTGAGGAATTTCTGATAACAGAAATGAACATCTCCCTCTCAAAGCCTGACTGATGTAGGTCAAGGATATGATGGAAACCTACCTGTCAGTGATAATTGAGGAGTCACACTGCTTACCATCTTGGACTGGTAGCATTTGTGAAATATTTAGAACACATACTTGCTTCACCTAGCAGAATGTCCAGTGATTTCATGTTGTGTAGTGAAAAGGCTGCCACATTTGATTCATATATTTTCAGTTTATGTAACTCTGACAGGCATTGCATCAGATTGGTTTTGTGTTATTTTAACTTGTAACACCTTTAAGTGTAAATAAATATGTTTTACAGATGAATTTCTGATTTACGTTTACTGATAAAAAAACGAGAAGATACGAATGTTGTGATATATGTGTTATACCTGTTTCATGACTTCCATGTGTGATGTACAGGATAGATCTACTGTTAAATTCTAAAGTTTGAAAGTTTTACCTTGCCTCCATGCTTACTGTCTATATATATCTCCACAGCCAAACCTGCTATAGGTGACAATTCATCTTGATGCAATTTTTTATGACTTCAGCAGTTATCTTTCAAATTTTAATTAAATGACTACAGTAAATGTGCATATTTCAGAGATAATTTTATAATAGTGCTTTTTGGGCCAAAGATACAGTGCTAAAGCATGATTGTGAGAATAGCAGTTTGTTTGTGTCATCAATACAACTATTATTCTGATAGCACAGATTCAGAATTGTGCTTACTTGTTCATACTTCATATTGTGCTGAAATTTGATTGTGCCAAAATAAGTATATTTACAGTGTACTTACAAAGTTACAACACTATATACTGTCCATATGAATATATCCAGTTAGTACAGGATGGTTTGGTAGTACATTGTAGCTGCATTGCTGTAATACCCTGTTGTATAATTGTATTTTTCAGCTGTTTGACAATGCCATGATCAACGCAGGTCTGCTGGATGACCCCAGGACGATGGTTGGGCGTGTGAATGAGATCTTGGAGAAGGCATTATTGTGATAGAAAATCCAAGAGGAACGGACTAGGGATAGAATTCTGTGTGGTGACTCTCAACATACTCCAAGAGAACTGCTTTCTCAGACAATTTGGTGACTTTGTTGTACACTCAAGAATTACAGGAAAAATTGTTTTATTTTAGCCATTCTTGCAGGTTGATGATGGTATGAATATTCCAGTAGGGTACTGATACTTGTTAAAATACAGATATTTCTGGTCAGAGTCACGTTTAACTCCATTGTCATTCCTTTTCAATTTTTCAAAAGACACAATTTTTATTGATTTTTAAAAAAAAAGTTCTCTCACTGAATTAAGAGATATGATAACCATCCAGCTGAAGTTGATTTGAATAAAAAAAACATTAAAAAACACACACACACTCATGCACAGACACACATACTAATACATTAAACAAATATGTACTCATGAAGCATGATGTTGCCAATTTTAACTTCATACCAAGGTCAAGGTCATTGTCATAGGAACTCTATAAAAAAAATGAAAACCATTTTCTTGTAGGATGAAAAAATAGTTTTACAGCGGATATCTTTTCTCAACACACAGGACATTAAGTAGACTCATGGGAATATGTTTTTGACACCAGAATTAGTAGATTTGATTCATGAGTTTTAAGAGAAATGCTTATTTCACATGTGTTTGACCCTTGAGATTTGTGATTTGACTTCTGAAATCGCAAAATTTCAGGGGTCAACTTGATGCTCCAAAACACACACATAAAAAATCACCAAGCACTTGTGAAAATGTACTCCTGAAGCATAAAGTTTCAAAATAATTTCATATCATTTCATGTCCATTTTGACAAAAAAGTCAAAGGTCAATATGACATTATTTCAGTGTGAGGCTCTTAAATTGATATGATGTTAATAGTGATGTTTACTGGTTGTATATGTGCAAAAGGTATTAGATAAAACAGCTGATGTTGATGTTTCTAAAGACATTTGTTCGGGTTTTTAGGTATTTAACTGATAAGTGTAACGGTGAGGAAGCTTGAGTGTTAAACCATCAGTACCTGTAGAAAACTTTGATATTCTTGACAATGTAATATATAGGAAAGTTTGTCAGATGGTTATTTTTGGTAAAAAAGACCTTGACTATTAAAACCATCAGTGTTACTTTTGGATCATGAGATGTATAGGGAGGATAGTAGTATAACTGGTGATAGAAGTATTGTTGGTGAGAAACTTTCACTGGTGAACCATCAGTATTTGTGTAAAAGTTCAGTATTCTCAACCAATTAATGTGCAAGAAGGATCAACTTGCTGTGTTAACACTGAATGGAATGTAGTTTTAACTTGTGTGAGACCTGTATTTGTTTCTAGTTGATAACAATGTGTGCATTGAAATGAACAGTAGTTTAGGAGCAATTTACTGCTGCTACCAAATCAATAGTTATTTAAGACTGCATTTAGAAGAAGCGGTATCTTTCCTGGGTTAGAAAGCGCGTGGTTAATTCTGTAGAGGAGAGGTGCTAGAATGAAGTATTGACTGGAGTAGAAGGAGGCTGTCTGCTTCCATAGCAAGTCTTCATCACTGACATCCTCAAAATACACAGTAGAGAGAGTGATGTGTTAATTCACCTCCAATAAATCCATTGATTCCCTCGATATGCTGGTGTCAGCACATAGTCACATGACACATTCATGACTTATATGGAGAGATAGCCACTGATTTCATCAATAAGCAGATTAAATGTCGTATTTTCATCACATCTCTAAATAATTACTGAAGACCATGGTTTAATCGGACATTTTGAGATCCTTATTACCATGTGGACACTCTATAAACAGGAACTCCATTAAACTGACCAAAACTTAGGTCCCTTGTTTATCCATTTAAAACACATGGTTTATGTATTTACCTTTAGAGGTGGGTTATGATTGTGAAGATGACTTTCCCCCACTCAATTAAACACATAAAGATATAGTTAATATTGTACTGTGTTCAGATTTTCAAATTGTTTCATTAAATTTTTCAATCATAGCCCACATTTTAAGAAATGCTTCTGAACAAATCAGAATTTGAAGTAATAGTGAAGAATGCTGAGAAAAGAGAAAATCATCTTAAAAGAGGGCAAATTACATCACAAGAAATCACAAAGATCAGAGTTAACTTTTTACTACTATATTATTTCACGTAAGAACTTTATTCATATTTCATGAATTGTGATATCGAATTGCAAATCATTACATTTTATACATATGGACTTTCATTTGTAACTTTTCATAACATTTTTAGTATGTCGCGTGGATTATATATGAAATAAAATGAAAATAAATAAATCCTTTTGTGTCAGTTTTCATTTGATTACCTAGTGTGATTGTCTTTTTTCCTTTATTCTACTGTGATTTCACAGTATATTGTAGCTTATATAAATGTACCTGATACATGTAGTGCTTTTGGTTGTATTTCTTTTTCTATTAATTTGAACTTATTCAGACTTGGGAAGAATTTATCAGCATGTTATTATATTTATTTTATTTTACCATGGCTCCACATCGATGGTCCCAAAAACTGGACCTTAGAATCAGATTTAAAGTTTGATAAGATTTGAGAGTGTACTAGATCACCTGGTCCAAAGGACCTGTGAACTTGTGCCATGACGTGGCATCAGTTGCCCAGTGTCTGTCAACTTTTTATTATAAATCTCTATTATTCATGAACGACTGAACAGATATTAATCAAATGTGGTCAGAAGCATCCTTGGGGAAGATGACCCAAGTTTGTATAAATATCGCTTTTCTACCCCCCAAGGACCAGAGATGTGGGGCCCAAAAGGGGAAATAGAGTAAATTCTTTGAAGTCCTCCTCCTATAGGAATGAATGGATTTTGCCCAAATTTTGCCTAAAGTATTTCAGGGTGAAGGGAAATCAGTTCTGTATGCATAATGTATCCTGGTCCCCTATGGCTTAGGAGTGGGGCCCAATAGGGGAAATGTAAGTTCTACAAAATCCTTATTCAGTTCAAGGATATTTTCCAAATTTGGTCTGAAGTAAATTATATGAAATGTGAATCTGACTTCTGTTTGACCACAAAGCTTGGCCCCAATAGAGAAATTATTTGTCATATCTGAAATTCTTTACTAAATGGATATACTAGCCAGGTAAGCAATGTAGGCCCCTTGGGCCTTTTGTTCTTCAGTACCATGGATGCATCAATCAATTATTTTTCATTTCTTTTCAGTCAGTATATAAGATATTTGATAGGGCAGTTGCTTTGTTTTGACAGGCTCCTGTTGAAAAGAAATATAAAACTTGCCCTAAACGAATGGTATTTTCTTGGCAAAACACTTCACATTTGCATCACATATCTATATTTTATCTTACTGTTTAGAAGTTGATTTCTGTGTCAAGTCATAGCAAAAAGTCTTAATAGACCTTGGGTGATCTTTACCTTGTTTACGTAATCAAAAGCTCATCTAACAAGAAGCTTTATCATGGACGTTGAGTAGTATACATCTATAGATATCTGTTATGGAGATATCATTTTCATTTTATCATTTTGTGTATCGTTTTTCCATCTATCATGCAGTAGTACACCCAAGTCTAGGATCAGTGTTACATTCATTACATACACAACAGGAATAGTTTTGTCTTATACCTAAAAAATTTTGAAGTTCATTAAGGGTAAATTATTTTTAGGCCACATTATCAAACAAGTTCTGTAGACAATTCCTGTTATCGCTACACTTCTGAAAAAGTTTATGTGATCCTCTACAAATTGTCTATACATATAGTATGTCTTTTTGGTCCCTAGTTTGTCCTTACCCATCTTATGATTGATTTGACTTTCAAGATGGCCACCAGTGGATTTTGACAGGAAAATGTTTGTTACCGATAATGCTACATCACCAAATCTTTCAGAGGTGACAAGTTCAAATTTTGTTAGTCCAAAGTGATATCAAGGATGATACAAGGTGATAAGTTCAAGTTCTTGTTGGTCCTAATTGATATTAAGGATGATCCTGCCAAGGCATCCACCTTTGTTTTTGCTATGTATAAGAAGTGTACATTTTCTGTAGAGCATATCTAGTACAATGTAGGATATTCAAACTTGGTCAGTGGGTACATTCTGGGAAGTTTATTGTCTGAAAGTAGGTCATTCTAACCTATACCTTTGAACCACTTTATAGAAAAGCCTTGTTTTTCTTAGCATATCTCTTATCCTATTTCATGCAGGATTATCATATTTGATGTAGAGGGATAATGTAATAAGGTCCCAGTGACCATGCACATTTTACAACCATACAATTCTCAATGTCCCTCTATATTCATTTCCAAGGTGGGTGCCAAGATCCTGCTGTGATATCTTGTTAACTCTGAGTTTTGCATGACCTGTTGACATTTCTACATTTTGCTTTAACTAAAATTCATGTACAGTGTATTTGGAAAGACATCTGTTCTTTTTTGGATTATAGCATCAAAGGTCAAGGTCACTGAATGTCATGCTCTCCATTTCTGATTGGTTGATGTATCGTTTTGAACAGTACGGTACTTATACCTGACCTCCCCTTCTCTGGGCTGATGATGATATTAGCATCATTTAATGAAAAAACTTTGGCTGCAGTACAACAAAAACTTTTATTATATACCTACACATTAAATACCCCCATAACCATATATTTGTAGATGTACTAAAGCAAGGAATGACAAACCCTGATCAAAATTATGTAAAACAGACTACTCTACTTGGATAATATCAATCATGCTTTTATGTTGACTGTGCCACCATTACACGAGACTTTTATCATGTTGATAAAACTATATTCAGGACTTTGATGTAGACATCTTTATTTATCATGGCAAAACCTTTGGGAGGACTCTACAATGAGAACATCTCCCAGGAAGAGAGTATACACAATTTTATATCCTTCAAGGAGCATGTTGACAGGTCGGGATATGCTATATGTATATAATGTTCAATAATTAATCTAGTCACATATCAGAGGAAGCTGGACACAAGTGGCTGTAGTGATGTTTACAAGTACTTAATCAAATAGAGGAAGAAGTTAATAGCTAAACAACAGACTAGTCCAACTTGTATGTTAACTTAATAGTTTTACGTTTGCACATCGTTTAAATAAAATTCTTTTTTGCCCAAAGCAGTAATGTGCATAGGGGATGTAAATATAAGCATTGAACTGTCTTCCGGCATATATGGTTGTAGTATTTGACAGCTTTGTAACCACACACACTTTGTGTGTTTGAAAATGATAATTTTACTTTTAACATGGAATGACAGATCATTTTGAATCACATGATATTAATTGAAATGTGACAAACTGTATTTATCAGAAAATTGGTCCAAGGAGTAAACACATTTCCCTCACACTCAAAAGCCCAGGTACGTTTTTACATATAGCTAGTCATATTTAGTGTACAAAGATTATAATCCTTGTTTTCCTGCAATAAAACAAGATGTCCTTACACAAGCTTGGATTCAAAGTGGGGTGGGCTTATTACACGTTTACAGTACATGTATTTGATAGATATTTTACTGAAACAACATTAAGTATGAGTATTATCACCAGATATAGGCCTATCGTCAGTTAATTACAGTCTGGTCCCTCAACATCCTGTCCTGACCTTACTCTAAACTGGTAGGTCATTTACAAGCAACCGAGTGCTGTATCTCTTTTGGGACCCAGAGGTCAATGATGTAGGATTCTAACGTCACAGCTGGGATTGTGTATACCGTTAGGATTGACTCAGTGGTCGAGTTCATTTTCTTTTTCAATTTTGTTTTAATATGACTATTAACATTCATTTATGATGACACCCATGCTTTATTTATGTAAGCTATGAATTACTTACTATTCTCAACTCAAATTTCATTACTTTATGACATATACAATACTGACAAACTTCACACTTTTAAACAGTAGATGTGAGGATATTCATCACTGCTACTTTATATAAACATCTTAGTTCCCTGTGAAATACACACCTTGAAATAATAACAAACTAATGTTTTTGTGGTGACTGTTTAATACTCTCACCGACATGAAAACAAATTTACTCTGTACATGAAAATGACAATATCATATTTATAATTTCTTGTGTATATCATTCATGCAAATTTTGTTTTACATGGTTGGAGAAAAAAAATTTTGAAAATCTTTCTGCTAGGGATTTGTTTTTAACTAGAAAGTGACCGAATTTCCAGCTCCCTTGAATACAGCTGGTCCTATACATACAATAGATATACCTACAACTATCGGAGCTACAACATAGGTTTCTAATGTGTTTAAATACTGGAACATTCACAAAATTCTACACATCAATGAAACAAAACTGTTTGGTACTCGTGTCTCATTTTTTATCAATTACTGAAAAGTATTGTATATATCAACCTAATGACGAAGTTGTTAGACTAGTTATAACATGAGGGGTTAATGGAGACAACTTAATTCCTTAGACATTACATGAAGCAGAAATTAAGACTACATCCATACTTGTGAAAGTATATGGTTATCAATGGTACAATGTAGATTTTGGCGTCAAGGTTTTCAATGACTGGTTTCTGTGACACAAAGAGCTGATACTTTTTACTTTGTATGCAAATTTGATTTTCTTCTTTTCTATTAGACAAGCACTTTTATGTTACTACTATGAAAAATGTAAGCAGTTCCGTAATATTTATCCTGTTTTCCGACCCATATTTTCCAACATTTCTCTCACACTCTCGCAAAAATGACTGGCTAGCATGTATCACTGTCTGCATTGCAGACTAAAACAAACAAAAAATATATCTACATTTCCAAATATATTTTGTATCATATATTATAACACACAGGACAAAATACACAAAAGAAATCATTCAAATCATTTTAAAATGTAAATAATTCCATGATTGGATTCCTCCTCTATAACATTGTAAGTAATATATAAATAATTGGATTCATCTGCACCACTAGAAAACATAATCACAAATCAACATGATCGTCTTCAATCATCCTCAAACCACACACATACAACCTGGTGATACTGTTCAAATCACTCTAGGGATTAAAAATGCATGATTTAGTAGCAATGAATATATTGATGACCAATAAATTGTTGATTTCATTACAACTCTCAAATATTCAGACATGCCCTTTCATTAGCAACTGTTAGTGGATATATACAACGCTACTTTCAACATAAAGATAACTGGAACATGTCACATGAATCTTTACCATAAAGACCAACACGGGTGTTGAAGTACGGGCTATGTCCAACTCTTAACCTGTCGGCAATGATCTAAGAAAGTATAAATAATATTTATAACCCAATAACAGAAAAGACGATCAAAACTTCACACAACAATTTGTCCCATTTTACAGATTGTACTTTGTTCTGACAAGAATTCTAAAAATTTACGTAAAAATGACTCAATAAACAAAAAGTGTATTTCAAAGTTGATAGTCAGATACAGGAAGATGCTACAATCGGAATGTTAGTCGAGGGTCACTCGCCTGCTTGTATCTAGTATGAATGGTTTCCAATTGTTCCTATAGTAAGTTCTGTATATAGTAGACTGCGGAAGCGTTATCCTCTGGTAGCCAGGATAAGAGCTACAATAAGTCCGTATAGACCCAATACTTCAGCAAAAATTAGAATAAGGATCATTCCGACAAATAATCTGGGTTGTTGTGCTGTTCCTCTCACACCAGCGTCTCCCACGATTCCAATGGCAAACCCTGCAGCTAGACCACTCAAACCCACACTCAGTCCTGCACCCAAGTGGCAGAAGCTCCTGTAGGTAAGAAAGTGAGGCCATTATTAAATTGATATTAAAAGAATATCTAGGGACACAGTGCTTCCTCTTTACGAACAATGAAGTAAAGAATATTGACTTGGTAATAAAATGACCTACTAGAAATCAATTTTTACTATTTCTTTGCAAACTTTATTGGTTAAATTCATTTTTATAAAATACTAACATAGTGACAATACAGAAAATCAGTATTTCACAACTCGTTTTTACACGGATGAAATCTTGTTTTGAGGTGTTTGAATGCAATATATAAACTTGATGAGAAAACCTATGATGTACAATTTCCTTTTTAAAAGTTGTAAATGCATACGTGAAGAGTGTGTAGTCTTTGGTGATACTGTTGGCAATGAGGGCAGCTACGACCAGCCCGTAGATGGCAATGATACCAGCCATGACAACAGGGATCACAGACTTCATGATCAGCTCTGGCCTCATCACAGACATGGCAGCGATTCCAGTACCAGACTTGGCTGTGCCATAGGCAGCTCCCAAGGCTGAAACATAAACAACGATGCATGAGTAATGTCTTGAAACAATTCAAAAGGTGTCACTATACTAATCTGTTGTTCACCGATGTAGAAAGTCGTCAATGTGTGCCTTATCATGTTGAATACCTGGTACATCATTCTAAAGCATCTTACCCATATATTCTATAAACCATATACAACACATTCATAAGACACTGCAGAGTATTATTTTGACCCCCAACAATTAGTTCTGACTATTGAGATTGAAGTGACATGTCAGTCTCATGTGTTTGAAGCAACACGTCTATTTCACATGTTTTCACCCTTCAGGTTTGTTATTTGAGTTTAGAAATTGCCAAAGATGAGTGTAATGTCAAAGGTCAACTGAATGCCCTGATTATATGTCATGTATGCAATTTTTATATAATCTATTAAAATCTATCACAGCACATTATTCTTTCACTGTCCAAACAAAATTAAATGTCATTATGTTTTATATTATATACATAGATTTATATTCATCTTTTGAGTGTTTTACACAGAAAACTATGGAGAGTCAAACATATATAACTCATCAGAAACAAAGTCAGTTACCAGGTAGTATGTAAAGATCTCAACATTAACAGCCTCTCAAAATGCAAGATACATTAAGATTGGAGAAATACAATGCAGACACATTCAATTACCAAATTTTGAACATGTATAATATTAAAAATATTAATTACAGTAAAAGTAATTTTGATGAAAATTACCCATTTACATGTTTTAAATCTGTACCAATTCTAAAACCATCACAGTTACAGCTTGTAATAAGTTCCAAAGTGTAGTCAGTACTTTGTATACATTGGAGTATTTATTACAGGGTATTGAATGATCATGTCCTTTTTGTGAACAGAAAACAACAGTATTTAATTACAAAAATCCACTACCATACTATTCAACAGTTATTTAATAGTTCAGTATTGTATGAAATTTCAGACAATTAATTCAATCATGAATTGATTGAAAAGATTGAGTGTTATCTTCCAAAACATCAACAATTCAATATAAGAATGTGACATTTATATATATGGGAGCATATCAAAAAGGAAGAGCATGGCCCAACATTATATATAGATCCCTGAACTGATAAGTATAGCCCTGAAGCTAATGTAATAAAATTGTATAGGGGTACACTTAGTGAAGGTGTCTTATATTTACAGCTATATATAACATTACCTAATGTATACTGGTATGGTATGCAATGGGATGGACGTTACTTGCTTCAGGGTAAATTAAGCATTCTGTTAGTGACGTGTACAGACTGTCGAATGAAATGAATAACCTTTTCCATATTAATTCGGTCTTGTCACAAATTCAAATTTTGTTTGCCAAAATTGAGAACTTCTACATTACCTTATTACATACATCAATTAAACTAAGGGCACAAAAGTGTGAGACTACAGTGGAGAGACTGAGAGAAAATCATGATTATTTTTTCATGTTAAAATCAACATCATTTATAATACAACATACAATACTAAGGATGTAATTAAAGGTTTATTTCCGTAATACAGTATGCTTAACTCATATTTGAAGGATAATGCTTTGAGATTATAAATTTTTTACGTACATCTACAGTGTTATAGATACTTCAAATTGTAGCTGGTATGTGTATATAAAACATCTCGTATATAATGTACATGTACACTGATGTGACAACTAGTATGATTATTGATTGTATTACACCTAATCCTGTATTTAAAGTTGTTTTCTGCGAACAAGATACATCATTGTCATGTATAACTAATACATACCCTTCCATTCAGGCACAAATATTCTATTAAATGCTGTTTTTTGCCCCTTGATAATAATATATCAAATGTTTTAGAAATACAAGCCAAGTTATATTCATTAGAATAACTGCCCTATGCACCAGACCAATGCCTGGACTGGGCACAAGTCAAAATTTGTCTTCCTTTGTTAACTATAGAAAACAGCTTTAGCTTCCAAATGGTAGCCATAAAGTACACATCAATCTATAATGCTGTGCTGATCTTCCATTCTGTGTGGTAAACTGTATTTTTTAAATAGAATCTTAAAATTGTATGTTTATCCATGAATCTGCTACCATATACCGTACATTACATGCTTAGCATCAAAAAGACTATAATTTTGACTTTAATGCTGGCCTACGGCTGATGGTGATGTTTAGACACTTGCAGCCAGAAGCTAAAGCATCGACTACATCAGCACAACTGGGTGTACTCAAACCTAGCTCGACCACGTAAACACTGAACCAGAATCCTCCTAGCATTGATTACTATAGAAGCCATACAATCAATAACCAGTTCTCGGCTGGATGTTAGTTGAGCGATGTCACAGGAAAGCTTGTTACTATACCTAGGCCACAAGAACATGAGAATCTACCACTTACAAAATCAATGTTGGAAAATACACTTCTGTATATATAGATGCTACATATATGGAGAAGAGTAAAATGGAAAGCTAGTATCTTATTGGACAATATCAACAGTGACAGGTTAATCATTTTAACAGATTGGACAATGGATGCATATGACTTATGAACGATTAAAAGCTTTATCCAGCCAACAATAAAATAGGTGATATCTCTTTGTGCAGAAGTACTTTCCTTTCACTAATTTTTACACAGTACAGTGTATAAACCAGTACTTTTTTACCACAATAAATCTATTCAAGTTGTAGGCAGATATTGCAACATGCACCCAGATACATGACATTGGTTATCTTAACTGATTTGCTATAAATCAACACTCACAGCAGTAGGTGAAACTTCATGATCAATCACACTACTGAATCAATTGATTATGAAAAATTAATGTAGTTTCTGTAAAGCAAACCCATGTAAAGAAACATGTGCTGCCTGATTCACATTCGACACAAATATCATTCATACATTTGTATACCAGTGTTACTGGTGATACCTTAAATTCCATCTATTTTCAATTTGCACATTGTACCAAGCAATCTGTTTATTTTAAACTAAATCCTGTTTACTGTTCTGATTCCCCCCCCCCCCACTTAAATGCAGGAAAAATAAAAATAAATGCATATCAACAAATCATTGGTAACTTTTTCATTGAAAGTATGGACTGCATCTGTGATATTCTAAGGTATTGGTGTAGTGTAGTGATAGGACATCTTTAACTATGGGACTCCTCAAAGTATTGAGATGCACAATTTGAAAAAAGACAAGGACAAAGCTGAAACACCTGTGCTTCATATACTACATAATGTTAATGGCTGTGAAGTGGCTATATATTTTTATCGAGATCATATATTTGAGTCTAAAAATCATGTTAACAGCTTAATTTACCTCAAATCTGATGTGAGCATCACCATAAGGGGACCATCAATGAAACACTAGAGACTCCTACTCAACACAACTTTGACATATATATTTAAACATGCTTTTCAGGACAAATACCATAGTTGATGTCATCTCTTGTAACTATTACAAATTTTAGTTCTAATATAAAACACTAGCAATATTCATTTTGAGGTATTTATGTGATTTGATATCTTTCCAGTTATTCCAAAGTGGGGACAGTGAAATGTATACAGTATGAACGAAATGTTAATTCTAAGTTATCATGAGGTTGTGGTACAATACAACATGCAATATGTACGTGCATATGCATGATTACAATTTCAGAGCATAGTCAAGAATTATTATTTTCTCCTTCTGGGTTCTCACCGTAGTTCAAATTTGAGGGTAAAATTAATATTTCGTAATGGTTTTGTACCCTTTAAATTTGCAATTACAAAATCTTGAAGTGCAAGATGAAATTTGAGGGTGAAAAAACTCCATCAGGAGAAAAATGGGAATGCTGCTTAAAATGGGTAAAATGTAACTCCTGTGTGAAACTGTATAATTGCTTGAGAAAGGGCTAGACAGTGGCCAGAAGAAACTCCAATATAATAAAAAGTCCTAAATACAGATCAAGTAACATCATGATGGAAAAAAGAACGATAATCTTCCTCACGTGAAGTGAAAACATCAAGAAGTACCAGATGTCAGAGTAACTTGAGGGCTTAAAAAACTTCGTGTACAATAATGGTCATCTGACAAAGTAAAAACCTCAACATTTACAAAAGTAAACTTATATAAATAAAACATAATATCTTTACCAATGATGGCAGTTTCAATTAGTAACCTTGTTTTTAACCTCAGCAACTCAAAATGGCTTTATATAAGCGTAGGTTTCAGTATTCATGAATATTTCATTATAAAGTGTTCATAGAAAACTTTTGTACAGGGTTCTGGCCGGCTAAATTTCAAGAAAATGTTTGGATGATTAGCATGCAAAAGGCATCAGAAACATTTATAGTTCATATAGTTTTTATCATGTTGACAGCTTTTAATTTGCACTGTCAGCATTTCAAATTTGTTTCACAAGTAACATTTGTATTATAAGACACCATAGTGAAACTAACAAATGTACCTTAGCTTTACGGTGTTAAGCCATGCATAAAGATAAAATGCCTATTATATAAATAATTACAATGAGAAAGTGTTTGTGATATCTGGTCCTGAACATCTTTTAATCATTGACTTATATAGTCCTGTACTTTCTCTTCTCCATGTATGATTACTGTGTATTAAGCTAGTAGAGTTTCCAGAAAACTTCCAAATGAAAACTGACTTTCTTTTTAATTGACAGTTACGGTATAGAATTCGCCATCACCAACTCTATGCAAACAAGATATATGAATGTTCATAATAAGGTCATAATTCTGAATTCAGTGTCATACACACAGATACCCAGATATGTTATCTCAGAATACCTCAGTCACTCAGCAATGTTAATCTTAAAGTTACATAGCTAGTTTCTACCCACAGAAATCAAACTAGGTCACATTGAAACTTTGCAGACAATATCAAGTACCTGCTTGCCCCTTTCAATAACTTTCAAAAACTCATCTAGTGTAACCTATCCCATAAGCTTTAATACATCTAATTCATAACACTATATACAACAAACTTCGAAAACCAACACCTACTGCAGTAAAAAATATACAATTTTATGCTATGTGAATGTATTGACAAGTACATTTACAACTGTACTTCATTGCTCATTGCTGCTAAAATGACTGATTTACTAAATACATTTGTATGGTTGACTAAGTACACTTGTAGTATTTCAACTATATTTCTGATTATCCTTTACTCCTTAAACAATAAATCATAATTATTGAATTAAATTTTTTCAATTTCGTAAAGAGTTTCATGATCAATTATTCATATAAGTATTATTAACACATTTCATATTGTCAAAAGCTCTCATACTTGGTGTTGTATCTAATGGCAATGTCTATTGCAATGACATTATATCAACATGTACATGCATGCAATACAATTGGTTTAATATGTGAAATAGTTATTTCATAGTGTGCATTCCACATTTATAAAATCAATCTTTAGATCTGTATAAAATGTGCCAATTGATTCTAGAAAAGACAGAAACATGAATGCATGTACATTTGATCAGCAGCTGAAACTATGAAGTACAAAATGATTAATGTGTCAAGGTTAATTTTGTCATAAAATTTATTGCTGCCACGTGTATCACAATTTACGAAGGGCAAAGATAAACTCAAATATGATAAATTTTCTAGACATAGTTCATTATATAATTCGCAATTTGCCTACTACGAAGGTACTAAAATTTCATCTAAAAGAAAAAAATATTTTCCCCATGTACACATTTACGTATTAATCCAGTTTTATTGATTTTGTATCTCCACATTTGTTATCAATTATATCCGACCTGAAGTTTATTTTAAACATACAGGGGCATTAACCGAAAGTAGACCTTTTATAAGGTGAATTTCAAGGAATACACAATTATTCACCTTCGTCCATTATCCCGTGACACCCAACAACCGGAACAGATGTCATCAATCGTAAAATGCGTTTTTCTTTCTGACGCTCTAATACAAAACGACATTAGTTGAACTACCAAACACGCTTTATTTCAGTTAGATGGTGAATATGAACGGTACCTTGACTTATTCCCTATCGTCAATGTCACCAAAATTCATCAATGACAAATTCCAAAAACGATCGATTATGACTTGCCCACCCGGTGCCGTGTCAAAGATGAATATTTTTCTTACCACTGAAGGCCATAGCTGCTGTTGCACCCATTGCTCCGAAGAACGGTGTGTAAAGAGGTTGTTTTTCCGCAACGTCGGTCATTTTTCTTAGTTTTCAAGAAGTAAAACAGCAGAAATTTCGATTTCTTTTCAGAAGATAACTACACAGGTTGTTCGACGTCGCAAGATGGCGAATCCACAAAGTATCATGTGATCGCAAAGCTCTATCACTTCTTAGATTGGTGTTGATTGGTCGTCTTATGTAAAAGGATCCAATCAAAACCGTCCTCTTAAACTGCAGTAGGGACCAGTTGACGTCACGAGTAATAAACATGTGCTCGTCATGTGCTGGTTTGTTATGAAAATGTGATACGGAACATAATGATGCTTTGAACATTCAATGACCATGAAGTTTTCATATCGTGTAAGAATGGAATGGAGAGCATGAATATCATATTGACATATAGGAAACAATTGAAGATATATAACAATGGCTGAAAAAGTTTCTTTAATGTTTTGACTAACCCCCCCCCCCTGTCCATTGCCTATACCAGAAATGAATGTCTCATGTTTATCGCTTATTGTGGGAGGAAGAGATAAATGAACGTATTTCTTTAATTTTGTGTGATCTGATATTCTGACCCTTCCAAGGACCATGTTGTGATGAAATTACATAAAAAGATTAATGCATATGATGTCGGGTTAACCAAGGATATTGAGGAACTTTATATTTTTTATGATTTCAGTCTTATGATAAGTACATTTCGAACATATCTTTTCTTTATGCGTTACAAAATCTAACTTTATATAACCAAAAGCATCAAATTCCTTCGTATAAATATGAAAATGCTGTATTGAAATTAAAAAAATATGTAAAACAGAGCCAAAAAAGTTTTTGGTGCATCAAAATTCATCTTATTTGTGTTTATCAGAAGCCTTGATTATATCTAGGATTTGGTAACCTACTGAAATTTTGTGTTGTTTTAGTCATATACACATGTTATTGGTATTTATGATAAGATTTTCACTATTGTAGTTTTCCAACTTACTGGGTTCAGTGTACAGAAAGGGTAATGTTGTGTTCACACCAGATGGCAACAGTGTCATTAGTCCTGTGGGAAACAGAGTCACTATATTTGACCTAAAAAAGTAAGTCAACAACAATTTTATTGTTTAATTACCATTTGTTAAAATTACTAGAGTTAATGATTGAAATAATATGATGAGAGGCTTTTTTTCAAGGTGGATATATTTGCTTCATGTCAGATTTAACAAAGTAGAGCATTCATTAATTGTAGCAGGATGTTTAGTCATCAGTTTGCAAGTTCAAATAATTTCATAATTAATGTCATGATCTAAAAATCATTACTTATTTCAATAAAAGAAATACTAATATAATATAAATTTCATTTTGTTTCTCTACAGCAACAGATCAGAAACATTGCCAATAGAAAGCGGGAAAAATATAACATGTATTGCTTTGTCTCCCGATGGTTACACCATGATCCTGGTCAACGAGGGTAAGTTGCTAGCTACTGGTGAACAAGGTTGGTTAGGTGACGTCATGGAAACAAACTCAGCTTTCACTTAGACATTCAGGGTTTGATTCTGTGAATGGATGTGACGTGCTAGACCACATGACTTTTCCTCAGGTACTTCTGTTTCCTTCCACAACAAGACCCAAAACATGTTTCCATCCAAGTTCATAGGAAGGACCTTTATAAGTTGGAATAACTTGTTTCGAAAATTGTTATGAAACAAATTTTAAGAATAAAAGAGTGGTTAGTGCCAGGTAAATAGCAAGCTTCTGTTAGATGGGATATTGGTTGACTATAATGGGATTGATTGCTGGCTCCTTGTGTGATATTGGAGTAGATGAACGATTCTAAGTAATTATAGAAGTGGGAATATAAAGAATTGTTGACTCCAGGTAAATGAGGGGGAAATATTTCTCTTTAAATTTCAAAAAGAAAGTTGCCATCTTAAAAGAAGGATTAAAGGGTATTACAAAAGTTAATATTTTGGAAATCTCTCATTATTTAGGAGGGAATAAAGTCACCCAAAAATAGAAAACAAGAAAGATAACAATAGTCTGTATCAAGACTTCCAAGAAAAATACATTTTTTGTTGCTTATAAAAAAGATACCTTTTACGGTAAATGATCAATTAGTACTGGATTACAGTACATTGTAAAGATATGAATTCTGATGTCGGAAAACAAACTTGGGGGCAAAAGTCTGATGATGCAGTGTTTAAGTAATACAAAGTTATGTTACGTGTGTACTTACAGATGGAGAAGGTTACCTATGCAGCTTGATCAGTAAGACTGTTCTCAACACATACCACTTCCATCAGCCAGTCCATCAGGTCAAATTCAGCCCTGATGGCAAGTAAGTTCATTGATCAGATCCAAAACATTGGAATTAATCGAGTTTGCAATCATACTTCCTGACCATTTGTGGTTGCTTGCCCTTAAAAACAACTACTTCCTTTTTCTTATTCTCAAAATTGTAACACTATCTTCTACAGAGTTTTTTCTTTTCCATACTCACACAACACTTATGAATTGAGTTGATTAAAAGCTAACAGGAGGGAAAGTAGGACACAAAGGATCAAGAGTCTGCAAGTCCAAATGATTATGGGCAGATACCCTTAGCAGTTCAGCTACTTAAAACTAGCTTCTGCTTGTCAACTTGTCATTCAACATAACTAGTTTTCTATAATAGTATTTGTTTTTTTTTAATTGATGTACAATGTGTTTGTAATAGAAAGTTATAAATCAATCAATTGTAAATAGGTTTTGAACCACCTATCCAATTACGTGGATTTTTCCCGCATACTCTTCATTTCCTCCCACAATAATATCCCACACATGTCTCCATCAGAGCCAACAGGAGTGATTAATGTAAGATTAGCTGTTTGTTTCAAAATTATTGTAAAATAAATCAAATGAATCATCTTTTAACATCATTTAAACACATCTTCTTAAAAAATGTTTGTTGCCAATTTCAGTGACATAATTTTTGTTTGTTTTTTTGTTTTGTTTTTGTTTTTCACTTTTTAATTTCACTTGATTGAAGGAAATTTGCAGTGACAAGGAACAGTGTTATCCTGGTGTTCCATGCTCCTGGTAAGAGGAGGGAGTTTAACCCATTCCAGCTGTACCGCACATACCAAGGAGCCTATGATGAAACTGTCTGCATTGATTGGACATCGGATTCAAAGTATGATGATTTTTTGTAAACAAGATATTCTGCATACATGTTTATTGCAGAGTATAGGAGAAAAAACATTAGCCTTATGATTTTATATATGTTGCTGTATTGTAGCTCACTGGGTGTAAGGTACATAGAGGAAATATTGATATATGTTGTTGAATTGATATGTACTTCCTGTTATGGTCATTTTGTATTCACATCACTATTAATGCCAATGTGAAAATTTCAGACACAGATAATGTTGAGAAACAAAGGCTCGTGTTCATATATAGGTTAACATTGGTAGATATGAGGTACCTGTATTATTGTATAAGGTTGAATTATCATGATATAAAAGAAAACATGTTAAAAATCAAATGTAGCACAACACCATTAAACTTACTGTGAAGTAATATTGTGTTATGTTACAGGGTGCTATGTACTGGGTCTAAGGATATGAATACAAGGGTACATGCAGTAGAACGCCTCGCAAACCTTACCATCAACTCCCTCGGGGGACACAATGATGCCATTGTTGCTGCATACTTTGCCCACAACTCCCTGGATGTATCCTTATACAATGCTTACAGATTTCGGCTGAGTTCATAAAATAGTTTGAAAAAAAAAGAATTTGTTGTAGACTATCATAGAATTTCAAATAAAAACACCATTTTTCAGATTTTGGGCTCTGGAGGAGAGTAGAGCTCGGGCAATTGATGTCTTAATGACCAGACCATGTTTTGATATTTTTTGGTCAAAAGATATTTGTTTTGATTATGTTAGTCTATTCTGTGCCTCTAAGTGTAGAATTTTCATGATATGAAATATATATCTATGGATTTAGTAAGGTAGTTCTTACCTATTGTGTTACATGAAATGTTCATTGAGGAGAAACTTTTGATGTTTTTGTTGCTTTAAACAAAAAAATTGCAACAAAAATCACTTCAGATGAAGTTTAAACCAAAAAGAAGCACCCACAATTTTTTACGAGATACAGTCAAACTTTCGGTTTTATTTTCATGCTTCACATGGATTTACTGTGTTATAAATCAATGAACATGTAACTTGTATTTTATCAACATCAATGTTATCACTTAAGTCTTATTCACATCTAGTTTGCAACTAATTGCAGAATATTCTTAAAATTACAGGATGTGATTCTATAAATGTCCGTATAAGCGAGGGCGCTTAAAAAGCTTAGAGCTAAAAAGGCTTAGACCTGTATGAATGGTTCAGTATATATCCTTAACTAGAACAGGTATTTACCATAAGTCAGAATGGGCATCTGTGTGTGTGGGAGAGCGACACTAAACTGGAAGATTTACGACCATTCGTCCCGAAAGTTCGCAAACATCAAGGTGAAGAGGATGATCTGGATGAGCAGGAAATCTCGGATTCAAAAGGTGGACCCTTTCAGGAGATAAACTCAAATTTATTTTAGTTTTGTAAAATAAAGCAATGAGATTGTGAAATTCTGTATAGTATTGTACTCAGGTTCGGTATTTTACCAATGTATTCAGAGAACTTAAAGCATTTTAAGATTATGTTATGTCACTTTTACATTATCAGGAGAAGTTGAGAACAGATACTGTTGTGAAACACAATACAAAAATGAACGTTTTATGTACAGTAGTATTCTGAACTTTAAACAGATCATAGATAATTACTAAGGTATTCTTCCTTCTTTTTGTTCACTTAAAAAATAATGGCAGGAAATCAGTTGCTATGGTAATGGACAAAAGTGCTTTGCTGACACTGCTTTTCAGATTTAATGGACAATGCATAAGAAATTTAAAAAAAAAAAGCTTTCTTTGTTGATTCAACATAATGTTTATGGGGATATATATAAGGCCTAATACCTTTCTGTTTTCTTGACCTTTTCCTGTTTGATGTTTTACAGAAATTCCTATGGACACTGCAGAACCAGATGAGAGAGTTTTGTATCAGCGAGCACAAAAGTTAGTCTACAAGACTTTTTTTTAAGTATATAGGTTGAAACTGAATATTTCAATATTTGATTTGTAAATTTTGAAGATTTGTATGCATCTAATGTATTACTGGTAAAACAAATTAATTTGTAAGAAAGCTGCTATGAAGGTATGGATAAGCTATACTGTGACAAAGATTTTCAATGTGCTTAAGTCAAACTTTCTATACATAACTGTTACTCCAGCAGAATCTAAATGTGCTTGAATTAATAGGCTATGAAGTTGTCTTCAAAGTTATAAATACCAGGATACATATTGTATTACGTTTTCTGTATAGATTTTAAAAGTGATCCTCTTCTGTGTTCTGATTTGATATTTTTGTTTATGGTAGATACATTTTGCTTTGTTTTTTGTTAAAATACCAATTTAAAAATTTCATTTGAAGTGTAAATATTTTTATATATTATCAGTAGATTGAATTCAAAATAGTGTTATTATACATCATGTTGTTATGGACAGGTATTCGTATAAGGAAGCTCGTGGTGCCACCGCCAAATTTGCTCATCTCACGTGTGCAGCTTACCACAAAAACAGTGCCATCCTAGTGGCTGGGTTTCAAGATGGTTCCTTCTTCCTGCATGAGATGCCAGACTTCAATCTCATACACTCTCTCAAGTAACTATATATACATGCTGTAACTGCAGTCTCGTCCACTGACACAAATTGTTATATAAAGCCTTGTAGCATACATCTTTTAAAATTAATTAAACAAACACTGGTCAGTTTTTTTTACCTTTTTATTAAATAAACCTTTTAAATATTTCAAAATTTTTTTGATATGAAAAATTCCATGTGTACATGATTCGAAGATCTTTATAAACTCTATCAACTCTTAAATACTTATCAAAACCTTTAAAGATTCTGCAGAATAACTTGTGTATCTCAATAAACTGGACCAAAAGATTTGTTTTCATTTCATTATACCTAACATCATTAAAACTATGAAAAACGTATATGTTTAAAAAAAAGTTATGTTGTACCTTTTTACAATGCTGCAGTATTTCAGACCAGAACATTGCCACAATGGCCTTCAACAACACTGGTGACTGGCTGGCCTTGGGGTGTGGAGGTTTGGGCCAGTTACTGGTCTGGGAGTGGCAGAGTGAGACATATGTCCTAAAACAACAGGGACACTTCAATAACATGGGCTGTCTAGCCTACTCGCCTGATGGCCAGAACATTGCCACAGGTGGGGATGATGGCAAGGTAAACACAGCGGGATTCAGACTAATTCCTTTTTCTTGTTTTCAAATCTCTGACAATTACTTTTAAAATCTATTTAATTTATAACAAAATGTCCTCTTTGCACAGCTCACCTGGGAAAGTTTTGTAATTATTTTATTTCATAGTAAGATATGCTGTCTGTTTCAGATATAATTAATTTGTCTGAGTAATAGACTAAAGGTTAGCATATTGTTAGATATTTTCACTATCACTAATACATATAGATGAAAGAAGATATCGTTCCCTCATATTTGCTGCAGGTCAAAGTATGGAACACCAGCAGTGGATTTTGCTTTGTTACCTTTAACGAACATTTGGGAGGAATCACTGGTGTAACTTTTAATCAGAATGGACAGGTGGTGTTGTCGGCATCCCTGGATGGATCTGTTCGAGCTTTTGATTTGAACAGGTGTGTATCATCCTCATAACAGACATGTCAGATGTTTGGTGCTAAAAAATTAATTGTGCTTTGTAGTTAAAACAATTCATTTAAAATGTAATTTTACATAAAAAAAAATCAGGCAGATCTTTAACATCATTTTTTAATTTTAGGTGAGTCCCATTACTCAAAGACGCTAGTTCAACTCTCAAATAAATACATGGGGGTGGGGGTCATGTTTAACATCACTGATTGTTAATACAAGACAGAATTGCTTTACAAATTCTACCTGTAAAACCTCTTTGAACTGTACATTCCAGGATTATGTTTCTAAGGACAATACCTTTTTTATACTATAACATCATTTTATTGCGACCTTATTGGACTGTTTTGGTCTCATACACAATTAAGACTGGTTGATATTTCTCCAGTAATCTACCCATTACTTACTTTTAAGTACTGAGACAATTATATGTTAAATATTAATGTCAAATTTTCAATCTGACTTGTTTTGTTTTGATGATTATTGAATACCAGACCATAATACAATCAATTCTGAATAATGGATGACAACATTTAATGACAGGTTAATAAGTTGAAGTTACACATATTTTTGTTAATCATTTGATTAAAATTTGATTTACATTATTGTTTCATTATCGTAGCATTACTGATGTAAAGTTTAAATAATTTGAAATATAAAGTTCACAAAGATGGTTTCACATTGCATTCTGAATTACCCTTGGTTTTATTTTTCAAATCATTTTACAATACTAAACAGTATTTTATCAATATGAAGATGTTTTGAATAGTTTTGCTATAGTGTAAATATTCAAATTATGATAATACTCATTCATGAAAGGTCCTTTTACAGTCAATTTTGTTTCTCATCATATTCCCAACATAACTTACTTATCAGTTGAATATTTTCTGACAGATATCGAAACTTTCGCACCTTTACCTCACCACGTCCATGTCAGTTTTCCTGCCTCGCCATAGACCACAGTGGTGACATTGTTTGTGCAGGAGGACTTGATACATTTGAGGTGTATGTCTGGTCAATGCAGACAGGACGTTTACTTGAGGTATGTTACCATATACTGCGTAAGTTCTTTACTTTCATTTCAACAAATAAAATTGAAAAATCAAACAGAGCAGAAAAGAAAACTGAAAAAACACAAATTTAAAAATCTTCATATTTTATGTAAATGTTCTCTCAATAAACAATGTATTTTCCAATTTTTGGAAGTGTATTGAATTAATGAGGTAAGGGAGGTAACTTCGACAAGACAGTTGTAAATAAATTGTTATGAAGACATTAAAATTTTTAATGGAAATATTGCAATATACTTAAAGAGGATTGATCATATATTGTGGTGTTGGAGTTCTAGTGAGATGTACATAATTACCTCCACAGGTACTGACAGGACATGAAGGACCTATCAGCACTCTTAGCTTTAGTTCCAACCAAGCGTTTCTAGCTAGTGGCTCCTGGGACAAAGCCGTGAAATTATGGGACATATTTGAAAACAAAGGCGTGAAGGAGACACTTCAATTGAACTCTGATGGTAAGGATTATTAAACATATACAGATGTATGATGAGGTCCAGGGGAGACAACTAGCATTCATGACTGCACAACTTTTATCTTAAAATGTGTGTTCATGTCCATGTTTTCCTTATTAAAGTGTTTGATGGGAAATGTTTACTGCAGTTGAATGTTTGTCCTTTTCTTCAGCTACTGAAGTCATTCAGTTAAGTAAGTTTTAAGTAGTACATCATCCTCAGTACTTCAGGGGTCACTATTGCTCTCTGCATCCCTGAAACATTTCCTGGTCAAATTTATGATGACTTTGGTTCTGTCTGTTAGAGAATTAGCTGTTTTTGTGATGAGATTTTGTGTTCTGTTTGTCTGAGCACTAGCAGTTTTGTCATGTGACTCGTATTCTGTCTGTCCTCCGTTCTAGCCATTTTTTGTCATGTGACTTGTGTTTTGTCCATCCTCAGTTCTAGCGGTAGCCTTTCGTCCTGATGGAGAGGAGCTTGCTGTAGCAACTCTAAATGCCCATATCACTTTCTGGAATCCCCACACAGCAAATCAGACAGGGTCAATAGAGGGCAGAGCTGACCTTGGATATTTCCGCAGTGAGAACGACAAAATTTCTGCTAAAAAATCTGCAGAAGGAAAGTAGGTCACTTTGTTACTCTTGTCATTGCATTGTCAGATGCAAGACCACAAAATAATTAAATATTGTTTCCAAAATTGTAATAGGTCTCTTATTAGCATTTGACAAGTAAATTCAAATAGCCAAATTGAGAGTCAGATTCTGTAACACTCATGAAATTGAGATTTGGATGAAATTATTTCAAATTCAATCTAAAATATGCTATGTGTTCCTCTGTTTTATATATCTCTTTGTAAGGATGATTTAGCATATAGACATGTTTCATTTTGTGTTTTACAATGTTTGTGTGAGGGATATAGATAAGCATACAAATGTCTTTATTATACAGGGCTTTCAATACAATATGCTACTCAGCTGATGGACTGTGTCTGTTGGCGGCTGGACACTCCAAGAATGTGTGTATATACTCCATACCAGACCAAATGCTCATCAAGAAGTTTGAAATTTCACGCAACTTTTCCTTTGATGGCATGGAGGTACGTAAAGTTAAGAATGTAGTGAGAATTTAGGTTTTTGAGTCCCCTGCTGGTGAAACCAGCTATAGTGGCTGTATCTGTTTGTCTCTCTGTCGGAATGTTGGTTTCCAGATGATAACTTGAGGAAAGATTGATGAATTTGAATGTAACTTCATTTAACCTTAGGTTATGAGGCATTACAGAACAGGATTGAGTTTGGGGTTGAAAGGTCTACTATGAAAGTCAGTGTTGCTATAATAGGGTTATGCCAGATTTTGGTTTTCTGATGATACTTCAGAAAGGATTGATTGATTCCTGACTTATTAAGATAATGTGGAAAGTAGGCTTTGTATGACATATTGTTTCTACAAAGCATTATGTTGTAGGTAAAATCTTCTATGTCATTCAAATGACTTTCAAATATGTAGATGTTTCATAGAGTATGGAGGATATTGTAGCTTTGTATGTATACTTTGTGATTCCCAGGAGTTCTTGGACCGACGTAAGATGACACAATGGGGGAGTTTGTCCTTAGTGGACGAAGGACAGGGTGACAAGGATGGAACTGCCATAAGTCTACCAGGAGTGAAAAAAGGGGACATGAGCTCGCGACACTGGAAACCAGAGGTCAGGGTGGCGGCTGTGAAGTTCTCCCCGACAGGTCTGTAAATCAAGCCATATACACTGTCTTACTGTATTTGTCTAACAATAAACCTGCATAGATATATTTCGAGAGAAATACTGACTTTGAGGTCAGAGTTGATGTATGGGATCCCTGGTCTTATTGGAGGATAATACAGTGGGTTATTACTTAAAACAGTAATGTTATGTCTTCTGACCTACAGATTATTAAATGTTAAATTCTCTCCTAGATTTGATGTGGTATTTCCATTTTGGCAAATATTTAGTGTCAAGTTTAGAGTTACTCAATTATATTCAGACATAGAAAACAATTGTTTTATATGTCCCTTCTACTATTATAAATATTATGGTGAGAGGTTTAACCACTGACATGACATTAATGTACCTGATATATTGAAAGTGAGAACATGTTTAAAGTATTCCCACAATTGATATTCATCTGTTGTTGTAAATACTACAGTGACAGATTTAACACATAAACTGACATTAAAGTATATATATTGAAAGTTAGAGCAAGTTAACATTGGTAGTACCACAATCAATATAAATTCAGTTTGGTATTCAGAATTGAGAGGGATTGGTACTTGGAAGGTTTTAATTACTATAATAAAGAAGACATTATTCCATACATCATCATTTCCTTCAGGTTTCAAGAGGTGACTGGTTTTGAGGGGTTGTTTGGAGAAGTTGCACGGTATCTTTGTATAGATTAATAACTTTCCTTATTATGTTTTCTGTGCAGGACGTGCCTGGGCATCAGCCACAACAGAAGGGCTATTGGTGTACTCACTGGACCATAACCTTGTGTTTGACCCATTTGAACTAGAGATGGACATTACACCAGAAAATGTGAGAAAAACTCTCACTAAGGGAGACTACTCAGTCTCTTTGATGCTGAGCTTCAGACTGAATGAAGTAAAATTGATACAAGAGGTGCTGGAATCCATACCTGTGTCCAATGGTACATTACTATTTGTCTACTCAGCTGCTTTTGTGTTACTAAGTTGAAATGATCAAGTTGGAACAGAAATATTCCAAAGTAAATGAACCAGTACTAGCCATGGAAAGTGTAGGAGATAGAGATAAAAATGCAAAGTTTGGAGTTTTCTGTGAAATGGATAACAGGAAGATGGAATGAAACATATTCATTTTTATTCATATCAAGTAAAGAATCATTTCCTGAAATGCATTTCTACACTGACGTTGTTCGTAGAAATTCTAAAAACTGGTAATCTTCAGCCATTTTGTTTTGACCAGGCACACTTGAACCTGTCAAACACATGTGTTAAATATTTATGATCTTGCTTTTATTCTGATTTTTGCCTATAGTTTCAACATGTGAATGAGTTATTGTCCCTTTTTCTTTCAGTGCCTGTAATTTGTGAGAATCTCCCCAACACATACATAGATAAACTGCTGGCATTTTTAGCCAATCAGATGGAGTCAACATCACATCTTCATTTCTATATGATCTGGATCAACAAAATTCTTATGTTCCATGGGCCAAAGTTAAAACAGCGATCTCAGTCTATCATGGCAACACTGAGAATGTTACAGAAGAGCATCACTCGCAAACACGAGGATCTAGGAAAGATGTGAGTACAGTGATACTGAAGTTATCCTTTATTTATACAGCTTTTAGGAAGCTTCATTATGTTATTTACTAAGATGAATTATAAAACAGAAAGCAGGTAATACAAGATTGTTGGAAAAACCTATCATCTCCAGTTACACAATACTATTATTTCTATATGGTACAATGTATCCATCATCTTTTTGTGTTAGCGTCTTCTCACTGTTCAGAATAATTGTGTATATTTGTTTGTTTTCAAAATGTCTTAAAATTCTTTTAGTTAATGAAAACAGGTAGAATTTTTGAATATATCAATGTATGTTTAAATTGATCAGCAAATTCCTCTCTGATAAACAAGCAAGTAGGTTTTAACAGTGGATGTTTACAATGACATGTTTTATTTATTTTTAACTGTGTCATGGACAGTATGATATGTATACATTTTACTGGTGGTAGGCTGTGTGTCGTGGACACTTGGATGTGTGTAATTGTAGTGTACCTGTATTTAATGTTATTTTCTGTATTTTTATTCTAGCTGTGACCATAACAAATACAGTATAAGCTACATCAAAGCCCTATCACAAGCGAAACGTAAGCGTGTCACACAGGTCGGTTGTGAGGACGATAGCGACGAGTACGAAGAGGAGAAGGATGACGATTCTGAAGATGAAAATTTCATGAGCAATCTCATGAATAGTGTTACATAGCATTTAATAAATTTGTCATTCAGACTTACATTGTTCTTTCCATTTCTCAATACCTTTAGTAAACTGTATTACAAAATGGAATTCTTTTCATATTTGTTGTACAAATTGTACATTAGGCCTAACCTAAGAGATGTAGAAATATTAGCCCTGAAAAGAATTTACTTATGAAGACAGATGATTATTAATGGCGGTATATAGTTGTAACAAAGGTCATTATTCATTTCATCGCCTCTGGTAGGATTTGAAACCAAGACCTGTGGTTTACTAGCCTGATGCTCAGCTGATTGAGCTAAAGAGTTCTCTCTAGTCAAGTGTTATATTGCAGCTAGTATTTTACCAGGGTAATATAATGATCACTTAATCTGGGCTTGTGTATGTGTGTGTGTATGTAGATTCCTGCTTCATAGCACAAAGCTTGCGTATAAGATATCTCTAAACAGATTAAGTTCATATATTTGTACCGTAATATCAAAACATTAAGTTCTACTGCTGATTACAATTCTGTTGTCATTTGTCAAGGTTAAATATAACACTTCTTCTAGAGATAGAAAGTGAAGATTTGTCAGAGTGAGCTCCTGCTGTGATCATTGGTCAAGGTTAAAGCTTAAATATATCACTTAACCAAGAGATAGAGGGTGGAGGTATGTCAGAGTGAGCTCCTGCTGTGATCATTGGTCAAGGTTAAAGCTTAAATATATCACTTAACCAAGAGATAGAAAGTGAAGGTTTGTCAGAGTGAGCTCCTGCTGTGATCATTGGTCAAGGTTAAAGCTTAAATATATCACTTAACCAAGAGATAGAAAGTGAAGGTTTGTCAGAGTGAGCTCCTGCTGTGATCATTGGTCAAGGTTAAAGCTTAAATATATCACCTAACCAAGAGATAGAGGGTGGAGGTATGTCAGAGTGAGCTCCTGCTGTGATCATTGGTCAAGGTTAAAGCTTAAATATATCACTTAACAAAGAGATAGAGGGTGGAGGGATAGGTATGTTGAAATGAGTTCCTGCTGTGATCATTGGTCAAGGTTAAAGCTTAAATATATCACTTAACAAAGAGATAGAGGGTGGAGGGGTAGGTATGTTGAAATGAGTTCCTGCTGTGGTCACGGTTAAGGTTAAAGCTTAAATATAACACTTAACCAAGAGATAGAGGGTGGAGGGGTAGGTATGTTGATGAGAGCTCCAGTGATCAAGGTAGAGGATAAACAAAACCTTGCTCACTGAATGAACTTGGAAACCTATGCAGACAACACACACCGAAAACAACCAGACACGAAATTCTGGAAGCTTTTCCATTGGTGCACCTACTCCCATGGTGGTGTACATTTTACTGACTGAGAGTTGAAAACCACCTTCCCAGCCAGGTCTCCTTGTAGCTGCCAGTCTCTCCTTTCATGTAAGGATATTCTTGCTGATATCCTTCTCTTATTCCTCCTCCTTTACCTACTGCCAACTCACCCAGAATATTGTAGTGACGTCATCTATACGTCTCCTGCATCAGTGATACGTGATATCCTGATAGTATGGGAGACGTTGTCGCTCGTTTTCCACACAACTGACAACTAGGTTTCTCTGCATCCGTTGGTGAACATTCGAAGGAGATGAGGTCCAGAATTGGTTCTTTCTCCACAGTTCTGACCATGATAATATACACTCAGAGTGTCACCACTTCAGCCACACTCTTTGTTAGCCCAGTTTCAGTACTTTTGCTCTCCGATCTTAAACACACCTTACTTCACTCTGGACCATCCCTTGTCTCTCTGTTGCTTTCTTCCATTGTGCACCATGCCTATCTCCTGTCTTCCAGTACAGGTTTTTCCTTCTATGTCCCACATTTGCAGCATGCTTTCGGCTTGGTCTACTAAAGTATATGCCGATTTCTTTCCTGTGTATATCTGAATGTCTACTACATACACTCCAGTATCTGACGAATCCCTCAAAGCCATGTCAAACTGGCACTTCTTCACCTTGAATTACCCAATTACTGATGAAATCGGTAGCTGGAGTTGGGATTATATACCATACAATTTAACTAGAGTAAAGGCTGGTTGAACTCCCAGGTCTCACGTTATCTCTGATCCCTCGACGTTTGTGATAGGAACCTCGTAAATCAGCAATAGCCACACCGATTCCGTGTTGGTATGCATGTCGTCAAACTCACAACACAGAAATCCCAAGAGATGCAGATAATGAACATTATGGGGAAGTTTTACAGTTATCATAATGACATGTTTGGGGAACATTCTATTTCTTTGAGTGACATGAAGCTGGATGTATTTGATGCTCGTTAGTTTGTCTGTTGGTTCCGTTGTTGTTGTTGACCTTGTTCTCATTTCGGAACGTGACATTACTTTCTTGGATTTATCAATATTTATGTGACGGGTGTCGTCGATAGAGCAGAATACAGGCACACTTCCGAAACACCTGGTCTTATTCTTGTACTTTCCATCTGTTTCTGTATAAATCTTCCATTTATTTATATTTTGCTATTGTTTTGTCAAGTTTGAGTTTGAAGCAAGATTCTACTGACATATCGGCATTTTCTTTATTATCCGTAATTCGTATTTCCAATAAATGGTGCAGACACATTTTTTTCTTGCTGTGAATTTTCCATTTCTCGATAGTAAGTGTATGCATCATGGTCTACCATGTTATGAGTGTACGATATTCAAATATTTATTTCGTTTACCAAGATAACAAAACCATATTGGTAAAGGTCCTATAAGGATTATGCTTGGTGGTTTTATTGTTATTACCATTGTTCTCATTCAGAGAATGTGACGAAACTTTTTGTGATTTAACGGACACTTGTCGTTTATGAAACAGCAGATGCTTAATCTTCTGAAATAAGGTCTTATATGGGTACGCTTTAACATAGGATCTCCCTGGCCTATGTGTTTCTTTCAATTTCATTTCATTCTGAAATTTAAAAAATACCATATGATCTCTACTGATAACCAGTCCAGGATATTAATAGACGTGTTAATTCCATCGTAGCTTTTCGTCTGTGGATCTTAATATTTTGTGTTTAACTTGTTATGTCTTTGTTTCATTCTTTTCCCCACCTGTATATTGTATACTCTTCTCACAAAATCTCATTTGGCAACGTGACCATAGCTCGTTTGAGAACGTAAATATTGGAACTATGTAAAAACTGTCGTAATGCACATCCGTCTCTCGGTCTGTCGGTTCAATAATGTGGAACAATATTATTTCTGTTCTTTTTTATTTTCAATGTAAAGAAAAAACAAATCAATTTAATTCATATGATAAAACAAAAGAGGCGATTGTTCATGTGTTTTCTACCGTCTATCGATTAGCCTCGCGAAACCATCGATATTCCACTTAGCAAAATGCGATTAGTTCGGAATGAAGCGATTTGTCAACAATACGTCACGCTATGATAACATGTTATTTCCGGCTCGATCCCAACCCACTGGATATACTCGTTTGTTTTTCCATTTAAGCAAACCCTACATCGTCGTTGTACTTTTCAACAGAAATCGTATCTATATATTTTTTATAGAAGAATGTTATTTTAGATATGAAACTAATATAGCAATACATGGCAGGAATTTTTAAGGGCACCGGTATTACACTTGTTGGTAAATCCTTAGTATGAATTGTGCCAGATCGCCTTTGTCAACATGAAAAAAATGTAAATTTAACTGATACTGTAAAAATGACTATTCGTCAAATGACAAAAATAAGAAATACTACATTAATGAACATTTGTCTTCAGAGTATCTAGAAACATACCTAATTTCTTTATTTCTCTAAAGTTGTCTAATTATTCAATTATATCATGCATAACGGAAAACTGGCGATATACAGCGAAATCAGAAAATGAATGCGTGAAAAGGTTTGAGTCCCTAATTCTGTGACGTCTATTCTGTGTATGTTGATAAACTATGTCGTCTCCTCTCATTGTCGGCTTAACGCATGAGTTGACCGTCATTTTTTTCAATAGTCGACAGCGTAATGTTATAGACGACATCCGGTATAAGATTTTAAACACTCATAGAAGGCATACGTTCGTGTCAATACTGTAAATTACTTATATGCAAGTAAATACGCGAGGAGACTCAATCGCGAATTCAAATCCCTCGCGATCATTTGTACAGAAATAATTTTTGCTGGTATCCATGCTGATTCGGTTACCGGTATCGGAGTTCGTATATCTAATACACATCATTTGCGAAATCGAAGTCATTTCTAGACCATCGTTCGCGAAATCGTGTAATTGCGACTATGTCTGAAGAGGTAAATTCACGAAATAAAGTATTCGTGAAATTTAAGTGATTTGACATTTCACATACTCTAAGCAGAAGAAAAGATTTAGATAATTCAATATTTAAATATCTAACGAAATCTTTAATTTATCATATTCTCCTTTCTATTTTTCGTTTTCGGTGTCAGCTATCTTTCTTTGTTCCCATCATAAACATATCGCCTCGCTTATATTGAATTCCCAAATAATTGATCCTGTGTATATAATATATCATCACTGGCTCACCTTGTTGCTCAAAGAAACCTTTATCCAGATTTTAATATAATTTCACATGATACAACTTGAAACTGGCCTTCATTTGCATGATGGTTGATGTCGATGAAGCGGAAACAACACTCTAGGAGTATCTGGTGGTACTACTTCAGGAGTATATGGAGGTACCACTCCTGGAGTATCTGATGGTAATACTCCAGGAGTATCTGATGGTACCACTCTAGGAGTATCTGGTGGTACCACTACAGGAGTATCTGATGGTACCACTCCAGGAGTATCTGATGGTACCACTCCTGAAGTATCTGATGGTACCACTCCAGGAGTATCTGATGGTACCACTCTAGGAGTATCTGGTGGTACCACTAGAGAAGTATTCGATGGTACCACTCTAGGAGTATCTGATGGTAACACTCCAGGAGTATCTGATGGTACCACTCCAGGAGTATCTGATGGTACCACTCCAGGAGTATCTGATGGTACCACTCCAGGAGAATCTGATGGTACCATTGCAGGAGTATATGATGGTACCACTCCAGGAGTATCTGATGGTACCACTCCAGGAGTATCAGGTGGTACCACTCCAGGAGTATCTGATGGTACCACTCCAGGAGTATCTGATGGTACACTCCAGGAGTATCAGATGGTACCACTCCAGGAGAATCTGATGGTACCACTCCAGGAGTATCTGATGGTATCACTCCAGGAGTATCTGATGGTCCCACTCCAGGAGTATCAGGTGGTACCACTCAAGGAGTACCTGGTGGTACCACTACAGGAGTATCTGATGGTACCACTCCAGGAGTATCTGATGGTACCACTCCTGAAGTATCTGATGGTACCACTCCAGGAGTATCTGATGGTACCACTCTAGGAGTATCTGGTGGTACCACTAGAGGAGTATTCGATGGTACCACTCCAGGAGAATCTGATGGTACCACTCCAGGAGTATCTGATGGTACCACTCCAGGAGTATCTGATGGTACCACTCCAGGAGTATTTGATGGTACACTCCAGGAGTATCTGATGGTACCACTCCTGGAGTATCTGATGGTACCACTCCAGGAGTATCAGGTGGTACCACTCCAGGAGTATCAGGTGGTACCACTCCAGGAGTATCTGATGGTACCACTCTAGGAGTATCTGGTGGTACCAATAGAGGAGTATTCGATGGTACCACTCCAGGAGAATCTGATGGTACCACTTCAGGAGTATCAGGTGGTACCACTCCAGGAGTATCTGATGGTACCACTCCAGGAGTATTTGATGGTACCACTCCAGGAGAATCTGATGGTACCACTCCAGGAGTATCTGATGGTACCACTCCAGGAGTATCTGATGGTACCACTCCAGGTGTATCTGATGGTACCACTCCAGGAGTATCAGGTGGTACGGTACCACTCCAGGAGTATCAGGTCGTATTCCATTGCTTACTTTTATTGCCTCTATTAACGTCAATTCTGAGCTAGAATATTGTTTCTCATTTCTCTAATGTGTGTTAAAAAAAGTACCGTGCATCTATTGCCAGTGTATACAAATAGGACATCTAATGTAGTAACACATTACCAATACCGTTGTAATCATATTTAGTTTAATGTTTTTGTCACAAATATCTAAATTAGTTTAAATTAAAGACTGACTTATTAAATAATTGATTCAATATAACAACTATATATATGTGTGTGTATGTTGTTACTTTTGCCATAGCTATAGGTTGTATTAATGTAATTGAATCGTTTTCATAGTTTTTCCAAAAACTGAAATATTTTTTAGTTTTGTTTTCTGTCAATTAGGGTCTGCATATATTGTAGTTAATCCTAAACAACTAAATAAACAAGACTTGTGTATGTCATTAGATAGAACAATGACGTTTACACGAGAAAGACGCTAGATGAATTAACTGGAATATATAGTGTAACTGACTAATTCACACCCATCTGGTGCCCATTATGACGACATATTTAATGTTACAGGTAAGAAAAAAGACTACACCGTCAATAAAATAACACTTTCATGAATTATATGTGGTGAACGTTGAAATGGAATTTGAATCTTCACAAGACAGCAGGTTTTAAAAAATGTAGATAACAGTGAGCTGCCTTGCTATGGTTTTTATAATCCCATAAATGACACGTCTTTGCATACCGCGTAGAACGTTATGTAATCTTTAGGATTAATCTGCCTGGTCCCATCTATTGTGTAAGATCATACAATATATACCTAATATGGAATTTCATTTTATTTCAAATACTCTAGCCAAATACCGATGTGTAGTTATTCTTTCTGACCAGGAGAGGCTAAGCATAATGCTTGGTAACTACCGACAGACGGGACTGTAAACCACAGACTTTAACACTGATCCTATATATAGGATTAAAGACTCCGGCTTTGTGTTTTGGAATTATTAATACTAATCTATCCAGTTGCCAGATTACAATGTAGGTATAACTGGTCATAAACATATTTATATGATTTAACTGTTACATTTTCCCCCTGTACTTGAAAGTGACAGAGGGTTTTTTTGGGATGTATATATCTGCCTCGTTCTGATGAGAAGGTAAGTAATGTAGATAAGTTTTACAATGCCCGGCGTCATAGTTGACACTTCTTTCTTATAGATTATGTATTATTTGCTATAAAACTGTGGATATACACCTCAAGGTTCTCAGTATTATATAAACACAATACACGGACTAATTGCCTGTTATAGTGTCTCCGTCAAACGAACTCTTATCGATCATGAACTGCGTTTTACCTGTAGTTATACAGTTTACCTACAAATGAACATATTTACCTTTCCCATTACTTGACATTATTTGTTACAAGTTCTCGGATGTTACCTGTCTTTACTGGGAGTTTCCACTGGGACGAAAATTCAATTTGCCCACAATGTCGTTGTCACAATTGACCGGGAGATGTAATTGATTGTATCCAGGTATTGTGCTGTGAGAATGACAACATACCTTTTCACGGGGCGTCCTCGCTCAGCCTCCGGACCACTACCGAGGCGGTAACACGCTGGTTGGTACCCAAGTCTATGGAATATACTTCAGTGCTGTGACACAGGTACTGTTTGTGAGTATTCTCATTAATTCTATAAAGTATTTACATGATTTTAGAAACATTAGACATTCTCTTAAAACTTTAAAGAATTAATAGAATATATGAGTGACTCGATGTTGATAAACACTATTAAGTGAGTAAAACGCGACATTCAATCATTTGCATTGTTTATAATTATGTCCTCACTTGAAAAATGAAAGAATATTTCCGAGGATGTTGCATATCGTGTCGCATAATTTATATTTATTAACACATTTGTTCATATATATTTTTACAAAGTTTTCCAAAACCATCAGGAAATTAATTTACAAATCCCTTTTAACGTGAATATCGAAATTAATTGTTTCCTGACTTAATCCAGACTTGGCTTAATCGGAATTCTGTGCAAATCTGGAAGTTAAACCGATTTTCGTCACAGTTATAACAGGCTGAGCGGTGCCCTAAAAACGTTACACCGATTCTCATTAGAGTTTAACAACAGAACGAGCGGTACCGGTAGAGATGATGAATGTTTGTTTCAGAACAAGCTAAACAGTATCTGTTCAAGAATTCACCTAGAACAGACTGCGCGGTACCAGTAGGGATGTTGAACAATTCTCTCGGAGATCAAGCGGTACTAGTATGAACGTTACACAATTCTCTCTGAACAGACAAAAAGGTAACGGTAAGGAAATTAAGCGATTCTATCAGAACAGACTGAGCGGTACCGGTAAGGAAATTAAGCGATCCTATCGGAACAGACCGAGCGGTACCGGTAGGGAAATTAAGCGGTTCTATTAGAACAGACTGAGCGGTACCGGTAGGGAAATTAAGCGATTCTATCAGAACAGACTGAGCGGTACCGGTAGGGAAATTAAGCTATTCTATCAGAGCAGACTGAGCGGTACCGGTAGGGAAATTAAGCTATTCTATCAGAGCAGACTGAGCGGTACCGGTAGGGAAATTAAGCGGTTCTATCAGAGCATACTGTGCGGTACCGGTAGGGAAATTAAGCGGTTCTATCACAACAGACCAAACGGTACCGGTAGGGAAATTAAGCTATTCTATCAGAGCAGACTGAGCGGTACCGGTAGGGAAATTAAGCTATTCTATCAGAATCTTTCAGCACGATTTCAACTATAAGCTGACCGGTACCGGTAAAAAGTTTAAAGCGTTGTAACCTTAATTATCAGAAATATTGGTACGAAGTGTTTATTTGAAACATGAACACTGTCAATGATGCAACACATCGGTTGTGCTAACGTCCAGAATTTAGAACTTACATACTACACGTATTACAAATCTTTATTTGGCACCAAGAAGTTTGTAAACATGGTTTGATAAAGTTGGAGAAAGTTGTCAGCATGTGCGACCAGTGTGTACATTAGCTTTTGACCACAATAACAGTTGTCGTGATCCTCCTAAAACTTGGATGTCGTTAAAAGATTGTGGTTGTAATGTGTACATAGTCTGTTATCTGATATCATCAGACGAAAAGTGGTTTGCGGTTTAAATACTTTCCATTGTCCCTCCAAAGATTGTCTCAAAAACCTATTTTGTCAAATATTGTCCTTTGTACATATCTTGTGACGTACTCAAGGATATGTCCATGTACTGGTTAATTAGAATCGAACTATCAAACAATATGTTACTGTTTCAATAGCTAATTGTACTTATATGAAACTGTCTGTGTGGTGAAATGTATCACTGCCTACACAAGAGCACTTGTCCCCGGTCAGCTTCGTGGTTCCTACAATTGATTTCTTTAAGCTATTATTTGTCTGATGAACAGCCGAACCTGAAGTAGACTTACTCCTTAGAGTTCATCAGGTATTTTAGACTAACTTATATATACTATTAACGTGTCTGGTGACGATCTAATTTAAACTATTGTAAATCTATTCAGATAAAAATCGATGATTTTTGATTCTAAAAAATCATTTGTAAACGAGAGACATTATATTTTCAAATGTTGTGCAATTGAAAAAATCAATCTGCTCTTGGAATGGTTTTATTTCACGCAGCCTAGTAAGCTAAGCTAGGTCTGTCAATAAAGTATAATACACATGCATTCTCCGTACCTACATATACACCAGTAGATCTCATAACTAAATACTCGCCCGAAATACGCCAATATTTTATATTATTTCCCCAACAAAGAAAAACTTAGTAGTATACGATACTGAGTTAGTCAGTGAGCGTGTCTATTACATAGGAAAGTCCTGTGTTGTCTGATATGATCACTTATTTAAACAATAATGAAGGACTTTAGTTTAATTGTCCGAGAAAAAATGGAAGTAGCTGGTCATTTATCATTCTACATAATTTACTTATATTAATAAAGTTCTAATTGATGATTACAAAGTTTAACTATCTATAACACAGTAAATTGTTCAAATTGACGCTGATCGAATCAGGAGCGTGGAGCCAATGTCTACCTTTAAATATAAGCCTTTTATAAGCACGACTTCGATATGATATGAACATTAATCAATACACACGGTACGTGTATATTTGAGACCGAAATTTTGATTAAAACACTCATGTGTATATAAATAATGAATTTGAAAATTGATTCCTTTGTCGCTAGCCAGTCTTCAGCACATACTACGATTCTCTTATTGCTTCAGCACACAGTACACAGTACGACTGCTTTGTCGCTAGCCAGTTCTCCAGCACACAGTTCGATTCCCGTGTCGCTAGTCAGTCCCCCACCCCCCGCACACAGTACGATTCCCGTGTCGCTAGTCAGTTCCCCCACCACCCGCACAAAGTACGATTCCCGTGTCGCTAGTCAGTCTCCAACACGCATTACGACCCCTTTGTCGCTAGTCAGTCTCCAAACACATAGAACGATTCCCTCGTCGCTAGTCAGTCTCCATCACACAACACGCATCAGTCTCAAACACACAGTACGATTCCCATGTTGCTCAGCCTCCAACACGCATTACGACCCCTTTGTCGCTAGTCAGTCTCCAAACACATAGAACGATTCCCTCGTCGCTAGTCAGTCTCCATCACACAGTACGATTCCCGTGTTGCTAGCCAACCAACAGTCCGACCCCTATATTCAATGGGAAAATATTAGTTTTTTATTATCATCTTCTTTTATCATGCATTGTTTGTTGTTTGTAAATATTGTGAAAAAATATATCGGTAAATCTATCATCAGTAATTGTATTTGAATATTAATGATAACATTTGCATTATATCTCCTCGTTCGTGGTAACCAACAATCTAACTTAATGTATATAGAATAGACTATGAAGGCGACATACCTATTACCCATGTGTTGAAAAAAACCGGAACTTCTTTCTTTTATATGTAAATATATATGTTGTGTCTTCAAAACTTACATGTTAATCAATATTAACTCACATGCTACACTTCTATATAACAAGAGGCACAAGAGGCTATGAATATTTATGTTGTTGTAACACGTCTTAGAAATAATCTTGCTAATAAAGCAGGGTGACTTTAACTACATTTAACATGTAATGCCGATGTAAAATTTGCATGAGATTAATTGATATCCCGTGTTAAGGAATTTTCTTATATAAACTACAGTAAACTTTACCCCTTCCCCACGGGGAAATGAGCTTTCATGGTCATGGGGTTATCAAATTAACCTTTTTTGTTAAATCACCTCACGACCCTTTCATCCATGAAGAGCGTGTGATTCTACCCTATCTTGGTACTGAGAAGAAGGTGTTTGACCCCTCTTGGGTTGGGGTAGGGGGCGTTCGGGAAAGGGTGGGGGGAATTCAGTCAAATTAAAAATGTGCAAACCATAGAACTGTCAACCTTCACTAATAATTTTAACCATATTTAAAATTATTTCGAATTAACATCGACACTGTCTTATGCCCAAAATGTATTTTTCCCCTTCATAAACTGTAGTAAATTTCAACCCCTCCCAGGGAGAAATGTAATACTAGGGTCATGGAATTCACAATTTTTAAAAAGTACCTTAAGACCCTTCATCCGGGAAGAACGTTTGATTCTAGCATATTTGGGCGGTGAGAAAAAGAAATATGAGTCAATTTGACCCCTTTTGACCCCACCTATTCGTCCTTGTGTTGGGTTGGTGGGTGGGAGTGGGGGGAGGGGCGCTCATTGAAGGCTTCTGCAAACTGCCAATGTGATCGGGTTTCCAGCAATAGGTAAAAATGTTTAAGTTTATGACGCACAACTCTGGACGAAAAGACAATCGCAATAGGTCACCATGATACTTTGTCTCGGGTGACCAAAAACTGTGAAGATATTACAAATTACTGAATATGTCATAGTAAAGCACGCACGGAGGTCAACAAGAACGTGAGACAAACAGAACAAAACTTTGATCTTACTAGGACGTCTATATGCGGTTGACACACAAGAGTACTATAGTGCTCGATGCTTTTCCAATACGTCCTCCACGTACTGGTGTATCGATCTGAACGCCAACCTTGTATATCAATTAGAAATCTACACCAATAATGCAATATTAATTTGAAAGTATTATAGTGCAACACGTTTTAATGATACATCAGGCCCCGGTAGGTTTTGATAGTCGTAACATCAGTCAGTTCAATACGATACTAGAGACATATTTAGATACGCGTTCTAAATGTTTTTATTAATAATTGATTTTCAGCAATTAGATACCAGAACAAAGGCCGATTTCCATTAATGGATTCTGACGTACAGTACGTGTATCAAACACTGTAGACTATTATGGTGACAATGTGTATAGACCCTTGTCTCAAACCTACACGTATGTAATTGAAACGAACCTTCAGATGTAAACACGAGCTTTTATTTCTACAATTCCAACATCTATAAACTTTTACTTTAATGCTCTTAGCAATAGTAATGGAACTTCATAAACTTCCACATCCAAGACTCCAAAATTTCGGCCCCTAGCATCATAAACGAGACTGAGGAGGAAACACAACTCCAGCTCTATTGTGTTTAATTCTGAATTTCTTTCGGAAAATCCTCTTCACTCGTTTGTCTTCCGTATAATCATTAGTATCCAGTACAGAAAATCTGTTAGATAAAATCCTGCGTAGACTTATTATTATAGACTTATTTTTATTGGAATAAGATACCATTTTAGAGTTCTCTGAGCATAATGCATTCAAGAGAGATTCTTCAAAATGGTGCACAGACAAGTTCTGACTATTACATAAAAAAACCTTCCCGATAGACAACAAAATCTTCAACCTTCCACCCCAGTGATTTGACATCAGGACTTTTGTCTTAAAAGAGTAGTCACCATGCGGTCAAAACTGGTGTCTTAGGTCTGGAAAAACATGGCCAATCACGGTCACCCGATCAGAATATTTTCAGTTTTTAAGCATTTATACTTTCACAGAGAAAAATCTGTGTTTGTTTCTATGAGTCTTATAGAATGGTTTTATGATTCATGTATACATCATATTAAAACAACAACATTATCAACAATGGCGAAGAATAGCGCTAAACATGCCATATTACTATTTTTATAGTATATATATTTTTTCCTGTGTGTGTTTAAGATGTATATCAGATCTGGATCACGACAATGTTTGAAATGTTTACCAGCAATATTAGTCATGAAGACCTCCGTGGCGTCCTGTTGCTAATTACAAAAAATACTATTAATTCTGATTATCTACCATTAAATATGTTATGATATACAAATATTATTTGTAATACGTGTCTTACAACGATTTCAACTTTCACGGTAAAAAACAAAATTATAGTGACCAATATCAAAAGCCTTTTTATGTTGGCCGTACAGCAATATCACTGTAATACGCCAAACATAATACAATTGATATTTTAATGATATAATATTTCTGATTAATTTGTAATTCAAGAACTTAACAGTTCCCATTAAGCAAATTCCAGACAGGTGCCTGCACTGTGTGTCACTTCCAACGTACTTGGGTAGAAAGTACGGCGACATCAGTTTATAATAGAACGACGAACAGATGTATTTACATTAATATATGGATTGTATACCTATATTTGCTAACGCCCGGGTGACGTGCACATATACACATAAGATATAATCGCCTATATGTTTATCGATTAAACGAGCAATTTATAAGTGCAGTTATTTGTACTGATCTCTAATGACAAACAGCAATCACCACACACTAAAATTAAACATAAACGGTCGGAGGGATGGGGAAATAGGTTTGATCGTTTTCCTCATGTAAACAGCTAATAATAGGGTCTGGATGTATTTCTATATAGGTACGAATTAAATTAAATCACAGTGATTATATATATATACGGATATCAATGGTGACAAAGAGGCGAGAATAAAGACATTCCATATATACAAGTGTAAGTAGTACCTAGTGTTTTTGTTAAGACACTCGTGCTATTCTAATTAGGTAATACCCACACACAAAAGTTTACGTACACAACCCTAGGTTCAGATTATAGAAAAACAAGATGTGAATATGATTAGATTTGTCATTTCAAGCTGACGTTATTGTCCAATTTAAATACCAAATCGGCGTGACGGCAACCTATTCTGATATTTGATGAAAGACTTTGTTGCGTCTAACCTAATATGTAATTTTCGCCCCATAGGTTATTGGTATAGTGGCTAATTTAATACTGGATAACAATGGAGGGTCTCCCGGATGAGGAGCGCCCTGAGGAACACACCGGCAAATACACAGACGTTCCCACAGAGGCCAGCGACGAGGAATCGATAACAGAAAACGCTGAAAGTCCATCTGAGGCACCTGTCGAGGAACAAGCTGAAAATCGTCCATATATACAGACAGAGAAACAGTCCGAGATACAAGCTGATGAACGCGCCAACAGTCCACCCGAGAAACCCGTAGACGAGTACATCGATAGTCTCCCTGAAAAACCCGTCGAGGAATACGCCGAAAGTCCCCCCGATATACCCGCTGAAGAATACGACGGAAGTCCTTCACATATAGTTCTCGATGAAGACATTGGGGAAGGCAAAGGACGAGTAACCGAACATCGAGAGAAGAAATGGATCAAACCAGTGTTAAAGAAACCTAATAATAAAAGAGAGTCGATCAAATTGAATGTACGTGTTATATCTCCGGGATTTGAGAAAGAGGAGGATTTTGAAATTCCACAAAAAGTGTACCGCGAACCGAACAAGACTGTCGTGAACACAAGGTGGGCTTCTAGTGAACGGTCTGGGTTACGGTCACGTGAGAGTAAAAGTCAACAGCGGTCTCGGCCCAATAGACGACATACGGTTTCTTTTCCAAACGCGCCTTTGTCACACTACAATGAACTGAAAGACAGCAAAGTTCGCGACGTGGATTATTCAGAAGATGTAGATAAAAGCGCTGAAATTGTCACCTCGAAAGAAGATGCCACGACCCCGAAATTCGAGAGGAAACTTCAACGAAATAGCATACATTCTCTTCATTATACTCCGAGATTACCTAAACCATATAGGAAGATTTCTCGCTCCAATACTATAACAGACTTTTCGTTAGGGAATATTGACTTCAAAAAGTTTCATGAAGATAATGTGAAACGCAGGCATGCGGAGTTGTCAATGAAAGAACGCAGCCACACAGTGCCTTTTGAACTACCCTCAAGACCTTCTATGTGGAACCATATGAGTTCAATACTTCTAAAGGACAAGGATCCATTCCTCTTTGAAAAAGGCTCATTGGATGATATTAGGGCGTCTCTTTCAGCAGCAAGGAAGAAGAGTGTTTCTCAATCAGGTTTTTGGCAGCTGGCGTCTGCGTCTGTTTATGAGTTTAAAGCCAATAAATCTCACGAATTCAGTGACGTAGCTATGGCATTATTCACCAAACAGAAAGCTGTGGAAAAAATGCGAAATAAAATAGAAAAAAAGATGGACCTTCCGGAGGGAAGATTTGCACGGATAGCTGCTTTGAGACAAAAAATGGAGTCAATTGAGAGGAGATTTAGGTCAATGAAATTAATCAATTCATCTTCTAAAACTACAGATGATAAGATTGACGACTTTGACGAAGAAGAATTTCGTCAGCCTAAATTTTCAAAGCCAGGCGAGGTGAGTAACATTGTATTTCATATGTAAATATAGGGTCTGTACTAAATGTCATTAAATAGGCCGATATTAGATATATGTATGTCAGATTTTACACGGTAAAATTTGCGTTTGAAATATTGATCAGGAAGTAGAATATCGACAGGGATAACCGTAAACCGCTTCCAACTACACGAGTTGATACATCGATAGTATTTAACACCCCCAGGCTTTGTTGTCGAATATTTAATATCACAGTTTCTCTTTTATAATGTCTATGTGGGTTGGGGCTTTATTTTCGTCATCAAAATAAAACTGTTAATTCATTGCATGTGATATGATGGTGTAATACAATAGACACTGCTTTATTTTTTAAACCCTTTATTAAGGCTATGGGGTTCTTCCGCAAGTGTACCCGGATGATCATGATCGTTCTCAAGTGGATTGACCTAATCATGGAGTAAGTATACAAAGTAACAATTCTGTTCGATGACCTGTCAAAGCCCAGTAATAAGCACATTGTAACAGATCACAGAGAAAATAGGACAACAAGTCATACAATCTTTCTGATTCTGTATTCACCAGACGTAAGGGTTCGCACTGAACGACACAGTTACAAAAACGTCACTTTTGAATAGGAATTTAGTAACATTATAAATATGGTAATGAATAAGACCGCTCCGGTCCTCTTTTTCACCTTCTTGCACTCATCAGTGATCTTTGGGCCCCAAAATGATTTGTGGAACATCAACTCTTGAAAAGGCTTTATTAATTTCAGGTAAAAACATAGTGTTGTTTAGGTTTACTCTTTGGATATTTTCGGAGTGTTTGCTTCCCATAATATCAACAAGCCTAACTAGAAACGATATACACTTAAAAAAGTAAATAAAGTGTTTGTTTACAACATAGCAATGATAACTTGATATCCATGGTGTTTATCGGACAAACTACAGGTGTAATGCTACATATGTAATCTCTGAAAAATGTGTCCATGTCACCGGTACTTGTGTTATGACTCTAACGTTGCTTGAAAGTATGCGTGTTCTGATATAAAGTTGTAGTTTTTAGCCTGTTTTCAAGAGATTTAATATACGTTGAATAACAATATGTTTGCGCCATTAAGCATTATTGTCTCCGAGGACGAAATCACTTGTTAGTTCTCACAAAACCCAGTTTCAGTTCTTTTTTATTTTGTGCCAAGAAAGATATATAGATGTTTGTATATATCAATACGTGACACTTTAATAAACACAATCTGAATGTATATGGTAAAAGAAACATAACCATCAACAGTTTGGGTATTAGTCCATTAATACCTCATGTTAGCCATGAACACTACTTTAAACTTAAACTAGTTGTTGATGAAACCAATTAGGCCCCGACCTGGTGTTGGTTGTTGATATAGCCTACCAAGTGTTGAGACAGGAGTGGGTTAGCCTATATTGTGGAGGGATTATGACGTATTTGACTTTCTTTAACTGAAGATATATGGATATTTGACACCTTTTATTATATTTAAACAAATACAACTTCGGTGACATGTTTTAGGGTGATGTTTAAAGATCGTGGATCGTGTAGTTATAATAAAATGAAATGCAAGTGGTGTTCAAATAAAAGCTGATCAATTATTTGGCTTCAAATTTCCTGGCTGATTCTTGTTCATATGACCGTTCTAATATACTTGTATTGCATTTTTGTTGACATTATAGTTCTATATTAAATGTCATTAAACAATTATTAATATATTTATTATAGTCTATAATAGATACTACAAAACGACTATTAATTTATTTATTATTGTTCTATATTAAATGTCATTAAACAATTATTAATTTATTTATTATAGCCTATAATAGATGTCATAAAACAATTATCAATATATTTATTACTCCGAGTATCAAATTCCAAACGAACATTTGATGTAGACACATACTAAGCGAATGTTTAATGAAAAATTCATATCTACAGATATTTAGTGTAATAAAATCCATTTTCTCCAATAAGACTATATAGTATGTGTGCTCATATCCTGACCTTAACACTAATATCATAATACTGGTGTTTAAGATAAACAGTAAACGTTGTTACCAGTAGGCTTATGATGTCGACAATTACCGTGTACAGCTGTGGGTTTACGCAGTATTGTCCTCATACTTGTCGGTTAACATATGTAGATATAAAGTGTGCGGATTTGCTTTGGATTAGGAAAACAATAACTGTATTTACTCTAGAGTACATGATTTTCGTTGAATGTTGAATTAGTGTAATACATGTCATGGTCAGTTAAACACGCGTGGATGATTACTGTAAATAATGTTGTTACTAACTTTTTACGAAAAGGGTCTCTCAAAGCTTAACATCGCGATCGTCTTTCTTTGAGAAAAGTATCTCTTCCCAAATACGAATGACTTACGTACATCATCTTTAAATGTGACACTAGCAGTAAATAAGATGTGTCTATTTATAGATCGAACTAATCCTACAACGGTTTCACCCTCGTTTTCTGCTTGTTGTTTATATATGTATTGCTGTCATCAAAGTTTTGCTAAGCCTCCAGTTAGTAAGGTAGATATGATATTGTAATAACTTTTGTCAATGTTTCCGTCAGTCCGTCTGTAACAAATAAAATAAAATAAACATGTACATATACATATATCTAAGGAACCCCAAATCAAAATTTACTCCACTTTCACACAATAGTACCGGAACAAAAGTCCATACTTTAGTTTCGTAGACATCGGTCAAAGTTAAAATTCAAAATTCACAACTCTGGAAAAAATCATGTACAAGACATCATGGACTTAACCATTTCTTTGTTTTCTAAATTCAGCACATGAACATAACAATACATCATCATCATCCATATAATCTGACATCATATTCCTTATCCTCCTCATCCACCATTAACCATCATCATCAACCACGCTGACTGATTTAGGTAATCATCGTAACACTTGTACAAGTTTTCATAGTAATCTGTCAAAGGTATCAAATGATACATTATCGTCATGTTTTATCCACAGTGACCAAAACCGGTTGGAGAAAGAACTGAAGTCATTTGTGGACATAGCTAATGAAGTTGAAGCATCTACTGTGTCACAATCCATGCTGGACAGTGGACTCTCATTTGACAAGAATATGTTTAAAGCGAAAAGGGAGGTAGGGTTTTTTTTTACTTTAACTTTTCATTTGACCTTTCCATTTTAATTTCATAAGTTTATAAGTAGAAACGGTATGATGCTTTTACTATCGGTGGTAAAATAAGTGTCTGAATGAATTGAATTCCCAATTAAGAAATTACTGTTGGATATGGAGAAGGGATATCATATCCACTTGCACAACCTTCTATAGCTTATAGCGTTTCCGTTCAAATAGTATGTATGGTAATCAATAATGTATAACAACGGAAGACAAAGTATTGGCAGTTAAACCATTTTAAGAAAGGCGCTAGAGATAGTTCCTTGCAGAATTCTTTGGTATACATTAATGTCGGCGTGGAAATTCAATATCTTAAACAAGCTGCTGTCGGCGCCAACGTGATTGGGTTATTGACGGTAGCACTGTTTGATACTATTATACTGAGAATAAATGATACAGTCTCGGAACTCCAAAGACTTAATCAATTTTAATTACAGTAGATGTCAGTGTGTTACATTGTTTCTTAGTAGGTTACCGGAAATCATTTATATGACCATGATACACTTCACCTTTCACTTTCTTCTCATGAGACATAGGACTACCATACTAGATTCTATTGAATTGAAATTACGAGATACTTCGCCTTTTCGAAATGATTATCGACAAAGGTCTCGCTAGAGTTCAGGGCCATTCTCAGACCTTTATCACACTATAGAAATAACATTCCTGTTATACTCTATCTTTTACTTCATGACATATCACACTATGGGTATTTGTATGTAACGTGATACTCTACAATCGATTTAGAAAAATTAGTAGATTTAGAAAAAACCCATAAGTGAACTGTTCTTTAAATCTTTCGAACTAAGATCCGCACTGCCTATAACTGTACTATCGACTTCTTTTCCACATTTCGACATGACTACATATGCGGAACACTTATTCAGTAATCCACTGAAATATTTTCCCTTTGTTCGTTATGACAGTGTTATATACATGATTTACCTGTAAATCAATCACGTGTACTATGTTGATGTTTATTGCAGATTTCCTTGACTGCAGATCACAGAAAGACCCTCACCACCAGGTGGAATTTTCGTAGCCCTGAAATGATTCAACAGGTGAGTATCTCGTCCTCATCCTACCTTATATAATATAGCAACATACCCCGAAAATATCGGATATCTTAATGTCATGATGCTCGGCGAATAAATCAATGTCGTGTGTTATTTACCTATCTAATGTCATAAAATGAAGATAAAAAGATCAAAGGTGGCAATATAGCTTCAAGATAGACTCTGAAAAATGTAAATTATTACAATATTTGTATACTAGTTCGATCATGTGGAAAAAGTAATCAATTCGTCTGAATTTCATACGATTCCTTAAAAACTCGTCAGAGGTTTGGTGAAATAAAAAATGTCTTTGATTGGTTTAAAAATCGAGTAAAGATGTTTAATATTTTTTTCAAACTCCGATAAGGTATATCTCATACAGGGACGAGTGTGTCCCTTTGGTCAATGATGAAACTTTCGCAAATTGAAATTCTATGAGTATCATAACGACTAAATCTTACATGAATTACGAAGATTGTCACAATGAATAATCATAAGAATGAAAAAACTTTCTTGCAAAGCAATGTATTATATAAAGTTAACAGGTGTTGTACAATATCATTTAGCAGTTCGTGCATTAATTTGATTTACTAGATAGGACCATTTGATTGAATGTGCATTTGTAACATGGGGATGTGATAACAGATATGACACACTTTTGTGGTGGTTTTTGTTGGCTTGAAAGTCTCGTTATCTTGATAAGAGATATTTGTGATATTTCGACAAGTATCTTCATCAAAACTTTGAAAGCAATGAAAGCAAACGAAAAGCAGTCTAAACAGGTGATGTCAAGATCAATCGCTTCATTTTTTTTATCAACTCCAATATTTACAGGTGATGCACGGTCTTCAGGCACTGCGATCACTGTCCGAATATCCACTACACACACAGGAAAAGCTGTGCAAGGTGGCGTGGTACCAAACGTACGTAAATGGTCTTTCTACTGCATCATTACTTTTCTGTTTCGTTGTTTTCAAGATCCATTAATTATACATCGTGGCTTTGTGCATTCATTAACTCGGGTATTCTCTAATATTAACTCTATCTATTACATTGTCCAACAATTTACCTTTTTTGTGACAGAATTACTTCACATACTCAATTAATGTTAATGGCAACCCCCTTTTTGATCCTTCATTTCAGACACAAATATAGATATATTCATTTATTGGACATTGTAACTAAGGAAGATAATTTTTGACTCGTGCCCTGTCCGGGCCTCGAACTCTTTTAGCAAGAAATTCATGACTGCCATTACACCACCACACCAACCCCTTATATAAGGATGTCTAGGCGTTGTACTGGTAGACAGCAAGAATATTCACGACATAATCATTGTGGCAAATGGTCTAATTACTTGACATTAAGACATGGATTGCAATGTAAATACTTATATGGATACCAATTGTACATACAACACACACCAAGCTCGGGTACAATTACGACAGGTATTTCAATTCTTGAACCTTCGGACTAACAACATTATATGTTTTTACAGGATAGGTCCGAAAAAAGCCATTGTCAGACAAGGCCACAAGGCTGAATCTTTCTACTTTATTCTGTCAGGTGTTGGTGAGTATTATTTAGATCTCATGATGGAATAACACCAAGCAATATTCCTCGTATTGCTTATGAAAGGGATGACGCAATAAATTATATATATCATTCATTTCTCACTCCATTACCAGCATGACCCACTTTTCAAAATCTAAACGACCCTTTCGTTATGGTGCTATCAATATGTAATAGCTAGATACTTCATGAATAAAAGAAATTACCAATCATTTTCTTTTTTATTTACAAATGAAAAAATTATTTCTACAACTGGCGTAAATGATTTAAGTTAAACACCTTCGTCCAGATAATGTGTAAAATAATCATGTCTTCTAATTGTCTCTTGCCAATAATAAAACACACGGAGACACCAAATAAATCATTTTACATGTGTCCTTGTCTATGTAATTGGGGTAATGTAGCATTTATTGGGGGTTTTTTTATGTCGCAGCATACGTGAAAAAAATGATTTATGATGAGAAGACAAGAGAAACGCGTGTTAACACCATGGCGAGGCTGACAAAAGGGATGAGTTTTGGGGTATGTTATGTTAAAATAACGCATATTAACAGACCTTAGTGACGCAATATTATACAACATGTATATTACGCACGTCAGTCATATATATATATATTAGTTTTCACACACATGCGTCACTTGAAATGTATCAAAGACTAACGTGTACATTAATATTAGGTTAATGTCCATCATTTAAAATATTTTGTATCATTTAGACATATCATCTTTAATTTTAGCGATAATTAATTACACGAAACCGTGCCATATGTTATGTTTATTCGAGACAATTGCAACACTTTTAATTTCCATACACTGATTAGCATGTGATGATAGTGCCCACAGGGACTTGGCACAGAGTTTGATCCTCATTTGCCTATTTGTGTACAAGTATCAGGGGCAGTAACTCCCTAGAAAAGCAAACTGGGCAACCCCCGGATACTTATTGTACACATATGCAGACGGGTTGGTGTGGAATCCATTTATAACACGGAATGTGTTTGCACCTGTACTCTTGATTTTCACGTGCATGCTTTTCACTCCTCTGTTATTATGTCCCTATTGCAGTTCTCTTGGGAGGACGGGGTAACGTATCTATATTTAATAAACAACTTGTTTTACTCAGTTCCTTTTTCATTTAGTCTATTGCTGGTGTTAATACATGGTTTGATTAGGTTTCTTGTGTTAGTTAACGTAAGCCCTTGCTCTGATTGTATTTCAGATGAAGATATCGTAGTCTGTTTTAATTTTGTAGAGCTTTCCTTATGTTTTACTCCACGCGCTTTTGTTCATCATTCTAGTTTCTTATGAGTTTTTATTATTTTGTTTGGTAGCATGTCTGTAATTATTGTACAGCCGTTACTATATAGCAATCAAACTGTCGTCGACTACACATAATTAAATCATACATTTTGTTTCCCCTAACTTTCGGTTACACAATTTCATTATCGATGATATTTCTCTTCCAAGGACATCCCTGACAATAATTCTTAAATGTACCAAAATTCAGTAACAACTAATTCCAGTTATACAGAAACCGTTATCTATCTGTCTTCGTTAAAATACTTCCTGTATTCTTTTCAATCTTTCAAATTAATCGATGACTCCCTGAATCCTGATTTTCGAAAATATATAATTGACTTTTCTATATAAGGCTTTCTTACTTGTAATTAATTGATTGATCTATTTAATTGAAGATATGCAGAAATGTCTTTTATTCATAACCGAGAACGGTCTCATGTCAAAACAAAGTCCGCCAGTTTCCCTTTGACGTATCGATTCGTATTACAATTAACGGTAAAAAATGATAATGAGAATTTTGTAAGTGTTTATCATATTTGTTGTTATCTGAAATATTTTTGTCCAAATGACCATGTATGTTATATGATTTTTTTAAAAAAAATACTTCCGAATGCTGATTATTTCATATTTCTGAATAGGAAATCGGCCTGATTTTCAACACATTACGGACAGCTACTGTAGAGAGCGCTTCACCAATGGAACTTCTCGTGATTGGCAAAGAAGATTTTAACAGAATATTTATGAAGGCAGAAAACCCAGACGAGGAAGCCGAACACGTTCAGTTCCTTCGGTATTTATAAATAAAACGGGTTGACTATGGCAGATCTGTTGTCGTTTGATAAATGAAAACTAGTGGAATTACTGCGACGTTTCATAGACACTTTATACCGTACACGCCTTAATGCGTTGTCTCTTGGTTATACGTCAGGCATTTATTCTACTCATGAAATTTCAGAATTGCAGGCAGATATACAACTATCACATCAGTATTTACCATATGTAAGAATAACGAAAATCTGTTGTCTCGATATGTAATTGTTAAATAAAATTTCAAATCCTAATGCCACTTAACATTTCTCATTTACCAAGACAAGTGCCATTGATGCAGACATGGCCGATTGAGAAGCTAGAGAACGAACCAGGGTCATGTCTACTGCATTTTTTCAAGTAAGTGTTTCTCAGTAAACAGCAATTATTTCATCCAGAATATATGAAAAGCAAGGCAAACTGCAACAATAAATTTCAAATTGACATATCCTAATTTATATAAGATTGCCTGGATTTTTAATGTTTTGATGTGAATTATAAGTTGCTGGAGAACTGTATATTTTTGAGCAGGAATGAAGATTTTATAACCCAAATATTTTTGTTAAATTGTTGCAGAAGAGGGACTCTGATAACTGAAGACGGTAAAGCCAGTGAATGGTTGTATTTCATCAAGTCTGTAAGTATTTAAACTTAACTCTTTACTACAAAATATTCAAAACGTGTACGGATTTGTTAACATTACTCAGCAAACTCTCCACGGTGAACGAGAATTTCTACAGACAACGCGAATAACCTATCGACATTATGACATTAACACTTGTACATTCCAGGGCTCATGTGAAGTTCTTAAAAAGCTCAGATCGACTAAGGCTAAGAAAGCTGGTCAAGTTCAAAGAAAACTGGACCCCATGTGTGACGTCATATTGCCCGAGTTGGGTAATACGCCTTGTAAGTAACTAATTAGTTGTTTCCAGCTCTGTAATTACGTATGATCATTTCATCCTCCAGTGGTAAAATTGTTCTGCGTTCACCAATTAACAACACTGCATATTTATAGGAAAGATATTTAAGTATGATATTCCATGCTTCTCTAGTACTAGTTACGTGGTATATATTATCGCTGTTTTAGTATACTTTAATGAACATGAGTAAACAATGTAGTTTTATTGTTGTTTATTTTCGTTGATTAATAATTTGGCAGTTATTCGTCACAATTGCTTCACAGTTGTGTTTTTTATGTGAAAATCATTTGATCGAATCACTATTTACCCTAGCTCCAAGAGTAAATACGGGTCAAACGAAGAAGAGAAGGGAGTTTGTGATGTCACCAGAAGTATATGATGATATGTCTAGATATTACGATCAGCTCAAAAAGGTTCGTATGGCAGTATTTGTCAAATATGATATTTATTTTAGCTGTAGATCGTAGAAATTTTGTCCTTGTTTTGATTGTTGATAGAAGATTATGTTAGCTTTTCATTTGTTTGCTTTGTAGAATGCACCATTATTATGCTTACTTGTTAATGCTGATAACTTTGATAAAAGAAACAAGAATGTATAGAATATATTTAGGAACAGTTTTGTATCTTAACGTGATAAATGTTGCAATATTTTAAAAATCTAAGATTGATCCTTTGATATTTTCTTCATTTGATAAACCTTATTTTGTAAACTCAATGGAAAAAAATCCTTTTTGTGAAACGTTCTGAATTGTTGTTAAGATATCGTGATTCATATTCATGAGTCTGTCTTTTGATCGATAATCTAAATTTACGAGGTTTTTACATTCCAAGTATTTTTCATTCTTGATATTCTTCATGTTGTGATTTCATAAATCAAAATATATATATGGTAAAGGCAGCGTGCTTAGGACATCAAACGTTTTAATATTTGAACGTGCCATTCTAAACAATTTTATAGACAAAATCTCAAATTTGTGTGAATATTTCTAATATAGCAATATTTTTATTGATGAGCAGTAACGTAAATTATACAATATAATTGGTTTTCAGTTAAATTTTGCTTGTTAAGTGTTCGTCCTATAAACGTGTATAGCGATAACAGCGAACATTAGACCGTATAGAGTAGTTTGAAAAGGAATCGCATGTTTTACAAATTTCAGAATTTAAAACATTCTGCATTAGATGATTAATCCATTTTCATTCACCTCGTTTTATTTATTTTATTTTATTTGTTTTTTCCTACGTTCCTTTATTTTGATTTTAGTTGATATTATCATTTAGCACTTTAACTGAATCTACAGAAAATTATTGGGGAACGAGTCAAAGAAAAGGCTAGGCTGGATAGGCTGGATGTACCAACTCCAGACCCAGAGAGGGTCAGATTGACTCTCCCTCGCCTCACCAGTACCAACACCACAGGTCACATGGTGACGTTACGTGAGGAGGAAGAGGAGGAAGGAGAAAGTCGCGTACCTAGCGGGTTTTCCAGTGTCAAAAGCTTTGATTTAAGGATACCCCCATACAAGTCCACCAAGCCCGAGAATTCCCCGGAAATATCTCAAAGTCCAATGGACAAATATGCCAAAATCACTCTTGGCAAATTGTCAGCACATTTTGTATGTATTTTTTTTTTTTTTTTAGTTTTTGCACACATTTGTTTATTTTCTGTAACAAAATATGTAGAATATCAAAACTGTGGCTATGAGAACGAACAATTAGCCCCGATTTCCAATTCTTATCGGCAACGATATTCACTAAAAATAAATTGCCTATACATTTATTTAAATGATGAATCCCTTATTTTTCTTATCCGTCACAGTATTGATAACGCTGTGTTATTGCTCCACGTTAGTACCGTGTCTTGGTGTCACCTTTCATTTACGTGTGAATTCCTTTACTTACCGTTGTGATAGTCGTTGATATCTTAATATGTATTTACAAAACGAAATGCTCCATCAACTAATATACTGGTTGTTATGAAAATGACAATTGATGTTTGTTATATGACGTCCATTAGATATTTCGTATCTGTTGCTACAATGGTCACTAATGCTCTATAAGTATGCTAATCATTTTTTAAAGTAAGTATGCCATCATTCCCAGTCTACTGTTATGCTAATCCACAGTATTATACTACTATGTTGTTCTACGAGAGAACAGTTGATTTGCATCAAGCTACACTGTTTAACTGTTTAATTTGTTCACATATATAAGTAAATATATTTCACGTTAAAGCAAAATGAATGTTACATATATATATATATGTATGTATATTATAACGTTGTAAGTTATGGTACCTACACTTGTGTATTATCTACTATTATTCGGTTAGATCCCTGCATTGTAACACGACTATAATTCGTTAACATGTTAGTTGTGAACATATGATATACTTGTGTGATTATACACGTAAGCGCATGCCTAATTTGTTAATAGAAAACTGTTAAAGATGGAATATTAAAGTTCGGTATGATGAATTAGTTTCAGAAATAAATCATATGCTGAAAATATTTTTCACGTGTGAAAAAAGTGATTCACCCTGTCATTTTTATTTGAAACACTGACAGATATCAGTCACATCATGTTCATAGTTCTACCTTCAAGCTTTCATTTGTTTGTATTTTCTTAGATGTTTCCGACAGTGGATAAACTCCAGTCGATGAAGCCTTCCCCACGAGACAGTCCGGAGTTTAAAGAACAGCTGACCAGCCGACGGGAAAACGTCTTCGTTATGATAGAACTGTTACATCCTAAAGACACCTTCGTAAGTATCTTACTGGGAATAAACAGGGGTTTGTAGACTCACAGGGTCGTGGTAACCCACAGAGTCAGTCGTGGAACGCCACACGGTAGTCGGGGAACACACACGGTAATCGAGGAACTCTAACGGTCGAGGAAACTTACGAGATCGGGAAACTCGCACGGTAGTCGGGGAACACACACGGTAATCGAGGAACTCTAACGGTCGAGGGAACTCGCACGGTCGTAGATTCGGTTACCCGAAAGTTCTGACAGAACCATAGGTCAGGATAATTAATAGATTTGGGAACTTTACAGATGTGGGGATTCCACATGTCCGGAAACGCACAGTTCTTTGCAAATCCGGAAAAGTCATTTAAAGCAAGATAGACTTCCGATGTTATTCGTTGATGCCCTTACAACTTTACATCTACATCTGATATCAAATGAAGGACATAATTACCTATTTAATGCCTGCATGTGTAATTATTCAAACAGTGGCTTCAGTAACTGAAGTTTTATTTCATCAAGTCATACGGACGTTAAACATTTATATAATGTTAACAATGGTTATGCAATAGTTTGTTTTGGGAAACAAACAAACCAACAACCTATTTTGATGTTCAGACACAAAAGTTGGTTGTTCTCAAACACTTGTGTTTCGCAGTATGTTGAATCCATCTGTATATAGTGGCGCCCTCTGGGTAGCGTTGATTATACCTAAATATATTGTGTTACTGTTACAGGGAATCAACACTTTGACTGGCTGGGGGAGTGATGACATCGACGATATGTTGAACGATTCCCCTCCCACAGCTTTGGTAAGTTGACTGACCTACGGATGCAAAGCAATCGTCCCTCCGCCATATCAAATAAGTAACAGACTTATGTACGACCGCTGCTGCTGTGAAACCTCTACCAATATGTATATAATAATACCAATACTCCTTCCCTTATGTCCAAGATATGAAAATCTGCTGTATTATTTTGGACATTCGGACAACCTCTCATTGTACTCAATGAACGGCCACCTAACCCGCCTGAGGTTGTTTCCTCTATGACCTTTTCATATTTTCCTACTCTGTTTTTAATTGGTTTACCTCTGAAGTGTCCATTCATTTTTATTTTAATGGGTTTTACGTCCACTTTACGACCTTTCGGTCTTTCAGCGGACGATTGTTCATTCAAGATGTTCGGGGTATATATCCCCATCTCCGGGTACAGATGGTGGCGCTGGTTGAAGCTCAAATATAAAGCCATGTGCCTCATTTTGGTAACCACTAAAACCTTCACTGTTCTATCAGCTTTCTGTTGGGGGATCGCGGTGGACGAGTGGTTAAGGCGTCTGATCTCTGGATCTGGGTTCGAGACTTACGTGAGGCAGCCGCCAGTCACTGGCCATAGGTCGATGTATTTTCTCCACGAACTCTGGCTTCCCCAGTGTATACGTCCTTAAATGATCCTGGCTGTTAATAAGACGAAGATGAAGGTCTACATACCAATTAAGACAGGCGTTATTCAATGTCACCGTCGTTTACTATAAATCCTACTTTACGGTTAACAGGCTGGGATTATTATTTGTTACAAAGCCACATTGCCAAGTAAATTATATTACCAATGTTGTTTACCCCATGACATCTAAACTACGATAGACAAGAACACTAAATTCATAATATCTAATTTACGACTAGGATATTTCAGTACTGTGCTATAACTTGGGAGCTGGTTGACGTTTTCGATCGTTTGTGACCTACATACAGAATTATCTACAACGATGAAACATGTTCTTTAATAAATAACTTATATGCGTTCGTGAAGACATTTAGGACAAAAAAAATCATTTGTTAAACAGACTGAATATAGTATTTGAGATATTTAGAGATTGACATATCTCATAATTTCACCTGGGGTATCACGGAAGATGTTACACTGTTAAAGGTATATACACCTCTACAGCTTGCTGTTCGCTGACGGTCGTGATTCGTGCCCATTGTGTGATTCTCTTGTTTTGATTTTATCAGCTCCGACTTTGAATCACAATCTTGCCCATATGTGAAGCAGCTTAATTTTTTTAAAAATTTTGTTTTGCTGTCATCTTTTTATTCTTTAAAACTTTCAATTGTTCCAGTCATAATAAGGTTACAAGACATAGTATCCAAGACATAGGTCAATTGAAAACTGCATTTTCTTCATCATATTACACGCGTTTTCAAAAGACATTGTATAAAAGAAATATGTTTTATACCAACGCTTTGTCATTGGTGTTTATGTGTTAATTAATCGCTTGTTTCTTCCAGGTGAGCAATGGTGCGGAAGTGGTCATGTTATCGAAAAAGGTGTTCCTGAAGTACATGAACGACGATGTCAGATGTATGCTTAGGGAAAACGTGCGTGCTTATCCGAAAGAGACTGTAATGCAGGACAACTTACAGCGAAAGCTGGACTGGGATGAATATAGATCTTCAGTAATCAAAGACTGGGTCTCTACTCGTACAATACTACGAGAAATCAGTGCTATAGTGTGACCAAAGTATATTTCACACAGAACAGCTGGTGTGAAATACAAGACGAAATGTGAAATACTCAGCGACTTAAACCGTAAATCTTTCTGTGGTTGTTGCGAAACCAGAACTGGGTTCGGTCAAACACATCAAATACAGCACGTGTTGATGTAGACCTATTCAAAACAGAAGACTCACGGGCGAGCTATGTTAACATTCCTCACGAATGTGATATTCATAAAAATGGCATACGTTCATGCTGGTCTGTCTAAGTTTACGTAAGACAGGGCGTCACGAAGTGAATGTTTATATAACAGATGTTATAAATAAGGTCTACCAATGGGGGAGTTGGATTGGAGAAACACTGCGATCAAGCAAATGCTATTTAATGCTCAGCATGGACGGACATAGAATAAAAACAGAAAAAATATTAATATATTTTGCCATTTGCCTGTCTGTAAATCATTTACAGTCACGAGAAAAGATGCTTGCGTTTACCTCAATATATGCAATGTAATATTGTGTACTCATTGCTATGCAATGACTGTGGAAGACCGTTCATGTCAAACGAAACGAATTGAACATGGACGATGTAAATTCATGCGTTAAACACCAACTTTAATAGCATGAAATAATGAAGTTTTAGCACAAAAAATGCTATCTGTTCGAAATCGAACCTTTATCATTTTTAATCCTATCGCGCTAAGAACCGTATTATAACTACTTTCCAAACAATTCACTCCATCACGTTAAACCCTAATACTTATATATATAAGTATTTTAACGCGATATTTATCACTGTTATCATTTGTCGCGGTACTGTTCACATTTACCATTATATTTAACGCGTTGTAACTAGTGTTTTTTTCGCGCTGAAGTAGATGTTAGGCGCGCTAAGTTATATATTCTGCCTCATTTGTGACATGAAAACCTTTATGAAAAGGTTAAAGGTTATCATACTGGTATTCATATTTCATATTTTCATTGAAACTATCCATCCCTTTGTTTCTTTTCGGTCTTGTCTATTTTTTTTTTTTCATATTATGAAAGTAAATTATTAAAGATTGAATGCGGACCCGTACTAAACATTTACTTTAAAAGCAGTGATGGTAGGTTACGATGATTTAGCTAGAAAACTTTAAAATACTATTCAAGTCATTTTTAAATTATGTTTTAAATCACACAGATCTTGTGATAATTAAATGATTCGGGTTAAGGATGTCTAACTTTACATTGGCGATCAGAAATCCTATAGGATTTGTAACTGACATTCCTGCTAAACAGGACAATACGAACCGTTCACAACAAACCGTTACAAACATCAAGCAGCATTTTAATCTACTCGACAGTGTCGTGTGTTCTGAACCTCAAATTCTGAAATTACTGAGAGTACAACGAAACACTCAATGGTGTTTATAGTACTTCATGGTGTATCATTTTCATCCTCGATTCCAGTGTCTCAGTGTCTCGTGCTTCGTCACTGCGTGAGTGTTTTTTTCAATTGATTATATTTTTTCATTTTGTACGATCAATTTTCCTGTGGTTGCTAAAGCGTGTATTCATCAAAGCATGGTACAGTCGTATACTGTATTTATCTAATGAACTCATCAACGAGACAGACAGACGGTGACAGTGCTGTTGTTAAGAAAACGAAATGATTATTTCATAATATGGTGTGTTAACTTCACTTCCGACACCTGTTTACAACATATATCTGAATAAAATATCAATATCACCTATATGTTTATATATTTATTTATTTATTTTTGTAGTTGTATTTGAAACATGATAATTGATGATATGCAGCGCCATTCAAGGTAATAGTAAGCAACAATTTTTATCAATCTCTAGGATTTGGCACGAATTCCCGACCCATGGTACATATATACCATATTTTACCGCAAAATACGGTATATAGTCAACCACAATACCTATATATGGACCGTGGGTCTGGAATTCGTGCCAATGTTCCCTGTGGCATCAGCCATATTTACGTTGTCATAGATACAGCTGTTTAGAATTCTTGTTTAAAATGCAGTCATAGAAAAGATGACATTTAGATTTTCGTTCTTGGGACTTGTTTCTCATCAGTGATTCCATGAAAGGAGAGCATGTTATTTATATCATTTACAATCGTGTTTTTCAGTAGGTCAACTAGAATGGCACGGTCCATTCGCCAGCGTTCGCGATCTAGCAATTTAGGACCTTAGCACTCAATACCGAGTTCTAGAAGGACGAAATAGATGTACGATGCAGTTTAATAAATTGTTTTGCTCTACTGTATCGTATTTCAATTGGTGTTATCCGTTACTATTCACTTTAGTGTCTTTTATACAATCTTCTTTAGTATTTGTGAATGGTCTACCTATTTTTGGCAATACCACACGAGATCACGTTTTCCCTGGTTATCCGTACTTTAGCGTCAACTTTATTGATTAATGGCCTTCATTGAATTTATCGGATTATTATAGATATTTAGTTGTCAATGTTGGAAACGATCGGCAACAAGTATGTAAGCATCTTATTTTACCGAGGATTACAAAACAATGGATTACCAATAACAATAGAATATTGATTTCCATTTAGTAATACTCGTCAATGTCTAGCTGTATATGTTAGGATATATCGCCGGCAGCCATGTCGTAAACCAGAATACAAAAGTATATTGACACAGCACTTGAAAGCATGGATACTTTGTAGTCTTTTACACTGATTAAACAACTCAAAATATTCTCATTACAACTAATTATACAAATGTTTAATTGATTATATAGATTTGATGTCAATGTTTCACGCCAAACAAGAGCACACAAATAATCAATATACTATTGTGTCCATCTTAATTCCGTCGATGACTTGAGGATCAAGTCCACGGCATGGACCCCCGGCGGTGAGGAATCCATCATGTTACCTGGGCGAATTCGCGAATCCAAGATCTCCGGGTATATTTTGTAGGGATTAATATTAATACACTGGGCGGGTGATTTGGCGACATCTGGAAGTCGCCCTGACTTGATTTGACAAATCATCTTTTGATTTGGAATTCTACCATGGAAGTTCGTCGGTCTGTTTTGGAAGACTAATTTTTTCAGCTAAGCCACATTACATCCTGGTAGGATGACACTGAAAGCAGTCTTGTCTTATGGTGGAAATCACCAAACGTTTTATGCCTTTAAACCGAACTGTTGCGAGCGTGCAAGCTGATATTGACTCTTTATGGCAGGCGCGTCCACAAATACCATTGGATGAGAAATCAGTCATCTCTGTCGCTGGTTGGAAGGACCAACAACCGAGCTACGGACCGGGTAACCCTCTGAACGATGATTGGAAACTGGTTGTATATATTTTCACCATTCTATGGAGGCAGACCAGGGAGTCTGGGACGGAGATTTAGGAAGAGTTAGTCGCGGCGTATGGCGTAGAGGGCTGGGCATGATATCTGATAGTGAATTGGATACAGGTAGGGGAGGGATTGGTCAGGATAGGTTAGGATGGCGGAAGGATGAGAATACAGAAATCAATCAGGTCCTTGTAGGTAAAGGCTATCAGAATGAGCAAGAGAGACAGATGTATAAAATCAGAAGTTACTTTCAGCGTAATGAAAAGTTTACATGAAATATTTACTTAACATGCCATATACAGACATGCTAAAGTGGAAAATCCAGGAAATTACGAGTGATGGAGAGAAAACAAAAGTTGTGAGAAAATCAACAAACGTGCCAAAGCCATTTAGAGTTGATTGTCAAGTCAGTGTTGGTTGATAGACAGCCATATCAACTGGTTGTGCTTAGATATAGGGACAGCTGTATCAAAATACGGAAGTTGTTGATCAACGTTAAGAACAGGTCGAAAGAGACATTTATGTGTGGAGAGTACATAAAAGTGCAATCGACATGATAACTTTAGAAAGATGTGGACACAGTTCTGAACACAACCAGTGACCAAAAATACTGACAATTTTTTTTCAACAAATTTGTGTAAAAGTGGTCTTGCATTGACGAAAATAGAGTGAAAAGGTAGAATCACCAGTAGGACAAACAGAAGGACAATACAATGAAATCAGAAAGGGTGGGAAGATCGGGGAGAATATGATTCTTCCTGGGATCTACTCTTGTCCGTGAGGGGGCATTCCTGGAGCAAGAAATTTGCCAGGAATATAATCCGACCAAAAATTATTTTTCCTTCACAGATATTTTTAGAAGGAATGGGGCTAGCCAGCATAGGGTAAATATTGAGGTATTCCGCGAGAAATCCAAGATGGCCACCTGTCAGCCATTTGGATTTATGATTGTCTCAGCTATGCATTTTCTTAAAAATGGATGTGGGCACCCACACCAGTGCTGACCCCTACAGAGAAGTAAACCTAACACCTATAGTATCACTTCCACTCCATTGTTAGACAAGAAAAAAACAACAGCAAAGATTGGCGTTTCATTACATTTATTAAATGATGATTCACATACACCAAGATTTAACACAAATAATAAACAAGGTTTTAAAAAGTTGCTGAAACATTTTGTCCCAGCTGGAACTTACTACCAGTAGCCCACAATGTTTTGGGACAACACTATTATCTCCATCCTGATTGGTTAAAATTGTAAAAAAAAAAAAATAAATAAATAAATGAATTGTTTTCCTAAATATTTTCCTACATGTACAATGCATGTGTATTTCTACGCAGTAAAATGGTTGTGGTCAATACATTATCGTCATCAATACATGTATTTTCATGATATTGGGTCTGAACATTACTTAAATATCTCAGTGAAACTTTAAACTGCATACTGGAACTCTCAAACACAACAATACAGTGCTTTATATGAAAACTGTAAACTAATTAACTTGTTCTAGAACTTCTTAAGAAAAAACAGTGAGAGGAACACAGCACCTTCATCATCAACATTAAAACAAGAGTTAACACAGAAAACATAAGTTTGGAAGGTTTGGTAACTTAATAAATATCAGACTGAAAAACTTCTTCTTTGGACTAGAAATACTTTGTAACAAAATTATGTACAATTCCATAATAAACATGTTCAACTCCTGATAATGATAAATCTATAATCATACAGTTCATTACAGAGATGCATATTAATAAGATATTTATAATGACCAAACAGAGCACCACAAAATGGCCTTTCGCCCCTGGAATGAACACCTCCATACATGCTTCTTTCAAGCCCCAATAATAATATCAATATGGTTCACTTAGTAATGAAAGGACAGAAATCTTTACTAATTCTCTCCACATTGCCTTGATGTAAAATCTGCACAAAATATCTCCCAGCTGACTGTTACCTTCACCATCATAACTGTTATCTGTTCTGTCTTCACCTTCTATAACCTGTCCCATCTTACTTCTATAACTTGATTTAACATGATTTAATTAATTACACAAACTACACAATTACGCACTCTTTATCTCATGTATTCCTGATCATTAACACTGTGGTTTAAATATTCTATATATGTACTAATTTTAAATGACCTTCACCTAATTACCTTGTAAAACAAACATGCCCTTTTTCCATTTGTATACATATTGTGCTGATATTTGAATCTGTCGCTTTCTAGAATGTTCCAGTTATTTTCAATTTACACATCATTAAAAGCTGTTATGAATGCCATCTGTATTTGGTTGGGTTATATAACAGCAGTGAAACAAATATTCATATATCATTACAAATTATGAACTGTTCAGACTTTGATAAGTATGCATCATACATAAAAAAACAAAACAAATTCAGAGATAAAATGTATTTAAGCTGATTTTTCTTCATAATGATATGATCCAAATTGGTAAAATTTACTACCATTTCCAGTATGAACAGAAATCAGTCCAATGAGTAGAGGACAGACTAGCACTCTGAATGTAATGTAGCTATATTGTAACAGTATATTGTTGCTTAACATCCTATTACCAGCAAGGATCATTTAAGAATGTGTCGGCTTTCGATGGTGGTGGAAAGCTAGAGTTCCTCAAGAAAACCACCGAACTGCGATCAGTATCTGGCGACTTTCTCATGTAGACCTTGAACCCATGACCCAGAGGTGGAAGGTTAGTGACAACGACGGGTCAGACACCTTAACTACTTGGACACCATGGCCCCCATGTGGTAATCATACAACCCAAAATTTTTACTAGCAACAAATGTAAGTTTTTATAAACAAAGAAACGTACTTTGGTGACAACATTTGGTATGATTTAGAATTATAGTATTGAATTTTTTCCTAAAGATATCCAGACCTCTCCTGAATGTCATTCTAATTATATCCTCAAAGGTTGTGACTTCTGATGAATAGGAATCCATAAACATGTACATGTTACATTGTATATTATAATGCTTTGATTTGTGTATGTTTTTGTTTGACAAATATCAGAATAATTTCACCTCATGCAAAAACATTTCCCAAAATGGCAAAATGGTTTAATTATAATGTTTTGTGCAAGTTTTGGTAAATTTCAAGGTAAGTGAAAAATGAATTATCTAAAACATGTTGAATATGTAAGTATCTCAAGGTAAAACTTAAAAAAGAAAATAAACCTTAAAAAGCAGAATTAAAACATACTGTGTCATCATACACAGAAAGATCTAACTGAAAAAAGTCATGGAAAATTATATTGATATATTTATTCAAAACTTTTTTGATGAACCCCATTGAATAAGGTAGATTCTTATCATTTACCTATCATTTACTGGTGATGACAAAATATGTATATATGAAGAATACAAGCATACAAGTGTGCTTAATGCTGAAATGCCTTGAGCTTGCAAATTATTTCATTTTTGTGATGTTCAATATTGTCAGTTGAGATCAATATTGATAGCTTTTCATCCCATCAAACCTCAATTCGGACATTACTACATCATGTTTTATAGTTCTAAAGAAGAAGTTGATGATTGATCGCAGCAAAACTGAACACATTTTCATATAAACTCACAGGCACTTTTTACATAGTGAAATAACACCAAATGAATTAATATAAAGAAATGAATGACATACCATATGAACTGATCCATGGTACCGGGAAAACCAGTCATTACAACAAAATGAGGTACTGCTTGTTTAACTCTGCTACAGAATAGCGGTGTATATCATTCATAATCTCAAAAAATTGAGAAAAACAAAAAAAAATTTATCTTAACATATATCACAAGTAAATATATACTCCATAATAAAGCTAGACAAAACAAGTTAATATATGTTAGTGTGTACAAGTAAGTGCAGTTGTGACAACATCTGCAATAACACCATGGAATTTGACAAGTTTTATTATTGCACCTACCTGGCACTTTGATATAACAGAGACAAACTGTTTGCTAATAATGACAATGCATGAAATAAAAGATAAATTGGAAATAATGTCCTCTATCAAATCACCCACAATTTTGTAATTTTACAAGTGTGAATCAAACGTAGGCATCAATCTGGTACATATAGAATATACATATATGTACTACAGTAAGTTTCAAAAGAAGGAATCAATACATTATCTGTGAGTTAAATCTGCACTTTACATCATCCTGATGTCTGTTAAAACCTAAAGTGTATGTATATAAGCTTGATATTACACAATAATTTTAGCTTGAATGTATATTTCAGGTCATTAACTAAGAACTTATAGAATTTTCCTTCAAAATTTTATGACAAGAAAATCCATATTAATTTTGTATTTTGTGCCTAAAAAAGTAATACATTGCCATATCTATAGACCAGATATTAAAGCGCAGTAACATTGTTACACTGCAATAAGCCCAGGAGACCAACAGATTACATCTCCCTCAAAGTCAGGGGGTGGGCTTATTACAGGACATAGAAGTAATATTTGTTGGTAATACTACTAAATAGCAACAGATACGGTGGGCTTATTACCAGAAATGGGCTTTTCGTCAAATAGTATGATACATATTATGTGTAGTTCAAGTCCTGAATAGCACAAGAGTTTCAAGATAAAACCTCAGACCTATTGCATAAATTGGATGTCAACTTATTAAACAATATGAACGCTTCCAACACCACTTGCCAGTATTAATAGGAATAACTTATATTCAAAGTTTCCTTTTTACTGTATAAATTTTTTTTAAGTAAAAAAAGAACATTTTTATAGACTGAACTAAATTTGAATCTCCCTGTTGCTGTGATAAGACTGTAGCCACAGGAAATATTAATAAGCTTTCAGAATTTAAAATGTAACCATTTAGCACAGTACTTTGAAAGTAGTACTTAGACTTGTAGTAAATGATAGGCAAAAACTGCCAAAACGCCTATAACAACAGATACAGCAATGTATTTCCCATATTTTTGTACAAATGTCTGTTGAACCATGATATCCTGCTGTTTGCGTGGTTTTCGTTTTTTCCCACCTTTCATTTTCTTCTCATATTCCTCTATCTCAGCCTGGTTCCTCAGACGCTCCTCCTCTAACTTCGACTTTTCCTTCTCCTCCTCTTCCTGAAATTCCAGACCAAAATTTCAGTATAGTGAAAAGGTGTAGCAGAAAGAGTATGAAAAAATGTTCTTTAACATATGTTAGAAATATTCAATGTACCAACACAGCAAATAAATTAAGCACCACGATAAGCAAAAAATTTGAAACTATCTACGGTAATACAGATTTTGATCAAATTTACCTTTTTCTTTTTCTCTTTCTCTACCTTACACGCTTCGTTGCACTCGAGCTTCGCCTGACGGTCTGGAACATTTTTACACACCAGTTCCTGCTTCCTATTGCGACACTTACACCTCATGTTAATTTTCTTCTCACACAGACCAATCCGTGGGCATTGGCCAGCATGACAGGTGGCACCACACACATGGCCACATGGCATCTGAAAGTTATTAATGGTATCATACCAAGTTATGTCAACATCTCAAAGAAGATGGTAAACACAGTGCATTAAAGTTAAAAACAAATGTGATTTTTTACTGTATGCTCATTCTCATGTCAGACCACATCTCATTTCACATTTTTTGGACACAACCCTCTCTAAGACTAGACCAGAACTATGTTTTTTGAAAACATCCCTTTACAGGCCTTGATCAGAACTATGTTTCTTGGACACATCCTTTTCAAGGACTTAATCAGAACTGTTTTTTTGGACACCACTCTTTACAAGCCTTGATCAGAACTTACAGTTTTTGGACACACATCTTTCAAAGACTTGATCAGAACTTACAGTTTTTGGACACGCCCCTTTGCAGGACTTGATCAGAACTTACAGTTTGTGGACACACATCTTTCAAGGACTTGATCAGAACTTACAGTTTTTGGACACGCCCCTTTGCAGGACTTCAGGGCGTCCTTGGTCACCTGGTCTGCCTTCAACCATTTATCACAGTTAATATGTTGTACAGTCAGTTCACAGTGGCATCGCATGCGGTTCATTTGCTGGCAAGATGGGCAGGGTCCAGGGTGACACTTTAGGAGAGCACAGTCATGGGAACAACCTTCAGGACGGGGCTTCAAACAGTGAGACTCACAAACCTCACAATTCTCACCGGCCTGCAGAAAATGAAAAAAAAAGTTACGTAAGGCAGAATGAAATACACAGCATCTTGACAGCCACCAGACATAGAGTTTGGGACCAGAGAGAGAAGCATACAACCCCAAGTCTTGATTTTCTATGGTTTAACATAGAATTTCCTTACTTTCCTTTTTCAAAAAACACAATCTCGGTTTTTGTTGTTGCCATTTATCCTAAAAGTACAATGGTTCCATGTAAATCTTATGGCATGTCACTTATCAGATGTAGATCAAAATACAATTCAAACAATATTATGTACAAAACTAATTTTTTTGCTTATTACATTCACTTCCAAAAACATCAATTTGGTTGAGGAAACCCCACAATTAGCAAGAGAGAGCAGTATATCTGTTGAAAGGTGACCAATCACCTTACCTGTATAGTATCTGTCACTCTCTGTACCTGGTGACAGGTAATCAGTGACCTTACCTGTACAGTATCTGTCACTCTCTGTCCCTGGTGACAGGTAATCAGTGATCTGAACTGTACAGTATCTGTCACTTCCTGTACCTGGTGACAGGTAATCAGTGACCTTACCTGTTCAGTATCTGTCACTCTCTGTACCTGGTGATAGGTAATTAGTGACCTGACTGTACAGTATCTGTCACTCTCTGTACCTGGTGACAGGTAATCAGTGACCTTACCTGTACAGTATCTGTCACTCTCTGTCCCTGGTGACAGGTAATCAGTGACCTGACTGTACAGTATCTGTCACTCTCTGTACCTGGTGACAGGTAATCAGTGACCTTACCTGTTCAGTATCTGTCACTCTCTGTACCTGGTGACAGGTAATTAGTGACCTGACCTGTACAGTATCTGTCACTCCCTGTACCTGGTGACAGGTAATTAGTGACCTTACCTGTACAGTATCTGTCACTCTCTGTACCTGGTGTCAGGTAATCAGTGACCTTACCTGTACAGTATCTGTCACTCTCTGTACCTGGTGACAGGTAATCAGTGACATTATCTGTTCAGTATCTGTCACTCTCTGTACCTGGTGACAGGTAATTAGTGACCTGACCTGTACAGTATCTGTCACTCCCTGTACCTGGTGACAGGTAATTAGTGACCTTACCTGTTCAGTATCTGTCACTCTCTGTACCTGGTGACAGGTAATCAGTGACCTTACCTGTACAGTATCTGTCACTCTCTGTACCTGGTGACAGGTAATCAGTGATCTTACCTGTACAGTATCTGTCACTCTCTGTACCTGGTGACAGGTAATCAGTGACCTTACCTGTTCAGTATCTGTCACTCTCTGTACCTGGTGACAGGTAATTAGTGACCTGACTTGTACAGTTTCTGTCACTCCCTGTCCCTGGTGACAGGTAATCAGTGACCTTACCTGTACAGTATCTGTCACTCGCTGTACCCGGTGGCAGGTAATCAGTGACCTTACCTGTACAGTATCTGTCACTCTCTGTCCCTGGTGACAGGTAATCAGTGATCTGACCTGTACAGTATCTGTCACTCTCTGTACCTGGTGACAGGTAATCAGTGACCTTACCTGTACAGTTCCTATCACTCTCTGTACCTGGTGACAGGTAATCAGTGACCTTACCTGTACAATATCTATCACTCTCTGTACCTGGTGACAGGTAATCAGTGACCTTACCTGTACAGTATCTGTCACTCTCTGTACCTGGTGACAGGTAATCAGTGACCTTACCTGTACAGTTCCTATCACTCTCTGTACCTGGTGACAGGTAATCAGTGACCTTACCTGTACAGTTCCTGTCACTCTCCGTACCTGGTGACAGGTAATCAGTGATCTGACCTGTACAGTATCTGTCACTCTCTGTACCTGGTGACAGGTAATCAGTGACCTTACCTGTACAGTTCCTATCACTCTCTGTACCTGGTGACAGGTAATCAGTGACCTTACCTGTACAGTATCTGTCACTCTCTGTACCTGGTGACAGGTAATCAGTGACCTTACCTGTACAGTATCTGTCACTTTCTGTACTTGGTGACAGGTAATCAGTGACCTTACCTGTTCAGTATATGTTTCCCCCTTTACCTGGTGACAGGTAATCAGTGACCTTACCAGTACTGTTTCTGTCACTCTCTGTACTTGGTGACAGGTAATCAGTGACCGTACCTGTACAGTTTCTGTCACTTTCTGTACCTGGTGACAGGTAATCAGTGACCTTACCTGTACAGTTTCTGTCACTCTCTGTACTTGGTGACAGGTAATCAGTGACCTTACCTGTACAGTTTCTGTCACTCTCTGTACTTGGTGACAGGTAATCAGTGACCTTACCTGTTCAGTATATGTTTCCCCCTTTACCTGGTGACAGGTAATCAGTGACCTTACCTGTACAGTATCTGTCACTCTCTGTACTTGGTGACAGGTAATCAGTGACCTTACCTGTACAGTATCTGTCACTCTCTGTACTTGGTGACAGGTAATCAGTGACCTTACCTGTTCAGTATAGGTTTCCCTCTTTACCTGGTGACAGGTAATCAGTGACCTTACCTGTATATTATCTGCTGCCCCCTGCACCTGATGGCAGGAAAGAGAACATGTATGGTTTCCACAGGAGAGTTGTCTACCACAAGGTCTCTGACAAGATTCTGGCTTTGCCTTGTAGCATGGAATATTGCAGGTCTGAAAAAGAGATAAATTACAAAATAGATGAAGTAAAACATCAAATATAGGGATCAATATATCAAAGAAATGACTGAAGATAAAATCCATTTTTCCTTGTTGCACAGCTGAGCTGGTAACTGATCATTTGATACTACTGAAGCACTACTATTCAAAATGCTTTTTGGAAACTGTACAGCCAATATAGAGTGAATCAGTTTGGGGTGTAAAAGTGGAGAATCTTAGCATTTGTATCAAAGTACCTTCGAGGTGTTCAATACAATGGTAAAGATATCACATAATCTTGGATACAGAGATCTTACCTTCCAGGAACTTTGGTATAAGTATTTATTGCAAGATCTTGAATGGTTGTATTACAGGGTCCTAGGTACATGTATTACAAGTACATGGATATATATTACCAAAGCTTATATATATTTATAACATAGGTCCATGACTGGACCTTAATTACTTTTTGGTTATAAATATCCTAACAAGAACTTGGGTATCATATACCCATGGGTACTGACATCTCAAATAACTACACAGCTGAGTACTGATATCACAGAGACCTGAGTACTGTTATCACAGAGACCTGAGTACTGATATCGCAGAGACCCGAGTACTGATATCACAGAGACCCGAGTACTGATATCACAGAGACCCGAGTACTGGTATCACAGAGACCCGAGTACTGATATCACAGAGACCCGAGTACTGATATCACAGAGACCTGAGTACTGGTATCACAGAGACCTGAATACTGGTATCACAGAGACCTGAGTACTGGTATCACAGAGACCTGAGTACTGATATCACAGAGACCTGAGTACTGATATCACAGAGACCTGAGTACTGGCATCACAGAGACCTGAGTACTGATATCACTGTTATCACAGAGACCTGAGTACTGGTATCACAGAGACCTGAGTACTGGTATCACAGAGACCCGAGTACTGATATCACAGAGACCCGAGTACTGATATCACAGAGACCCGAGTACTGATATCGCAGAGACCTGAGTACTGATATCGCAGAGACCTGAGTACTGATATCGCAGAGACCTGAGTACTGGTATCGCAGAGACCTGAGTACTGATATCACAGAGACCTGAGCACTGGTATCACTGGTATCACAGAGACCTGAGTACTGATATCACAGAGACCTGAGTACTGATATCACAGAGACCTGAGTACTGGTATCACAGAGACCTGAGTACTGATATCACAGAGACCTGAGTACTGGTATCACAGAGACCTGAGTACTGGTATCACAGAGACCTGAGTACTGATATCACAGAGACCTGAGTACTGATATCACAGAGACCTGAGTACTGGTATCACAGAGTCCTGAGTAATGATATCACTGAGACTTGTGTATTGGTATATTTCAAGACCTTCTCCAAATGTAAAGATATTGCAGGCAGATTCCATCAGAAATTACACAAAACAAAACACATGGACTGTGTGGTGTAATTCCAAACCTACCTCATGTCCACCGAGACAAGTTACTGGCACAGGGACCAAACAAGGTGGACACATTTTTTCCACAATCTCATCCCTCACAATGGGACGACCCTCCCAGGGACCTGCTCTCTGTACCTACAATATGTGAAGATAACCAAGATTATATACTAACATGAAATATTTTACCTTTTGTCTTATATTAAAACACAGATTCAAATATGCAAAAAACATCTGCATATAAAGAAAAAAATATTTTCCTTTATCATAACTTGTTTGTATTTCACATGGAGACACAATACTATGTCCTCCACCTTGCACAAGTTATACTTACATTGTCTTTGACTTTGACTTTAATGGCAGTGTGACACCCAACAGAACAAATGTGACCACATTCACGGACCTTGGCACACATCAAACGACAGGGAGGACAGTCACCAAAGTGGCAGCGATGAGGAACCTGTTCAGGGTGGTGACATTTTGGGGGTAGTCTGTAAATAAACATGACCTGTACATCATCATTTTGTAACAAATTTTCTTCTTCATTTGATTTTCATCCAATTTTTCTTGATGTTTAAAGAATCTGGAGATACTGATACATACAGTCAATGTAGTGTCCAAGAGAGGCCCATGATGGTTTAATGGTCCCTGGGTGAAAGAATTATAGATGAGTTCTTGAGTTATTCACTGTAACTGATCACCAGGGAAAAGAGTGTCAGAAAGATTTAAGTGGTGTTTGAGAGAAGATAACACAGCGAAACTGATTGTGAAATCACTATTTTTGACATGAGTCATACCCCAAAAATGATTTTTACATAAATGTCAAACATGTTCAATGTTTTTAGCATGTGATCATTCATCATTAAATCTATTACATCAGAATAACAGATTAAATCTATTACATCAAAATAACAGATTAAATCTATTACATCAGAATAACAGATTTAATCCGAAATTTAAATTTGTATTTTGATATGCTCACAATCCTGGCACCCATTGTTTCTGAAACTAACAGAGATAACCATATGTTGATATGTGGCGTTTGGATACTCTACCTGAGAGTATAGAATTTGGGTCAGAACTTAGTCTTTGCAAAGGTCCTGAACCTGAATTGTATACCCGAGGGTAGAATATCCATTACCTCACCTATCTACTTATGGCTGACAATTTTTCTTTAACTCTCTTACATGAATATTTGGTAAACACATTGTGAGCAACTGCAATATACAATATAGCATCACAATTTCTATGTGATATAGATCATTACATCCATATTTGAATTGACATGGTCTTTTGTGCCTCTCTAAAAGAATGAAATGAAAACCTCTGGCTTACTAGTCTAATGTTTGTTTCCTAAGTATATTGCCCCATGAACAGCTATTTTGAGGCTGGGTCTCCTTGAACTACCTGGTGAATACCTCATTGAACAACATAAGGAAGGCCCATTGCTAATGCTGGTAAAGTGTCTTCCCAAAGGACACAACCATGTTAGCACAGAATGAACCATTTCTCAGTTGTCCTAAGAAACATAACCCACCATTGGAAAGGAATGTCAAACCACACACCATGGCAGGTCATCTGAGTTTACATAGGTCAATAATCTACCGACTGAGCTGTCACGATCCCCACCAGTATTCTGCTTTATCAACTGACCTAAAGAGAAATTCTATATGCGGAGTCTGTAGCTGGTAGTATACTAGTAATGTCAACTTGCCTCAACCTGATATTTAAACTAGACGAATTAACCCTAATCTGTCTAACTCATCTAGTTTTCATATAACCACATTTATTTTATAGACAACTTGCTCTAGAACACCTCAAGACTTACTCTTATTTTCTAGTGAGAGATATATAAATATCAGAAGTCCTGGGATATAGCAGCTAAATCTGCAGTACAGAACAGACATAATAAAGATGTAATAAAGAAAGTATATTATATAAATCTTATAAAACGGTTTCACTATTTGTGTTTATGTTTATTGCTCCATGTTTGAAGGAAAACATGAAAAGATGTGAAAAACATAATATACACATTTCACTTATTTGCATCACTTCTCAATGTGGGCTCTGTTTTACAAGGAAAACACATTCTATCATCACATGTTACTCCACTGTGTACCTGCAGGACTGTTTACACCTGGGTGGTTTGGTGAACTTCTCTCTGCCACAGGGAACAGTGATTCTTGTGGCCTTACAGAAGCAGGTGATCTCTACAGTGAGAGGGCATGGATAGCATGCACCTGTAACGAGTCATATATAATTCATTCTCACATATGCATTTACCCTTGACAATTAATAATTCAATGGAGGTTATCAAAAATTAAGGAAAAGCAATCACATCTAATTCCAAATGTCTAAGTTCATTAGGTACATCAATTAGCAATGATTCTGTTGTAGGTAAACAGATGCCTAAATAGATACACTGGCAATTGAGACATGTTCAAATGAAAATATTTTGATATTTGAAACAATATTAGAAAATATTTGAAATTTCACAGGTTAAAACATTTTGACAAATCAGAGACAGCAGTTTTTGTAACCATAGCAACAATCTGAAAACAGGAAATACCAAATACACATTATGAAGGATTAGTTCTGAAAAGTGTAAAGTTTCAACAATATCTTCCTTTAGTACTGAGAGATGATATCCCAGTAAAGTTTTATTCTATTTTTTAAACAAAAAAGCATAACCCTACAGGATAATGTCAGAATAAAGTTACTCCATTGCACAACCTCAAAAGAGAGTTCTGATATGTGTTAAGTTTCGATGTAATTTGCATATGAGTCTAGGATTTTTCAAGACAAATATTTACGTATTTTCCAACATAAAGGCATTACTCTGAACCAAACATGCCCAAGTTCAGGGTTACCTGTACGATGTGTATAACATTTTGTTGAAATTGGCAGAATCTGCAAGCACTTGTCCAACAAAGATATACATATAATAAATATGCTCTTATTCAACAAAGAGGCATTATTCCAAAAGAGAAGCTCAGAATGAAAATATTGATCCCCAGATGCAAAACCTCAGGGGGCATTTATGATATGTGTAAACTTTTATTGAAATGGGCACAAGGATAATCCATATAAAGATTTATTTTTTTTTAATGTCAACAAAGGTTTATACACCCTTAAGAATAGGCCCAAAGGACAATGATAACCAGGGACAAAGTTCATCATCTAAAGAGCCTCGGAGGACTTGCTTGAACAAGCTAATGAACAGATAGACAGACAGACGTACACCTGTAATGAGTTACAAGAAGCCAGTTATCATTGCAGTATGAAGGGGAGAGTACACACCTGTAACGAGTTATAGAAACAGGTTATCATTACAGTAAAGGGACAGGATATAACTCTCACCTTTAACAAGGACAGGATTCATTTCTATACAAAAATTTGTAAATTTGATAAACATTGCTGTTCAGTACTTTTCGCTGTGTACCTTATAATATTTCATAATATAAAGTTTACCTTTGTGACAGCGACTGGAACACTTGTGGTTCTTACATCCTAAAGGTTTACTACACGTCTGTTCACAGGAGGGACAGTTGCTATCACAACACTGAAAAATGTACATCATTGTTACATCTACAATTAACATATCATCTACTGATCACAGAGAGGACATAAGTTCAATGAATTTTATCATACATAACAATAACTGAGTGTAAATAACATCAGAATTTGATTGTGAAGAAACAACAAATGATGTAAAGATATCAAAAAACTTTTTGGCAGTTACATCTGACAGCAATAATGAGCCAGTGTCCTACTCTCCTGATGAATTAGATGACCTACTCTCCTTATGTAACTGAAGACCTACTCTCCTGATGAAATTGATGACCTACTTTCCTGATGAAACTGAGAACCTACTCTCCTGATGAAACTGATGTTCTACTCTCCTGATGAAACTGATGTTCTACTCTCCTGATGAAACTGATGTTCTACTCTCCTGATGAAACTGATGTTCTACTCTCCTGATGAAACTGAAGACCTACTCTCCTGATGAAACTGAAGATCTACTCTCCTGATGAAACTGAAGACCTATTCTCCTGATGCAACTGATGACCTACTCTCCTGATGAAACTGATGTTCTACTCTCCTGATGAACCTGAAGATCTACTCTCCTGATGAATCTGAAGACCTATTCTCCTGATGAATCTGAAGACCTATTCTCCTGATGAATCTGAAGACCTATTCTCCTGATGTAACTGCTGACTACTCTCCTGATGTAACTGCTGACTACTCTCCTGATGTAACTGCTGACTACTCTCCTGATGTAACTGCTGACTACTCTCCTGATGTAACTGCTGACTACTCTCCTGATGTAACTGCTGACTACTCTCCTGATGTAACTGCTGACTACTCTCCTGATGTAACTGCTGACTACTCTCCTGATGTAACTGAAGACCTACTCTGCTGAGAACTCATTAGGGTAACACTGATACATACCTTCCTCTTACATTGATGTCTACCACAGTCTTTTGTATTACTACATTTTGTATCACACATATATTCTTTATAGCAGGGAATCTCCTTCTGTTTCAGTCCACATCGACATTTCTTCTTTATCATTTGTCGACACTGTAAGGATAAATTATGTCACCACACATCAAATCAAGCGTCACATTAAATGTTGCTAAGGTTGACAAATGAGGGATAAGTTTATATTCTCTCTCTATAATTATGTCTTGCAGTACAATTTATATTAATGTTGTTATCTGAACAGAGTTATCTCTCTTGAATGAGCTATTGATTGACAACTTACTAGTTATGACGACATAATTGCTGTCATTAATGACATAGAAGATGGAGCATTATTATTGTTTTTCCATGTTTCGACTAGCTAGGCTAATCATCATCAGAACAAGGGTATAGAAATTTACATAGCTAAGGTTAAAATTATGGCTCATATTTGGCGTAATTACAATTGTCTTTATCACGTAAAATTACGGCTCATCCATGACGTAATTACAATGGTCTGTATCAAGTAAAATTACGGCTCATCCATGACGTAATTACAATGGTCTGTATCAAGTAAAATTACGGCTCATCCATGACATAATTACAATTGTCTCTATCACGTAAAATTACGGCTCATCTGTAGCGTTATTACTATTGTCTGTATCATGTAAAATTACGGCTCAGCTGTGACCTATTTACAATTGTCTGTATCATGTGGAAATGACAATACAGTAGCGTCATTATACATCAGTTACAATGGCAGAGCTTATATGTAAATTCTGCATGGTCATTTTTTATCTGATTGATGTCCAAAGACAACCAGGATGTTGGTTCTCTCCTGTCCTGTTAGCAGTTTTTTTTGTTAATTAGTGTCATTGTTAATGAAGTCACTACATACCGGTATATATAAGTAGAACAATCCTATGTGCTATCATTTTAAGGGGTAGAAATATCCTGGAATTTTGTCCTGAACAAACCCACATAGTTCAGGTACAAATAAATTAAGACTTATTCCCAGCTTGTTGCCATTGATTGTCTTTTAAAAAGAAAACACACACAAACTTAGTAGGATTTTGCTGAATGATATCTGTATGACGAAAAGAGACAGGGCTCACACTGTCGGTAGCCAAATTAGCCATTGACTACTTTTATTTTCAATTGGCTACTCAAAATACAAAGTGGCTACTAAATTGGCTGCTGTGTTTTTTTCTTAAAAAAAACCCCTAACAATACGATAATAAAGCCAACAAAAGCGCTCTGTGAAGTCGGTGTACTTCCGTGTCCACATGTGTATTGTAGGCCTACTGGCTGACACGCTTACATAATCTTTAAGAGAGCTAATTTTAAAGTTTCTTTCTAAGTTTTCCTTGTTCATTATTTAATTACTGCTTGTAGGATTTAACAGTACAGTTTGTAGGTCAATACTTACAGTTCCACAGGGTCCTAAATGACAGCGTTGTGAGCATTTGTGAATTCCACAGTCCAATATCTTGCCACACGTGTCACCACAGGTCGGCACATCATCAGTACATGGCAAAGTGTATTCTACAATCATTATATTGAATGGTTGTTATGATAACTTTCATCTGTATTTCTTTTAAAAATAACTGATTATCTTGCAGTTCTATTTATACAATGTTTGCCTTATTATTCCAGAATAATGCCCATGTCATAGTGTATGCTGTATCACATGTGTTATGTAACCTATTGTGACAATAAGTTTAGACAATGAAATGCAGTCACACAATCACATATTGTACAGTGACTTAACAATAGGACCAAATGATTGCATGCTTGTCTTTGAAATGTTCCTTTTCTACAATAACAGCCTGAATATTTGATCATGTGATAAAGAGGATCTTGAATTTGCTTCTATTGATAATCAAAAGGTAAGTTATGAAAATTGTCACAAGTTCTTCTCAAAAATTCTTTAGATTCTTCTCATTAATCAAACAAGAAACAGAAACAAAAAAAATTGATATTCTTCATTTATTACATTTACTATAGATGAAGTATTATAAACAAAAAATCCTTATCAAACAACATCAAATAATAAATAGTTTGAAATGAAAAATAAACGACCCTGTTTATTTTCCAACGAACCTGTTTTTCCGCACGGACATGTCCTTGCTCCGGCCCTTGGACATAAGCCACAGGAGCCACCATGACAACTTCTTTCACAAACATGGCTACCGCAGCTCAATCGCTTTCCACAAACCTATTGTAGAATACAAGATTTACCTGTCAAATTTTCCAGATCTATTTCATATGTTTAAATCATTCATGATCATATCTGTGTAATCACATCAAATTCATTTTACAAAATCTGTAATGAACTCTTGTTGGACAATCAGAGTCTTTTCATATTATAAATATCCACACTGCCTTGATCCCTTACACACCCTGTAACACTTCTTGTGCCTATCCTCAATAATACTGAGGAACACAATTTTTCCTTAATATGCAGAATAGTCATGAAACAATCAAAACAAGATCTCCTAGAAATGCATGCATTTATATCATAAAGAACCAAAGCTGATACACATATACACATGGTACAAAGATAATGCTAAAAATATTCGCAGAGAATGGCCTGGTTTTAAAGTTTGGAGGAGCTGTCAAAAGTTTCTACCAATTAGAGACCAGTCTTAAAAATGACTGAAAACAAAATGTAGGAGAAGTTATCAATGTACAGTCACATAACTTTATTCCAGTATGACCCTACCCCTATTACTGATACAGGTGGGATAAATAATTCTCCCACCCTAGAATGTCCATATTTGATAATATATAACCCTAAAGTACACCTCTTTCCCCTCGTCAAGTAGGTATGTGATGTCTAGCCTTCCATTTACCTGTGCAATAGACCTATTCCTACCTGAGTACACTGCCACTGGGGTGTCGCACAAGGCTGTACGGAAGTCGACTTTCCACACTGACATTTCTGCTCACTGGTTTTAGGACATGGGGCACACTCACCTGAACACAGAAAAAAGGTTGTATGGAAATTGATCAAACAATACAATAATACATGATTGCTTTTACTGTATAAATACAACAGTTGTACCTGAAGTTGTGTTTCTAGGTGATTAGATATAACACTTACCAACATGACATGGCTGTTGACACTTGTGCTGACCACAAGACAGAGTCCGGCCACATGGCTGACCGCAAGACCATGTTTTTGCACTACATCTCCTGACAGCAGGTCCCTGCTTTCCACAATAACATTTAGTCCTGACCGTCTTTGGACAAGGGGGACACGGACCTATAATAATGAAACGAAAACTTATTTTCTTAATATGCGATCTTTTGACTCTTATTGAAAAACTTATAAATTTTCACTTGGAAAAGATCAATACTGTTTTCTGCATACTAAGATAATAGAGACAACATTTTACCTTTAAAGAAAAGTCAGAGGTAGCTTATTACAGGACGAAGACATGTTATTTGTAGGTCATTTGCTAGAAAAGACAAAGATATGGGTTGGCTTTTTTTAACAGGCACAGGTATACTGCCAGATAAATGTAATACTTAATCCACAACATTGATATGTATTACTTTTTAATTTTTTGTTGTCTTGTAAGAATTATTGATATTTGAGATAGCAGAAGACAAATATAGAGAATTGTTGATATACGAGATAGCAGAAGACAAATATAGAGAATTGTTGATATACGAGATAGCAGAAGACAAATATAGAGAATTGTTGATATACGAGATAGCAGAAGACAAATATAGAGAATTGTTGATATACGAGATAGCAGAAGACAAATATAGAGAATTGTTGATATTTGAGATAGCAGAAGACAAATATAGAGAATTGTTGATATTTGAGATAGCAGAAGACAAATATAGAGAATTGTTGATATTTGAGATAGCAGAAGACAAATATAGAGAATTGTTGATATTTGAGATAGCAGAAGACAAATATAGAGAATTGTTGATATTTGAGATAGCAGAAGACAAATATAGAGCATTGTTGATATTTGAGATAGCAGAAGACAAATATAGAGCATTGTTGTTGACAAATATATTGTTTATGAGATAGCAGAAGACAAATATAGAGAATTGATATGATAGCAGAAGACAAATATAGAGAATTGTTGATATTTGAGATAGCAGAAGACAAATATAGAGAATTGTTGATATACGAGATAGCAGAAGACAAATATAGAGAATTGTTGATATACGAGATAGCAGAAGACAAATATAGAGAATTGTTGATATTTGAGATAGCAGAAGACAAATATAGAGCATTGTTGATATTTGAGATAGCAGAAGACAAATATAGAGAATTGTTGATATTTGAGATAGCAGAAGACAAATATAGAGAATTGTTGATATACGAGATAGCAGAAGACAAATATAGAGAATTGTTGATATTTGAGATAGCAGAATACATGTATGTCTTTCTAACAATTAATGTTTTACCTGGATGACAAAGCAGGAGACAGGTGTGACCACATTCAGGTTTGAGCTGACGTCCACAGGTCTGGCCACAGGAGTGAGGAACTAACCAGGGGTCAAACTTCGGGTCCTCCACCTTCCCACAGAAACACATGTAGCGGGTCGGGCACTCATATGGCTTGTACTCCAGACGACACTTGGGACTGAAAGGGAGGAAAATTATTTTGTGATAAAATGCTTTTTACAGGAGATACTTTTAGATCTTTCATGAATTTCACACAGTGAAACATTACATGTGACTGTTAAAAAACAATGCATTATATTTAGGTTTTATCCATTTTAAAACTGAAATCTTTATTCTTGATACAACCAACAGTTACTGAATTTTGCCACGGGTAATTATGGACATGTAACATTACCTTACACTGATAACTTATCAGTACCATGGTAGATTCTTGGTACATTGATAACTTACCAATACCATGGTAGATTCTTGGTACATTGATAACTTACCAGAACCATGGCAGATCTTTTGGTACTTTGTCATCCTGTGACCGGTACATATGCTGGTACACGCCTTCCTTCACCCACTTTTGTATACATTGCATGTGAAACATGGCACAACATCCACTACAATTCCAAATCTGTAACAGAGAGCTACACAGGTTACACACTATGTTCCTAATAGCTATTTTTTGTCTGTAAACAAGTATAAAATACCAAGTAGGTATACACCAGTACAAATGATAAAAGGAAAAGACATGTCACTATTTATCAGTGATGAGACCATGCAATACCGGTACTTACAGCTTCATTCTTCTTGATAGTCTCTATACAGACGAGGCAGGCAGATACCCCAGACCTGAAGGAATGGACTAGGTCATCTTGGGCTCGGTTGATGTCTTTCTCGTCCTCACCTACAGTCAGTAACAGACAGAGTACACAAGTTACTATACCATTGGTGAACATCTTTCTCTTCCTCACCTACAGTCAGTAACAGACAGAGTACACAAGTTACTATACCATTAGTGAACATCTCTCTCGTCCTCACCTACAGTCAGTAACAGACAGAGTACACAAGTTACTGTACCATTAGTGAACATCTTTCTCATCCTCACCTACAGTCAGTAACAGACAGAGTACACAAGTTACTATACCATTGGTGAACATCTCTCTCGTCCTCACCTACAGTCAGTAACAGACAGAGTACACAAGTTACTATACCATTGGTGAACATCTCTCTCATCCTCACCTACAGTCAGTAACAGTAGTACACACAAGTTACTATACCATTGGTGAACATCTCTCTCGTCCTCACCTACAGTCAGTAACAGACAGAGTACACAAGTTACTATACCATTGGTGAACATCTCTCTCGTCCTCACCTACAGTCAGTAACAGACAGAGTACACAAGTTACTATACCATTGGTGAACATCTCTCTCAGTAACCTCACCTACAGTCAGTAACAGACAGAGTACACAAGTTACTATACCATTGGTGAACATCTCTCTCATCCTCACCTACAGTCAGTAACAGACAGAGGACACAAGTTACTATACCATTAGTGAACATCTCTCTCGTCCTCACCTACAGTCAGTAACAGACAGAGTACACAAGTTACTGTACCATTAGTGAACATCTCTCTCGTCCTCACCTACAGTCAGTAACAGACAGAGTACACAAGTTACTATACCATTGGTGAACATCTCTCTCGTCTTCTCCTACAGTCAGTAACAGACAGAGTACACAAGTTACTATACCATTGGTGAACATCTCTCTCGTCCTCACCTACAGTCAGTAACAGACAGAGGACACACGTTACTATACCATTGGTGAACATCTCTCTCATCCTCACCTACAGTCAGCAACAGACAGAGTACACAAGTTACTTTACCAGGCATCATAATTCAGATGTTCACAATCAGGACTTTGTGGACATCTTTCTTATTCTCACCTACAGACAGCAACAAGGTACATAAGCTACATAATGAATGGGCCCATACCTGTTGACAAGTCCTCTCCAACCACAAACACAGCTATTGATCATCATATATGATGTCATTTCATACTAAACTGCCTCTTACCAGTAGGCATAACATATTCTCACTCACTAATTAGTCACATTTTGCATTTATGTTACACACTTCATGAATGTCTAACACTATGAAAATTGAAACCCTCTCAGGAATGTTTATCAAACAATGCATAACATGAATAGACTGCTTAGATCACATTTCTATTCAAGTTCAATTAACCCAGATGTTGTCTCTGCAGGCAGTGTTTAGGCATCAAGGGATTTTTGGGACTCAAGATATTTGAGTCATGGACTTTTGCTTTGCCTGTAGGACTTGCTCAAATTATGAGACCTCACTTTATGTCTTTGTATTGGAACCAATCCAAATTTTAGATTGGTATAACCTCCCAATCCTTGTCCAATATGTACTGAACAAAGTAGTTAGTTGAACTAGGAAATCTATTAAACCATTGGATTATTTCTTTTTGGATACCTTTAAACATACCGATGGAGGAAGAGTAGGATTTGAACACAGAGGAGAGAATATTATTGCCAATGTCATCCTCGTCCTCGGAAGAATCATTCTCATTGGACTGTGGTTGATCCTGAAGATACTGTTGTATGGCTTGCTGGTGCTGTACACTGGCCTGACGAAATTTCTCATCACCACCAGCACTTTCCTCTCTGCTACCATTCCTTTTCACAGTGCTGCTTTCCTTTCTCTTTCCATTGCTAGCTTGTTTCTTTACAACACCATTTCCCTTCTGGTCTGAAGAATAAAGATGTCGGCAGTTATCCACTAACCTCTCGACATTGCTGTATTTTACTGGGTATAAAACAATGGGGCTAGTGACCAGGAAAAAGGCAGAAGGGATGGGGGTGGGGAGGGGGGGAAGGGGCTTATCTCTGGATAATAACCATATGCAAGAGAAAGTTTTGGCTGCCATGTTTGATAATATTATATATCGCAAATTAGGAGAGAGGGGTAATTTTACACGGAAACTTTCACAACTCAGAAGGGAAAAATATCTACATATCAGAAGTTCAACTTGATTAAAGAATTTAACTGGAAAAAAGAGGGCATTGGCCAAGTTCAGATGTTTTATTGCAAATTCATAAATAATATGAGTGAATGCACACTTCATCATTACCAGTATGATAGATCATCACTGTTACAAGCTTGCATGAAGATTTAAAGCTGTATGCTACATGTTTCTTACTCTTGCACAGATTTCATCCTAACTTTGACATGAAGACTCAGAAATCACTTTGGCTATTTTAAAATATATTAAACTTTCACACAATAGCATTGCTAGGCTTTTAATCTGATCTTAGTTTTACATTCTATGAAATCAATTTAACATCTTTACTCTAGAAAGCCTCCTCCTTATGTTACCTTGGAAACCATTAGTAGCATTATGGTTCATTTGTCCATAACCTTTGGTTTTGTTGTTACCAGCATTGTCACCACCCCAGAGCTGGGAGCCCCATCCTTTACCTACAGCTCCAGGTGCAGGAGCAGGAGCAGAAGTAGGTGCATTTCCCCTCCCCCTGCCTCTGCCCTTTAAATATGCTGGAACTTCAGACATATTAGGCACCTGAAACAAATGAATGTGGAATGATATTAAGAAATAAAAAATGAAATTTTCATCACAGATGTAAGGCCATTTGTGAAGTTACCCTACCGTCCAATCAGCCTAACATTTGTGATGAAAATTCTTAAGAGAACCATTAAATAAGGAGTGATTAACCATATGACAAGGAAAAATTTTTATGAAACAAACAATTTGGTTTTAGAAATAGGAGGTCTTGTAATCTGAAACTCCTGGAAATTATGGAAAGTTGAATGGAATCTTTCGATGAATGTAGTCATGTAGATGTTGTGTATTTTGACTTCAGCAAAGCATTAAACACTGTGCTACACAAGAGACTCACAGTGACAGTAAAAGTTATAACATAAGTGGAAACATTATCTACAGCATGGAACAGGGTAAATCATCCAAAACTACCCCAGTAACAATTTGAGTTCCAGAAGGGAATGATTTTGAACCATTTTGTTTTCTGATCCATGTTAAGGACCTCTTTTACGTAATAACATGGGGAAAAAGTTTGTGGAGTTGTATGGTGAAATAACATCTCCAGAAGGAATTGACTCCATATAGGAAGATCTAAATAGGGTCCACAAATGGACAGATGCATGGCAAATGTCACTTAATAAAGACAAATGAAAATTCATTCATGTCCAGCTCGGATATATTGCTCACAATTACTTACTTTCAGGAAATTATACTACATGATAATGTGCAAATCCAAAAAATGGAACTTGAAGAAAGCAAAGAGGATAGTAAGATTTCCATTCAAATATTTTATGTATATGGACAAGGTAGTTTTATTAAACTTTTACAAGTCACTTTTAAGACCTCATCTTGAATAGGCTACTATGCATCAATTTTGTTTCTTATGTACAAAAAGAGACTGCAATACACAGCAAAATGTGTAACACTGTGCCAGACTTTCTTTTCATCAAAGCTTGTGTCCTACATGAGCAATCTGAAGCAAAAAGAATGACTCTGGATGTTAGAACGAACATCCATGGTATACAGACGTGAGAGAGTGGATATGATCAACCTGATTAAGATCTTCAATTGCCAAGTTAATATCAGTTCACTCTTACGATAGGTCAGAACATGCACAACATCATACCATGTGACTAATCCGTGGTACCATTTAACCCAGTGATAGATGCTCTAATTCTAAACTGTTTTAAATCACGCCTGAATTTAGCATGGGAAAAAAATCCATTCTAATTCAGTCCTACTTGTTTCAGGATGAGAGTTCACTGGGAATCCATACCATCCTTACCTGTTAATGACTTTAAAGATATGTCAGTAATGGACCTTGATTAATGGTATGAGTTCAACTTAGGTGAGTTCATTGGCAAGTTATGTCCAATTGCCTGTCTCCAAAAGGCGTAATGTACCTTCTTTTGTTTTGGACTATTTTTATTTTTACATCATACTCTTTTCTCTAAGAATATTATCATAAATTGCTATTAAAATTGTACAACAAAATTAATTCTAATTCTGAATATCGAATTAGAAGTGCCTAATTGGGACTTGTGTAAGTCTATGAGTCTACATAAGTCGATGTTTCCAATATGAGAGCATACATACTTTGAAAACCTATCTATTATTGACAGTATATGAAAAGATACCATACAAGATCAAACTTCAAGACTCACACGAGGACTAAGTGTTGAGACCGGATGTCACGATCGGATGACATCTGACAGCTGCAGCCTGCAGACATACGATTAAAATTTAATTATCCAGTCATATTTCGTTAAATTTCATATTGACATAGCATAAAAACAAAAAATACCATTAAACACGAGTATACATATTCAACTACCTATAAATTATAAGCTTTTGGCGGTTTCGTTAAGACCATTACACCATCAGAAGAAATCTTGTAACCTACGAATTATTCACTTCCTGTTACACGGACGCTGACATGTTGATTGAGGGCTGATGGGATATTTAAATCATAATTATTATTTTTGTTTATGTCAAATAAAATAATTGTATCCTATTATGAATACATATTATTCGTTTTAAGAAAACGGACAAATATGTATAAAAATAACGATAAATTTGATTCATTAACCGAATTCTCGTGACATCGCGATTTTGAACGTCAAAATGGCGAAGGTCCGATGAAGGGGTTCAGAGTCTCTCAGATTTTGTTCTATACAGATTTAACTGCGTAGTTTGCGTATATGGGTTTCATAAGAAAGTAACATAAATCATTCGTATGAACTCTAACGAGGATAACGAAGAACAGAGCGGAAATCCAACCGCAAGGTATTTTGTGATGGCTTCTATACATTTCTTGTTTCGATTCGTAATGTCATGTCATAAAATGATGAAGATAGTGAACTAAGTGAAACGCATTTGGCGAATAATTTCATAAACTAAGTGTCAATTATACAATAGTTTCAGTTAAGTGTTCGAAACCCGATCATATATTAATTTCTTAAACCCCAATCAGTGGAACTCTCCCAATATATCTGAGTAAATATTCTTTATTTTTAACTCGGAAAAGTGCTTGTCATGCTAAAAATTTTCAGTTGACTAAGCTTGTGCTCTGACAAATATCTCTAAATGTTCCTTGGGTTTTTGAAGAAAATGTTACAACTGTTGTGAATTGTACAATGTTAGTAATTAGATTGTATAATGAAGGAATTATTTTTATCAAAAAGTAGAAACATAATTACAAAACTATTATGAAGGATAAAGCTGCTGAGGTCCTCCTCACTGACTTGAGTATATCAAGCTTGAGTGGCAGTATATTATTCTAAACCCAGACATGTATACTGTTTTTTACCTAAAGGCATATACCAAATCTGCAAAAACATGATCAAAAGAGTTTTGCAGTATTTAGTGATAAGGATTTATAAGGAAACTATTAAAGAACAATAGCTCTGTAAAGCATTCTCATTCAGTTTAGACTAAAATCAAGTTCATATATTGTACAATCGTGTGGCAGAGGAATATCTTGATCTAAATAGGGTTAAACAGGCTGTAAACATCATAATTATAAGACATCTTTAATTTTATTGAAATTACAAAAAAAGAAAAAAAAAGCAAAGATGTCTGTTGCTGTGATGTGTACTGAAACCATCATAATCATCAGACATCTTGGAATTATTCCAGCTGTGTAAAATTGATCCAGCAAATTATGATACATATATCACATCACACATGTCTAAAAATTGTATTTGGTGAAGATATCATGATTCTGTTTTAAATGACTGGAAGAGAGCTTACAGCAAAGTGAATACCCGGTGTCCAATATTGCACAGATCAAACTTTAGCCGTTTCCTTTAGAAATCTCATTAACATGTCTGTAAAATGTGCCATCATATGATGTTTTAAATACACAAATTCTGTCAGGATATTCCATAACTTTGACTACCTGTTGGTTAAGATAAGATAACTCTATAAAATATATGATAATGATATTGATTCAGATATGTGTTTTCATGTTTTATAGCTTTTGTATTTGCCTTTGTATTTCAGTAAGGCCCCATCCTCATTATCATCCAACCGACCAGAAACTGGTGACGGAATGTAAGTAGTATTATATACATTGTCAAAGGGTCGTAATGTCCATTTTTTTGACTTTGATAAAATGGGCTATCCTTGATTTTGTTAATGAAATAGAAACCATGCCTGCCAGATTTTTTCATCTCATCCTGTTTGTCCAGTAAATTTACACAACATGGTGCAGCAAAGTGATGTCATTCTCTAATTGAAGTTGTTTCTGATTGTCTTTCGAATTCTGACATCTGCAATTCTGTGCAATCAGAGAATTTGACCTATCAATATTTGATGATAAAACAGCCGTTAGTGGATAACTGCTGATAGCTAATTTCAGGTGGATGTCAAGCTTGTCCTCTTAATGATAAACACTGGGGGAAGGATGGAAGAACCCAAGCAAGATCAGTAATGATATATTTGGGTCAACCAATTTCAAACTTTGTTAAAAATGTTGAATTGTTGACCATCTCTTGCTCTTAGTGGAAATAGAAAATGTTTTCATGTCTTAGATAAGGAATCATTCAATTTTGGCGTAGTCCAATTGATATCATCTCAAATTTAAAAGATGTAACGAAAAGTTTTTTTTTTCAATGACACATTAAGGAATACTGGTACCTGGAAAGATATAAAATGATGTACTGCATGCTATTTGAAAACTTCTTAAGTCCAATCTTCAACTTTTACCCTCTGCAGGAAGCGGGCTTTAGCAAAACAGCTGATTGAGAAATACTACTACCAGCTGACTGATGGCTGTGGAAATGAGGGATGCGAAAATAAATGTTGTGCATCCTCCTCAGATTTCACATATCGAGAACGTAGTCGGAATGAACTAGCTGTCCAGGCAGTGGAGATGTTCAAGGGTAAAGCCACATTATGTGAACTACAGCCAAGTAAAGTAGCTAAGATGCCAGAGGACTGTGAACCAAGCCCATGTAGCAGCCATGACGTTGGGCCTCTTCCTGAGGTCACGTCAGCTACAGCCCTACTTGTACCTGGACCCTCGGCAAGGATGAATAATCTCCCTTTACCAATGTTAAAAAAATTATCGCCAAGTAGTAGTTCTTCTACACCAGAGAAAGAAGTCCTTTCCCCAGGTAGGTAATTCATGTTTTCAGTTAGCATCAGCTTTAAAGATTTTTTGTTGAAAATAGTTGTATGTAGTTGTAGAATATGTGCTTACTGTCATATTCCTTTTTTTGTTCTAAAATGAAATAAGTTTTGATTCTGGGATTATAATGACGATATGCTGCAAAGTAATTAATGTCAGATTTGTTAATGTAATTAAATTAAATTGCTAAATTAATGTTTGAAATGTATTTATCATTTTGCTTTACATACTGTGCTATATATGAGGTCTAATTGCTGTTACAAAATTGTTTAGAAAATGACAGGGCAAATGAAATTCAAGTCTTTCTTTAAACTTTTTAATTACTGGGAAAAATGGATTTGTTGTTTTGCAGTTGCAAGGGAAACAAAGTTTTTGACTGAAGAGATTCTAGTTAGCCTAATAGCAGATTGTAAAGAAAACAACAGCTGGTCAAAATTGGTGAGATTGATAGGTTCTACCTACAATAACACAGACTCACTATTGCTCAGTTTTCGAAAAACCAAAGAAACAAGTGTGCCAAAAGAAAAAGATGTAGATAAGGACACAGATGAAAAAGAAGAGGATTCTCTTGCTGGTCAAGAGAAGATGGTGATTGATGAATCCAAGGAAGAAGAAGACACAGAGGAGGAGTTATCTATTGACATTCCTTCATTACGCAGGGCTTACACTGCCCTGTTGGAGATCCAGGACACTCCAGTGAAGGGAGCACTGATAAATGCTCTCATGTCCTTGGCTCGCTCAGTAGAAATGGACTTAAAACATCACAAGGTTATGGACAGAAACCCACTCTATATCAACATCTTTATTATTGTGATGGAAATTCCATTAATGTCCAGCCCAGAGTTCATTGAAGGAGCATTTCCCCAATTCTGCAAAGCTTTGAGCCAATTGTCACTACATGGTCAGGCGAGATTGGCCAAAGTGTGGTCCAGGTTTGGTGCTGACCGTCTGCACGAAATGTTGCAGGCACTGCATCAGCTCATCACCATGAGGATTGTTCAGAGTGAGGCTAGGTGGGGTGGGGGCTACTACATCAATGATGACGATGGCATAACTAGTGCTACCAAAGTCATGAAAATTCTTTTCTATGCCAGCATTTATGGAAGTGATAGAGACTTGAAGGATTCTGTGGAAGAGGAAAAGTCTCAAAACGAAAAGACACTACAGGATATGTTCCAACTTCAAGGTGCATTTGGCAATGAGCCCAAGGAATCTCGGCAACCCAAAGAAGATTCTTTGGGTCAAGAACTGGGAGTGTCACCCTTGGATTCCAGACAGCCTTTGGTAGCATATGAAGACTTCGTAAATGAAATATTGAACGAATATGTAGACTTGGAAATTGACTACAAATACAAATTAGAAAATGAATCAAAGTTTTCCTTCATGAATCACTGTTTTATATTGACAACTGCATCAAAGCAAAAGTGCATGAACTTTGACAACCGAGTGAGAATGTATAATGAGAGAAGGACTTCTATTCAGCAAACTGTTTTATTTGGAACTCCACCTACACCCTTCCTTCGGCTCAGGGTCAGAAGAGATCACCTCATAGATGATGCATTAGTTGCTGTATGTATTGATTTATCTCTCAAAGTGAAATTTTTTCTCTTTAATTTGTGTTGAAAAATATCCTTAGGCAAATACACTGGCATGAATACAGTTATATTATTACTATTGATCAAAGTAGTTCAAAATATCAACCAGAAGAGGCCTCAAAATGTGTGGGAAGTAGTGAAGAATGTCACAGTGTACTGATATTTGCTTTTTAGATCTTGGTCTTATTGTAAAAATTTGATAAATAATTATGTGTTCTGAAATAATTTGAATTCACCTTTTTTATTGGCTTGTGTAAAACAGTATGTGATACACCTTTACCTTTGTAATGCCTTAGATTTTGATTGTTGCATGATTCTTTTAATAGCTGGAAATGACTGCCATGGACAATCCCCAAGACTTGAAAAAACAGCTCATTGTGGAGTTCGAGGGTGAACAAGGTCTGGATGAAGGAGGCGTTTCAAAGGAGTTCTTCCAGCTTGTAATAGAGGAGCTTTTTAATCCTGATTTTGGTAAGGTCCTGATTTTTAATACCATAAACAATGAGAGTACCTATGAACTATCTGTTGTTTAATCTCCACAAGACAAAATATCAAGGTGTTAATTACTTAATCAAATTTTATTAGAAGTGAAATGATAGTAAAAGTGAAGTGAAATACCCAATCTGGCAGTTCACTGGCTGAAGTTCACCCAATGTTTTACAGCTTAGAAAACTGTACAAATGAATAAAGAGAAGAATAAAGTAAAATACATAAAATATACCAAGGCATTCAGGGAATTCATGGTCAGTTGTGGTGTTCTAAAGGGAATGAATGAACATGTAAGAATATTTATTTTTTTGTCTATAAGGCATATGCTATAAAAGAGTCAGTTATGTAAGCATGTTAACTTTGATTTTGTTTGTTACAGGGATGTTTACTTACAACGAAGATACACATTTCTTTTGGTTTAATCCTACATCTTTTGAAAACGACGGACAGTTCACCCTTATTGGCATAATGCTTGGTCTTGCTATTTACAATAACACTATTGTGGACGTCCACTTTCCTCCGGTTGTCTACCGAAAGTTAATGGGTAAAAAGGGCATGTGGGCAGACCTGAAAGACATAGATCCTGTAAGTAATCAGCAATTTTTGTACGATTTTTTCTGGTGAGCCAAGAGCACCAATTCTAAAATTTTGATGAGTCAGTTTGACTTTTAAATATAGAAAATTGATCAGACATTTAGCACCAGTACGAAGTGAAATACACATTAGGTAACTTTGCAGTTTTTGTGACTGATCAGTGGTCTGATTAGTAATGTGAAATTCAATACAAATTTGATATTTTGGACTTTTTAGAATTGATCATAATTATGAGGTATGAGGTGGCCTTGATAGTGAATCATATCATATAAAGACATATAACAAATTTGTTTGACTGAAATGAAGTGTTATAGCGAGGTTGTCTAAGTGAGGTTCTTTGTAAATTCTTGGCATTTGCAACAAAATGTCTGACATCATCTCTGGTTGTATTACAGACAATGGCAAGCAGTCTTAAGCAGATGCTAGAGTATCAGGAGGAAGACTTTGAGGAGGTTTTCCCCCAGTCCTTTTGCATTGACTATAAAGATGTATTTGGGAGTGCATTAACCCACGACTTGAAGGAAAATGGTGCAAACATCATGGTTTGTCAAGAAAATAAGCAGGTAATTTATGTTTGATATACAAAAAGGTCTAGGCAATGACAATCTGTATTACGTTGAATTAGAAGTGGCTTTTAAGAGAAATTCACCTGAAACATTTTGAGTTGGACATTAAAGACATTAAGTCAGTTATCATTATAAGTTGACAGATGTATCCGTCAATACTTCATCACCTTTCTAAATGAGATACTGAGTGTGAGTGATTTGCCGATAAATTAAAAATTTTCCTCACGTTTCGAATTGCATTGAAAAAAAAATGTTCTTTCAGTTGCATGGACTTTTAATTTAGATTTTGAATTCAGTATAAAACTTGTATAATAACACTGATTAATTATCTTTGTTTTTTGGACATAGTTAAAATCTTGCTAAAAAATGTTATTTTCAGAAGTTTAAGTAATATACTGTTGATGACTTTGTTATAAATTCACACCATTGTTCATTGTATGATGTGATTGCTCATGCAGTTTTTATACGACACTTTAGTTTTATATTTTTTTCTTTTTCCAGGAATTTGTTGATATGTACACTGACTTCATTCTGAATAAAGCTATTGAGAAACAATTCCATGCCTTTAAAAGGGGATTTCACATGGTGACCAATGAGAGTCCATTGAGAATACTTTTCCTTCCAGAGGAGATTGAACTGCTGATTTGTGGTAGTAAAGTAAGTGTTTATAAGAGTATTGATTGATGTTCATGTGCTGTGAACTTTTTTGTTTTTGCCTCTGCCATTTATTTAATGTTACTCATGTATTTCTGTCCTATTCAGTCACATCCTGTTTCAACTAGTATCAAATCTGCCTTCAACAGATTTGGTTCATGTTTACCACATAGTATGCAATATCATAACATTAAGTTCTACTCTTGATCAGGTTATGATTTGCATATGAATGGGGTAATTAATATCTGATAGACATTTTCTAGTCACATGTGATGATCAGTATGGCTTTGTATGTTTCCGATTTGTTTTAAAGAAGGTCTTTAATTTGGATTTTGTTGTACCAGTTTGATTATTACTCTGTGAATGTATATCTTCTTTACTTTAATGGAGATGTTAACCTGTTGCTATTGCATGCAGTTCATCTGATTTGTTAAAACATTATTTTCGGTGAAAAAAAATTGTGTTTGTGAAGTCACAAAAGTGACTAGCCCTTTGTGAACATATTAATAATTAATTGAATGCCTTACTCTTGTAGCAATTTGACTTTCATGAACTGGAGGAAGCTACTGACTATGATGGGGGATTCACTGTGGATTCCACAACAATCAAGTAAGGAACTAACTTTAAGTCAGTTTGGGAAACTTTTAACAATTTCCCTGCATCTGTCATTGTGCATGAAGTATAAAAAGTCATGTTTGTGGTAAACAGATTGTAAGATTGTGGAGGAACATCATCTTATAGAAATTGCTAGGATCAAGGTCAAAATCACAATTACTGTTTATAGAAATTATTTGCCATCAGTCTAGCAAATTTTATTTCTGTAAGTATTTTGATTCAGTTTCATTTTCTTGTTACTTGTTCTGACTTCATTAGCCTAGGTTGCGTGACGAACCCATTGTGAAACGAAACTTTTTGCAAACACAGTGATACTATCTTTCTTGATGTAATTCACTTACTGTTGATAGCAGATAAATGAAAGGATAGATGAGAACAGATAAATCTTAGAACTGAAGAGGTTTTATAATGGTTAGCTCTATGACCCCATTATGATATCGTTTGTATAAATGTAACAAGATATGTCAACTGAACATAACTGTTAATTAATTCTGATTTAAGCTCACAATTTTTTTCATTTCAGACATTTCTGGGAAGTTGTCCATAGCTTTTCAGATGAACAAAAGCGAAAACTGGTCCAGTTTACAACTGGAACAGACCGAGTCCCTGTTGGAGGTCTCTCAAAACTCAAGCTCATAATAGCCCGCAATGGGCCAGACTCAGATAGGTATGGTATTTCAGTTATTGCAAGTTACTTTTTGTCACAGTACTATTACTCTGTTTGTATAGAATGAATACAGTGATTTTATCATTTACAAATCAAAGTGATTAGAAGCTGAAGATTTGTTCAAGGTGAAATCGCAATAACTTGGTAGAACATCAAACTTTGTAGCCTTAAGTGAAGATCCAGGCTGTTCTGTCTTTCTTAGAAAGCTGAGATTACAGACAGCCTGTTATTGTAGTAGTTGTGTCCGTCAGATGACGCTTCTTCAAAATCACTCTGGATAGCATGTGGCAAGTCGCCTGCATTTTGTTTTAGTGAAATAGTCACCAGCTACTAGAAGAAATTCCACCTCAAAGTAAAATGACCCTTACTCTTCACAGCGCAATAAACCTTGTAAACATACAGAACTAAGTAAACAAACTTTTGAAAAAAATATAACAGTAGTTTCAGCAAATATTGGTTTGTCACGCAGTTATGTTTATTTGTTCATAATGAGCTCTAAGAAGCTCACTGTTTAGTGAACTTTGCCAAAAGACAAAACTGGGACCTTGTTTAAATGAAGAACTTGCATTATGAATTACTGTTTTATATTCTAATATAAACAGGAACAAGGGGAATTCCATGCTTGGAGATAAAAATGGCTTATAAATAATTGCTGAAACATATACCAGGTTGTTCTAAGGATTTTTCTGCATGTATTTGTATGCAAGATTAATTATTCTTGCAAAGTTAAAAAACATTTTTAAATATCGTGTTTCAGTTGGTCATTTAAGAGCAAAGTCTGTTTGTAATTCAAAGGACACAATTTTTACTGTGATATATGATTTGTTTCTGTCCGTAGACTGCCGACAGCACACACCTGCTTCAATGTGCTATTGTTACCGGACTATTCCTCCAAGGAGAAACTCAATGAAAGACTACTGAAGGCCATCAACTACTCCAAAGGATTCGGAATGCTTTAAAAAGGACTTCACTTACAACTCCAAAGGAGGGAGATGAATTGGAAGCTGACAATATTAAGCTCACCAGGAGAAATTCCTTGTATTATGAATTTGATAATGATGAGAATTGTTGACATTTTAACTGCTGAATATGAGCAGTATTTGTGTTGGGCAAACCCATTGTGATGTGTTTTTGTATAATTTGTCCAGAGATCTGTAATTCTTGTTAGCAGATTTTATACTGGTGTGTCATCTCCCGATCAGAACTCTAGCCATACCCATCACTCCTAGCTGCACTCTGTATGAATCTTATCCTTCCTGCAGAGTTAAACACAAAATTTTGAGATTTCATAGTAAAGCCATTGCTAATACATTGTTTTCCCTGATACATTGAATTGTCTAGCTTTTTATCATATTGTTCTAATATTGTTTACTTTTCCATTTAATTTTTAGTTGATAAATTGGTTCATAAATATCTTTGTAACACTAGCTTAAAGTTAAGTTTGATTGCATTTTGAACATATCCTTTAAAAGTTTTCTTTCAAAGAATTTAAAAGAAAATAAAGATGGGTACCATCGTGCAAAGAATTTCAAAGAAATCAAAGATGAGTACCAATTATCAACTTTGATTTATATATAGGGAAATTGTTATTAAAAGTTACATTTTCAGATTTCTTTAAAATGTTGTTTATGGTCAGTAAATGAGCAAAACACATATCAGTTGTTGTGTTCAACATGTAACAGTCTTCATTACAGTGGTAGTCCCTTTAGTAGTGGTTAACTGTAGCTTTGGCTTTCTTGTACTTAGTCTCTTTAGTAGAAAGCTGATTGAGTATCTCCAACCTGCTTTGAAGACTGTGGGTATGGCTGTCTTATGGTCTTTATTTACTGTAACACCTGACCTTGATTACAAGAGTTCACAAAGTTAGGGCACCTAGAGTTGAAGAGAAATATATCTGTGATGACATTTTATCGATGAGTAGTCATACCCTAATTCAGTATATCGTACGGAAGACTGGATGGGAGCATTTATATATTGGTGTAGTAGATTAACACTGTTGACTGTATTGGTAACTTTGTGAAACAGAGGCCAGGATTAAGAATGGTTTGTATTTATTGTTAAGTAGATATTACATTTAATTTGTAAATCACAATCAGTTTGATTCAACTTTGATCAAAGATTGATTTAAAAAAAAATGTCTGTGGAAATGTTATATTTATTATTCAGTTCTTTTGAAGATTATTAAGTGTGGTTATTAGTTCTATATACAGCAAAACTGAAAGCAGGTCCTATCTAAGAAATATTTATTTGCTTGTTTATTTAATATTTCAATTTCTGGTTCATTCATATAAGGAGCACTTTCTGGAAAAATGACAAAGACTACCGGTAAAAGTAAATGCATGGATTGGTATATTCAAATGAGGATATGTAATTTCATAGTTACATAATGTTCATTGTACCATTGGTATCAAATTTATTTTGTACCATACTGACAATTGCAAGATGAATGAAAGCTAGTGGTGTTCTGTAAATTAGATCTTTGCAGGCTAAGTGATAGCAATGGGCATTTGTACTTTGCTAAATTTGCAGTTGAAATGGCAGCAAGTTACAGTTTGTGCTTGTACTGTGGTAAGCTTAGTGAAAAGTGGCTTCTGTGCTTGCAATGTACTTTTTACCTTTGTAAGGAAACTGTCAGGTATGCCATTAATTATTCTACTGTATTTGTCACTTGAGCTTGCTTGGCAATATAATCGTATAGCTCTGAGGCTTTCTTTTGGCAATTCCCCTTGATTCAGTCCAGATTAGTAAAACAAGATACATTTAATAGATTCATAAAAAGAAAAGTTTTAAGGTACAGTGTTTTTTTTATATTTTTGTATTTTGTTTGCTGGAGTACCATACAAAATATGTTAAGGTCAGTTGGATGATTATTTGGATGATTGAAGTACATGTACTTGTATGCCTGCCAAACCTGTTACAGTGTTGTTAATATACATGTATGATTGTGTAGTTTCTGTTTGGAGATAGATTGCATAGACTGAAACTCTGTCAAACATCCCTGATAAGAATTTGAAGTTCTAGTATATGTATGGGGAAAAAAGAATAAAGACTTGCCATTGTATTATGTGCTGTTATGATAATTCCAGATTTAGTATATATTATCTGCTCAGTTGATATCCATGTTGTATTCATGAGTTTGTGTTGTGTAACATAATTTCAGCAATATGTCTATGTATGTGATCAGGGCAAGTTTTCGTTAAGAAAAATCAATATTGAAGCTAAAGTTTACACAATATCTTAGTTATCTCCCCAGTTGGTGATTCCAATGACCTGATCTTGATGCAATTTTTACTAGAAATAAATGCAATAGATGCCAGATGTAAATCCTTACTACAATAAGATTGCATGGAATTAAACATGTAAGAACAGAGTATATCTTAACTTCTTTTTTTCATTATCACAAATTACTTATAGATTCAGACAAAGATGTTATTATCTTTATTTTTCTTCAGCGAAGCAATCCCGGTTCACATTCTGATTTTGGTGTTGATGGACGACACCGTTTTCCATTATCTTGTTTTCTACCCTTTTAGTGTATATACATCACAAAATGAACTTTAACTATGATGTAAATGTGTCTGGGCTCACTTGGTAGTGCCCCATTACCATATTTACTGAAGAGATTTAAAATATTGAATTTTCTGTGCTAGCTATAACAATAAACGCTGACATGGATTGTAGTGCTTGTGGTAGTTTTTCATCAAAATTTTACAACTTCTAAAGGAACACAATATATATTCCTCGATTTAAAGAATTGGAGAAAGTAAATTTTATGGATGTTAAATTAAGAATTATATAAAACCTAACAGTTTGTTAACGGTATGATCTTTTTATTCATAATTTTGGGTAATGCTGACCTTTTTATTTTCTACATTACAAGTATCATTGTGTTAAGAACAGACATTTACAAATTAAATTTTATCAAAAATAAAACGTGTTTGTGAATTATTCAGTCAAAAGCTCATTTCTAATTTCATTTACATCTGATGTCACCTTCATCTTAAGATGCTTCAGACCTAATTTGAAGTTCTATCATTCCTACAGACAAAGGAATTTTAAAAATGGCTGTAATTCCTCTTTGGGTCCCATGGTACAAAGACACACAGTTTCTACAAAATTGGTTCCCTCTTCCCAAAGGACGATTCTGATCAAGTTTGCTTAAAAGCCAGTCTTTCATGACTAGTAAAGGGTTTTAAGAAAAGAAATTGACAGATGAATTGGTGATGGACTGTGCCATTGCTTAACCTCACTAATCCTTTTGGATAAGGTGAGCTAATGAGAGGACTATAGGGCCTTTATAGTCAGTTTTATAACGGTGGGTATGTTGTGACTTGTCAAAGAAATTGTTTTGTTTATATGGTGTGTTAAAATCTTCTAATAACTTCTCGATAACCAAGACTTGGGATGCTGATATTGAACCTGCTGTAACATGCTAGAATGAAGGGCTACAAAGTTTCTTCAAATGAGTGAACTTGACCTACCTTTGAAGATCACATGGGTCAAATGAGCTAAAATCTTCAAACAAGATCTTCTCAATAACCATAAACCTCAGGGTGCTAATATTTGTCTTATAGCATGCTGGGATTAAGGGCTACCAGGTTTGTTTAAATGAATGATGATGACCTACTTTGAAGGTCAAGGAGGTCAATTATATTAAAATTTTCAAACGACTTCCCATCTCAAGCTCAGGGTGCTGATATTGAGCCTGTAGAATGCTTTTGTGAAGGGTTACCAAGTTTCTTCAAATGAGTGGTCTTGTCCCACTTGCAAGGTCAAAAGATGTTAAATGTGTTAAATCTTCAAATAAGATCTTCTGAAATGGCCCAGGATACTGATAATGGGCATGAATTATATTTGGATGAATGGCCTTCATCCACTTTCAAGGTCAAAAGGTTCAAATGAGTGAAAATGCACTGCCACCTTGAAGGTCATAGGGGCTAATTGTGTTGTGAACTTCTTTTCAGTTTGTGAAACACCATGCTTTGGGAATGACCCTTAACGTTTGCAGAAAGTGACTCCATGAAAATACTGAGCTCTTTGTAAGCTGTTGTGTAGGTGAGCAACTCAAACCGTGGCTGTTGGGGTCTGTTTTCAATTTACAATTTTGGTTGATCTTTGGCCATGGATTGTTTCTGCAAAATTTCATTAAGATTGGTTCAGGGGTTTTAGAGAAATAGAAAATATAGATTGTTCACTGATGGACGCATGATGGTCAAATGGTGATTGCAATAGGTCATCTGAGACTTTTCTCAGGTGACACTAAAATCAAACAATATACTAGCCTGCATGTTAGTGATAGCTTTAATGTCTTGGACATTTTCTGACTTGTTTAGACTACTCATTTCTCATCCTTTTCAAATTCTCATTACACATCTTGTTAACTACATATGTCAGTGCTAATACACTTCACACTGGTCATTTGTCTGATGAAGGTCTTGATGAAGTTATCAAAACATCACACTCAAATCTTCTCCTGGTTATGTTTTAAGACCTACTATTCAATGGACATTACCAGCTTCAAGAAAATGCTCCAAAAAGCCACATAGATGTCGTAGTTTCTCTGGAGTCAGTCAAATGAGGATCTGTTGTAATGTTATTTTGTCCAAAAAAAGAAAACAAAATTCTACAATGTAAAAATTTCTTTTAATACAATATATTCCATCTCAAAAAGCATACAAGATAAAAATATAACAATTGGTATTCATTTTGAATACTAGAGGGAAGATCATAATGAAGACACTGTAAAAGGATAGATTTCTACACAGGAACTGACCATGTCAGAACAGAGGGCAGTCAAAGGTGTTTACAAGGGACTTAATTTGGTGTTTGTTGGTGAGGGGAACTAAAATAATAAGTGTATGAAGAGGATGAGACTGCCAAAATTGTGAAGAGGCAGGGGTCTATAAGAAACCAGGCTTTGCCATAGAAGTCTTATGAAGGAGTCTGGATAGGGATTTATACCTACAGACACTAGACTGTCAGAACAGACCACTTATTAAAAAAGGGCAGGGGTCAATAAGAAATCTGACTCAGCTGGTACGGAGCAGAACTGTGAGAATTAGGAGAGTTATATTGAGGGACCTGCAGAAATCTTGAAAGATGGCTTTATATGTACAGACCCCAATAGACCTGTGAAAGTGCAGGAACCAAATAATGTCTGTTATTTGTTTTAGTGATTCTAACTAGATACATCAAGATATATTTGTAATAAGAGAATACTGACTCGATGATGAGGCTTAAATGCCTACATTTACAAACAGGATCGTGAGTATTAATTACAATTGTATGCTTACCTTTGCTGTTAAATAGATTGCTGAGAATCTTTGTATAAATAAATCACAAATACAACAGTGATCTGACTTCAATTTCTTGATTACATTGAATATTTTCAAAAAATAATTTTCTTCTATAATCTTTTATTCCATTTTAAAATTTAGAGAATGTATTTAATGTATTCAACACTTAAAAATATCCATTTATAAATAGACCAAAATATTCTATTAATTTATTTACAAATAATCATATGTTTCACTTATAAATAATCTGAAAGTGCATCATGATATAGTTTGAAAAATAGAAGTCAGGCCAGTTTTTGAAAACATATTAAGACATTAAGATAAAATATCAAATGAAAACTGCAATAAGTGTTTTTTGTAAACACTTGGGGTAACTTGAAAGATTTTATCACTATTTTGACAGGACACTGCAACAATCAGCAGTAACATACATTATACATAAAGCATAATAGAAAATTCTAATCAAAATTCTTACTATTGATTTACAATAAATACCAGTAACTAATATCAGTGAAAAATAATATCAACACAGTAAACATATAAAAGTCCATTAAATGGTAGAGATTGACCTCACACATAGAAATAAATAAACAACTATGCATAAGTACTTAACAGTCAAAACAACATGTATAAATGAATATTTATGATACCTAAGGTATCTTACCTGTGTCCTTTAAAAATATGAAACAATTACTTCTTGGAAATCAAATTTGGTTCAACTATTTGTGACCAAATGAATACGCCAGGGTTACTGTGACTATCTGGTAGATTAAAATATCAGTTACCAGCCAGGGTGCAACAGCCTTACAGTGATAAGGATAAAATGTTGGTGACCAGCCAGGGTACACTAGGGTTAATGTGACTAGATCAAAATATTGGTGACAAGCCTGGGTACACCTGAGTTACTGTGACTAGGACAAAATGTCGGTGACCAGCCAGGGTATACCTGAGTTACTGTGACTAGATATAACGCTGGTGACCAGCCAGGATACACCAGGGTTGTGAATAGGTAAAATATTGATAACCCCCCCAGGGTACACCTGAGTTACTGTGACTAGATATAATGCTGGTGACCAGCCAGGATACACCAGATTAGTGACTAGGACAAAATGTCGGTGACCAGTTAGGGTACACCAGGTTAGTGACTAGATCAAAATATTGGTGACCAGCCTCGGTACACCTAAGTTAATGTGACTAGGTAAAATGCTGGTGACCAGCCTGGATACACCTGGCTTAGTTACTGGGACAAAATGTCGGTGACCAGCCTCGGTACAATAAGGTTAATGTGACTAGGACAAAATGTCAGTGACCAGCCAGGGTACACCAGAGTTGCTGTTACCAACCAAGGTTATATTGATAAGGTTGAAATATTGATGGTCTCATTTATCAACTTATTTATCATGCTTAACTGTTAGATATATTAATCAGCCAATGATATATAACAGGTTTACCACTGAAGACATAACATGTGTCCATGAACGTCAAACCCAAAATTGAAACTATGTTGAATCCATAGTAAGGTGTTGGGATGATAAGTGACTTCAGAGGAAAAATCAATAAAACTTCAAAAACTACCAAACAAGGGATCATTTGACCAAAGAATTAGAACATGTTATAACAAAGGATTTACATTAAATACAGGTGTTGGGTATAATCTTAATTGATTTAAGTTAATTCAGTTATACCTTAACATTCAAAATTTTAGTATCATATTGATTTTATTCCATACCAACAACCAAATCATAGTAAAGACATCCACAAAAACTATTATTATTATTAATGGTTATCTGTCAATAAACATTGTTTTTCTCTGGTTACTTTCATAGCTCTGTCTGCTGTATAGTATGTTATAGACATGTTCCTCTGGACAAGATTATAGCCCAGTTGGTTGAGTGAATCAACCTTACAATGGTCTTCCACAGTAATTTTCAGGATAAGGTACGAATCAATATCTCATTATGACTGATGTATAGAATTTCAACTAATTGACATAATAGAGATAATAACAATAGCTACATCGTTAGAGCTATAATGGTTTGTTATAGGAGTTTGTGTACGATAACAGCGCTCCAAATAGGATCACCATAAATCTGTATATGGAGTTTGGTGATATCTAACCACTTTAGTGTAGTTACTGTATATAAATCATTTAACCAATCAGGAATTAAGTTACCTAATTAATTATGCATAAATATTGGCTTATAAACACTTAACACATTCTAGCTGTTGGTCATCAATCTGAGTCTAATTTGGTTGATATTCTGTTTTTAAGGCAGTCACTGAACAGAAAAGGGTAGAGAAAAAGTATGGATGGAAACAACAATGTTACCATTGTCTTACCGAAAAAAATAAGCATAAAAATGACGTGCAATCAATATATAAATTTGTAACACCGTCAGTTTCTAAAACGTTGTTTCCACACTATGAATTTGATATAATCTTAAAAATATTTGAGTGATAAAATATGTTCTTTTTATTTCTAGAAAATTTAAGTTGTACCACATGCACTGATTCTGTCAAAGTTACTGGTCACTGTCATAATTTGATTTTTACTGATACCATGGAAAAATAAACTGACAAGTACCTCTGGAAATAGATTCCTATATCTATATTACACAAACATATATACATAATATCATACAAAAAACAACAGAAAGAAAAGTGGTGATTGGAATGAGTCAATAGCAAACAGTACAGATATCACAGGAATTATGTAACAATTACATTATATTGCCAACCTTCAAAGTTCAACAACAGGAAATAAAAACAACAAAACTAAACATCAAGGAAAACCAGTAAAAAATATTTTTCTGAAAGGAATGTTGACTTAGTAACAAAACCACTTACAATTATTTCATAAATTGAACTGTAATGATCTGCTAAAGGAATTTACAATTATATATTTCATGCAATTTCTTATCCTTAAATATTTTGAAAAATACTTCCCAGAGGAAAGATTTCCTATGTTGTCACAGCAGACTATTAATCAGTATCTATACCAAATATATTAAAAATAAATCACTAATGATTTTGTGCATACAAGCTTCAAGGGCATATACAATGTATATGGTAATATCAGTATTTGTGTTAAGTATTGTGTTAATCAGTATGAAATTCAAATCTATATCACATAACAGAGAGCAAATTTTGTCAACATTTCACAGAATCATTTGAATGAATACATTTACTAAATCAATGACCTTAAAAGTAATTTAGTACCAACAGGGTACGGTGCATCTTTTCATCTTAACTGTCACCAACATAGTGTCTTGGTAACTGTCAGTATGACTGTATATAATATGTGCAATCAAGCGAAAGTTTCAGACCTCCATTTCCTTCGAAAACCAGGGTTTGAGATGCATTGGAGCTAAGGGATGATATCTGTTAGGTTAGTTATTTCCCCATTAATGGCAGGTTGGTTTTTCCCCTGTGGGTTTTCTTCCGACACAAAAAACAACATTTGTTTCCTTATAGCAGGGTTATACAGAGCTTATGTTGATTTTTTTACTTAAAATGTGAATTACACGTACTTAACCTAATCCAGAAGTGTTACCCATCAATCACACCTCTGGATGTATCTTACAGAAATTGAAACTGGAATTTTAAACACAAAAAAAAAAAAAAAAGAAAACAAATAGAAAAAATACTTCATCGTTACACTCAAGCACATCATATACTTTACTTGTGTGTGATCACAGGAGTGTGATTATCTATACATCCTCAAGTTATCTCGACAGGGTGAACATCTCTAATCTGGGAGAGTACTATAAGCTTAAGGAAACATACATCGCATCAATTTTTCAACAGTTTTTTTTTCTAAAGCTTGTTTACATATTCCTTTACAAGATTATGGAAACATCATAACAATATATGTGTATGATTTCCTGCAAAGACAACAGTCTACATGACTTTTAAATCTGATATGAATGTAGACAAAAAACTTTAAAGATTTAACTGGCTGAGAGGTAGGATATGAAAACAGAGCTGAAACTGTTCCATATTGTTAAGTTGCATTCCAATGAGTCAGTTGTGTCAGTAAAAACAAATATTTGTCATTAATATCAAACATTCAGATCTCAAACATACAGTCTACATCCAGAATGGATGTTTTTGTAAAATTGCATTTTTGCTTAAAATATCACAGGAAATATGTCATTAACATTGAAAACTACTGGAATGAAGTGATGATCAGATGAATTTTGGTGGTAAACAATGCTTATGATGTACCCATTCATTATCTGTAAAATTTAAGAATATAAGATGATTTTACATAAAAATATAAGATTTTCAAAAGTTTTACAAGGGACAAATATATTGCAAAATATGTTATTTTAAACTGACAATGTAAAGCATTACATTTATTTATTTATTTATTTATTTTGTAGAGATAAAACAATTTGAGAGAATTGATCACTCTTTACTGTATCTATCTATAGAAGAGATTGAGTAATATGTTTAATTACTTTGGTTTGTCCCTTCCACAGAAATCAAAGATTTCTTTGTCTTTTCTTATAATAATGAAAATTGTGGAATATAAAAATAAAAAAATATGTTCAGATCACTTAAAAAAATACAAATGTAAAAAACAACATAAATCAATAACTGTGTTCTACACAACAGGTCAGGACAACAATTCACTATAAAAAAATCAGCACATATAAATTGGAAAACACAGACTCTATGGCACTGCCCAACCTCTGGCAAGTAAAACACATATAAAAGATTAAAAAAAGAGATGTTCAAAAAGATCATTCCTAATATTACAAAAAAATTTTAATTAAATTTTATCAAGGTTTTGAATGAAGACAGTGATTTATATTCAGATACTGCAGTCTAAAAAACAAAATAATGAGTATTTTTTTCAGCTGAATTTGATGTTTACCAGGATATATTAGAGTGTACCATAGATATTTAGAATTTACCATTCATATTTATCTCTGACATGCTTTGAAGTGTTTTGTACATTGCCTGATATCCTCATGGGGAAGGATGAATATTCAACTAATATCATCATTGCAATATCTGATACATACATCATATATATAATTTAAAAAGATAAAAACTTTGTGTATCGTATATACAGAGAAAATGAATCACTTAACATGACAAACAAATATATCACTAACGTCTTCAGGCCTCGCGGCCATCTTCAGGTGATTACATTACATGTACACTGTACATTACTTAGTAACCTACATTGTGATGTAATGTTACTGTTATAATAAAAGGGGAGTTAATAACGTTATTAATTGTGTCGCGATGCAATCCTCAGTGTGTATTTAGGGATGGTTTAAACAGTTTGACAAAGAAAATCTTCTTTGATGATTCGTTTTGAGCTGAAAACATTAGTGATATATTTGTTTGTCATGTTAAGTGATTAATTTTCTCTCTCTCTCTATAAATATATATATATATTAAAGTTCACTAACCTATTAAATCACAATTACATCTCATTTATAGACCAGGTGTTGTATTTTCAGACATGAATGTTTTTCTGCAAACTTTCTACTTATGAATTCTGAAATATATTGAAAAGTTTTCTGAGAAAGTTTAAGCTGCTCCATAACTTTGTTATTTTTGAGATAATTACTCTGCAAAGGAGCTTTAAGAAAGTATTGAAAACTTTTAACATTCAAATCACACTGAATCAATAGGAATAATAAAAGATTTAAACAAGTCAATATACAACAAAATCAATATTAAAATGTTTTGTTCCATCATACAAAAATAACACATACCATTGCTATCCCATCCTTGTGTTCCTTTTATATATCCCAATACCTTTCTGCTTATTTTCTGATACTTTCACTACATCTTAATATTCTTTCTTTTACATGTAATAATCAGCATGTGCTTTTCATAAAATCTGTTATATTCACATAAATCCCTTAACAACACTGGATGTTGATGTCTAGGTCCTTTATACCTGGCAGCTTTCACAGTTACAATGTTGTGTAGCAGATGATGGTTTTTCTTCTATACTTGAGGTGGATTTTTCTGGATGGACATTTTCTTCAGTGTTAATTGGCTGGTGATCTGGAGTATTGAAATCAATATCACTTTGTCTTTTTCTACAACTTTCATGTTGGCAGCATAAGCATTTTTTCTTCTGCCAGAAACAACCTAAAATTCCACACAGTATTTGTCTTGTCATGTGGTAAGTGACAAGTAACGTGAAGGAAATGGCCAATGTGATTGGCACAACGATGAGACCAACTATTGCCTCACGACTGAGAGCCATCACACTTGTCCTGTAGTTGCTCTATATGCAAATCACACAAAACAAATCTTGGAAGAGAAATTGAGTCACCAGGCTGGACATGGCTCATTTAGTTTAGTCATCTTCTGCAAATGCAGATATCTAAAATATAAAAAAAGCATCATCGATTAATCTTTACGTCATAAATTTTATTTTTTGTTGTTCAAAAATACATTTTAGTTTTTTTTTCTCTTTTGAGATTTCAATTTATGTGTGCTTTATTTACTAACTAATTTTGTAATGATTACCTTTCTCACTTTGTGTGCTAAATATAGGTTTTTGTTCATTAATATCATCCATCCAAGTAATCTGCTATATATAATTTCATTATTTTTAAATAGTTTTCATGTCATTTAATTACCTATTAATATGCTTATGCTTGTTCTGGACATGTGACACAACAAATTTGACCAAAGTACTATTATTTAACAGATTACTAACATTTTAAAATAAAATACAAGCTTAAGGTATTACAACAATGCAGCATATCTTTTGCTTTGATGAAATACTATTTTCTAGTGATGTACAAATGTGTTGTTCATATTTCGTAATGCATGCTTTGTTGTATCTTGTTTTCTTTAAATTTCTTTTATATTTTTTTTCTTCTTGAAGTATGTCCACTCTGTCAATATTGATGATTTATATGTTTTGTCCTAACAATAGCTCTTCTGAGCTAATGTTTTATATTTTCAATGTTTACGACATAAAACGTTGTATTTTATCGCTTCAAACTATTTACATATAATATAATAATACTAGCTAAAACATGGCGTAACAGTTGTACGACAATATAAAAGCCCATATCACATAATTTTATCTATTCTTCACCTGATACAGCTGTAAGAGTCGATCGGCGGACAAGACAGCTGTGGAAATAGTAGTGGAGCGAAACGAAAATCTGCCGTACGATAGACCAATGCACGAATCTTTTAAATGATGAATACTGACTGCATCACAACCGTCCAATAAATCTTAACTTACCTCAGGAGTGTGACGATGAGATAAAAAGAAATATTTCCGTATCAAAATACAGTACAACACAGTTTTTCACGCATGAATGAGTATACACAGCAACACGACGCCAGCATCCGGACCCAATATTGTTTGAATAAATTACAATACACATGTCGCTTATGTTATGACAAAACTAAATCGTTGTCTCATAAACTCTTGCATGGAAAGACAGCAGCGTGTCGTGCTCATTCTTGTTTACATTCACGATTTCGGATAAATCATATTGGGTAAAATCTTCGCCGTGATATGAGAAACGAAAAAAGTATTTATCGTGAGTTAGAGTCATACGCTTTATTTCATTACACTAACTTAGTTGTTTATATTGTCTTTAGTTATGTATGTTTTGTTTGTGATTTGCATTTAAGATGTGAGAGTGTGCCCGGAGTTCTGTACGATACAGTACTGTTTTTATGAAATTGTGCATTTTATACCTAAATATTTGTTGTGTGTTCATGTATGCCTGCAATGGGCCAATATTTTTGTTATCGAATTCGAATTCGTATCCCCCCGGCGTGGAATGGTTCGTAAATGTAATTACTTCCGGCGCGTAATGCAAGAAAATGGCGCCTTGTGTCGAGCTGCTAAGCATGTGATACTTGTGCATAAAAAATAAACGATCTGAGAGCAGACGAGAAAAAAAGGTGAGTATTAATAGTCATTACAACAAAAAATAATGGCATCATGAAATATCAATGAATAACGAGACTGTATGCAATAGAAATATAGTAAACCTTCATGTTGCTAACGTAAACAATTAGTCTTCTCAATAGAATGATAAGCAAAATCCAACACTTATATGCTGCAATATCATTTAACATAATATAACTATAAATGCAATTTATATGTATTCATTATCTTTCCAGTAGGTCACCTCACATATGTATACGATCTAAGTAATTATCTATTTAAAGGATAAAACATTCCAAACAAATTACAAAATCACATGAAGGCCTATCCAAAATTTGCAGCCATGTCATATGTGCTATACGGACCACACAGGCCATTTTTCTTTTTTGACAAGGATCAGTTCTCTTCTTGTTGCCCATTACTTTGATTTTGGTCCACATGGAAATATAAATTTCAGGTTGTCTATTTCATCACACTTACCAGTCATTATTAAAAAACAAAAGAGGTATTCAGATGCAATGAATTTTAGTTGACACTACAACATGACTGGATTACATCCAGCTTACATAACATTTTGATTTGTCTCCAATGTACATTTCTTTTTGCTTTTCAGTAGATTGAAGATAGCAGTGAGATGTGACTTGTTGATGAAACACAAAGGAGAGACTGGTACCTGTCCAGTTGAAAATTAGGACAAACATTTGGTAAAATGCTTTGTAAACTTTACGAACCTATGAGGTACAGGTATCAATTACATCTGTGTTCAAGTGAAAAATCAAGGGAAATAACTCATATAAAGATACAGTGTATATTACCTGCATGAAATACATTTTGTAACCTATCAGTAAACAGGTTTACAATGGCTAAATAATGCTACTATCTTCAATTTCTCTGAAATTTATTCATTGTTTCCTTCTTTTATCTCAGCATCAAAGTTTTTTTTACTTTGCATTGTCAGTTTAAACATGACATTACTTGTTTCAAGATTTCTGATTTAGTAATTTTCTCAACATCAGCCTTAAATTTTCTTCTGTGAACCTAACTAAAATCACTGAAACGCCAGATCTGTTGTTTCTGATACTCACCATTTCTGTGATATTAGGCTACCACAATGCACTTGAGGAGAGGTTGTGAAATGTACCATCTTATACATACAACAGACTCACAGATATGGGGTACATGTTTTATCAATTTGTGATTTTCAAAATTTTGATAACTATGTATATTCATTTTTATAACAGATCATTTTTGTTTGTTTTTGTGTTTTTTTGTTTTCTTTTAGATGCTTTGTCTAAATCATGGCAACTTCAATCGGTCAAACAGCTATTCGTCCTAAATATCAGACAACATGTGTTCACCATAAAGGGAAACAACTGGATCTTTACTGCAAGAAATGTCAAGAATCCATTTGTCCAACATGCATTACTTCTATTCACAAAAAACATCCTGTTTGTGAGATCAGTGACATCACTTCTCAAAAGAAACGAGACATTAAAAACTTCATCGACAAGACAGAACAAAACGACCTTTTACAAGTTAAGAAATATATCACTTCTGCTGACACGCTCCTTAAAGAAAACACTAGTAATTTTGAAAAACTTTCCCACAAACTGAAAACTCAAACAGATAAATTAAAACAAGATCTTGATCTGCTAACAGGACAGACACTTTCTATTTATAAAAAGATACAAGATGACAATACCAAGCTGATACAGAAATACAAGGAAGACCTGGAGATGTATGAACATGACCTCCAACAACAGATACAGGAATGTAAGAGAGCACTTCAGGTTGACTCTCACCTGGAAATCTACAATACAGAATGTGAAATATATTCTTCAATACACCTACCTGTAAAACCTGTCCTGGGGACTGCCTCCTTCACTTCAAACTCAAATCCTCATCAACATCTACAGTTTGCCTTAGGGGAAGTTGTCACCTCAAGTCAAACATCAACTGACCGGGAACAGTCAGTCTTTGCATCAGGTCAATCAGAAGTTACGAGGAAGAAATCAGTGCCAAAGAAAAAGCTACGGTCAAAGACCAAGGTGTTGGGGAAGTGGGTGGATCTACATGGCAGTGGTGCTGTATGTCCCACCACTGATCGTCAGGTGTGGACTAAGAGCGATACCACGATAATTCTCCTGAACAGAAAGGGTGAAGAAATACAGAAGGTCAGTAACAGGACTTACATCAATGACATCAGTCTATCACCCACATCACACACACTGTGGGTCTGTGACTGGGATAACAACATCATGGAGCTGGTATCAGGACAACTCATAAACAAATTCACAACCAAGGAGCACCCCATGTGTATATGTGCTACAGCCAGTAATCATATCATTGTGGGGATGTACAAACAGCTCTCCAAATTTACTACACAAGGTCAAATGGTACTCACTTTGATGGCTGCGAGGACTGGGAAACCAATGGTGTGTTCACCATTCAGGATATCCGAGTGTCAAGTAACTCACAATGTTGCAGTGATTGATTTCAACAACGAAAGTGATGGTGGTGGTGGAAACAGTATTGCAGTCATGGATACTGACTTCCAGGAACTGTTTGTATATAGAGGTGACATCCCAAGTACATATAAACAAACGCCGAAAACAGGAAGTGAACCATTTAACCCCTTTGGTGTGGCATATGACAGCATGGGGAACCTCATCATTGGTGACAATGATAACTGTAGGGTCCTACTCCTCAGTGGAGGTGGTGAGTTCCTCAGGATCATATACTCAGACACAGACAAGATAAGGGCTGTAGGTTTAGATAGGGAGGATGTCTTGTGGTTAAAACTTGGGTTAGTGATGAAACTATTACAGTACAGCAAATAGTAACAGTACTACATCAAAACGGTGTGTAACAATAATACTACATAACAGTTGTTTGATACCGTACTGCTGCAGTACAGCAGTGTGTATCAGTACTACTACAGTACAGCAGTGTGTAACAATACTACTACAGTACAGCATTATTACAGTACAGCAGTGTGTAACAGTATTACTACAGTACGGCAGTGTGTAACAGTACTACTACAGTACAGCAGTGTGTAACGGTACTACTACAGTACAGTAGTGTGTATCAATACTACTACAGTACAGCAGTGTGTTACAGTACTACTACAGTACAGCATTATTACAGTACAGCAGTGTGTAACGGTTCTACTACAGTACAGCAGTTTGTAACAGTACTACTACAGTACAGCAGTGTGTAACAGTACTACTACAGTACAGTGTGTAACAGTACTACTACAGTACAGAAGTGTGTAACGATACTGCTGCAGTACAGCAGTGTGTATCAGTTCTACTACAGTACAGCAGTGTGTAACAATACTACTACAGTACAGCATTATTACAGTACAGCAGTGTGTAACAGTATTACTACAGTACGGCAGTGTGTAACAGTACTACTACAGTACAATAGTGTGTAACAGTACTACTACAGTACAGCAGTGTGTAACAATACTACTACAGTACAGCAGTGTGTTACAGTACTACTACAGTACAGCATTATTACAGTACAGCAGTGTGTAACGGTACTACTACAGTACAGCAGTTTGTAACAGTACTACTACAGTTCAGCAGTGTGTAACAGTACCACTACAGTACAGCAGTGTGTAACAGTACTACTACAGTACAGCAGTGTGTAACAGTACTACTACAGTACAGTGTGTAACAGTACTACTACAGTAAAGCAGTGTGTAACAGTACCACTACAGTACAGCAGTGTGTAACAGTACTACTACAGTACAGCAGTGTGTATCAATACTACTACAGTACAGCAGTGTGTATCAATACTACTACAGTACAGCATTATTACAGTACAGCAGTGTGTAACAGTATTACTACAGTACGGCAGTGTGTAACAGTACTACTACAGTACAGCAGTGTGTAACGGTACTACTACAGTACAGCAGTGTGTAACAATACTACTACAGTACAGCATTATTACAGTACAGCAGTGTGTAACAGTATTACTACAGTACGGCAGTGTGTAACAGTACTACTACAGTACAGCAGTGTGTAACGGTACTACTACAGTACAGTAGTGTGTATCAATACTACTACAGTACAGCAGTGTGTTACAGTACTACTACAGTACAGCATTATTACAGTACAGCAGTGTGTAACGGTACTACTACAGTACAGCAGTTTGTAACAGTACTACTACAGTACAGCAGTGTGTAACAGTACTACTACAGTACAGCAGTGTGTAACAGTACCACTACAGTACAGCAGTGTGTAACAGTACTACTACAGTACAGCAGTGTGTAACAGTACCACTACAGTACAGCAGTGTGTAACAGTACTACTACAGTACAGCAGTATGTAACAGTATTACTACAGTACAAAAGTTTGTAACAGAACTACAGTACAGCTCTGTACATGTATGATGGCTGGAAAAAATCCTATTTGTAAATACCATTTAATTGAGGATTTGTGACATTTTCATAAAATAAGAAAGAAACCTGATTAACATAAATATCAACTCAGTGAAGTAAAGGAAAAGAAACAATATTATTGCTTTACTTGTTTTTTATTGGTCAAGTTTAAAAAATCCTTTTCTACAAAAGATAGATAACCTGTATATTAGCAGATGAAAGCATTCTTGTACAGAATATTACTTTCTTAATAAATTGAAAACTCAAGTGTATCTTTAATTGTTATTATGTTGGTTTTAATTTTGTTAATTTCCTGAGTCCACTTAGTTCGTGCATTCATAAGTCCACAGACTGGTAAAATTACTATAAATAGATTTATTGAGCTATATTTATCTTTAAAATCATGTGTCCATTAAAAAGTGAGTTTTTTTTTAAAGGCAATGAAAATTTAGTCAAACAAATATATATGATCCTTAGGTCAAGATGACTTATCACCATCATACTTTTTCTGTCAACATGCGATGACCACCATGGGTACACTTTCACTGCAAAATACTTTTCCTCCTATTTGCATAAATAAATTTCCACCAAATTTAGCCTGAAATAATTTTTGAAGGGCAATAATTTACCAAACATTGCTTGATTGTTTACATTTACCAAGGTATATATTGATTCCCCCCATTTAATGTCTTATGAAGAGCATTCCCTGTGTATTTTGGTCAGATGACAGTGACTGTTAAGATCCATGGGTTTCTTGTTACAATATTCAACTGTGACCATATTCATAAGATATTTCATGTCAATCACAAGAGGCCCCTGGGAGTTGTATTTCTCATCTGGATATTTCAACTCTCACTTGAAAACACTTTAATCTCACTTGGTTCAAAGGACCAGTGAGCGTATGTCATGGCAAGGTCCCATTGTCAGCCTGTCTATTTTTTTCCTACAATTCGCTTCCAGTCATGAAAGACCAGAGCTGATTTTGATAAAAATTTATCAGAAGCATGCTTGAGTAAATATGAATTATTTTTAGCTCACCTGGCACCAAAGGGCTAAGTGACCTAATTGCATTCCTCACTGTTCCTTGTTTGTCTGGCAGCCAACTTTTCCTATGAATTAATAGTAGCCATGAACAGAAACATCAATGGGAAAGGGGGAAAATTTTGTATAAATGGTGTGTCTTACCCCCCCATGGACCTGATAAGACAAAATCTTGTTATTTCTAAAGAAGAAGGATTTCAAAGAATTTGCTCAATATCTCCTGTTGCACCTTTTCACCTAGGGCTGAGACCCAATGTTTACACAAAACTGATTCCCCTCTACCCATGAATGCTTCAGAACAAATTGGGACAGAATACAGGTAATGGAAATCATGCAGAGGAAGAAGGATTTAAAATAAACTTGTTCTATTTTTGTTTTTGGGCTCCATCTTTCCTGCCCCATTTAAGGCAGAGACCCACCATTTATACCAAATTGATTCCCCTTTCACCGAGAGATGCTTTAGACCAAAGAACGAAATCTAATATTTCCTACAGAAGAAGGATTTGGCCCTGCCCCACAGGCCCCAAGGGGCCAGAGTCACCATTCATACAAAATTAGTTCCTTTTTTCCAAGGATGCTTATGTCAAAATTTCGACGTAGTCTGTTCATGACTAGTAGCAATTTCTAGGAAAAGTTTATTCATGAAGGGAAGACAGATGTCACAGTGTGCCATTAAGTACTGAGAGCAAAGCAGAATTTTCCTAACAGGAATAGTCACACACTTGACAAAATCCTACTGTTTTTGCAGCTGCTGACAACAGAAATCTAACAAAACCTAGTTGCTTGAATGTAGTTGGGGTCTCTTGAGATCTAAAGAAGTATTGCATTATTATCTTAAATATTATCATTTCAGAATTATCGTGGGAACAATATTCATTATAATGAATTTTGCAAGACCTACACCATCAAAGTCACCAACGCCTGCCAAAAATGTGCGTCAACTTGGAATGCCTGTGCGAGGACCACCAAAAGTCTCTCCTTCAATGTTGTATTCATACTCGGACACGTTTGATGATCCCCTGTCTCCAAGGGTTGTTCAATACTCGGATACATTTGAAGACACTGCTCCAACAAAGACAAAACTATATTCTGACACGTTTGAGAGTGAAGGGACTGATGATTCATACAGTGACACATTTGTGGAGGGCACACTAGCAACAGAGCAGGTTGAGACTCGTTTGTCAGAATATTCCAATTCACAAACTCTTCAACACGATTCCAGACCATATTCTTACACTGACACTTTTGACTCTACTAGCAGTCCTCTGCGTGGGTCGACCTCATACACAGGTACACACACAGACAGAGCTAGTGGGCAGTCTGGTGATGGGTACACCCGATATGAGTCGATGGACTCAAAAATTCATCATAGTGAAGATACTTACAGTGAGCCAACCTTCACTAGACAAGTGGAAACAGATGAGGAAACTTATTCAGAGAGGTACATATATATATATATTTTTATCAGTACTCAAAAAAAGAGAAATTTGGTATGAACGTTTTTTTCATTGATTATGATCACAGTGCATCTTCTGTTCACATTTATTTACTGTGATGGTCATCTTTAGGTACAATCCAACATTGATGTACTTGTTTGTTTCACTGATGTTGCTCATTCCATTAATTTCATCAACTTTAAATATCTTAAAGTTGTGTGTACTTGTCCTTCAGACAGTCCAGTGGCTCTGATGACGACATGACATTGGATAATGACAGTTATGACTACAGTTACACATTCGAGGAGGCTGACACCACAAAAACAGAGGACCCGGAAAAAGTATATTTTATTTTTTTTATCAGATTGCCTTTTTAATTGATATATTCAGCTCTATAGTGTCTTGTAGTAGGTTAGATATCTGATAATTTTATTTAATTGATAAGAATGTTAGTTACACAAGTGACAAGTGATACAGGGGTGGTTTTCAACCTTTTCACTACATGATATTGCTATTGTTAGACTGATGTACTGAATGTGTAGTAAAGGAGTGAGTCCAACACAGCATTGGTATCCACAGCTTGTTCATCGAGAACTTCACCGGATTTACACCTAGAGGGACGTTGTGCCTCCACCCCCTAACCCCCCCCCCCCCCCCACTCTCCCCCCGTAGTGATTAATGTACCAAATGTTTTTTTTTTCAGGTAAGAAAAGAGGCTGAGCTTCTGAAACTCACAGAAGAAGCGAAGACAAGCTTTGCAGCAGACATGCTGTCCCAGTTGAGACAAAAACGCATTAGACAAACAGACCTTTCATCTTTACTGGCTGAAGGAAGCACAGACAAAGGTAAAAATGATACGGAATGTTAATTCTGGTTTGTTAAATTACCTATTATGTCACTATCAAAGAAGAGTGACCTGGAATGCTGAGACACTCATTCTGATATGAGTTATCTGGGATGTTATGAGTCATTCAGTCTGTTTTGAGTTAGCAGAGGTATATAATGAGTCACTTGGTCTGTTATGAGTTTCTTGGTATGTAATGTATTACTAGATTTAGGATAATTCACTCAGTCTGTTATGAGTAATGTTGGATGTTATGAGTCACTTTGTATGTTGTGAGTTACCCTTGTGCATAATGAGTCACTCTTTTATGAGTTTCTTTGTATGTAAGAGGTTATCTGTGTCACTGGAATTGTTATGAGTGACTTGGTGTATAGATCATCACATCAACAATGGTAAATTCACTTGTATGTAATGTGTTACCTGATATAAGAATGATCAAACATTAGTTGTGTGGTATATGGTGGGCTGATATGTTGATTTACCTAAGTGAGTCATGTGGTCTGTTCTGAATGTCCTTGTTTGTTTAGAGTTACCTGGTATGTAAATCAGACACCTAGTGAGTAATCATGCAGCCATGCGAAATCCTGTGATTCATTGCTTACAAAAGTTAAGAGAGAAGCAGAGTTTAATGTGTTTACCTGATGATACTACAAACAGATATATCGAGGTCTTTTTCTTATTTTTTTTTTTTTTTTTTTCAAATCAGACATTCAGACTTGATAATATATTCACTGATTATCTATCACTGCCCACAGTTGTTGAGGACAACAGTTATCACTGTATTTTCTACAGCACAGATAAACAGTTGTTTTTATCTTTTCATGTTTTGACATTCAATCGTCTGACAAAAATAAACACCAAAAATAAACACTCAAATCCATTAGAAGTGGACAATAGTTACACACAGTGTAATCTCTCCTTTGTTTCAATGTGAGATTATCAATTATTCTACAATTACTAGTAAAAGAATTTTTGTTTGAAACATTTACTACATCAGTGCAGAATTGATTTTGTCCTTATTGTGCAAATAATGTGATACAGTATTCAACTATACTGATCACCTGTAATAAAATATAGTCACAATATATTATATGTAATATTTAAATGAGGTTGATAGGAACACAAATTATGTAATGCTGGTTTAGAAATTTATGTGAACCGTAAAAATGAATCATAGGTTACAGTCACAGAACAGAACAACATCCTTAAAAAACGGCTTTGGAAGTTCGAACTGTTTTTCATTGCAGGGAAATCATCTCTTATTGTACTATCTACATGTATATTGTAGTGGGTCAATATTCCAAACTTTTAGATATAAAACTTCAAAATTCATTAGCAAAATATTTCCATTTCTCTAGTACAGCAGTGGGAAATACATGCATTTTTGGGATCTGAAGTGTAGCAATGCATTCAAAGATTCCTTCATCACCAAATGACAGGAGATAAAGTATAATTTATCCAAACATTACCTATCAGCGTGTTATGTAACTGTGTTTACATTGTTATCTTTCTAATTACAGAAAAGGATATTGACTGGCATACCTCTAGGTACATCAAAAAGAAACTGCGCTTACTAAAGCAGAAAAATTCAGCCACAGGTAAGTTGTGAGGTGGAGTTCCCAGATTACAAGGAGGTTAACAAGTAAATAAAAACTATATATACAGTTATGTGTACTTAACTGAGCTTACCCTGGACTGTGCACTTAACTGAGCTTACCCTGGACTGTGCACTTAACTGAGCTTACTCTGGACTGTGCACTTAACTGAACTTACCCTGGACTGTGCACTTAACTGAACTTACCCTTGACTGTGCACTTAACTGAACTTACCCTGGACTGTGCACTTAACTGAGCTTACCCTGGACTGTGCACTTAACTGAGCTTACCCTGGACTGTGCACTTAACTGAGCTTACCCTGGACTGTGCACTTAACTGAGCTTACCCTGGACTGTGCACTTAACTGAGCTTACCCTGGACTGTGCACTTAACTGAGCTTACCCTGGACTGTGCACTTAACTGAACTTATCCTGGACTGTGCACTTAACTGAACTTATCCTGGACTGTGCACTTAACTGAACTTATCCTGGACTGTGCACTTAACTGAACTTACCCTGGACTGTGCACTTAACTGAACTTACCCTTGACTGTGCACTTAACCCTGGACTGTGCACTTAACTGAGCTTACCCTGGACTGTGCACTTAACTGAGCTTACCCTGGACTGTGCACTTTACCCTGGACTGTGCACCCTGGACTGTGCACTTAACTGAACTTACCCTGGACTGTGCACTTAACTGAACTTACCCTGGACTGTGCACTTAACTGAACTTACCCTGGACTGTGCACTTAACTGAGCTTACCCTGGACTGTGCACTTAACTGAGCTTACCCTGGACTGTGCACTTAACTGAGCTTACCCTGGACTGTGCACTTAACTAACTGAACTTATCCTGGACTGTGCACTTAACTGAACTTACCCTGGACTGTGCACTTAACTGAACTTACCCTTGACTGTGCACTTAACTGAACTTACCCTTGACTGTGCACTTAACTGAACTTATCCTGGACTGTGCACTTAACTGAACTTATCCTGGACTGTGCACTTAACTGAACTTACCCTTGACTGTGCACTTAACTGAACTTACCCTTGACTGTGCACTTAACTGAACTTACCCTGGACTGTGCACTTAACTGAACTTACCCTGGACTGTGCACTTAACTGAACTTACCCTGGACTGTGCACTTAACTGAACTTACCCTTGACTGTGCACTTAACTGAACTTACCCTGGACTGTGCACTTAACTGAACTTACCCTGGACTGTGCACTTAACTGAACTTACCCTTGACTGTGCACTTAACTGAACTTACCCTTGACTGTGCACTTAACTGAACTTACCCTGGACTGTCCATTTAACTGAACTTACCCTGGACTGTGCACTTAACTGAACTTACCCTGGACTGTGCACTTAACTGAACTTACCCTGGACTGTGCACTTAACTGGACTTACCCTTGACTATGCACTTAACTGAACTTACCCTTGACTGTGCTCAGCCTCTTCACTTCCTATCTCTTCATTCTTTCACTGATTGAATATCTCCAAGGAAACAAGTTGATCTGTAATTGTTTTTTCTAAAAGTGCAGTTAGTAGTAATTTTATGATTGTATGATAATGAACTATAGTTATCAATAAACAACATTGTCCCATGGAGCCTGTGTTCAATGATGATTTGTTACAATGTTAATTTAGATATAGTATATAGTTTAGATATACAGTATGGTGGTTAATTCTTAATGTTATTTTTTTGACAAAACATTTTCCAGGTGTGAAAAATGTTGGAAAGTCTAGACAGAAGTCATCTGGAGACAAGACATTGTTGGCGAAGGAAAGGGGACAAGTGGTACAAGACTGTGGCATTGATCCAGCTCTCCTGGACAGACTTAAACTAAAAAACTTCATAAAGAGAATGGAAATGGTAGGATTTAGTAGTGTTGCTTATGTTTAATTATAAGCTGAAGTTGTGATGGAAATTTGTATTCACACATTGAAGTATTTTATGTTGGCATTTATGATTGATATAAACGACATAGACTTACTTCATATGTCCTTTTCATTAGTTTATAGATTGGAAATAAAGACAAGGCATTACGTTTTAACAAGATAAGCAATATTGTGGTAAACTGTCATATGTTTTGGGATGACTGGTGTGATATAAGGCATATTGCATGTGTCCAGAATTTCTTAAGAAACTGGAATGAGAACAAAAAATATGTATGAAAAGTTTTTTCTGAATCATTCTGAAATGAAACTCCCATTCCTCTGTTTAAGTCATGCAGCTAAATGCTAGGTATCACTCGTTTGTTCATGGTTAATGAACAGTCTTGGTTTTAACAATCAATGGAATGATTCTTTCATCTGATCAGATATGAACTCATCATTCCCAACTAGCTCTAAAATAGTCCACTATCTACACGACAAATAGAATGTTACATGTCCTCAGATCAAAGGTTTATTTCAGTTTTGACTTCCCTAAGAGGAATTTTAAAAAAGATCTGTCCAAATTAAAATTGACCTACCTGGTTTTGTGCTTTGTTTTCATGATTGTTAAAAAAAATATTGCTACATGCATCATGTACTTAAAATAATGAAATGTTTTCAAAGGCACATCAAGCTCAAATTTATTGAGTCTGCAAAAGCCATAACATAAATAAGTAAAACCATAACTCTTTCAGTAACAGAACTAGTTTACCAGATGTTGTAATAGTAACGTTTCTTTAGTTTCTCCTGGTGTTGTTTTCAGGCTGCCAAAGAAGACATACATGACCCCAGGAAATGTAAGGAATGCAGGTAATGACAAGAGGTGTCCACCATTGGTCATCATCCGTTCTTTTAAGTTTGATCTTTTCCCTTCTTTCCTTTGTTTTTGCTCTGAAGTATATGAAATTTTAGAATTCCTGTAGAGAACCAGAAATCCATGGCACCTTTCTTTGTCAAAGTCCAAAATAGCTGCCAGTCAGTTAGTGTAATGCTCTAACTAGCACCAAAATCATAAGGGCATAGTTAGGAACAAAGGGAAACCTGAAAATGAAATTTGAGACAGACCAATCCAGTCTTTTCTAAGAAATAAAATAGCAAACATTCATTGACCAATCAAAGATGGCCACCTGTCTTTCATTTTGTTTTCTTGATCAATCTGAAAGTCAAGAGAGCACAACTAGCATTCTTTTATCAAGTTAAAGTTTATGATAGTGAACATTTACATTTATTTTCATACGAATGTCTTCCATTGTCATAATATTAATTATGGTGTAAATATTTTTGTGCACCTTCCCAGAAATCATCAGCTGAAAATAGATGCTGCTGCAGCCCAGAGAAACTTTGTGCGTGAGAAGACACGATATATTAGACAGGAGATAATTGAAGACAGAATCCAGTCACATCTTATACAGATGGTGGGTATCTCATGCATTTACATGGTTTAGTTACTGTATGCTGGTATTCAATTTTTGTTCTATCTATCAACCTAACAATGATCTGTCATTATTTCAGGGCTCCTTGTCATTGATTGGGGAATTGGCGAGATCTCTACCAAAGGCCACACAAGATCCTGAAGACGTTTTGGAGCAAATGAATAAGGGGCTCATGTTATCAAAATCCATTTCAAAAACAAGACAATGTGATGTTTTCAATTAATATCGAAATTTAAATATCACTGCATTTTATAAAAAAAGAAGAAAAAACATTGTATTTGTTATTTATTAACATTGTATTTGTTTATTTATTAAACTGTTTAAAGGGAAGATTGTGTTTATTTATATATATATAGTTATCATTTTACTTGGAGCAACAGCCATAACTTTGTTTATAAATTAACAGAAACATATATGAAATGAGAGGCTTATGGGGGTTTTCTTGTCAAGTAAATGGCGAATCACTAAGACTTGTTGACAAAACCTGTAACATGCCATTATATGTATAATATTTTGGCGACAAGTACAACATGTACTCTTGTCACCATTATCAGACAGTTTGTGGAGAGTTATGAAGATTTTTAACACACACATGAATATTCAAGCAATATGTCCGAGAAAAATTATCGTTTAAGCACTTTTGTAAATATGTCACCATGTTCTTTTCATAAGTAGCGATAAGTGTTTTTAAGATGGTAGCCATCTTGAATATGGGTTGGAACTGAATTTCATGACCATCAATTGACCACACACATATCATTAGAATAGAAATTACTGTCACAATATGATATAGTTTAGAAGTAGCATCACTTTTTAATTAATTTTTTTAAGCAATTTTGAATGCAATCAAGGTCAAATGATCCTTTGTACAAACCCACTCAGGGAAAGTTTGGTCACAATATAAATTTCTGTTTAGAAGTAAATTTTTTCAAGATATTGGCAGTCTGGAACCTCATTTGTCCAAATTTCCTGTAGGATTAACTATTGGTCACACCTTGCTCACTAATGTATGCAAGGAGAAGCCTTAAAGATAATTGTGAACAGAAGCAAGACTGAATGTCTCCTGGGTCTATGTTTTTTCTCTACTGTCATCCCAAGTGAAGGAATAGCAGTAACAGGTTTTTCATAATGTCTGCTTTGACAGTCATATTGAATTTTCCACAAGCTCCAAATTATTCGATCATGTCTTTTCCCTGTATCTTGTCATTCATTCTTGAGGAGTGATGTTAACAAATTGACAGATAGATGTACACAGGACAAGAACAAAATATAGCAATTCTTCACTACTTCACTGTTCTTACTTGTATGTGATATTTCTCCATCAGAAATACTTAAAAAAATTGTACCTTCATAAATTTCTTTTTTGGAGGTTTGAATCCAAGTGATCCTTTGCAGCCACTTCCAACCATCCTTGTAGGTCAGTTCTGCCGACTCCCACCATCAGCAGATGACCTCAATTATAATTCATCAAATAATGAATGGCAGTTTCTAAGAAGAAGTTGAAAATACAGTATTGGGAAAGATGAAGATAATAAGACAGTCTGAGAGACTTTGGTGATAAACAAAATGCAATACATATATATCTCCGAATTTTATTCATATTTAATTACCACAAATTGTGTTTAATTCTGACATTACAAATGATGCATGACCTGAGTGGGGGACATCTGGACAGACAGGATACAATGTCTGTCCTGTTGCCCGACCCTCCATCGTATGAGCAATATATACACATGAACAACTGAACCAAAGACAAATCAGTGTCTCTGTAAAATGAACATGACTTGTAGACAATATTTTTACTTCATTCACAGGACTGAAGAGAAAACTTATAACGGGAGATAATTACATACAATATATGGCAGCCCATAAAGGCAGGAATGAAATAAATATTGCAAATTTTGAATGTAGCTTCTACTAAACTACTTGTAACTTTTTTTTTTTGTAAAAAAAGGTCAGAAAAAAATCATGCAATTCTAAAACTTGGTATAATTGCACACTCAATTACCATAATTATAATTAATAATTTTTAAAAAGGCCTTATGAACACTTATCACATACAGACACATTTCATCAAGTATGGCCACATACAGACCTGAATCACACAAGACAATAATATGCGTCTTTAATCGTACACAGGAGATAAATATACCTCTCTCCTAACCAAATTACATAGTTCGCCACACCTGATGTTGTACACATCACAACAGTCGTTTTGTCCTACCTGTCGTACTAAATGCTACATTCAGTATTCTGAATATCTGGAACTTTTTCATTGGTAAATAGATGGAGACTTTCACATACCATCATAGCACAAAATCTTTTTAATTTAAAAATCTTATCTTTGAAGTTATTTCTGTATCTTCTTAATATCTGAAAGTAACAGAATGAAAGAAATTCACAATATTGTTGAATTCAGTACCTACAGTGGAAACTAATAAATTTTGGCGAGACAGGCATTATATGTAATAGCTATTGAAGTTGACCAGTACCTGTGATTGAACAGCATGGTGCTTCGTTTCCTATTAAATTTATCTCTATGACTAGAATTTAACTTAGCCCACAACTAAATCAAATATCCAGTGGCACATTATAACAGCATTTCATGCCATAACAACATTCACACAACATACACCCTTCCCTTCATGTTTGTGACTGGTGAACCTCTATGGATATATACCTAAACAAGCCTATACAAGAGCAACTTCTGCAAAGGAGACACAATTTTACAATTCATCAAAAGTACTATATTTTCGCTAGATATTTCAAAATCATACAACCATAACTTACTGAACAAATAAGCTTTAGCTCAGTAAGCTTTAGAATAAGCTACAGAGAAATATTGAGAAAGAAGATTTTCCAATACTACTTAAATACATGTACAACCAGAAACATTTGATGTGAGGGCTGTCATAGCCTGGCCATTTGTACATTGGGATAAATGAAAATGCGAAAAAAAAAAACAATACTTTGGTCGATTGCCATGAACTGATTGTGGCTGAGCTTGTCAGAACATTGATGGAAAAACACTAATCTGAGAATGTACAATATTTCATAAAGAAAAAGATGTTTGTGTCAACGAGATCTCCTTAAATGAACACATAAATAGAATCAAGTCTCTGCAACGAAAAAATGTAAGTTATGTGGGTCCAATATGCTGGGAAGATCAAGTTTAGTGGGTCTGAGCATATTAAGTATCAGTCAACAGGAAACATGATAGAGCCCTTTAAGTGCCTTTCTAAAAACTGATAGAGTTTTGATAAAAGTAGAGGAAATTTGTGTATACATTCAGATTAATGATCAACACTATGGCATTCATTAACTCCCATGTAATATTCACATATTTTCACAAATTAAATTTTCCTAAAAATATATTGCAGCAGATATGTATAGCCCTGCTTTTGTCAAAGTATATCAATCAGATAAAGGACTTGTCTTGTAGATAATATCTACTCCAAAAATACATTTGAAGCCATGACAAATTGAATTCTAATGTATTATATTTATACGTTGGCAATGGCGGCCTTCTGATCATATTACTCCTCTTTATGTCAAACTTCTTTTAAACTATAATAAATTTGACAGGTATAGAATAAAAACACAAGGCTCCTATCTCAAAAGTTTTAGTCTAGATGTATATTCAAACTCTAGTTCATGGAGAAAGATAATTTACAATTTTTATATAATCAATACATCTCTTGAATGATTGCAGCTTTTTGGGGACTAGGTGTCATTCATAATTTTGAAGGACTTGGTCATAAGATGAGATTATACAAGTCAAATTTATCCTAAACATTCTCTCTAATAAATAATCAAGACTTTCACACCATCCATGTTTGTCTTGTTCATATACACAAGGCAAGCCATATTTACCACTCAAGCATTTGTCTGCCATCATTCCTAAATAATACCATATGACGCCACATTTTCTATCAAATTGAACAGAATCATAATAATATGACAGAGTACAATAATTCTAACGACTATTATTTTGAATCACCTGTACAAAGATATCTAGCACTTCTAGTTATCACAACAGGTTCAGTGGACCTGTGAAGATATTCTTCAATGACCTTAATTGATGGTGCATATTAAAGTTGGATGAAGACCATATTGGTTATAAAACAAAGCACTAATAATGATTTGCTTGTAGAATATTTGACATCCTCAATAATCCATTAGAAAGATCACTCTTGCTCTTAAGATCTGTTCAGGCATTTTCTTTGCAATCTTCCTAAAATTCTTGTCACATTAAAGGTGACTTCCAAATGATCACTTACATTAGTAACAAGACTGAAACACGAACAATACCTGTTTTTAGAAGCAAAGAAAAACAAAACTATCACCATTTCCCCACCGTGAAGTCCTTAGGTAAAAATTTCCTGTAGACTAGCACACAAGAGTGGACAAACTGAAAACCAGGACTTAACAGTTGACAACTCATTCCACAACAAAATATGTTGCCATATATCACATGAATTTGGTCTTTGCAAACTACTTGTACTGAGATCGCCAAATTAATATATAATATGTATATGTTATCATATGAAACACAAATAATTTATAACCTTTGTTTATATACATACATGTACTGTACAAAATTGGCAAAATAAACAAATCACATGACAAAATTTATTTTACATAACATTACAAATGTGTTACAATTTTAAAATATTCCATGCAATATCTCAAACTTGTAATTGTAGAACAATTTAAGACCTGTATATATATATTTTTAATCATCTTGAGATGGAAGTTCATCCAATTGAAGAAAGGGCTGTTTCTTTTACAAGAAAATGGGTTAGAATTCCATTTACCAGGTATTTTTTTATATCTGCCAAACTTGCTGCCTTGTGATGAAATTGTGTTTTAGGACTGTGAAATTTGCACTAAATGCACCATAATATCTTAAGATCAAACATGCCCATGAGCCTAGTGACTGCAGGGTATAAGAGACCAGGACTATTTACGTTTTCATCACCAACTTGTGTCATACTTTTGATTCATGACCCTATCTTTCCCATATGTAACTGATCAAACAATGCACTATATAGCATACAAATATTATTCCTTCAATGAATGTATACTTCCATTTCAGACTGGACAAGAATCCAAAATATTTGAAATCATATTTCTGGTCTTACTGAGATCAAATAAGGATTTATCAAAATTCTCTCCTCTGTTTTACTGTGATGTGAAGAAAGATATTTCAGTCCATCTGATGACACTTTTTGCCTTCTAATATGTTTTTATATTTCAAAAGTTATAGTGAAAAAGTTTGAAACGTAGCTTGCTTGTATGTAAGAATCCTGATACAGTCTTTCAGATTATTTAAATTAAATCCAACAACATCTTACATATTGCATAAACACCTTCAGTTGGTTATTCAATTATACAGTATCAAATTTGGGAGACAGTTGAAAGCTCTGTACACTGTATCTACCTTATAGATAGTTGAGTATAAGGAGCATTCCATAGTTCTCCATGTTGGACCAATCTTTGGTTTCAACAGAATTAACAAAGGACTATTACCTACTTTATAATGTAGTCAGGTCCCAAGACTATGGCCCTTTGTGCCAACAAAAAATATAATGGCATGCTAAAGCTGGCAATCGAAGGTGACAGTTCATATGTCATCAAAATAGTGATGCACAGTGAATTCAGGGTAATACGTAACTTTAAATAATTGAATTTATACTGTAGAATATGAGAAGTGATTTCAGTAAACAGATTCTACTATACATTAATGTATATAAGTTTCTAGATGCATAATTTGACAGCTGAAGGAGAATGAGTATATGTCCAGAAAAGGTGATACACGGATTGAAAAGATGAAGTGCTAAACAATCCATAGTCCTGACCCTCTTAACAAAGCTCAGTGCTTGGTATACAATCTTGTCATTATAATAACTACCAAAGATTTGCATACAGTGTAATCCACACAGTGGTTCTATGTTCAGTGTACTGACATTATAAGTTATACGAGGAAAAACTACTGAATTTATGTCATTAATGTGACATCAAAACAATGCTACTACTGAAAGGAACCATGATATGACAAGAAAGTCATCCAAGAATTTTGCTAAAAAATATATATGAATATACATTGTGTCATTCTAAATGTTTGTAAAAAAAAATTACCGAAATAATAATATCAATAAAGAAATCAGGACTTGAAAGAAGTTGGGTTTAACTTACTCCTGACTGCCATCTAGTCTGGATAAGACTAACCACTGGAGAATTAAAACTGCAGATTTGAACTTGCATGTCTGAAAATCCTACATATACTGTCAACAGTAGTGTTATTTGAAGTCCTGTAGATGTTCGTGTCGTAATTGTTTAAAGCAACTTTCTAAGAATCAGTGAATGATGCCTGGTTTCATATTTCATCACTTTAAAACATGTAAACAAGATGTTAAATTGTCCCAGTAATATTTTCATAATGCTGAATAGTTGTGTCAAATGAATTCATTTTAAATGTTTGAAATGTTTTGTCCTGTCCAAACATCTACATACAAATAATCATTGAGCATAGAAGAGTCTTAGTAATTTGACAAGTAAATATTGGGAGTTAGCTTACACTAAGTTAATGATTCTATGTATGATAGATAGTATATTACTGTTCCAGACAGATCTTCCTACCTCAATACATGCATTTCATAAATACCAATACTGTAAACAAACATATATTAGCAATAATCCCACTTACCTTGTCTTATCAGAATTTTTCAAAGAACTATTTAAGGATGTTTTAATATAAAAATGTATGTAAATATAATGAAAAAAGATATGCAAATAAATGGGGGTTTTTTTTTGTTGTTTTTCTGAAAATCTAAAAAAAGTGTTTAATATTGGGAAGAAAAAAATGAAATTTATGACAGGTTTTTACAAAATCTACTTTAATTTTTTTTTTAAACAAAATATACAAAAATTACAATTACTGAAAGATGATTAGCAGGTAGACTAAGGATTATCAGCTGTTCAAATCATTGGATTCAAGTTAAAATTTTAATCAAATTTGAAAAAAAAAAACCAAAAAGGTTTCCAATTTTTCAAAAAAATAAATAAAAAAGTAGCAGTTGAAATGGATACATTATTATATTTTGACTGCTAATATAGACATGTTTACAGCAGATTCGTCTTACTTAACACAACACTGAAGCCTTCAGCTTTTCTTCACGTCATATGCATGATGCCTTCAAAATGATGTAGACTTGGCATTATTATGCACTACTGGTATATGGTTCACAGACAACATTTTGAAATATACATTAGAACTTCATTCAAAATCGTTCATACATTCTTTAAATTAAACACATTTTAGAAGTTTTTTTTTTCAGTCAGTAAAACCTCTGTGATGAAACATATATTTATCTGACAAGAAAGAATTAAAAATGTAACATAAAAACATCATTTAAGTACATAATAGTAATAGAACAAGTTTCTCTTTGTTTATACATAAAAAATGACATATCAATGTATATTGTAACAACATAATAACAAGCAAAAGCTGAATATACCTTTTAACAAAATCTGCTGGGAACACAAGTAGACCCCGCTGAAGTAGAACAAAACCTATTTATGACAATGTGATAAATTTGACAAAGAAATCACTACAGAATGATTTAAATAATGCAAATGTTTGTCCTAGGAAAGGGAGGCATAATCATTTTCCCATCTACACATTTTCTTTTCAAACAGACAGTACTTAAATACAGGAAAGCAATTTTCCTTTCATGAGAATATTCCTGGACATTTCAAATTAAAGAAGAGTAAGGTTAATAGATGATGAAATGCCCAAGACTACTGTTTACATGCACAGGGTACAAGAACTACTTTGCTTTGTTAAACCTTTATCACAGACTAGCTATGTCAAAATGAGAACCTCATCCACCATCACATTTCCTGTCCTTGGTCAAGCAGTTACTTATCATTTTTGTTTTTGTTTTTTCAGATCCTGTAAGAACACAATGTTTATTTATTTTGTTTTGTGGTTTTTTGGGTTTTTTTTTTTCAAATGATGAGACAACATTGTTCTGGACCACACAATAAATGACGGGACATCATTTACAACAGTGTACATCCATGTCCTATCATGACTGTCTGTATGAGAGCGTCCATTGATAGCACTGTGCTTCAGAGTATCACACAGCAGTTACTACAGTTACTCTCTCCACTTTTGTCCTTTTTTAACTGCCCTGTAAAATAAACAAAAAGAAATCATAAATGACTGCAGTAGCATCGATAAAAAAATTCTTTAAAAAGACAATGTTATTGCATAATTGTCTAGAACTGTAGAAAAAAATGAGGTGTTACTCAATGTCTTAGCTAAAAATCAAAATCTAACATTTCTGTTTGATAAATGAAGTATAAGTCAATTTTTTCAAATTTATCAAAAACGTACTTCATCAATGCTTTGAAAGTAAAGACATGTAGCTTAACACTTTGTAGAGTTGTATTATTCCAAACAAGAGTTTGTATTTGGAAAAATTTGGTTTGTATATATCAGACGATCACTTATCAGAATAACTGAAATTAAGTCTCAATAGCTGAAAAATTCTGTAATTGGTTAAGATTATACTTTAACTATCATTTTCTTGATACGTAACTGGCCAAATCTATTACCATATGTTTTCCTAAACAACATCTAAACAATTCAGGAAAGGTCACTTAGGATTTCTGTTAGAAGTAGTCATCTTATAATTCACTAAACTAGACAAAGAACAATATGTTGGAGAACACAGGCTGTTTCTTTCTACAGTACATATTGACTAAGGAGTGTGTGTTTGTGACAATATAGTCAACACCCTCCCCCTCAACCTTACTTTGACAAAGGAAACTACATGGTATATTGCAACCAAAAATTAAATATGTATACCTTGATTGTTTGGTTCTGGTAAGTTCTCTCTTGGCACAAGATGCATCACCGTGGTTTTGCCCATAGGTAGCTGTAAAGCTAAATAACAAAATTTGATGACAATTTTCACCTCATAAGCACTTAAAGTCAATCAAAATACTGAACCAGCAGTAAAAGATGTATAATAAACTCCTCACAATTAACCAATATGTTTCAGTATATGGATAATAAAAGAGTCAAAATGTGATCAATAAGTGCACAGAAATCAGGAATTTATCAATATTTTGCCACCAAATCCTAATTACTTACCCCCTAATGTTACATTGCCATGTAAAAATCTTCCTTGATATATTAATCTCAATATGTTTGCTGGTGGTAATGCTTCATCTTCCCAATCTAAACAACAATTCACCATTTTATCAATAACATTCAAGTTTGAAAACATAAATTAAAATACAAACAAGAAATCCAAGTGTTGATATTTATCAGCAATAGCCTCTCACTCTCTAAACAAACAAAAGAGAAAATAATCTGGTTAAATGAGCCAATGGCATTAAGGGTTAACACCATTTCTTTTTTCAGACCACACGACTGCCAGATTGGAAATTTAGGCCACCCTGCTTCCAATATAGATGCCCAGACTGAGTCTTGTGAAGGTGTAGTTAAGTCCTTCTATTGGAGACCAAATATTTTTATCTAGATACAATTTCTACTATTGTAATGGACAAAGCCATGGCTGAAAATCATACTCAACAGTGATATCAAAACATCTTAAGTATAGACTGAGCTACAAACTGTTTGCTACAAGTCCACTTGTCATTTGGAGGATGTTGGGTACTTAGTACGTTTGCAATGCTAATGAAGTCAATGAAACAGCAGCATAATAAATCATATTTTCTTTCTTAATTTATTAACAGATTTCACACCCACTATAACAGTCATTTAGCAGGCGAGCAAAATCACTGTTCACTTCAGATTATTTCCTTTATAGAACAAGATCACGGTCATATTAAAAATTGACAAGACATGGAAAACATGACTAATATATCTTTTTTTTAAATTAATCCTTCATATAGATCAGTAATGATATATCTTATGTCCACATGTACTTAAGAACACCAACCTGTTGGCCAGTTGTTGTAGACCAATTCTGTTATGTCTGCTGCAGACTCGTTCGGTGTAAACAGGAACTCTTTAGATTTCCCACTTACTAATATTAATCGCAAGTTAATCTAAAAAAAGAAAAAATCAATAATCATGTACACTTTGAGACTTAAAGCAAGTCATACATTTACTCTTTTTGCAGGCATATCTATGGATAATGTACAATTGTTAAACTGTTCTATATGTACCTATATCAGGTTGAGAAATTTCCAAGAAAGATGAGAGTGTAGCTTGTTGGTGAGATTTCTTTAAGCATTGCGAGGATGATGGACCTGCATTCTATGTAAAACTAATGCAAACATCTGTAATTGAATATGTATTTTTGAAAGGAATTCTGACAATCTGGTATTTCTACATGATGCTTCTAGAAAAACAAATGCCTAAAACAGCTGTATTTTGAGTTCATCTCAGCTTAATATCATTTACTGTTTCCATCTTCGTTAATAGTAATAACTTGGAATTGAAGAGAATGTTCAATATTGGTAAATGTCCTGAATTCCAAATTTTAGTCAGACTTAATCTGGTGCATATCTTCCTGTTATTTTATTTTCTGCGTCAATGTAATTGGTCACTAAATTAGAGCCGAATGCTTGTCACGTCAAGATTGGAATTGTTTAAATGACGGTAAACACTTAAATGGAGGCAATGCAACAAATAGTCTGTACCAGTTGGTAAGATGTGTATTGGTTTTTGATATCGCATCGACCATTACACAAACATTTTTAAAAAAACAATGTACATAATTCCCTGAACAAATTGAGAGCTTCATGGTATGATTCCTGACTGGAAACTGTATACATACATTGTACATTCGAGCACTGAAATGTTACCAAAAGGTAATATACAGTTGATATGAATACAATGTGGGTGACAGATAAATAAAATAATTTATAGGCTCTGTTTATTTATTGTTACATGCGGCCATGTTTGTTTACATTGGAGACACTATCTGTTGTGTTCCCACATTGACCTATCACTGTAAATGTAGTATACGGTCTCATATACTACAATTTTGTGTACTAACGACATACAGGCAAATGCAACACATAATATAAATATATGCTTGTATACTGATAGAGCTACAGCACCAAGAATTCATCAAATGTTTGCGTCACAAAATATCAGCGGAACATATTCTGTTGATTGTTTTGCTTAAAGTCATGAACCCCAGATATAAACAACAGAGAAACTATAAGGGGGTATTGACATCACCAATTAAAAATCACTCCATGTGGTTACTCTTCACATTTACACTAAATGCTTTGATTAGCAGGTTCTAAGCAATTGATATCACCAAATTAAACACAAACATGTACATGTCACTTGATTATCACTGATTCAGTACCTTCTTTCATGTCTTGTCACATCATGCTTGCACCAGCTGACACAACTTGAGACCACAACTCTGTATTATAAGCAATTTGTATACAGAGCCAGGTCTTTTTGTCAGGGGGCTGGTACTAGACTTTTTTGAGAAAGAATTTGTTTCGTCCTCTATAAACCGACAAAAATCTTGCTTATTGAATTTACACTGACATTCATAACACCTTCATTCTTATATTACAATTAACAATCTCACAATCAGATCAATCAAATTAATTAATATTACACCTGACAACTTCTTACAACAGTATTATAATGTTATTCTTGTTACCATATTGTTGTTTAACCTGGGCCTGTAAATATGAACATCAGCTTGACCCGAGCTGTGATGTTAATCATCAATAACATGAGGGAGACAAACTAACATCATCTGTATAACATGAAACAAAAACAACACCTAAAGAGAATAAACAACAAGATAACACAAAATGTGACAATATACCTCGTGCCTACAATAATTAATTTATGTTATGATTCTAATTCACTACGTTCAAACGAACATAAATCATTTATCATATAAAACTCAACACTTATATATGGGTGTGGCCTTCGACGGTCATACAACTTTATTTACGCTATTTACAAAAATCCACACCGGGCCGGGCCCGTTCTAATGTCAATAATCTTCTGATTTAGAGACGACTATGTCGAATTTCTGGGGTGACAGCTCAGTCCATCATCATAAATCCTCCTGCTTGATCTGTATCGCTAGAAGAACACTTCCTAGCTTGGTGCCCTATGTAGCTACCTAATTAAGAAAAATAACAAATCGTGAGAAAATAAAGTATACGTATTCGTTGTTGGACCGTCAAGACTCGAATGACCATACTACACTATACCCGCCTTTGTTATCCCAATGACTCGTGTTTCACCTGTCTCACGTGCGACATGAAACAGTACGTCACAGCACGCCTGTCTAAATGACCTTGACCCCTAAGAGTACACATGACCCCACATCCATTGTGTTCCGTAACTATAATAAATTCATTTATATTACAATTACAGGTATTAACACCTTTAATTTTACTGCTGAAGTTTTTATACCCCTGTATCAAAAGATCAGGGGCATACTGTTTTTGTGCTATCATGATCAGCTGTTTGTCTATTGTCAGCTTTAACCATCCAATAACTATTGCACTGTAAGAGCTTGAGGTAGGGCTTTCATATTTTACATGTATTCCTTGAAACAAGACCTTCCAGGTGCTACAAAAATATTTGGCCATTTTGACCATGTGATCATGACCTTTGACCTACGTCTGAAAAATTTTATCATTGGCCAGAACTATTGCACCATAAGAGATAGGGCTTTCATAATCGGCATATGCTTTCCTTGGGACAAGACCTTTCTAGTAGTACCAATTGTTTCACCATGACCTTTGACCTGCATTTGAAAAATTGTGCATGCAATTAACACATGCCTTATACAATACAGTTTTAATGTCCCACTTCAGAATTTTACTGCAACCAGGGGCATGTTGTTATATAAACAAATATTGTTTTTAGTATGGTTAAAGAGAAATGTCTAGAAAAACTGAAGTTTGTAATTTGGCTTATCTGTTTCCATGGTAACAGAAAAAGTATTTAAATGGAGATATTTTCCATAGCAACAGGCACTACTACAGTACTAGCTAAATAACTGTACAAAGCTTCAAGTAATTATCTTTGACAGTTTAAGAGAACTGATCTGCAAAAATTGAAATTTGTGATTTGGTCTATCCAACAGAATGAGTATTTAAATGGAGAACTTCCCAATAGTAAAAATTGCTACTACAGTACTAGTATAACAACTGTACAAGTTTTGAGCAAATATCTTGGAACGGTTTCAGATCACTGGTCCAAAAATGACCTTGTATGGACGGACACATGGAACCCAATTTAATATTCCCTGCAAACATGCTTCATGGGGATCATAATTTTTTAGGAACATTTTCTTCAGGTTGGTTATGTAAAAAGAATTTTTTTTTATATGACGAAGGTGAGTGTAGTCATCGATAACATCACATTTTAATTGCCTACTGGTTGTGTTATAAGAATTTTAATTCGATTAACAAAAAGAATCATTTGTAAATGTGATATAGAAGTAACGTGTTTGTACAGCTTCAACTACAACATGGTAGTCAAAGTAGGGAGTAGTATTACGGATACACGTAAAAAATGGACAGAGAAAATTTTGGTTAATTTATTGGGCTCGAGCAGGTTTTACCTGTAAAGTTCAGGCTAAATGATAGTGAACATAATACTGAACTGTTCTGTGATTGAAAATTTGGTGAAAATGTTGAACTGGGGGTGTTGTTGGTGATTTCAGAGTTTTACATATTGATAAATACTTCTGGTTCAGGCCTAACAATATCAAGTTTAATCAATTAATGAATATTACTGATGTCACATCACTTGTGTCATATTGACAGCATTAACAAAATGTCATATATAGAATTGGAACACTACTCTGTTTCTAAATATTATTGTAAATATGTTTCTCTGTACAATTTATTTTGTGAAAGAAAATAAAATTGAATTGAAAAATTGAAAATTCAGGAAACTCTTATTAACTGCCAGGCAATATGACTTTATCCGTGGGGTGTTGACTAATTAAGTATTCAATTAGCAATAGCTGATGACTGCACTCAAGTCCTTCTTGACCACTCATTTTTACACCAATTCACCAGTGCATCTCCATGAGCCAGACTCACCTTTAACACTGTCTGTCATGTTTGATAAAGTCTCATTAGACTTCTTGCGAGTTACGGGACTTTGCTAATGATACTAACTGCAGCCGGTACGTGTCCACGGACACATTCTATCAAGAAATGGTGTCCCATCTCATTTTGGCATGTACAGGATGCAAAATTCTGTTTACCAAAAATTGCTGGTACACAGACCCATTTCCAATTGTACACTGAAACTGTATTTTCTATCTGTATTGTCTCAAGGGGGGTTAAAATATTGAGTTTTCCGTCATTACATTAAGAACATTTACAATATGTATTCTACACTGGAGGGGATGAAATACATCTACTGCAATTTACTTAACAACCTCAAGTCCTAAAACAAACAGAAAATTAATAGCAATAGGCAATTATACTTTTTACCTTTCTAAGGAATGGAAGTGGGATGGGAGACTCAGGTAACTTTTTCTGACCTCAATCTTATTAAAATATATAGTATAAAAATTTCCATTTTAAGCATGAAAAATCCTTCTTTAATAGTTCACTCACTGTTTATTCATTAGATATATTCCAATAGTGACATTAAGGAAGATATTTATCAATAAAAATCGTCTTGGTTTATTAAGTAGGAAATTAATACATCCTGTTAATTCATAATAGGAAATGGATGGCTTGATCCAGCAATAAATAAATAAAAATTGTTCACGGAAACTGAAAAGTAATTGACTTAGCCTTTGAAATTATTTTCTTACATGAAGTATCATGCTAGTAAGCTTTTTCATATCAATTAATACAGACTATAATATATGAAAACAATTACTTTCCTACATTCATCCATGTTTTCCTTATTTTCCATGTAGCTGTACAAGCAAAATGCTGTTAAGAGCATAAACGACAAAAAATGAAACATTGATTAAAAGATTATCCTTAAAATAGCTGTTTCTTGAAAAAATATTTGTAGAAAAACATCCAAAATTTTTGTTGCTTAAAAAAAAACCAACTAAGTTTATAGTTCTTTCCCGAAATTGATGAAATGCCAATGATACCTTCCAAATTTTTACTCAGGAGCCCTTTCCCAAATTAACTTGCAAAAACCCTGAGAGTATGGATCCAGGATGTAAATTGTCTATTGCAACAAGCAGAAGATTCATATCCATGCTTCATAGACATCAATGAGACATGTTTTCTTCAGACTCCTTGGTTTCTTTGTCAGATATCCAATGTGATGATTAACGATAGATTAATTTATATGTAAATGTTTTTAAATGATAATCATATTATAACTGACATTTTTTTTCTTCATGATTTTGGGCAACGTTGATTCGCATAGGAATTTGTTCTCACATGCATAATTTTGTTTGATCCAAACATGTTCAATAATGTTTAATTCATTTTGTTTCAACAAACTTAAGGTTTAATGTACTGTTCTTCGGGAAAATATAACTTTGTGTCATGATCATTAAGCTTACTAAATTTTAAACTGGAAAGTCCAAGGATAATAACTCTTCTAAAAAATGTCAGGTCACAGTATTTCATAAACAACTTTGTATCATGTCAGACAATTAAAACCAATCAGGCATAGGATGGTCAAAATCTGAGCTAAGAGATCTCTGAAATTAGGAACAAAACAAAGGGCAATAACTTTTCTATAAATTGTTGAATCAAAATGTCATAGACAGAGAAACACCACCTTGTGATGTTAGGGTGAAAAAAGAGAGAAATGTTACTCTCTTTTCAAAGAGAAGACGTTTTTGCAAAAATAAGCGTTTACAATGCATATGACAAATCCATACCATTATAGAGGATCTCATCTGTTATAAGTGTTTAAAATTGGAATCAACTAAAGTTTGGTGCAAATAGCTAAATGCATGCACATGCGGTTGCATATATAAAAACTTTCGACGATATACTTTGTCATAATTATAGTACTTTTGAGTTAATATTCTATCTACAACACAAGTAAATAAATTTACGAACTCTTTCAGCAGACTCTCGCTTGTTTTGACAGCTATTGAGTGACATCTCACTATGTAGGTCAACTCGATACTCCGAGTGTGCAACGCCGATCTTTGTTCATAGACAGTTCGGTATATTTTTTTGGAATGAAACGGACACAAATATATTGCTTATGTATCTTCCTACTGCCACTGGGTTCTTCTATCAAAGAATAGATTCCAATTTTGCATTGCAATTGGGACGAGATAAATAAAAATCCATCACTCGAATCAGCGAGAAAAATATCTATACACTACAACAGGGAATAAAGCATTTAAAATGTGCTTGAATTGTATACCCTTACCTTATCACCGGGTATCCCTCTCGATCCCATAGTTGATGGGGATGCACAATCGTATATAAATATACGGTCCCGACTTGAGTCAGCTGATAGGTTGTAGATGAGAGAAATTATGTCACAACAGGCCTCATTTTGAATCAAAATCTTGATGATGTGACAACACTTTGTCCGTCAAGCTAAATTTGTTTCTAAATCTGAACTACTCGACACATTTTAAAGTGTATATGAATCTTCTAAATTCAACTAAACGTAATAAATCCTCTATTTAAATTAATGATAATATTCCTCAGAAGCTGCTATGGCGGCGATAAAGAAGAAGCACGAATTGGTTTGTGGGTAATATTTTTTATCAGACATTACAAAGCATGCGCCATTTCACAAGTATTTCCGGTTCCTTTGTACACACAGATGAAAATTAGCAATATTATTTCAATATTTTCACTGAATACTCGAGAGATGATCAAAATTGCTTATATTCTCGTTCATAAGTAAGCATCTGTTGATGGCGGAAGACGTCTCCTCATATGAAAGTTGAAAGGTAATAGGTTATTTAATGGATTAACTAATGTAATACTAGTATACATGTAGACCATAACTTAAGATTAAGCAAGTGCGTAAACTTTGCCAAGCCCCATTCAAACGGTTTCGACCGTTAATTATCTCTGCAAATCAAATTCCATTATGTAGTTCACTCATTGATTGATAGTTTTATTTCATAAGTAGTCCAAATTCACAATAGAGTAAACAGTTAGTAAATGATGAATCATCTTACCTACATGTAATTGACAAGTCTTGACATCGTCTGGGTGATAGTATTACTGCAATCGATAGATAAGTCTGCTTTGCAGGGAACCAGAAATGATACAATGTCAGCCAGGTGTATAGGGCTAGTTAGGGAAACGATTATGAACTCATTTTCACACAAATCACTGGCTCACAACTGATCATATATGACCTTTCAATATTGTGTGCATAGTAATAGGGGGCTGTCGCACATCCAAGTACGCCTCTGACACACATGCTTCGACCACACACACCCTAGTCAGAACTCTCGTTAGTTCCCAATCATGACAGTATAGCTTTTCATCCTTGGTATCAGTCACCAATGGTTACAGCAGACCTGTCTGCATCTCCACCTTCAAGGTTACAGGCATTTTATATCCAGGATCGACCACTAGGATGTAGCGGAAGCACAGATGTATTCAATAACTCAACAAGGTGTTCCAATATTATACAACCATTTATGAACTGAACACAATGAATATATGTATGTATAACAAGGTAGGATCATAACATTAGTGCTGGCTTTTGAATATTAACGCTAATCAACTCCACTAAAGTACAGTATCCTAATGTAAACATATGTAATGTTATGTTACCTAACAACAGCACTGACTCAGTGTATACAGGTTTCCTATGGATGCATAAGTCCTAAGCCCCTGACTATTCCCTGGTTAAAACACATCCTATGGTTACGGTAACACTCTATACATGTGAGCTGCCATAGCACTACTGGGTACTAATAGCAGCACCACTACTGTAGTATTCTCCCCAAGAGAAGTAGATCAGTTCATTTCAAGACACTGAATCTCACAGAGATATGCTCTTTTATACTCTTTGCCTCGAGTCTAGCCCTTGCTTGTTTTCTGGTTCCTTTCTAGCTACCTCTTCTTCCCTCTCTCAAAGATTCTTGAGTCTAACACAGTCCTTTAGGCAATGTCCTACTTCCGGACAGAAATAGCAAGTCACTTTTTTTTTAGTTACATCCCCTGATTCCCCCCTTTTAAGCTTTTTGGAAGCACTTCCAATCTTTTTGTTGATAATTTGATTGATTCTAGACAGAGTCAATCTTTCCTCACCGTTCTTACTGGACGTAATGCTCGCCGTTTGTACAGCATAAACTCTTAGTATTACCATCACTAGAATGTTTCTTAGATGCACTACCTGACACTGCCTCAAACTCTACAACTGATGAATTGGCTTTATTTCATGCTTTAGGATGACAGTAGGTCCCCTTTTATTTTCATCTCAAAATCCCTTAATCTATTGATGAATTGATCTACTACACAAGTCTCTAGATATGTATAGGGCAATTCAGGATATTCTAACAATGCCAGTCTTCTTAAGGAATAGCCAAAATCATCTGGTTTTTCCTCCTCTCCCTGTTGTTTGGCCCTAAATTTACATCAATAGGCCACACTTCACTCCTTCTGGTTAAATCTCTGACCTAAAGTGTTTTTGATGGCCTGATAGTTTGGCAGCTGGCCATATGTAAGATTACTTCAGAGTCTCTGAACAGTCCCTCTGACTCATACATAATTGTTAAGCTTTCCTGATCTCTGTCCACTCAATCCATGCTGAGACTTGAAAGAAGTGTCTATAAGAGGTCATCATATTTTAATTTTATTAAAAGTTTGTATATTTGTGTATTTGCAGACTGCAGTACAGATTATGTGATTAACTTCCGAGGACAGATATGTCGTCAACTATTGTTGTTACACAGCTGGAGACGGAGCAGAATTATGAGTTAGAAAATGGGTAAGGCCAAGTTACATGGTTACATAAAAACCATAAGCATGATCAAGATGTATAGAGAGGATGGCTATTATGATCTCTTCCAGAGTTGTCATCCCTTAAGTCTTTCAATTTACTGTAGGACAATTGATATTTTCACTGTAAATATAAAAATGTCAGACCTTTTTATTTTCATTGGAGTGAAAATATCTCTTATATTTTCACTATAAAACCTTATATTTCACTGTGAAAATGTAATAGATATAACCTTGAGTATGAACCAATGGAATTATCCCATGTAACTTTTCATTGTTTCTGTTTTACTTATGTTTGTGTAACTGAAATTGTTTGAATATCATTTGACTTATTCTGCTGTAAGCTGATACAGTCAATACTAGAATATGTTCTTACATGTAACTATTGATATCTTAACAGAACGGACGAGGAAGATGAAGGAAGAGATGCAGAGTTGATTGTCTACAAAGATTGCTCTAAGGGACTAGGTAAATAACATAAGCTTATAGCGGATCTAGGATTTTGTCAAAGGAAGGTGGTGCCTATACAAAATTACTAAATTCTTTAAACATAACACATGAAACGTTTGTTATAACATATTTCATCATTTATTCATAGCTTTTGAAAGCACTAGAAAGTATCAGATGGTATAAAATGTGTTTCAGCTATCACTATAACCCAGTAATGACTTTCGACACCAAAATATCTAAAATATTAGCTGGAATTTGAACTGAAGGGAGTAATATTCCTTTATGTGTAACCTTTTTTCATTGATAACCGATATACAAAATGGAAAGTTGTACTAAGGTGGAGAAACAGAAAGGATAGCCTGGAACCACTATAAAGTATACAGTCCTTATCATTATACTGATACGTCTTCATAATCTTAAATTAAGGATGGTAGTTTCATTTACATTTGATAATGGAAAAATAGAAAATGACTAACTGGGAGCAGGCCTGTATCAACAGCCCTATTAATGCAGGAATGAGAGAATTACTTCCCTTAGTTTAACAGTCAGTAACCATTGCTTTGCTAAAACCTGTATCCAATTTCTATTCTATTAATAAGAAAAGTATTAACAACAATATTCAATGATACATGTACATACTAATTGCTCCACAGGAATTAAAATCTGTGGAGGATGTAGTGTTGATGGTCGAGAAAACAATGGAATATTTGTGAAAAGAACCTTACCAGGAGGATTGGCAGACATAGAAGGTATTTATCAAGTAACTGAATATATAATATATATCCCCTCTATCACCTACTTTTGCTTTCAATGTAATATATAAAGAAAATACAAATACTAGACTATAATGACACTGTGATATCATGTACTTTGTGTTTGAACATTTACTCTAATGTCACCATTAATTTCAATATTAATATTCTGTTAATATACTTGCATATCAACAGGACACCTGCAACATGGGGATCAGATACTAGAGGTAAATGGAGAAAGCCTGGAAGGTGTCACAAATGAAAGGTAAACTTTCATTTTACATAAAATCATGATATTGTTAAACAACAATTTGTAAAATCTTTTGCTTTAGGTTTTAGAGTTTAATCTGTATGGACTTAAGATATTTTTCATTATTGATTTTACATTACACATACTTACATAGAGTCATTGAAGACAGGGAGGTAGGTCTGGTTTTCTTTATAAGGTTAGTTCCTATCGTCAATGTCAGGAGAATGATGATACCATGCACATGGATAGACAATGTTATTGATTTTTTTTGTTATTTTATCAACAGAGCTGTATCAATATTGCGTCAGGCATCAGCTTCAAATAAGGTGGAAATGATCATAACGAATGATGAACAAGCCAGGTAAGTGAACACCTGCTTTAGATCTGAACAACACCATACTTTTGCACCAAAGAATTTACAAGTGAAATTTTTCATTTATTAGTACTTTCTTTCACATTTTGATAAGGAGTCATTTATTGATTTTACTAAAATTTATAATTTCTTTGTAGATGTGAAAAGTTAAATAATAGATTTGATGAGAATGTTTCAAAAACTATTGTACCACAGCTTTGGCTGGAATTGTACTTTGATTTTTTTCAGTCTACTATCTAGTGATAATAGAATAAAAGAAAACAAGTATGTGTTGATTGTTGATGCATAGAGTACTAGCAAACCAGTATTTATCCATTTCTTCCTTCCTGTTTCTGTTCCAGATTAGAATTTCAAGAGATAGTGGAGAAGCAAAATGGCTACAGTTTTCCTAGTACACCTGTGCCAACCGATACCCAGAGCAGACACAGCTCAAGGGCAACAACTCCATCAGGATATGGTAAAAGTCAAATTATGAATTATCAGGGATATAGTTATGTCAGAAGGACCAGAAAGTTGCCAACTGAAGGATTCTATAATTGATAAATGAAATGCTTTAGAACAATTATTAAACATTTGATTATAATGTAGTACCCGTAACCACTTAATCAGCATTGCCATATGACCTTAATCACTTTAAAGAATTCAGATTTATGACCTTTTTCATACAGTATGTAACACTATGTGAATTATATATGGATTTAGGGACAGACAGTTTTGGTATTTCTCCTGAGGTGAACGGTGTGAGTGAGTCTAGTAACATTAGCCCGAGGAACTCCTCTGGCTCCAAGATTAGTCCAAGGGAACCAGCTCAGATAAGGGAGGTAATTTGAACATTTTTTTTCCTACATGAACATCACTGTGTCATAGGCTTTTCATCACATATAGATGCAGTCTATGAATGATAATTATTAATAGTGGAAAACTGAAAAACTTAGTCTAAATGTTTCATTATCAGAGCTTTTCAACAAGAAGTATCGTCTATTATGTAATAATTTAGAAACCAAATTGATTTACAGAAATTACAGCTTACATATATTAGGACTTATTTTTTTTCTTAATTTAAAGAAATACTTATGATGTCCTGATAGCTATATAGTTTCATTATGTTCTGATGTTTATTTAATGGGCTTGATGTTTGCAACCACAAAGCTAGTACCAAGTGTTAAAGAAAGTTATATAATGTCCTGATACTTGATATCAACATGTGATCTTTGTTTCTTATAGAGATTGAGTGATCGAGGCCAGGACCAAGTAATGACTAATGGTGTGTCCTCATCACATCCAAAGGCTGCTGCCAGGAAGATGATACCAAACATGGCCTCAACACCACAGGTCAAAGGTCAGTAGGGTTTCAGCATATTATGTGGGAAATGAAAAATTGTATTGAAACGACTTGAAAACAAAATATTGATAAGACGATCAACAAATAATGATCTTTTCTAGGGATGACTGGTGCTGTTGAGATGTCTTCCCTTTTTGGAACAGAGGAGCCATCTCCTGTACAAGGAGTAAGTGCCTTCAACATGCCTGGATCACAGACTGATGTTGGAAACTCTCTCTTCAGTTCTCACCCTGGTGGTCATCAATCGAAGTCCAATGTCTTGTCACATTCTCGAAAGCTTTCACTGGATCCTCACGTCAGATTAAAGATAGAGAAACTAGAAGTGGTGAGACTTAGCAAACAGTCACTTAAAACTTACTTTCTTGCTGATTGTCGAGATTCACTTTCTCCCAAAATATTGTTTCACTGCAGCAACTTCATTTAAATGACTCTGCTTATGTGCTATTTGATATTTGTCCTTGAAATGCCAATATAAAACAAAATAAGAAGACATACATTTAAAGTCACATTTGTAAAATGAGTTTATTTCTTGATTGTTCCCGTATCCTGATTTTACTCCTCAACCGTAAGAAAGAATACAGTTATCATGAAACAAAATTCTTTTAAAGGTGTAAGTTGATACAAGTTTTTACTTTCGTAAGTTATATAAATTTGTGTTACAGGCACTAAGGTATTTAGGATTGGATCCAACACAGGAACAGCATAAGCAGATGAGAGAGCAACTTAGAATTGATGCTACAGGTTCTGTGAACTATGGAGGTAAGGATGTCATTCATAATTTAATACATTAAACCAGTTATGTCTTCTGTGTCCATATTTTCAGTAGTACAGTCACAGATTAACTAAATTGAAACGGTCTCTGTGAAGAAGCAATGAATGTGATGACTTGTCTGTTTAGATTTTGTGGCAGTAGCCAGGAAGGTGTTCCAGGTTGAGTTGGAAGAGAAGAGCATTGGTACAGGAGCAATGTTGTTTGCTTCTTGTGATCTCACCAATATTTTAGAACCACCAGCATTTAATCCTGAGGTAAACCATTATTTTACACAAAATTCAGTGTAGGCTTTTGTTTCTAACCTTTTAAGAAAGAAGAAAAGATATTTTACATTATCAGTTAAACATAAATAAGTGTAAATAAAATGTTTCACTCGTTTGATGGTTCAATACTCTTGTCAGAGTTAGATAGTGTGAAAATTTGTTTTAATATCAGAAGTAAAATTTCAATGTATATCAACTGCATGTATCTGTGATTTTACGTCGTTTTTTATAAGCAACCTTTTAGTCTCTAGCACTCTATCACTTCACTAAAGGGACAGCCCCACTAACTGAAGCTAGTTAGGCGACCTGTGCTCTCAACTTCTCAAATCTAATAGCAATAGGTTGAAACAAATGCATGGTACTGGTACTTGCTATTATGTCACATACTGCAAACTCACCTGGGTCATAGACTTCATTCCTTAAACATTATTATGTCACATACTGCAAGCTCACCTGGGTCAAAGACTTCATTCGTTAAACATGCCAACTGTGTTGGGAGTTATTTTATGATTAATGTGTTTCTGGTATGTCAGAACTTCAGAGTCTTACTAGTAACATAGTTTAATACAAAATTGAATTAATCTAACGATTGGATGAATTCATTTGGTGTTCAAAAGTGACATCAGTCTTTAACAAAGTTTGCAGTCCACCGATTTGAAATGAGAGAAATGTGTAACAATTGAATTGCCATGGCATGCAATTGTCCTTGTGACTGGAGCAAGAAAATTCAGACTTATTAGTGCCTTGGAAGGTTTCAGTTAGCCAAAGGAAGTGTATTTGTTAAGGCAAGGACTTGACTGTATTTAATGTATGTTTGACATTAATATGGACAATGCCACCAGACTTGGACCCACTATCTGATACCAAGTATAATCCAAGTGCTATGCCTACCTAGCTCTGTGTAACAGTTGGACAGAGCAGGAATAATCTCCCCCCCCCCTCACCAACTACTCCACCCTCACCCCTTTCTTGTTCATAAAACACACACATATATATAGCCATTCAACAACCAAGCCATCGTTTATGTGTCACTATTCAATATACTGCCAAAATTACTTTTCAGTTAAGTGTTATCACAGACTTTGGAGAAAACAACAATGAAGATCTGATAACACTTCAGCAGGAAAGAAATGAGCTCCGAGAGGAAGTGAAAAGATTGAAGGTGATGAAATAAGTTTTAGAAAATGTGACTCATCATGTAGGCAATGATTTTTTAGAGCTGTAATGCTCGGATTTATCTATAAAAGCTTTTCGAATTTCAATGAAGAACACTTTTATTTTAAGCATAATACTTCAGAACATGAACAACTTCACCACATTATTTTGCAGGCATTATTACAAGAAAAGGAATCAACCTGCTTCAAGGCAGAAGAGGATTTACAGAGCATCAGGAAAGTAAGTTTATCAGAAAATACATCATATATATGTGATTACACACGCACTGAAGTGTTTGATATGGGAGTATTTGATAATACATCATATTAGTTCTCAATGGGGTACATGGCTTGTTAGGTGAATTTGTACTGATATAAGGATATTTGATTGTTATGTTGGTCTAGAGCTGATACCGTTGTAGGTGCTTGATATGGTGGTCTGTGGTTGATAAAACTGGATTGCTGAATTGATTTCAAGGTTACCAGACACATATCAAGATGATACATAGATTCTGGGGTCATGTGTGAAGAAAACATTTTACAATACTGTGAGAAGTGTAGATTATTTTGATATTGTGTGGTACTGAATTCTGCTGAATTCACATTTTGCATCGCTACTGAGTTCAATTATTTCCTTTTAGATATTTTTTAGCATTTAAAACCTCATCATAAAAATCTATTGTAGTACTGATATTTGTGATGTATGTACATTGTCTGATTGTTGTTTTCTGTTAAAGAGGGCACAAGGAGCTATAGAAGAGACAAAGTCACTGAAGACCAAGGTCCAGCTGGCGGAGCAGGCTCAAAGGGCAGCTCGAAGTATGGAACAGGACTATGAGGAGGTTGTACAACTCCTGGAGAACGAGATCGCTAAACTGAAGACACATGTTAAAGGCCAAAATGTAAGTCATCTGAGGTCTATATGTAAATCAAGTCATGTTAGAAGTTACCAGCATGCTGATTTAATGATGGATCTGTCTGTGGTTTTTTAAAAAACAAAATATTTTAACAAAGCTGACATTGTGGCTATGATGGAATAATATCCTTAGAAGAGTATTTTTGTGATACCAATAAGGTCATGTCAGAGGTCAGAGTAACCGTAAACTGTCTTTCTATATTGAGTGTACAATAGGATCAAAGGGGGCTAAAGGCGTCCTTTAATCAGAATTGAGACATATATAACTAAGTATATCTTAAAGAAACTATGCGATGTAGGACATTTCTTTCACTGGTTGTTAGCTTTGGGCTTATCTCTACTTGCCCTTTAATAGAACTCTTTTGATTTTAAACATATTGAGTATGGACTGAATGACCAGAGGTACTACCTGTAGTGCCTTTATTATTGAAGTTTTAGAGAGAAAACCTTTTAACGGAACAGTACAGTTTTGCTATTTGTTTTCATGTCTGAAAATCATGCTTTGGTTGACATCAGTATAGTACGTTTTGAAAAAGGGTTACGTTTTCTGTGAAGTAATTCACGTACGTTCTTCTATTACTGAAAACCGTTGTTACATGCAGGACCAGAGCCCATCTATGCAGCAGAAGATTGCAGTGTTGAATTGTCAGCTGAAAAAATCTGAAGCTGGAAAGAAAGCTTACGAAGTATCTACAGAAAAACTTCTTCAATTTGCAGAGGTTTGTAGAATGACTTTAGTATGTTCTTGCTGTCATCACACTTTCTTCAGTGACTGTTTCAGATTAAACCCAGTATTTACACTATATTCAACACCTGATCTTTCACAAGCTAGTAGAATTATGCCAGGATTGAAATACTTGTAATGACATTTGTAGTCAAATTTTTGTTTTTCTTTTATACATTTCATGGTTGTTTAATATGATAATGCATTATTTATCTTGTTCCATCAATTTCTTTTTGAATATTCAGATTTGAGACTTCATAATACCCGTCAATAAATAGTAGACATGTCAAAATTTATTTATGGTTCTGGGGTGTTCAGGAATGGTATCATGACAAAGTGACTTAGAGTGTTTTTTTATTTGTAAGTTATTTGTAATGTTGGTTGGGTAGACAAAGGAGGATTTTGATGGAGGCATAATAAGGTCAGTTTATATTTGTTAATTCCTATGAGTATATGTGTTATAAAACTTTCCTTTCTGCAGCATGTTCATGAAACCATAACAGCTCAGGGCAACTCTCTTGGAACCAAGTAAGTCACCCTTTATCAGTAATACCAGTGATGGTGTGGAAAATTAATTTCTTTGAACATGTTTGATAAATCTTCTATCACTGTGAAAAGATATGTTTGATCTACACTTAGAAAGTTGATCCACAAAATTCATTTTTGTGTTGTTGTTTTACATGTTTATGTGTTAATGACTTCTCCTAATTTATCTCCTGCAACCAAAAGGACTTTAAATGTGATAAAAGTCCTTTTCTATTTCTCAGACCTTTGACAAAAAAACAAAAAAAAACAAGAAAATACCAACATAATTGTAATCCAAACTCAAATTTAAAAAAAAATAAGGCAAAAATATGAACAAAAGAAAGATTTATGCAAAGACTCCTGAAAAAGTACATGGGGAATAAAACCAGGTGTTCTGGAAGAGAAAGCGTCTTCTGCTTGTTAAGATAAATTTGTTTCTGCTCAGTCCATAGAGATGTCAGGTCAAATATAACATTCCTGATGAATTAGTTCCATGTCTTTTTATCTGTGGTTTCATTCATACAAATAAGTGCAGTTCAGAAAAAAATATGTGAACTCCATAAGTGTTACAAACTTAAAGAAAAGGCTACCAAAGTACCAGATACCATTTATTCATAATAAGCCCTTATTCAGTAGTCTGTTATAATTTATATATTAACAATATACTTGAATAAGGAGATTGATGAGCTGGTTTCCTGTGATTGAATACAAACTTTGTTAAGTAAATTACTGTCAGTGTGTTTACAGTATTGTGCTGCAAAATCAAGAGATAGACCGATGTAAGTTTGATTTCAAGTCTTCATTATTTTATACCTCCTAGATCACAAGGAGAGAATGCTAGAGGGAACAGGCCACCTGGCTATCTCGGGAAACATAAAAAGGCATCACCTAAAACACTTGCTGCTGAAGCTAAGGAAGTGGTCCAGGCTGTCCGGGCCATCATAGAGTCAGAACGTAAGTATTATGAATAAGATTTTCCAAACGCCATTTCAGTGTGGGACATTTTGGCGAAAAAACTAGAGAATAGATATCCAAATATTTACTTGTTGGTATGGTTAGAATTTTTTTTAACTTGTAGCAAGAGGAAAGGGGGAGGGGTTTGGTATTACCTATGCCAATTCTGTCTTGTCATTTGCTGTCTCATTGCCCACGTCCTTTGACGTTCCAAATACCATGTCATCACTTTAGCGAATTCATTTTTTTCAGGAACTTTCATTAGAGTTCCTAAAAAGGTCAAGTTTTAGAACATGTTGAAGGAGTTTTAGTGTTCTGAGGTCAATGTAGTCAGTATAATATGCAGATCATTGCAGTCATGTCTCAAAGACATGTTATAGAAAAATGTAATTTAAAAACAAATACTTTACAATCAGGGTTGACATATGCTTAAGACTTTGTTTTACTTTTCAGCTTTACCGTATGGCTGGGAGGAAGCCTACACGGCAGATGGCATGAAATACTACATCAAGTAAGACAAGTTTTATTAGTATTAAACATAGTTTATTGTTGTTTAAATATGCCCTTTGAAAATATTTTACATTTTTTTGACAAAAAGCTTTTGTTGTAAATAGGCTTTGGAAACCTGATGTCGATGCTCTGATCTCTTATTTAATTATTAATGTAAATACTTTAGACATTCTGTATACAGCATTGATAATACATGCAAGTACATTAAAATTTACTTCCTATGTATTTTCAGTCATATTACACAAGTAACAACATGGTCTCATCCGAAGTCTGGAGTACAGCAGTTTGACACTAAACAGGAAAATAAAGCCAGACAGAAGGTTCCAGAACCTCCAAAGCTGTCGTAATGTCCAAAGGCCTTCAAGTCTTCCAAGTACTCACAGAATCTGACGACCCAGGAATCTCCCAAGTCCTCAAAGTATCTAAAGGTTCTGGAATCTCCCAAGCTGTCAAAGTTTTCAAAGGCCTTCAAGTCTTCAAAATCCTCACAGTATCTGACGACCTAGGAATCTCTCATGTCCTTGTACTATCTGAAGGCCTTGGGATCTCCAAAGTCTTCAGTATCTGAAGTCCTTCAAATCTCCCATGTCCTCATAGTTTCTGAAGGTCCTGAAATCTCCCATGTCCTCACAGTTTCTGAAGGTCCTGGAATCTCCCATGTCCTCACAGTGCCTGAAGGTCCTGGAATCTCCCATGTCCTCACAGTGCCTGAAGGCCCTGGAATCTCTCCTGATACCCATATGTCCTGGAGAAGGTGCTAACCTTGTATACATCACTCATCGACCACTGGTCCATTATCTTTGACCAATGTCCTTACAAAGGATCTGATGAAAACTTGTGTACTGTGTAACATTATCAGTAACTTATAACCAGGTTTACATATTATCATGTATACCCTTGATACTTGTAACTCCCTTCTAAGTCATTTATAAACTCCCGACCTCTCAGGCCATTATGGTTAATCTGCAATGGTATTTATACACAAATCTGTGGATCCACCCTGGTGACTGGCTGAAACCAAAGAGACTGTTAAATCTACTGATGACTGTGTATGGATCATTTCTGATTCATTGTAATGTTTGTTAGTCTCTGATATGTAATCTTGTAGTAAGGAACTGTTGGTGACTGTCAGTATCAAAAGATAGTGAGAATCCACTTAATACAATGGTTGTGTTTTAGATGTTTTTATACATGGATATGATTTGAAGCCATATTTATTAGCATTAATCGTGAGGTTAGTAGTCTTCCTGTCTGATTTCTCACGGTGTATGTATTTACTTTGTGAGGAAAGAATCTGTTTAAAGCAAATTTTTTTGTGAAGTAATATTCTGATCTTGGTTGAGATCGATTGGATTATATTAGACAATGGTGTCTATGTTTACAATGAATTGTTTTAGTGAGTTGAGTTTTGGAGTAGAGAAAATTAACAACATGCACTCGGTTAGTAACATTTGGTTGTGGAGTTGGTATAACACAGTAGCTTCATCAGTACAAATTATCTACTGTCACTGTTCTTACTGTCTGCATAGCTACTTTAAACATGAAGCCTATTTCTACATAGTGAGATTGCAGTTTTGAGGTAGTTCATCCTTGTGTGCTTATACCTGTATGGTCGTGTGTACAGTGTGCTGTGAGGGATGTATAGGTGGGCCATTGTGCCCACATGAATGGTTATACATGTATCTGTGTGCAAGTTCTGTGATAAAAAGGCTAGTGATTTCAAACTATTTATATATGCATTTGTATTCAAAATACTATATATCTTTTGTATTAATCAAAATCTTAATATCTCCCTTTTTAAAATTTTCAATAACGATATGATTTTAGCTGCATTATCTTAAAACAAGTACTTTTTCATGGCTAGCTGATAGGGATGAATTTAATGTAAAGAAACTGACAGTTAAGCAGAGAATTTTCCTTACTATGTACAATATGTACATTTTTTATATTATTTTTATTGTTTCACAGAGTTGAAAATATTTACTATATGACAACCATACTGCCATTTGAACAAGTTTTGCCAAACGTTGCTACCCTTTAAAATCAATGTTTTTCAAATTGAATATGTAGTGTACTCCACAAGCACAAGGATAGTTTTTGGTAAAAACTTAATTTTTACTTTGGAAGGTGGGGTGTATTACAAGCTTAGGGTAAGTCTGCAGTTTAATCCAGGTGGATGTTTTGTGATTTTTAAAAACATTTTTTTAAAATATTAGTTTATCTGAGATCTCAAGACCAAATTCCTGTGGTTAGAAATGAAAGCGGTCTGAATAATGGAGGCTGCAGTTGTTTGATTTTTTTATTTCTGTGATTATGGTAAACAGATTCTGTTGTTCTGTATTGTATAAAAATTTAGCTCAAGATAATCATTTTCATAAAAATGTTAAAAATACGGATTGAAAAACAAACCAGATGCCACCTTTCAAGGATATTATCCAAATCATTATATTGGGAACAATTCCAGCTTTACATGTTATTTTTGCATAATTTTCTAACATCGAGTCTGAAAGATGCTGAATGTAAGTTATCATAGCTTGTTCCAAATTTGTGGTAAAATATATTTGTAAGTTACATAGTTAAAAAAAGAATATTTTTGTTTGTAGAACAAAAGCAAATGAAAGTTATGAACAGAATATAAATCCACTGGATACAAAATAAGTATGTATTTTTCTTTTCCAAGTAAGTGTTCTAAGTATTGTTTATGTGAGTTCTTAAAATAGATCTGATGTAATGATTGTAACTGTTGACATAACCTTAAGTGTTCTTAATAACTATACAACGAAAATAGGAACAGTTTTACTTATTACTCCAGATCATTATGAGATACAAAATATTTGAATAACAGTTAAATATTTATGGTAGGTCCATGACAACACTTATAGTTTTTAATGGCAAATGTCGTCATGTTTGACTGATTGTCCAACAGTATTGAAATATCAATACATTTTGGTAGGTAAAAAGTATCAAGCAATGCTGATGTACTAAGTATATTCTGTCAATTTTGAAAGTGAATATTAATTAGTAGATCCTATTGAAAAAGGATTCAGGACAAAGGTTATCTTTGTCAGTCAGTTGTCACTGTGTTTGACCAATATCTGTATGATCAACTGATGAGACAATGCGGGTCATTTAGGTTATTTTATTATTTTTTTGTGTTCATAGTGTACTACAAATTTTACAATATTTTTATACACATTCACAATTCCTCTCTCCAGTATTATTTCTGAAATCCTTTTTTTTCTGTTAAAATCCACAACATTTACGTGAGTGTACCTGGTTTACATTACAGTTAGTAACATAACAGTTATAACATCTATAATAATCCAGTTGTGTTGTACAATCTTGGTGAAAATCAAGGCCAGTAACTCTTACATACGACAGACTATAAATGCTTCAGTCCCTGATGTTAAAGTCCTGTCTCTTTCACTGTCATTAATTAAAATTGTCATAACCCTGTTTCATTCACTGTCTGTAGATACAGATGCTGTAATACTGTCTCTCTACCTGCTAATATTACAACATTTTACTGCAAACTATTCACTAGTTATCCATTTAATATTCATCAATTTTGGTAAAGTTTGCATCATTTTCCTTTCTCTTTCATCCAGAACATAACATTTAGTATAGTGTTTACAGTAATATCACAACGTAACATACAGTGACCTGTTCAGCAGTGACATTAAAAATCAATTATCAAGATCAGATGTTTGTGTAGGGAAAGTACCTCTAAACATATAAACAAGATGGATGTTCAATAATTTTTTGTTTAATAATTGATATGGAAAACATTTATGATTTTTAAAAAATTTTCTTATCACTTCATTACATACTTAATCACTTGTTAAATGGAAAATCACATCTACCCATGAATCAGATTATTCATAATACTTTTATATAGCTATATATCTATGATCATCAAGACTAAATCTGTTGAAGATTAAGTCATTCCATTGTTGTGTAAGAGAGTTCCTCATCATTTCTGGATGAAACGTTTGTCATATTGCCTAGCCATGTTTTGCCATTATAGATTTCATGTGAGTATCACGATTGCAAACTGCCATTTTATGTGTAGCAATACTGATCGAGGATACTCCGTGTGACTCCATATGATATTACTACATACTGAATGTAGAGTTATTTATAACGTCTTCAGTTGTTTAACATTGGTTATCCAGAAATTTGTTAAACTTGGTGAATGTTACAGCATTATTTAACCTGATTTTTTTGGACATCATGGCTTTATATCATTCCTCTATCAAAGTGCTAGTAATATTAAAGGTAACTGAAAATGTCTTCTGTTTAAGTGAGATTTATAATTCCTGATCTACACTACGTGTACATGAACTTTGCCATTGCTGTGTGTTTAAATGGAGAATCAGCTGATGACAACGATAAATCATGTAAATTTAACTTTTGACGTTTGTGTCTTAAAAGCCAGAGAAGTTTCCTTTCACAGGTGATGGTAAAATTTTGTATAAGATTATTGTGATTTGTAGAATTTCATAACATTTTCCATTCCCTCGTTGTAGCTTCAGTACAGGCCTATTTCCTGTCTACAGCTGTAGCTTCAGTACAGACCTGTTTCCTGTCAACAGCTGTAGCTTCAGTACAGACCTATTTCCTGTATACAGCTGTAGCTTCAGTACAGGCCTACTTCCTGTCTACAGCTGTAGCTTCAGTACAGACCTGTTTCCTGTCAACAGCTGTAGCTTCAGTACAGACCTATTTCCTGTATACAGCTGTGGCTTCAGTACAGGCCTACTTCCTGGCCACAGCTGTAGCTTCAGTACAAGCCTATTTCCTGTCTACAACTGTAGCTTCAGTACAGGCCTATTTCCTGTCTACAGCTGTAGCTTCAGTACAGGCCTATTTCCTGTCTACAGCTGTAGCTTCAGTACAGGCCTACTTCTGGTCCACAGCTGTAGCTCTTGACAATGACATATATATAAGTCATATTTTACTGTATAAATGATTGTAACAGGATTGTTTTTCATTAATCAATACTCATGGTGTATGTATATTATAGTATTAAATGCACCATAATCGTTTATATACATATATCATCTTGTATGAACTTTGTCTTCCTTAAACTTTGGTTGATCAGGTAGAATAGTGAAGTATGTGGATATATACCACGTTTTCTTACAAGTTTCTGTTTTACTGGTTAGGCTGATTTTGTTTAGTTTTAGAATGCTAAACATTGTTGGTATTGGGATCAAAAGTCAGAATTTGTGCAAGTAAAATGTAAGGCAAGAAAATTTTCATTTCATCATGTGACCATAACCTTGTATTAAAGATCTGCTAGACTCATGTAATGGTCACCTGTTTTATTATCTTACAACTTAACTGTGGTGTGTGAGATAATCAAATTATATTTTTTCTGATTTCAATTATAGGCACAGGTATTTATTATGATATAAACCTGTTGCTTCACAGCTCTGGTTGATTTTTTTCTCCAAATTTTATATTTGATATCATTTACTTTCATTTATCTCAGAAAAAAATTGAACAATAGTTATCTGTCAGTCACTTGCCGACTAGTAATTTATCAATAAAATAATATAAAAAAATTCTTTCTTGAAAAAATTATAATCGTTAGGAAATTGTATTATATACTCAAATTAATTCCAATGAGTTATTAGTAAACTAGATGCCATACTAAAATGATGTCATACTTATATACAGATGTATAATTGTAGAACTTATAAAGTAATGGTAGTGTTAATTGTCAAATATATTTGCTTTATAACATCTCTTTACTGGTTGAAACTGACCTCCTGGGATTTATAATTTTTTTTTTATAATTTTTTTTACAACAAAAAAAGATAAGAGAAATTGAATGAAATTAACTTATTTCTCTTGAAATTGCATTGGAGCATGTTTTGTGATAAATACTGTACATTATCATGAAGATACAAATATCACATAGGAATGCATAATTGCATTTCATCAAAAATTATTGGTACACATTTGATAAAGATTTTGAAGGATGAGACTAGAACAACTTCAGTACATATGTTTTAACAGAAGGAATTTTTTTTATTAATGAACAAATAAATTTGATTTGTTTATTTTATGTAAAAGTTAAAATGTCTTATGAACATTCATATGTTTGCAAGTTTGAGAATAATTTTTCCCCAGTTTTAATGTGATATAGTTTTGGCTTTCGATCACATTTTTAGGTTAAATCTTTTGAAATGTTTGTTTTATTTTGATGCGAATCAGATATGAATTTAAAACCAAATTTTGATATTTTTGATATTTTGTACCATCCAAAGTACTAAACGTATATTCAGTAGAAATGTTTATTTCCCGAAACTAACAAGTTAAAGTTGAGTATATATCTTCCCGTCCACAACTACGCAGGTTGTATTCTCATATTCATAAAAGCAGGTAAAAGAGCAATAAAGTACTTTTGTATATTTGTTTATTGTTTTGTAGTTCATTTTTGACTGCTTACAACAGCTGACTAAGCCTCAAAGGTTTTCTTAAATGAATAGGGTGCATAAGTCACGTCACATGATCTATGAGATTTTATGAGATTTTTACACTTCTGGGTACAACAATACCATAACAACAGCAACAACAATGGCACTTTTGATTTCGTACTGGGCCAACTATGTGAATGACCAGAGTAAACTCACTTGGAAAAGCGAAGCATCTGTCGAAAGTGGCAGAGTGCTTTGCTTCGTAATAGATGAGATGCGGATGGTATCAGCATGCGTGCAAGCATCAATGAAAGACACCTCATACAGTGTTCAGGTGAATTGGTAATATTTCCTCAAATTCACGATTTACGCTGTTCGCAAAAACTATATATCCGATAAGTATTGGTGTTTTATGTAACTTCTTTCACATCTGACTTAGAATTCAGACTGGCAGATGTGATTTCTTTATCGCCTTCTAGAACTCTATACAAGAATATATTCACCGATACATGTTATCAGGTTATTAATCTGCTGATCAGTACTACATGTACATATACAGTAGGTCCTGTAGGCAGAAAAACATATTTATATCGGTTCAATAGTAATTGGCCAGTGTGTTTTGACAAATATTTTTCTTTACCAGTTTTTTTTTTTTTTTTTGACACACAGATCTTTTAATAAAAACTGTATAACCAGTTTTAATTTTTATAATTAGTTCAATATTTTCCCTTGTAGATCTTCCTTGATGATGAAGACAATAGTGCAGTTAAGGCAACATCATGTCAATGCCCGATGGGGAAAAATAAATATAATTAAAAGATGTGTTTCAATGTCTTTTCCAGATATTGCCTTCATGAGATATGGTAAAAAGATTTCACAGGTATACATGAGATTAACACTCAATGTCACCCCCACTCCTCCCAACCCCCTCAACAGAAAAAAAAAAATTCCTTAAACTTGAAGCAAAACTGGTACATTGTGAACATCATTTCAATGCCAGTATTTCAATTGCATATTGCAACATAATCCTTTATCACGAATCAGTATGCTCTAGTGACAGTTACACTTACCTTTGAATCAATTCTTTCAAAAAAAATCTACATTAGTTAAATTGCACTTTAATCAAGGATTGACATGTATAAACTCTAAACATAACACATATGAACTTCAAAACCGAACTGACAAAAAAACCCCAAAAACATGACCATTTAGCGAATTACAGCCCCTCCCCCTCTCTTCTAGAGATGAAATTACATACTTAGAATACAACTGATGAAGTTATACATGCCAAAATGTTGGTCACAGTGACCTAATTCTGATATGCAACACACTGTCTCAGGAGGTGAACCATTATATGGTGTTATTGAAAGTACTCCTACTCTTTTTAGAGTAGGAAATATAGCACGGACAGGATAATGTTTGGTGGGGATTAAAAACTAAACAAAAAAAATAATTTTAGCATAACTGAACATAAATTATGAGTCAACCAGTGAAACATCCTAATTGTCCAAGTTGCTGATAAAGATATGATCTGTCATCATCAGTGACAGACCTCTTCAGTGCTCTGAGTAATCACATTAATTACATTAGAAAATGTTCATAACAATTTGATACAAAGAGCAATAATCTTACATTGGCTCTTTCTTAAAACTTTTTTATTTCAATAACAAAAAGATTTTGATAATCACCATAATTTATTTCCCATTAAGTATACCATATTTCAGTAGCATTTAATCGGGTGTACATGATGGGACACATACTGGCAATATAAACTTTTTAAAATGTAACAACACGAATAAATTTGCAGGAAATAGATTTAATATCACCACTGGCTTTTAAAAGTGTAAGTTCAATTGTATATAGATATAAGACTTGATTCTTTTACCTGTATTCTGGTTGCTTTGGGGGATATAATTCACTCATTGTCAGTGTAGATTTTGGAGGTATGTACTGAGAATAAACACCATTTTTTAAATAAAAAGTCGTCAAAACACAACATTACTTTTTTCTCGCTTTTAGTTACTCTTCATCATCAAATTGGCATATCCTTATTGGATAATAATATCAAACAAAAAAATTTTGAGGTAGAGATGTCACTGGTGTGCTCAGCAGTAGAAAATATTTGGATAATGACTTACAGACATGACCATACCGTAAAATTAGTGAATAGTACACATATTGCCCACTTGTTTGTCTTAAAGAGAACACTGACCTATGTGGCATTGAAAAGAGTTCCTTTAAATAGTTATTGCCATTCGGTTTTTGAAATTGAATTTTCCCCCCATAACCCTGTTGTATCTGGATTTGCTGAACAGATATGTGTTGGGTAATCCAAAATGCATTTCTCTGCACATCTTTGTGAATATAAGGAAATAGTTCATTAAACAATGCCAAGAGTAAAATCTTTGAATTCAGCATATAACCTTCGATAATTGCTTGTTAAGAACCTGATTTTACTCCAGTGTATTGTGTATGTTGTACCATGGTTGTGTACAATATGGTGTCAATGGAAAGGGCACATATTTTGATGCTTATAGAGCACGCTCCATTCAGAACAATTCATGCAGTGCTTTTTAAGAAATAGTGATAGCAATTCTAACTGTCCAAATGCAAGATGGCAGACTATTGGCAATTCTGCAGTTTGAGTCTCAATATTAGATGGACAGAACTAGGGACAAAAAGGAAGCTTCATATCAATTTCAAATCTGAATTTGCAAAAGTCATTGGTTGGATATTTCAGCTACCAGTTTGTCAAATTCCCTAGCTAGCTTTTTCCCAATACACTGTTTCTACAATGCATGTTTTTTCATCCATTTTTTTTTACATCAATTTATAATCCTAACCACTATGTTACCTTGATGTAATTTATAAAATTTCAACCCAGCTATACTCAATCGGCTACTATTCTGGGGTACTTGAATTTTATAACTATATAAATTAAAATCAATTTGTCAACGTTTATGACAAAAACTTAATAACCAAAATGTCCTGGCCCCTTCCTCCATTAAAAAGATAACAAAAACAATTCTATATGGAGATAAACAAGTTAGTTTTATTCATTAAAGTACTTAGTTTGCTGAAGTTATGAATAAAATTTCAAATTAATTTCATTTACATAAGTTTAAAGGTCTTGGGTTACAGCTAATTGCCAGTTTTCAAATTCTGTTCAAATTTAAATGCAATGTTCAAACATGTGATCATAATATTCCTGTTCATCTTGAATACTTAAACTTTCTGAGCAAACAGTAAAATTCTTGACATGGGTATTAACGCTAACTCCTTAGTTTTAACTACAACTCCTTCCATGTAGACAGGTTTCTTTCTAATATAAAGTATAAGAGCATGGATGTAATGTGATGATACGTTTCCAACAGCTCTGCACAATGATTCTACAGAAAGTTTCACAAGATTTAAAAAGTTCATAAATAGTGAAAGAAGTTTTAATATTAAAGGCACTATACTGTATTTCCTTGTCAGGAATTAAATAATTACCAGGTATAACATCCCGAGAAATACAAAAAGTTATCCCTATTGACATGAGTAAGGACAGATCAACATGTAAGAAGTTTGATGTACATAAGACTGGAAGATTTGTAACATTCTTATTTTCTTGCACTGTTTTTGCAGCAAACACCTTGTATCCATATAAAGCTGTATATTATTCATGAAAGTTTAGAACAAAACTAAAGAATGTAGAAACAACTTATTACCTGATACATCATTAGAAGTATTTTACATCCAAATACAAATATCTTCATGTACTCAACATATACCAACTCCATTTCCCCATGTTTACTGGTATACTCATTGACACTTGAATTAATACAAAATGTTAATTGACTATTTTGTCAGCTAAAATTGATCTTGAGAGGCATATTAGGCCAGTACTTTGGCTGTAGTATATCCATATTGCGATCATAAGACATCTGCATTGCTGTTTCCATGCCGTGCACCATCGCTGCACCTTTCCCATACAAAAGAATCATTTCCTGTGTCCTTCTAGCACCTGGTCGCTCATGTGGTGCAGCAGTTGTTGGGGCTTTCTTTGTCAGTTTGGCTAGAAAGAAAAAAAAATTGGTAAAAATATTGGCTGATAGAGATATGTTTTCCTCGTTTACAGCTGTTTAGATTGAATCAATATATCTAAAAAAAACCCAAAAAATTATGATAATGGACATAATAAATTTCATATCTGATTAAATCAATATATCTAAAAAAAAAAAAAAAAAAAAAAATATGATTCTGGATATATTAAATTTCAGACCAATAGGTGTTTGGTAGATCTTAAGTTGACTTATGCGACGGGACCAAGTCAATTGTAATTTACTGACATGGCCTTTTGCTCTGTTATTATCACTGGACATGTTAAATGACAGACCAAGAGATTTGAGTCTCATTACATTATCATTCTTCATGATATACTTTCAATATCATGAAACATTTTTATGCCTAAAAAGCTGCATCCTACTTCTGAAAATTTAGAAACACTTAAAAGGTAGAAAAAAGCAATCCTGCATATTATATGTAAAGAAAGAATAGACTTTCAATGATGTCTTAAACATTAAACCCCATTGCATAAAATACAAAACATATTAGAGTGAACAAGAGAAGTAATTATGACAAGGGTCATTGTAGAAGATTTTGGAGTTTCTTTGCTTTTTATCAAAATCTGTCCATATTTATTCAAGTTATTCAGGGTACATGGTAATAAAACTACAAAAACCATTGAACAGACAGATGGAGCATGGACAAAACTTAATTTAATAGGCCAATAAACTGATGGTTGTAGGCTAGAAATAAAATAACTGTGAGCAATACATTGGTCCGAAATAAAAAAAAAAAAAACTCATCAATTTATCAATTTGTCTCGGAAATTAAAGTTCTACAGTGTAGTATGTAACTGTAGATCTATACATTTATGCATTACTTACACAACTAGACCAATGTAGTATATAACTGAAATATAGATATATACTTTCATCAAAATCCAATGAAAATGGACAGATGGACAGATATATTACACACTAAAATAAGTTTGAAGTTGTTAAATGTGAAACTCAACATATGCTTATTATAAGTAATCTACAACTTAAACCTGATAATTTAAAATTATCAAGGGAATTAACTGGACTTTCCACCTGTATGTGTAACCCAAAAAAAAATGTGTATGGATACTATAAATGCCATTTTGCAATGGGTAACAAATACTAATGTCAACTGTTTCATCAACTGGACATATTCTGTGCATTGAAGTACAGTAACACAAACCTCCTTCCAAATCAAGTCTACTGTCTTCTTGTAGTTTCTCTGTCTTCTGGGCATCTGGAAGTAGAATCAATTACACTGTTAATAAAATTATTATTAAATTATGGATATTAAAAAACTAGGTATGTGTGTAACAGCAATGAAAACCTATATATACTGAAAATCACAAAACCATGAAAATATTTTAAGTCTCAAAATTTTGCTACCAATCAATCATAAACACTTATTTTCATTATTTCTGTAATATGGTTACGTATCTGATTGTGTGTCATACCTCTTTCCTTTTTGTGTTGCTCAGATTTAGCAAAGAATTCAACCATGTCATCTGTAATTTCCATTTCAAAGACTTCACTTTCACTGTCTGACCCATGTTGTGTTTCCTGACTCGTCGAATCTTTGTCCCCTGTTGAAATTTGTCCATTGCTGTTCCCTTGGTGATAAGCACCCCTTCGCCCTCGCCCGTTTCTTCTTGGTCTATTTTTACCTCTTTGTCTGCCTCCCATGTGATATGGATTTTCTCGAGGAGGGAAGCCAGAATTTGGCCATTTGTAGGAGAGTCCAGTCCCTGCCCATGGCATGCTAGCCATAGAGAAATGACCACCAAGCGGATAGCCTCCCATGCTTTGTTGTGGTTGAGCCATTCTTTTTGTGACACTGTTGTGTCTATTAAACCATGCCATACAGTGATAGTAATGTTTCCAGTAATTATTGAAACACGGCTGCAAATACCAATCTGGTTTGTCACAATTAGGAATACTTTTTTTAACTTTTGTGCTTGTTAAAGTCTCATCTTTAATATTTTCTTTATCTAAACTTGAAATACTTAAGTCAAAATCTTGAGAATCACTCTTTGATAAATCAAATGAAAGCGAGTCTTGGTCCATTTCTTTCATTTTGGAATGTCCATTCACTTGACAAATTGTATCCTCAAGCTGTGATTGGCTATCACTCTGTGATGTCACACTGGTGACTGTAGATGGATCAGAATCTGTACTTGTGATATCAAATGTTGATGAATCTGTTCCAGAATCACAACCATTAAATTGTCCATTGACTTCTTTTGTTGCCATAGTTTTTATAGAATCAAACTCAGTCAACAGCAGTTTTATTCCTGTAAAAAAAAAATTAAAAAAACAAATTAACAAAAACTCTACACATGGCCTATGTTGGTTACCCCTTTGTTATCTTAAAGTGCAAATGTTTCTGAAATGCCTATTTGTTGGGTTATCTGCCCTGTGAATAGTCAGAGTGGTAGCTGCAGGAGACTACATCACTGAGCTTCTTTTGGAAGGTTGTTGTTAGCTGTAATGAGAGAAATTGCTGCCTTTCGAGTTAACCATATCTGAAGTCAGTTTAATAATTAGTTTCTTTTCCAGAAATTTTGTTAGCCGTTGTAACCTACATCTGGTCTTGGTAAAAAATGCATTTAATAAATAAAACTTGCTGTTTTGAAAATAATTGTAATGTTATATCTATAAAATTGTTTCAAATTATTCTATATATCTGTCTTGAAATCTTTGTTTGTATTGAAAGCATGTCAAAGTCTCAAATGTGATCTTGAGTCGTAGCCACCAAAGATAACAAATGTCAAAACTAGTGCCCTTTGATTATTTACAGAATTTGAAATAGAGGAAACTTAAATCTGCTATGTGATATCTTTTCTTTTCACTTTCACTTCAGTTTTGTGTCTTACTCGAAAGGCAGCTTTTGGGATAAAGTGCCCAAGGAAACAACTATAACAGCACATGCTAGTGCATAATCTCAGCTTCCATAATAAGTCACAGAGCTATGACCATGACCCCTCATGGTCACTGTATCAACAAATGCCTTGAGATTATCAGAGACACAGTGGTCGTATTGGGCTGGTGAATGAAGGGTTGCTAATTTTCAACAGTGCTGAATCCATTGACAAGAGAAGTCACTCTCTGATTAGTCAAATCAACTCAGATGTAAGGTGTATGTGGTTGTGCAGTTTTAGATTTGATATTAGTAGGGAAAGGCACTACTCCTGGCTGTATGCTTCCAGGAGAGACGGGAAAGATTATGGCTGGCATCAGGAGTCCTGATGACCGTGTACTGCTTTAAGGTAGTTGTGATAAAGAGGTTAAGAACCTCAAATATTCATTATTAGTAGTAATTTACCAAGAGAACAATAATCGAGCAGTCTTTCTTTACTTCTGTCGCTAACTTGGCCTCATCCTTTCACAAAAATGTCCCAGAGCATGATACTAAGAAGGTTACAGCAATCTCCAGCCTTTTGTCCACTTTAGTTCCGATAGTGTTCAGTATTCTGATAGGCAATATTGGGGGTGATAAGGATTTTTTTCTTTTTTTTTCCCTGAAAATGTTATAAATTACCTCAGAATCCAACCCATTCTCTTATAAAATCCCACCCCTAAGTCTTTCCGACAGACCATCCCCGCTACCAAGCCTGCAACAACAAAATTTATTGAATGTGTTCAGTACAGTAGATATGTTATCTCCATTCTGTATTATACACTGTATAAGAATATATTATCCTAGACAACACTTTGGACAGTGTAAACGATATGTGTGATATCTAAGGCACTACTAAGTTATCTGTTGACTAGAAAAAACACACTCTTAATAACTGCTTATATTTACCATCAGAATAACTTCGTCACAAACGAAATGTTCAACATCAGTTTACGTTACACGCGTTTGTCATTACGGTCAAACATTCTGCAGAGCAAACCAGGTTTATACCAATGGCAAAGCCGATTTTTTCGTTCTATTTCCGGAAAGTGTTATTTCAAAATTACACGCCGCATTCTTCTTTGATTCCATTTTTAGCAAAATAAGAATAATCGGGGATTTCCGGTTTAATTATATGCTGCCTACAGAGATTGCAATCTAGAAGAGATATCATTTCTTTAGCAGTGCTTGCAGAATGCGAGTGGAAAAAGTAGTCACGTGACCGGCACTAAGGTAAACAACCAGCCTGGAAGGAGCGGGGAAAGTAATGAATATTGATCGTGGAATGTAATTTTCGACTGTTAGACGTAAGGTAAGTAATAGTGCAAGTTTGATATAAAGTTTTAAATATCAAATTATGGAATTTCGGGAACAATGAACAATGTCGTTTATAGCTAACAAGCATTATGCATCACATAGAACTGGGTTGCGTGCTGCAATACACAGGATACTTGTACAGGTGCAACGTGTAGGTCAACCTTTCCACGCCTTTATTATTGTATCACGTACCTGTTACCAGTAGTCAACGGCTTAATTTTCGTTGCGAATTGTCAATGTTAGCATTGTTTACGTTTTAAGGAATTTCAAATTTAAATGATTAAAAAAAATATTCATTTGTTTTTGATGACTGCAACTCCATACTTGTTAGTTGTGTATAAAACATTCTGATAAGTATATGCTGCTCTAGATTCAGTCAGCTTTAACGAGGTAGCTGAACTGATATTTTAGGCTGATTACAATTCAACAGATAATATAAGCATTGTAGACTGTAGCTTTTACTACTACCCTATTGAGGGAACAGTTATTGTTGTGAATAGATGAAGTAACTAACTGCAGAAATGTTCCTCTGCATATTGAATCTGTGTTATAGACTGTGGTCTATGCTCATGCTCAAATGCACTACTTATGACATATGACAATATAAAAAGTCACGGTTTAGCTATCACCTCTACCTACTCATCCATGTAATTATTAATATTGATGGGGTGGATTACTTGAAGAAGAAGATTGAGACACCCAGCAGAAGTATATGTGTATAAAGTGGAATGACGATATGCCTGAACTCTTCTATCTATATAACCATAAAAAACATAAACATTATGCTTTACAAATTTCAGAAAAAAAATTAATATCTGTTAATGTCAAAATGCTGATTTGTTTAGTGTCTCTTTTGGAAATATAATTTCAGAGTTAGTCTGTACAAAGTGACAGGATTTGTATTGTTCCATAACAGGTGGAATAGATGAGTGCTGATACATCAGTATTCAAGTATTAGGCTGGATGTCCATTAAAGGATTCTGGTTAACTGTCTCTGGAATACTTTTGTCATTGATAAATGTTGTCAGTTTTCTTTATACAAGATCACACACTTTCAAATATTGTGGATGCTCTTACTTTAACTTCATTTGACTTTTCATTTAGGATACTAACTCTTCAACTGTTGTAACAGAGGTCATTTATCATCCAAATGCCTCCGCTAGGAATCGAACCTGGGACCCCTGGCTTACTAGACTCACGCTCAACCAATCGAGCTAAAGAGAAGTTCTCTCTAGCCGAGTGGTATATTGCGGCTAGTATTTTATAAGGGTTACATAATCTAGAAATATAGACAGCAAACTTTGCTCTTATAGGAAGAGAAACGGTGATGGCAGACTAGAGCGGACATTGTCAGCCCACTATGATCAGATGCTGGGTTAATTCATTTGCCTTTTGTCCATGGTCCATCCGTCAGCCTTTTTGAAGCATGCCGCATTTTGAATTTGTTCCTATTTTTAAGACTACTATTTTTTTCAAGGATTCAAACAGAAGTCGCAAGTAAAGTGTCGCTAATTTCACATGATATTATGCTGTGACCAAATGCACTATCCTGATTTGACCAGAAAAGGTCACGATGCAGGTGTCATTGTCAAACTGAATTTCTAGTCTGGGGCTTATGTTAGGCAGCCCTGTAAAATTTTCTATTGATGTTGACGCTGTGACATTCACACAAATATTAAATGGTAGACTGGAATTGAATGTAGCCATCAAATTTGTCGAAATCAGCTACTCCCAACTCGCCTACCCTCCCATTGGGGCACAAACACCATTCATTTAATGAATTGAATAAAATGTGAAGGGAGTGAAGTACCTCAAGGGAGCATTACAGGATGACTGAAGAGGACGGTCAACACACAATTTAATGGGATACAAATGAAAAGGACATTGGAGTGACTATTGATACAGAGATGAAATTCAGCTCACAAAATTACATGAAGAAGGCAAACAAACTGTTAGGAATGGTTAAATATACATTCACCTACATGGATAAAAAATGCTTCTCCCCCTATATAAATTTCTGGTAAGACCATAGAAGGAATACAGTGCACCAGATTGGAGACATCTACTTCTAAAAGATATCGAGATAAAAAAACATCCAAAACGAAATAAAGCAAGGAGTTAGTGATAAAACATTCTCAGAGAGACTAAGATAAGAGGAATTCCTACCTACAGTATAAAAGACTGCAGTATAAAATACTTCAAGTCTATCCGGTTATTCATGGAATGGATAGAACTAGTGTTTGTTAAAGGGAACTGCTACCACTTATGAAAGTTAAATGAAAAAAAAAGACGACAATTAAATATTTAAGAAAATCCAAACAAAACTGTGACGCTACTCAAAATTCCAGAGGAGGTACTGAATGCAAGAACTCTGATCTAGATAGATGTGGATATAACAACTTTGAATCTATATAAATGTGGATGCAAGAACTCTGATCTAGATAGATGTGGATGTAAGAACTCTGAATCTATATAAATGTGGATGCAAGAACTCTGAATCTATATAAATGTGGATGTAAGAACTCTGAATCTATATAAATGTGGATGTAAGAACTCTGAATCTATATAAATGTGGATGCAAGAACTCTGAATCTATATAAATGTGGATGAAAGAACTCTGAATCTATATAAATGTGGATGTAAGAACTCTGAATCTATATAAATGTGGATGTAAGAACTCTGAATCTATATAAATGTGGATGTAAAAACTCTGAATCTATATAAATGTGGATGTAAGAACTCTGAATCTATATAAATGTGGATGCAAGAACTCTGAATCTATATAAATGTGGATGCAAGAACTCTGAATCTATATAAATGTGGATGTAAGAACTCTGAATCTATATAAATGTGGATGTAAGAACTCTGAATCTCTATAAATGTGGATGTAAGAACTCTGAATCTCTATAAATGTGGATGTAAGAACTCTGAATCTATATAAATGTGGATGCAAGAACTCTGAATCTATATAAATGTGGATGTAAGAACTCTGAATCTATATAAATGTGGATGTAAGAACTCTGAATCTCTATAAATGTGGATGCAAGAACTCTGAATCTATATAAATGTGGATGTAAGAACTCTGAATCTCTATAAATGTGGATGCAAGAACTCTGAATCTCTATAAATGTGGATGCAAGAACTCTGAATCTATATAAATGTGGATGCAAGAACTCTGAATCTATATAAATGTGGATGCAAGAACTCTGAATCTATATAAATGTGGATGTAAGAACTCTGAATCTATATAAATCTGGTTTAAACATGTACTGGGAGAACCATCATTTTAAATTAGCCCTAACTGTTATTAAGATTCCTTAAGCGATTCCTCAAATGAAGAGATGATAAGTCTTCTAGGGAATAGATATCAATAGCATGATAATGATGCACTGAGAAAAGAACTTTATTTTTTTTTTTTGCATGCACTCACAGGTACAAATTGTAAAAATATACAGAATTGACGATCAAGCCAGCAGAACTTATTTCAATATTATTCAAGAAAAAGTGAATTTCCAGGAACAAGTAATACTTATCAGGACATACAAGTGACACAAATCTGTGGATGTCAAGAAGCATATATGTTTACAGAGACAGAAAATCAGTAAATTAGGTAATTTTTGTTTTAATATGGTACAAAAATGAACCAAACCAAATGACTGTGAAACAAATAAGTGCACTGGAGCTTGTCTCGATGTTGGTTGCAGAAACCCTTCCATATATCAATTACTGGAGGTCGTTTAAGGCCTAGAATGAGTTATACAGGCACAGCATCACAAGTTCCAGGCTGTCACAGCTTTACCAAATGACATAAATGCTTCTGGTACCTGAGTAACCATCAAACAGTGAGGAATAATTTTTGTGGTGCTGGTCACATAGACCAGCAATAAGAATTCCCATAACTGTTTGTGATGTTAAGAAACTGATTAGTTTGGCTAAAGTTGACAGCACTTGGATTCTTCAGGAATGGGAATGAGTTTTGTTCAATAAGTTTTTTTGGTTAATGCCTCATCTTGTGGCTATTTTCTTACCGTAATTACAGTTTTCATCTGCTAGTGAATTAAAAGAACAATACATTAAAAAATAATTAGCATAAACAAAAAATTTCATTGTGTTCAGATATGTTCAAAACTAAAATTTGGTTTCTGAAGCTAAATGTCAGTAGTATATTTATCATTGTTTAAAAGATATTGAGTAATTACTTTGGGAAAATGATTGTTTTGAGTCTGTTCTTTTTTTCCTGTTGGTTTATCCAAATTACAATATGGCCACCATAGCAATGACCAGCTCAGGTTAATTTGTTTGTGGACAACATTTAACTAAGACTGAAATATTATTTGGACTTTCTGGGAATGCATTTACATAAAGGCACAGTGAAGTAGTGCATATTATCTAGGACAGCTAAAATCTATGGTGTGTGTTGAAACCGATTGGTTTGTATATTTGTTCGGAAGGCAATTTTCATGAAACTTCATACAAATATCAAGTATGGAAAGACCTCATGCAGTATTGAATTTCTTGGCATTCTAAAAAAAGGGGGATAGATAACTCAAAAAAGAGGAACATCATCTTATTTCTACATAATTTGGTACTTGTGGGTTTTAAGGCATAAGGAACTAATATTACATAGTTGCATATAAATTATCATCTCTGAACTATTATTTATACACTGCTACTGTGATCATGATGATTGAATCAATGAGTAGAGATGATAGATGAATTAATCAACAATGTTAAGGATTACATTGGTAATTAAGAACAACTTATTTGTTATTTTGTAAGCATGTATTGCCTCCTGTTTGAAAAAATACAAAAAAAAAAAAAAAAAACTAAATGACTTTAGTATTCTGAACAGTGTATTCATACAATTCAGTTCACTGGACTGTTGATAAGAAAACAATATGATTTGACTTGCCAAACATTTTGATATCTTGACATTTTTAAATTAGTAAATCAAAGCTTGAGGAGATAGTTTAACCTTTGACCTTTACTGAATCATTTTGACATTTGATAGTTCTTGTATTCTGTACTTTACAGTGTGATTATATGTGAAAGCGAAAATGACCATCTGTTCTTAAAATTGAGAAATCAGTTCTGTGACGTTAAGTGACCATGTTGTTGACCTAAGTGTGAAATTCAATTATACTGAATCAAACTGATGAAAATTTGACTGTTGGTGATTTATAAGTTGTCCTTTGGTTTACATTAAAATGTTACATGACAATGTGTAAATGAAACAAACACTATACTGATTGTAGTATTGATCGTCAGTTTGTCCTCATAATTGGTGACGTTTGTTGACCTATGACAAAAAGTATTGCTGTGCATGTATTGATATCGACCAGCTATTTGACCCGTGGCCTTTAATGACCTATATATTGACTTTTGATAAAACAATGAATTATGCAAATGAAAAATATGTCACATCAACGATTATGTATTATTAAGAAATAATTTAATACACTTCTCTACAGTACAATGGTTACACAACTTTTTTCGTTACAAGCTAAGTTATTGATAGACATCTGTCATAACTTAATTACATGGTTTGAAAGTAAAACTGCTATAGTGTATATGTATAAAGATGGACTTTTTTATATTCATATTGAAGAATTGTTTATGGATTCTAAGATGGCAAATGAACATGTAGTTTTATTTCTTATAAAATCTTTCATTTGAAATGTCCGGAATGCTAGTCCTTTAAGAGCCATTTCTATTTTCTCAATCATAAAAGTGTAACTTCCTTAAGTAAAGAAAGTGTGTTGGTTTTTTTAAAATAATTTTTAACAAATGAAATGCACAAATAAAGTCCTAGAAATAAATATTTGCCTTGACTCTGTAAATGCTAACTGACATTCAACATTTTCCCAAGACTGCCACTAATGAACCAAATAATAGGTATTTCCAGTAACAGCGTTGATGACATAATTTCTTACATGTAGTGTTAAATGCTACTAATATGATCTTACATAAAGTGGGCATGTAGGTCACTGTTGTCCTTAAGGTTTCTTGGCAACACATTGCCAAAGTACACAATGACATTGACTTCACATGTAAATTATCTCCTGCCAGTAGTCCTGCAGTCAGCTTTTATAATTTATTTGTAAGCACATAAGTCACGTTTACTTTCCTGAGAGACAGAAATCTCATCATATCTGGAAAGTCACATTAGCCTTAATTAGGTGCAGCAGTAATAAATTCACAACATTTACAATTGTAATTTTGATGCAACATCTGTTACATTCAGTTGTCACAAAAATTGTACTCAGCCCAGGTAGATGAAAATGGTATTATGTAACATGATTAAGATAGTTTAGGTAAACAAAGCAGGTGCCCTGGGTCTTAACACAAGATACGTATGTGTCTATTATAAGGAATACATATTGAGAAATCTGATCTGATCAGACCAACTGGTCATCATAATAATGGTACTAATATGTCGTTATGGAACAGGAAGTCTTATATATACCCTGGTACATTCAGGAGTTATAACTGAGCTGATCAAAGCAGCAGTAATTGATAGCGAATGCTTGTAGTAGGGTAAATATATTCTAGAAGTGTATTTATACAAATAGTATTGCTGATTTTCGTTGTTTGTAATTCGTTTCATGTACCTATGGAATTTTTTCCCTTTTATTCAATATGACCCATTTAAGAACATCCGAAGAGAAATGAAAGCATCAGCATATTCTTCTGTAACACCAATCATCTGTATTACGTATTCAGGTTTACAGACTATCTATATTTATCTTATATACGTATGTTGATTTCACCATTCAATGAATGATATAAAGCACCTGCACAAGAAAATTATTTGAAGTCTTATATCCTGCTATTTCAAAAATAGGTATTAAAGGCTGATTCAACCAGAAGTCTAGATAAATGGACACATAGATCAGCATGTCTTTCATATAATTGTCATGTTCTCAACATCCCCAGGATCGACTTTAGCCAGATAACTGGTAATCAGAGCCCAGTAACAATATTTTCTTTGTGTGTTGAGTCTATGATTTATAGACATTATGAAGCCATTAAGGTACAAGCATTTGGATCAATAGTGTACTGTTACATGCTGTAGAAATCATTGATGACAATTCTGTACATCAAATCTTGTTTGTTGTGTATTATATTTCTAGACAGTATTAAACATGATTAGTTACTGTATTAAATATACTTCATTAACAACATGTCTATCAACTTTATTTCAACCAGTATCCATGATTCATCATGATCATTTACCAAGATTTACCAACATTGACCACCATCATTTACCAGTATTCAACATGATTATTTACCATTATCCATCATGATTATTTACCAGTATCCATCATTTACCAATATCCATCATGATTATTTACCAGTATCCATCATGATTATTTACCAATATCCATCACGATTATTTACCAATATCCATCATGATTATTTACCAATATCCATCATGATTATTTACCAGTATCCAACATGATTATTTACCAGTATCCATCATGATTATTTACCAATATCCATCATGATTATTTACCAATATCCATCATGATTATTTACCAATATCCATCATGATTATTTACCAATATCCATCATGATTATTTACCAATATCCATCACGATTATTTACCAGTATCCATCATGATTATTTACCAATATCCATCACGATTATTTACCAATATCCATCATGATTATTTACCAATATCCATCATGATTATTTACCAGTATCCATCATGATTATTTACCAGATTATCCATCATGATTATTTACATCATGATTATATCCCATGATTATTTACCAGTATCCATCATGATTATTTACCAATATCCATCATAATTATTTACCAATATCCATCATGATTATTTACCAATATCCAACATGATTATTTACCAGTATCCATCATGATTATTTACCAATATCCATCATGATTATTTACCAATATCCAACATGATTAGTAATTATTTGCATCTGCCTTGCATGATAAATTAACAACATCAATATACAACAATCTCATTACAGATCTGATGTCATAGTTCCTCAGCATGGTGAAGCAAGTGGGCCTAGTCCCAGCCGGCTGTCAGCCCTGGAACAATGATGTTGTTGCAGCAAGTGGAGACCGCTTTGTTTATTGTGCAACAATGGCTATTTATATTTATCAGGTAACAATTGGAGACACTGACAATCTTTGTATGCTGGGTATTTTGTGGGAATGCTGACAATTTATGTCTACATGGTATTTTGTGGGGACACTGACTTTGCATGTCTACAGGGTATTTTGTGGGGATGCTAACTGTCTATGTCTACAGGGTATTTTGTGGGGACACTGACTGTCTATGTCTACAGGGTATTTTGTGGGGAGACTGACTGTCTACATCTACAGGGTATTTTTTGGGGAAACTGACTATGTCTACAGGGTATTTTGTGGGGGCACTGACTGTGTATGTCTACAGGGCATTTTGTGGGGATGCTGACAATTTATGTCTACATGGTATTTTGTATGGACACTGACTGTCTATGTCTACAGGGTAATTTGTATGGACACTGACAATCTGTGTATGCTGGGTATTTTGTGGGGACACTGACTGTTTATGTCTACAGGGTATTTTGTAGGGACACTGACAATCTATGTCTACAGGGTATTTTGTGGGGACACTGACTGTATGTCTACATGGTATTTTGTATGGACACTGACAATCGTGGTGTGCTGGGTATTTTGTGGGGACACTGACTGTCTATGTCTACAGGGTATTTTGTAGGGACACTGACTGTATGTCTACAGGGTATTTTGTGGGGACACTGACTGTGTATGTCTACAGGGTATTTTGTTGGGACACTGACTGTCTATGTCTACAGGGTATTTTCTTTGGGCCTGACTGTCTATGTCTACAGGGTATTTTATGGGGACACTGCCTGTGTATGTCTACAATGTATTTTATGGGGACACTGACTGTGTTTGTCTACAGGGTATTTTGTTGGGACACTGACTGACTATGTCTACAGGGTATTTTCTTTGGGCCTGACTGTCTATGTCTACAGGGTATTTTATGGGGACACTGCCTGTGTATGTCTACAATGTATTTTATGGGGACACTGACTGTGTTTGTCTACAGGGTATTTTGTTGGGACACTGACTGTCTATGTCTACAGGGTATTTTCTTTGGGCCTGACTGTCTATGTCTACAGGGTATTTTATGGGGACACTGCCTGTGTATGTCTGCAATGTATTTTATGGGGACACTGACTGTGTTTGTCTACAAGGTATTTTATGGGGACACTGACTGTGTTTGTCTACAAGGTATTTTATGGGGACACTGCCTGTGTATGTCTACAAGGTATTTTATGGGGACACTGACTGTGTTTGTCTATATACATACTTCTTATTTACCTAGCTATTCCTTGTTTTTACACACATATTGTCCGCTGTTGTATGCAATGTGTTTACTGATTATGGCTGATTTTAATTTACGATGATGGAAAGTTGTAAAACAACTTTACACTGTGGTAGAACTTACAGGCATGTGATGTTAATAGTATGGTTAGTTCATCTAATGTTAAGGTTCAGGTTGACCTATAGCCATTGTATGTCATGCAGCCTTGTCAGCAATCTGCCATGCTTATACTTTTTACATTGTAAACTTCTCATCTGTGGGATTGAGGTCAAACTTGCCTGAAATGATCTTGAGATGTTCCTATTCAAGTGTTTATATATTTCGGGTCAGTTTGAAATGCAATATGGCTGACATGACCATGATCTTGAAAAACACTTGTCAGCCGCCCGACATATTTGAACTTTTTATGTTGCTGATGTTGTTCAGCTGAAAATTCATGGGTATGTTTAGGCATGTAAGCCAACAATGTGTCATTATTTTTTAGCTTTGTCAAAAGTTCAACATGGCAATATATAATCAGATGACCATTAAAGCCCTTGGGCCTCTTGCTGAGAATACGGTCAATCCTGGTCTGTTCATTAGAACAAACACAGAGGTTATAAAACTTCATGTTTGATCTTCAATTGCATTCTTCTGCCAGGCTGGTCATAGTGTATAGCTTTTAATCATACCTCTTAATGATGAAAGTCTGAAACAAGTGGTAAAAGTATCTGTAAATCAGTCCCCTGATTGTCCTCAGCAGACAGATCAATTTCAGCTCCTGCTTTTAATTAGCTCATATAATCTTCTATAGCTTCTTTGATGAGGTCATGCACCTTCAGATCTGATGAACTTGGTTGGTGTATCTGAATATATTTTTGTAATTAACTCAGTGAAATTACAATAGCAATGTTCACCGGTAGTGGACTTCTTTACTTTAATTAAAAATGATTTGAGTAAAAGAAAGTTTTGTAGTAATGTTGCTTTTATCTTAATTAATTATTTTTTTCTTCTTATATCTTTTAAAATTTTATTCTGACTTTTGGAATTTTGAAATTTGCTATTTCTTGAAGTGGACTGTATGGATTTTTAAAAAATTTTATTTGTTTTTTATTTTTCTATTTTACTTCCAATTAGTGCTTAGTTGTGCCTTTTTGAATTTTTGGACTGATCAGAAGAACAAAATGGCTGCAATGTGACCATCTCGGAGGTTATGAGTTGGCCATCTCGGACTTTGAAAATGAAAGTTTGTTATCACTATTTCTTGAAAATGACTGGATAGATCTTGATCAACTTTGACAAGTAGGTTTCTCTTTTTCGGTCCCTAATTATGTTGTTTCAATTTTGGGACTGATTGGAAAAAAAAAAAAATTCTGCAATTTAGCATCTTGGATTTTGACTATGGGAGTCTACTTCTTGAGAAGGACTGGATAGATTTTTCTCAAATTTCATTGGTAGGTCCCCTTGGTTCCTAGTTGTGCCCTTTTGATTTTGAAATTAATCAGAAAGGCAAACTGGCTGACAGAACTTGAATTTTGACTATCTCTGGAGAAGTACTAGATCTTTATCATAGCGTACAAAAGAAACAGGGATGATAGACCTTAATTTACCAATTACTTGTATTTTCGTTTTAGGGGTGAATAATTAATGAAAATAATCTCCAAGCTCCATTGATCCTATAGAATATCTAACCTTTATCTATATAGAATCTGTTGCTTGCTTATTTTTGTGATCAGTTTGTTGCCACCAAGGGCTGATACTGTGTAACAAATGTTACCCTCAAACTGAGAATGAAGTGCTTTAGAAATCAATTAGTCTATACCTGGTACTAAGCCCACCCACATGTATTTGATATTCAGTAGTCATGACAACAAGAGCTCTACTGTTGTCCTGTGATAAGCCCACATCCCTGCTTTAAGTGACACCACCCCTCTGGTTTTAAGCTCAATTTAGGATGGAAATGATGCAATAGTGGTTGACTAGATACAATCTAATTTCAGCTGGACAAAAAATTCCAGGAATTCAAGTTGGTGTCAATCATGTCCGAACACAAGAAAACAATCACAGCCATCGCCTTCAATCCATCAAATAAAGATATATTGGCCAGCTGTAGTGCGGACCACAGGGTCATTGTGTGGGACTGTGACCAACAGAAGATTCTAGCCCAACTGGAAAATACCAAAGACATACCAATAGGAATAGGCTGGTGTTTCCATGGAAACGAGGCAGTAACATTTACATCCAGACGAGGACAGTTCTTTAAATGGCATTACCAGAACCCAGCAACTAAATTAATGACTATTAGGGAAGTGACAGGGTTCTCTTCTGATGTGTTCATCTTCCGGTGGCATCCAAGGAATACTAGTAAAATAGTATTGGGTCACAGAAATGGCACCCTCTCCATCTGCCACATTGGTAAGTTTTTTTGCAAATAGGTCCATCACATAAAAACATGTTACTTTATAAAACCTTATAAATTATGGTAAAATTCACCGGAAATATGTTTCAGTAGTATATAAATTTACCGCACATTTAGGCATGTATTTTTACCAAAGCCGTCCGGCATTTATAATGGCATGAATGCCATGGTACAGTTTTTAAAGCCATCTTTATATATGACTAAATTGAAGAATGAGAAACAAGTATATATAACAAAATCTGTAAACCAATTGTGCTTCGACTAATTGTATGAGAAAATTTGTCAGTTCATATGGAAATTTGTGTTGTCTTTGAAATATAAGATAAAAGCAGTTATGTTTAAATGACTGTAAAACAAAGGACAGTATGCAGCAGACTTAGATGATAAAAGTTGCATTTAAAGGTTATTTTCATCTGATGTTTTAAGTCTTACAAAATTCTAAAACCGAAAAGAATGTACGGTATCTTTCAAGGAGATCGTGAAATGGATTAAATATTTCACTAATTTCATTTTTAAGATACAATGTGTCTATTTTTAGGTTATCTGAGACAAAGTCTCGTGGTGACCTATTGCTATCACCTCCGGCATCGTGCATCTGTAAACTAGTGAACATTTTTGAGGAGGGGGAGGGGTTAAAGTTTACTTTGGTTTATAATGAAAAACTAGATTTTTTTAGCATAATTTATCAAATTTCCATTGGAAACACTTCAAACTTGGTTAGGATTATGAGCAAAGGATGACAGTTTTATGGTATGCCCATATTGATCCTATCTGCCCCCAGGGGCTGATGGGCGGGGCCTATAAGGGTCAGATTGACTTGGAGTTCCAAAATCTTCTTCTCACCACCCAGATATGGTAGAATCAAATGCTTTTCATGGATGGAAGCATCTTAAGATGCTTTACCAATATTCATGCAAGTGAGGGTGCGTTACAAATGAGCTACCAGACCATCCAAAAAAGGGATCTCGCATGACTCGCATGGAGATTAAAAAATTAAGGCACAATTGTTTTTTTAGGAGGAAAGAGTTACAAGCATGTTTGTGCCCCAGATGAAAACTCTGATTCGGAAGAGGAGGACCCTGTGACAGCGCTGGAGTGGGATCCCTTGTCCACTGATTACCTCATCATTGCCAACACATTTGGCACCATTCGTCTTATTGACTCTAACTCACTCAACATCATCATTCGTTTCATTATGCCAAGTGTGGCTTCCCAAGTGTCCTCACTTTCATGGATAGACAGTGCACCAGGAATGTTTGTAACAGGGGGTAAGTTTTTCATGGAAATATTTTCGGTCTCGGGTAGTAAACTGTCATTTTACAGAAGAAATATGAATATAAAGAGAGAATCTTTAAGAGGTAACAACTATCACCAGGCAGAAGGGATTAGAATATTAATAGGTAATATTTCACCAGGCAGAAGAGATAAGCATATTAAGAAGTAAACTTTCATTGGACAGAAGGGATTAGATTATTAAGAGATAAACTTTCATTGGACAGAAAGGGTTAGAATATTAAGAGATAATATTTCACCAGGCAGAAGGGATTAGAATATTAATAGATAATATTTCACCAGGCAGAAGGGATTAGATTATTAAGAGATAAACTTTCATTGGACAGAAAGGTTAGAATAAAAAGAGATAAATTGTCTCTGATTGGAAAGGATAATATCAAAAATTAATGAATTCAGAGATTTGCATTTGCTGGTTTCATTGGCATGCAGAGATTGTTAGGTTAGTTTGGAGGCAAGCTGTCTTTTATTAAAGGGAATGGATTGGTGCACCAGTAAGCAAGCTTTCGTTGGTATTTTCAGAAAGAATAGGACATAGAATTATTTTTATATCAAAATCTTCCATATCGTTCAATATATATTGTATCTTTCTTCCAACTTAGAACACTTTTATTGTGTTTTAAGACCGTCATTTTCTCAGTGTTTTTTTTTTGTTAAACTAGATGCTAAAACAGGAGTTCTTAGAGTATGGAGTGTATCCAGGTCATCGCCATTGGAAACGATCAGACTCAAGCAGACTGGTATACATGCTTTACAGGCAGTCTGCTCCACTGTTACCAGCAGTGAACTCAGTTCAGAACTGTGCGGTATTTCATCTAATCCATCCTCCTCAACCCAAGCCCAGCCTCCATCATCCATCAAAAATCCCCATTTTGCTCTTCCACCAGCAAAGATCCTTTGTACATTTCTAGATGGAGGGGTCGGACTTTATGACATTGGACAAAGCAAATGGATATTTCTAAGGGATGAAGTGAGTTAAATTGACCTGTTCAATTGTCCTTTACATGATGTTGGTTGGTCGTGTATGAGAATTAGATAAACTACCAGTTTGAGTTCATCTGTAACACATGAACACATTATGAATACCTGTCTAATGTTATCTGTTACACAGGGCCATATTGAGAATACCTGTCTAAATGTATTTGTTACACAGGGCCATATTAAGAATACCTGTCTAATGTTATCTGTTACACTGGGACATATTGAGAATACCTGTCTAAATGTATTTGTTACACAGGGCCATATTGAGAATACCTGTCTAATGTTATCTGTTACACTGGGACATATTGAGAATGCCTGTCTAATGTTATCTGTTACACAGGGACATATTGAGAATACCTGTCTAATGTTATCTGTTACACAGGGACATATTGAGAATACCTGTCTAATGTTATCTGTTACACAGGGACATATTGAGAATACCTGTCTAATGTTATCTGTTACACAGGGACATATTGAGAATACCTGTCTAATGTTATCTGTTACACTGGGACATATTGAGAATACCTGTCTAATGTTATCTGTTACACAGAGACATATTGAGAATACCTGTCTAATGTTATCTGTTACACAGGGCCATATTGAGAATACCTGTCTAATGTTATCTGTTACACAGAGACATATTGAGAATACCTGTCTAAATGTATTTGTTACACAGGGCCATATTGAGAATACCTGTCTAATGTTATCTGTTACACTGGGACATATTGAGAATACCTGTCTAAATGTATTTGTTACACAGGGACATATTGAGAATACCTGTCTAATGTTATCTGTTACACTGGGACATATTGAGAATGCCTGTCTAATGTTATCTGTTACACAGGGACATATTGAGAATACCTGTCTAAATGTATTTGTTACACAGGGCCATATTGAGACCATCTTTGACTGTAAATTCCAACCTGACAATCCTGACCATTTGGCTACTGCTAGTTTTGATGGGAGTATTAAGGTTTGGAATGTGAACACCCTAACCACTGTAAGTATTATGTGGAGAAATGTTTCCAGTCTTAAATTATGTGTATATTTACATGTGGACTTTTTTGCCTTCTGCCTATGTTTGATACACAAAGTTTACCTATGGAACATCCATTTAGGATAATAAATATTTTACCTTTGGAAAAGCCTCAGTTCTGACCCAAATTTTATATATATATCTGGTGGACTTGATAAATCCACCCCTATTTGGAGAGTCAGTTGTAGATAGACATTTCACCTGATAATTGTCTCCCTTTGTTGTTTTGTAGGTGTATATTTCCCCAGGTAACGAGGGTGTGATATACTCCCTGTCTTGGGCCCCAGCAGACCTCCACTGTATGTAGATAGACATTTCACCTGATAATTGTCTCCCTTTGTTGTTTTGTAGGTGTATATTTCCCCAGGTAACGAGGGTGTGATATACTCCCTGTCTTGGGCCCCAGCAGACCTCCACTGTATCGTAGCCAGCACTTCCAAAAATGGCATGTTTATTTGGGACATTCACAAGAGCAAAGTCATCAAACGTTTCTCAGAGGTAAATTTGTTACACACTTAACAGTAGTCAGTATGTAAAGCAAGACACTTCATTGAGCTCAGTTTCTTGTGGTAAGACAATTTGCAAAGGGCATTTTATCAGGAAAGCCACATTACAGAGATAAGTTTAAGCAAGACACTACACAGATATACATTAGTAGGTAAGACACTTCATAGAGGTTTGTTTGTTAGGTGAAACACTTTCAAGTACTGGTCAAGTTGTTAGGTAAGATATTGCCCAGTGGTTAGTTTGTTTAGGTAAGACATTGTCCAGAGGTCAGTTTTAAAGGTAAGACATTTCACAGAGGTCGGTATAAAAGGTAAGATACTTCACAGAGGTCAGTATTAAAGGTAAGACACTTCACAGAGGTCAGTATTAAAGGTAAGACATTTCACAGAGGTCAGTATAAAAGGTAAGATACTTCACAGAGGTCAGTATAAAAGGTAAGATACTTCACAGAGGTCAATATTAAAGGTAAGACACTTCACAGAGTTCAGTATTAAAGATTAGGCACTTCCTGCAAGAGGTCACTTTGTGGAACAAGATGCTTCACAGAGGTCAGTTTTGTTTCATAAGTCATTTTATTAAAATACTTCCCAGAGCTTGGCTGTATAGTAAATGAAGACACTCCACAGAGGTCAGTTTGTTTAGGTAAGACACTCTGCAGAGGTCAGTTTGTTTAGGTAAGACACTCTGCAGAGGTCAGTTTGTTTAGGTAAGACACTCTGCAGAGGTCAGTTTGTTTCGGTATGACACTCCTCAGAGGTCAGTTTATTTTTAGGTAAGACAATCTACAGAGTTAATTTTGTTGAGGTAAGACACTCCACAAAGGTCAGTTTGTTTAGGTAAGACACTCCACAGTGGTCAGTTTGTTTAGATAAGACACTTCACAGACATTCATTTGTTAGGTAAGACAGCTAATAGATCACGCTCTTTTCAAGTGTTAAGCTACAGTTTATATATATATACCTAAATATGACACATGATGATATAAAATTTGATTTAGCAGCTATCCCTAACACCTGATGCAGATGGATTTTAGTGGAGAAATACATATACTAGATATATAACACAAGAGAAGTTCTGTATGGGAGAGTTTTTTTTATAATTGTCCAGGATTTTGATAGAGAAATATAAAAACTTAGATATATGTCTTATGTTTCCAGTATCAGCAGTATCTATAACTGGTAAAATAATAAGTACTGATGTTTCATTCTGTTGTTTTTACAGCACACTAAAGGAGCTGTGTACTCAGTGGCCTGGTGTCAAAAAGATTCCAAGAGAATTGCTTCTGTTGGTGCTGATGGCTATTGGTGAGAGAGTCCTTTATAACAAGACACAAGACAACAAGATCATTATCTCTAATTCATAAGGAAAAATAAGAAAAAGTCAACATAATCTAAACTCAGATTCAATAAAACTAGGGCAAAATATGAACAAAGGAAAAATTTACATGCAGACTCAAAAGAGTAAGACCAGGTGTTCTGGAAGGACAAGAGTTTTCTGCTTCATTGATGACAGCCACCACACCCTGGAAAACATCTTGCAAGCTTCTGTTATTCTTACTAGTGCTTTTCATTATAATTGAGATCAGCGATCCTGAGCACATCAATGTTAAGATATTGTGTTTAGCTCAATTTTTTAGACAGAGTATCTGCTAATAAAAACCAATTTCTGAGTTGAGAACTCTTTTTCCTCCATTCAAAGCTTCAGTAATGAATGAGAACTACCCAGAAGGAAAATTGAAATTTTAGGTATATGAAGCAATCGTATCGCTAACTAGGTTGAGAGAATAGGTCTGACCTGTCTGCTGTATGCTGATGTATTACAACTGTGAGTGTTCTGTGTTTGAAAGCCCCATAACTAGCATTTGAAAAAGGATGATTCTGAAATACCATAGAAATATGTTATCTGTCATAGATCAGGATGATATTTTGTGTGTTTTTATTATTATGCATTTTTGTTTTGTACAGCATAATACGACTTATCAGTGGGGATGTCCTACAGAGATACAAACACCCTGGACCAGTATATGGCTGTGATTGGTCTCCTACTAACAAGTAAGGTTACATCTCTTTCAATGTTTCTCCAATTCTTTTTTCATCCGATCCATCAATTGTCTTTGTCTTAATTTCTCTTTCCTTTTCCTGTGCCACTCTATTTGTCATTCCTTCTCATTTCATTCTTTCTCAATCTTCAACCCTATCTGCAGAATTCCTCTCCTCAAACCATCCCCCATCTTTCCCATTCCTCGTCTTTCCCTGTCAACTATCCTCCTGCTTTCCCTTTCCTTGTCTCGCCCTATCAACCGTCACCAGCTTTCCCTTTCCTCATCTTGCCCTATCAACCATCTACCTGCTTTTCCTTTCCTTGTCTCTTCCTATCAACCGTCACCTGCTTTCCCTTTCCTTGTCTCGCCCTATCAACCATCCCCCTGCTTTTCCTTTCCTTCTCCCTCCTATGAACCATCCCCCAGCTTATCCTCTCCTTTCTTTCTATCAACCATCTACCTGCTTTCCCTTTCCTTGTCTCTCCCTGTCCACCATCCACCTGCTTTCCCTTTCTTCTGTCCCTATCAGCCATCCCCTCGCTTTCCCATTCCTTCTCCCTCCTATTAACCATCCCCCAGCTTTCCCTCTCCTTTCTTATTATCAACCATCCCCCAGCTTTCTCTTTCCTCGACTCTTCCTATCAACCATTCCCAAGCTTTCCCTTTTCTTTTCTCTCCCTATCAACCATCTACCTGCTTTCCCTTTCCTTCTCCCTCCTATGAACCATCCCCCAGCTTATCCTCTCCTTTCATTCTATCAACCATCTACCTGCTTTCTTTTTCCTTGTCTTTCCCTGTCCACCATCCACCTGCTTTCCCTTTCTTCTGTCCCTATCAGCCATCCCCTCGCTTTCCCATTCCTATCAACCATCTTTCCCTATCAACCATCCTTCCCCCAGCTTATCCTCTCCTTTCTTTCTATAACCTGCTTTCCCTTTCCTTGTCTCTCCCTGTCAACCATCCCCCAGCTTTCCCTTTCCTTGTCTCTCCCTATCAACCATCCCCCAGCTTTCCCTTTCCTTGTCTCTCCCTATCAACCATCCCCCAGCTTTCCCTTTCCTTGTCTCTCCCTATCAACCATCCCCCAGCTTTCCCTCTCCTTTCTCCCTATCAACCATCCCCCAGCTTATCCTCTCCTTTCTTTCTATCAACCATCTACCTGCTTTCCCTTTCCTTGTCTCTCCCTGTCCACCATCCACCTGCTTTCCCTTTCTTCTGTCCCTATCAGCCATCCCCTCGCTTTTTCTTTTTTGTTTCTTTAATGGACACTACACAAGTAAACAATAAATTGTATTATGCTTGCATATCAAATCAGTTATGTTGTTTCTGTAAATGTGCATATGAAAATAGTTACCAAATATAAGGGGATGTCCCACTTTGTTGTGGTTCTGTTAATTTCTGATTCATCACATATCCATATCATTCTACCTCTGACTGAAATATTAGTAATTTCTGACAACTCAAACTTCTGTCTATTGTACTTTTAACCTGTTTATTCGTTTACAGAGACATGTTAGCTACTGGCTGTGAAGACATGTGTGTACGGGTATTTTATATTGTGTCTTCCACTGAGCAGGCCTTAAAAACATTTAAAGGTATGTGATTTTTGGTCATCTGACCCAAAGAATCAGGGTAACCAATAGATATTATCTTTGTTGTTCATTGTACACCCTCCGCCATCTTGAATAACATACTTTGTTATTTTTTGGCCTTTGATATGGCACACCAATGGCAGCTGTTTTGTATCATGATTGTACAAATATAGTTTTCCCACACTTTCTCAAAACTTTGACCACTAGGATTCAGCTCAAGATTGTCTGAAATAAGTTTGAGAATGTCCTGACCATGTGTTGTTATTTTGCATTGGTCCCAACTCCAACAAGGCCACTTTGGATGCCGTCATGAAAAAAAAATAAAATTCTTCTCTCAAGATCCATAGGTACTGTTGAATTGGAAATTAGTGGGTGTGTTAAGTATGTTAGTTTTTGGGCTTGTCTGAAATTCAAAATGGCTGCCATGGTCCTTAGATGCCAATGAGTTTAAATCAGTAACAGCTAATATATTCAGAATTGTTTGAAGTTCTAATAATTGTTCTCACCACCAGTGCTGCTGTTATAGCATTGATAGGTCTTGTCAGCCAAATGTAATACTTTAAGTATGACAGGAGTTTTCAGACTAATAAAAAGCTGCTAAAACTTTGCAGGTTTTCTCTTTCAACAAACAATTATATACATATAGGTGGACATAAATTATACTATAAAGTGTATTTAAAACATGGATATTTTTTTAAAGATGTTGTTGATAACTGATGATATGTAGATACAGTGAAGCCTGCTTAATATCGTGTTCTATTTGTCAGGGGAAAATATGATAATAAACTACATATCAATTGTGACTGTCTTAAAGTGTTGTTAATGTTTTATTTTAGGACATACATCAAAAGTTTTCCATGTGAAGTGGTCTCCCCTGAGAGAAGGTATCCTGTGTAGTGGATCAGATGACTCGTATGTATCATTTGACCTAGATTTTATCTACTGATCTACATAGTATCATATGAGCTAGATTTTATGTACTGACCTACATGGTGTCACATGACCTAGATCTTATTTACTGGAAAATTACATAGGTATTATCATATGACCTCAATTTTATGTACTGACCAACTTAATATCACATGACCGAGATTTTCTGATCTAGAAGGGATCACACAGCTTTCATAATCTTTCCGCTAAAAATGATCTTAGTCACTAAATATTTACAGACATTTCAGATGTCCTATCAAAATGGAATCTTTGTTTCAATATCATGATGACCGTTGTGTTCCAGAACGATCCGAATTTGGGATTACACCCAGGACACTTGCATTATGGTACTGAAGGGCCATGAGGCACCAGTCAGAGGCCTTCTGTGGAACTCAGAGATACCGTACATGTTGATATCAGGGTCATGGGACAGTAAGATTCGTGTGTGGGATGTAAGGGACGGCGCCTGCGTGGAGACTATACTGGACCATGGAGCGGATGTCTATGGTGAATGCTGCATTTTTTAATGTTCCATATATGTCTATTTATTTTATGTCACAGGCTTAAAATATTTTTGTTAAGTTTAGTTCTAAGTTCAAGGTAACAAATAGAGGTCAGTGTCAGGTTTCTTTCTTCAGCTTGGATGATAGGGAAGTAATTCTTTGAAAGTCTTTATCTATTTCAGTGTTATAGGGGTCAATTATGCTGAAATTTTATTTTTCTATTTTTCCAACATGTTTCTTTCAATAAGTCATGAGCTTGTAGTATTGGTATTTTACTTAAGCTTATATAAATGAAAGGTTTTGAAGTTTTTAGAATATACTATGTTTGAATTCCATTTCTATCAATTTCTTTTCACATTTTTCAGGTAAGAACTACGACTAATTTACATGACTCCGTCTACACATATATATACATATCAACATGATTTTGTTTCATAGAACACAGTCTGTTGTGATTTTTACATTTATATATTACCAGTATATCCTCTATAAGGTGAACACTCTCTAGTCTCTAGTTTTGAAATTTATCTGATATTTTTAGCAGAAAGCCTAATATTTCCCTCACCCCACCTTTAATACAGGTGATAATATGCTGTCCTTGTTTGTTGTTGAGAAATCTGTACACGATCTATTTACCTTAACATTAAATATAGCGCTCATTGTGTTAAAGCCAGTATAGGGGGACCAGCTTACTTAGTAGTTTTGGCGATATCACAAACACCCTGAAGTAATATTGTAACTAGTTATCTATGTAAAACTGCGTGTGTAAAGAAAAGGAAATATGGTTTTTCAATGAATGTGTTCAGAACACATAGCATTTTGTGAGACTATATCAAAGAGCTTGAAATAACTACATTATTTTGAAACAAGACAACTACTCTGAAGTCTATGCACATTTCAAATGTTTAAAAGCCATTGTGTATCCTTTCAAAAATGTACAGTTTTACCTTAAATATCGCGAAACATTCCATATGAATTGTTTTCCTATTGTTAACGTTATTGCTCCTATAATGTCAGCTTTAATGTGATGGTTCTGCATGAGTTGTACAAAAAATTTATTTTTCAGGGTTAACATGTCACCCTAGGCGACCATTCCTATTAGCGTCCAGCTCAAGGGATTCAACGCTACGATTGTGGTCACTTAACTCACTGATACAACCCATAGAAATCAACATCATAGCAGGAAAGCCCTGGTCAGATATTATTGGTACAGTCGGTAAGTGTAGTCACTGAAATATAAAACATAAATGTCATTCAAGCTCAGTGCGAATCTTGTCATTTTCTAATAATAAAACTTAAAAGAATCTGAGAGACACATGCAGAAAAAATGTTTTTGCCCGAAGACAGAATTATGGCCCTTCTGTTCACTTTTTATTTGAAGTTTGGTATGAAGTGTGTTCTAAAATGTCTATGAACTGATTTATATGGAACACACACGTCATTACTTATCCTATATCTACATTCATGCCAAGGTACTGTAAAGGTTGTTATACTGGAGGGCTTCATTTTTTTTGCTATTTCCAGAATGGTGTTAATTCATGAAAAAAAGATCCTCAAACATGAAATCAATTAAGAAAATAATTATCCATTTCATAACTTCAGTAAAAAAAAAAAACCTCTTGTAAAAAGTATTTGGTAAAACCACGAAATTTTGAATCACCAAAAAAACAATATTTACAGTATCTAAACTTCCACCGTTTATACATCAATAAACCACATAATTAATTATTAATGTTTTTATTATGTTGACTTGAAAATTATGATAACCATGTTTTGGAAATGGTATTTTGCAATGCAATATTTCTACATCGGATGTATATATATTGTCCCCAGAAGCTGCTATGGACGTTGGTAATCCTCCTTTGCTGGCAGGACGTGTTTCTAAGGATATCAAACTTGAACTAGAACAACCTAACAACAAGGCCAATATGGCTGACAAAAAACTTCAACTTTTTTCAAAGTTTTTCTGTGTAAGTTTGTGTTTTATTGACAGGATTGGTATGTGGCAGATTTATTGATACCAGTTTTGTGAGATATTTGTGTCATCAGTAAAGCAGTGAACACAATGTTAATTCCTTGAACAAAACATGTTTCTTTAAGTCATTCAAAAACATACAGGACTTCCTTTCTGAACATGCTTGCTCCAGATTGTATTTTAAAGTCTTAATGTCAAAGGTCGAGATACTTTAAAGAGAGATCTGAGTTTTATGCAGTAAGTTGTATTTTAAACGATCAATCAAACTGTGGCTTATTACAGAGCCCCGTTCCAATAAACGTTAGATTTAGATAGGTTTCAGGTTAAAAGGTCAAAGGTCAAGGTGTTTCTAATGACCCATAAAATTCAGACTTGATACAGAGCTTCCTTTATGAAAGTGCTTGTTTTTGATAACTTTTCAGACTTGAAGGCCAAAGTTCCAGGTCACTTTCAATAAGTAGAATTTATGGGAAACTTGAGTGACCTTTGGTTCATTTAACCCATTCTTCACAATTAAGATTTTGTGCAATTGCTTTTCATGATCAGAAAATCAATGTACTTTGACAGTAACTGTGAATTACATTATTTACAACAACTTTCATATCAAAAGGCAATGAAACTTAAACTTCTTACAGGAGAATTGCTTTTTTAAAAATGACGCGAGTTCCCTTTGACTGATTAAAGTTTAACTCCTTTCAGAATTCCTTCAGTAAAAGTGTTAGATTGGGACAGCAATCAAGGCTTGAAAGTCAATGTCACAGACTTTACAAGAATTCAGTTCTCAATTCAGTCAAGTTTCAAGTTGTATTTCCTTAACAAAGTTGTTAAGAATTTTTTGAGCCAAGTGAAAATGCAATATGGTCGAAAATTGTATTTGATAATTTCAAAAAAGAAAAGAAAAAAAAAAAAGAAAAAAATGAAAAAAAAAAAAGAAAAAAAACCTTATTTCTAGAATAATTACTCTTGGGTACCAGACAAAGTCTGATTTGAGGCTGTAGATGAAGTGAAATTTATGTTGCTTCAAAAGGAAATTAAATCAAAAACTCACATTTATCTATAATGTCTTTTGGTAACCATACAGACAACACATGCACTTCTGTTGAAGTCTGGTATGTTTTTACTCTTGATGTAACCTTTTTATACAGATCCACTCTCTAACCAAATATCTATAGGGATTTTTTGTTTCTTATCACTAATGTTGACTTATGAAAGAACAACATTATGATATCCTGAATGCATGGAATTGTGAATTCTATGTTTTAAAATGAATTTTAATTTAATATTTCAAATTTTTTCAAATTTTAGAAATAGTGCTGCAAAGATATACCTTTTGAAATCAAATCGTGTCCTAATTTAGCTAGTTCAACCCAAATGCTTTTAATTTTTGTTTGTTTTTCAACTGAAGCAGAAATTGCCAGTACAATTTGTAAATCATGAAGTACATTTTTATTTCCACCAATCACAAACATGTTAAGTGTGGCTGCTAGTCTGTGATGGCCTTCACCTTGTTCTACAGCTCAGTTTGGTCTTTTTCTGTTTACAGCAGCCCCGTGGTACCAACAACCTTTGGGAACTGGTGTCAGTAGTGAAAGGCCAAGATGAAACCTTCCTTTCTCAACATTACAACCAAGGCATCATGCACAGAAAACATCTTCTGAAATTCAAAATGGTGAGAGTTTCTGTAAAATGTTGTGAATAACAACGCCATTCCAGAAGCTGGACCTAAATCCACCAATCAAACAATCTAAATGATTACTAACCCAGAAACTCAGGTGCCTATTGACATCTGTCTGTTGTTTCGACTTCATCTTAAGAACCATAAAGCCTAAGATAATAAAATTGTATCTGTAGCTAGGTACAATGAAGCACTACTACCTGATTGTATAATTAAACCTCAGCTGTCGATAAACATCACTTGGACAAATAAAATTGATACCAGTTTGGATTAGGACAGAAAATTCTTATAGTTCTTTTGACATTGTGATAGAGCAATAAATCATATGCAATAATATTATGCAAAATGATCACATTATTTTATTTTTTGGCAGGCAGAAGCACAGGAGTTGGAAATGGTGAAAATGTCTAAGTCTGGATCTTTGGGGTCATCAATAAAAGAGGAAAAACTCCGCAAAGCAGCTCAAGCCCATATACGAGTTGGCAATGTACAACGTTACTGTGAACTCATGGTGGAACTAGGGGAGGTAACTGATAAGTTCAGGACACAATTCTTTTTTTAAGTACTTACGTGTAGCTGAAGTGTGAGGTTGTCTCTGTATCATATCAGGTGAGGCTTGAGACTCTGTCTGTCCCTGTATTACAGGGTCTTCAGTTCCATACCAGCTCTGACTTAGAGTAGGGTTTGGAGGTGGGGCGGGTCTAGTTTAAGATTCTGGAAAGACTTAGGTTTTCAGTCATGTTGCCTTGTTTTTCAGTCTTTGTTATATCTAGATTTTCGAGTGTCTTGTTTCTGTTTTGGTTGGACCTAGGTATTGGGTTTTTTTCATAGTACACATGGGTATATTTTTGCAGGTACATCTCTCTCTTTTTTGGGTAGTGCAAATTACATGTGATAGTAAAGCATGGATCAACCTCAGATATCATTTATTATAAAACTATGTAAGGAACATACCAGATTACAATGTATATATTTAGGCTCCCCATAGGAATGTTGCTTCTTGAATCAAAACAACCACTGACAAAAATAATCTGAGGCAATCAGCAAAATACTTTATTTCTTGTGGATTCTAGATTTAATGGATATGACATATTTGGAAGGTGAAAATGGATTGTGCATTTTGATATATGAAACTTTTACTGTAATAGTCTATAGAAAAATTCCTTCATTATCCATGAACTCTGCAAGAGTGTATTTCTTGCCTCAATATCTTTAATATTCTTGTATGTAAAATACAGTTAGGTAAATAGATAATCCCTACCTGTGAGGGACTATGGACACTACAGTTAGGTAAATAGACATCCCCTACCTGTGAGGGACTATGGACACTACAGTTAGGTAAATAGACAATCCCTACCTGTGAGGGACTATGGACACTACAGTTAGGTAAATAGACAATCCCTACCTGTGAGGGACTATAGACACTACAGTTAGGTAAATAGACAATCCCTACCTGTGAGGGACTATGGACACTACAGTTAGGTAAATAGACTACCCCTACCTTTGAGGGACAATGGGCAGTACTGTTAGGTAAATAGACAATCCCTACCTGTGAGGGACTATGGACACTATAGTTAGGTAAATAGACAATCCCTACCTGTGAGGGACTATGGGCAGTACAGTTAGGTCAATAGACAACCTCTACCTTTGAGGGACTATGGGCAGTACAGTAAGGGAAATAGACAACCCCTACCTGTGAGGGACTATAGACACTACAGTTAGGTAAATAGACAATCCCTACTGGTGAGGGACTATAGACACAACAGTTATGTAAATAGACAGCCCCTACTTTGAAGGACTATGGACACTACAGTTAGGTAAATAGACAACCCCTACCTGTGAGGGACTATGGACACTACAGTTAGGTAAATAGACAACCTCTACCTGTGAGGGACTATAGACACTACAGTTAGGTAAATAGACAACCCCTACCTGTGAGGGACTATAGACACTACAGTTAGGTAAATAGACAACCTCTACCTTTGAGGGACTATGGGCAGTACAGTAAGGGAAATAGACAACCCCTACCTGTGAGGGACTATAGACACTACAGTTAGGTAGATAGACAACCTTTATTAGGGAAGGACTATGGACTGTTTCTGTTTTGTGATGAAGATCTCTTATGTATTGTTACAGTGGCAGAAAGCTTTGTCAGTAGCACCAGGTGTTTCTATAGAATACTGGCACTCTCTAGCCAAAAGGTAAGTCTGCCATTCATTATTTTCATACCTTAATTAGTAATAGTGTAGACACATTGTGTGTCAACATTTCTTTTTCATCACTATTTTTTTTTAAAAATTATCATCAAAATAATATTATCAAAATTATAAATAGTTACAAAGTTTGAGATTTGTTGGACCTTTGAGAAATACCAGTCTTCCTGACTGAAATGCAATTTCTAGTTTACTTTTCATACTGTAAGGTCAAAGGTCATGGTCACTCACCATGACTAGAAAATTGGCTCCTTTATAATAACCTGAATTCATGAACTCGACTTAACTACCAGGTTTCTTACTGGATGTTCTGGATATTGAACTTCACAGTGAAAGGTCAAAGATCAAGGTCATAATGACTATAAATAGAAAAGGATTTCCTTACATCACAAGTGTCAAGTGTATGAGATATAATTTATAGATCCACAGAATGTCTTTGGCAGACCTATATTACAAGTATATTGAGATAGTAAATAATTGTGAATTTATTGTTATCAGATATACAGCTTACCTGCTGAAGGATGACAAGAAAGAAGTTATACCTTACAGCATGGCTACAGGAGACATAGAGACACTTGTCCACTACTTCACATCTCATGGCCAGGCTACTGATGCCTTGCTTGCCTCCCAGGTGGCCTGTGATGGTCTACAGCCAAATCCAGCCCCCATCAGTTCAGTGACAAAGTGTAACAGTACCACAGAACCCAGTGCTACACATTTACAGTAAGTCTATTGCCTGTTTTATGTTTTTGCTTACACAGCCCTTTCTGTTGAAAGTACATGTAAAAATCAATGCCAGAACAACATTGTGGAACACTGCACCAGCACAAAAATGTCAAGGTCAGACAACTTTGTTGAACACTGCACCAGCACAAAAATGTCAAGGTCAGACAACATTGTGGAACACAGAACATGCACAAAAATGTCAAGGTCAATGCCAAGATATTATGGAAAACTGCCAGTACACAAAAATGTCAAGGTCAGGACAATGTTTTGGAACACTGACAAAACACAAACATGTCAAGGTTGGGATAATGTTGTGGAACATTTTAAGTACACAAAAAATCCATACTATGAGGTCAAGACAAAACAAAGAGAATGATATTCTAAAGAAATTCTCAGTAACTTTGTATTCATTTCATTTTATTTTAGATTACTGAATCACAGTGCCCAGCATTTAGCTGACTGGTATTTCAACAATGGTTTCACCGAACTGGCAGCATGCTGTCACTTAGCTGTCAATGATTGTGAGGTGAGCTTATCTTTTCCTTCATATATTTATAAATCATCTAATTGTATCATTAATAAATCTGTGTTTTATATTTCATATTTAATTTTGTTTTTACTTTTGACTGTGCATTAGTGTATACAGTTGATATATATTCTTGTAATATTTATTGAAGGCAAATGAACTGGAGAAGTTGTACTAAACATGCTTATTATGTGATCTTTCAGAGCGCTGTTTGGCGGTTAATTCAAGGTCATGAACTTGAGCTTGCTGTTTCCATAGGAACTGTCTTGGGTAACACACCTAAACAGACCAACTTAGCTATAGAATACCTGTCACGACGATGTGAACATCTGTGTAAATGGTAGGTTGTCAGGCTGATGTGAACATCTATTTAAATGGTAGGTTGTCAGGCTGATGTGAACATCTATGTAAATGGTAGGTTGTCAGGCTGATGTGAACATCTATTTAAATGGTAGGTTGTCAGGCTGATGTGAACATCTATGTAAATGGTAGGTTGTCAGGCTGATGTGAACATCTATGTAAATGGTAGGTTGTCAGGCTGATGTGAACATCTATTTAAATAGTAGGTTGTCAGGCTGATGTGAACATCTATGTAAATGGTAGGTTGTCAGGCTGATGTGAACATCTATTTAAATGGTAGGTTGTCAGGCTGATGTGAACATCTATGTAAATGGTAGGTTGTCAGGCTGATGTGAACATCTATGTAAATGGTAGGTTGTCATGATGATTTAGTTATCTGTATAAATAGTAGGTTACAATCATGTTGTCATAGTTGTTTAAATGGTAAGTTGTCAGGCTGCTGTGAATATCTGTGTAAATGGTTGGTTGTCAAGGTGATGTAAACATTCATGTAAATAGCAGGTTGTCATAATGGTGTAACTATCAGTGTAAATGGCTGATTATCATGGTAAGATAAATAATTGTGTGAAGGGTATGTAGTCATGGTAAAATAGATAATTTTGTCAAGGGTAGGTTGTCATGGTGATGTGAATACAATGTAGAAGCGAGAAATTTAGTGTTTATGCTGCAGTAATGTAAGAATTATTGTTAGGGAGATAAGGATTTGTTTCATTCCTTGTATATATCTTGTAGAATAAGTACATCTTGATCTCTGCATTAGCAGTCACAACAATGTTTGTAATACAAGTGGGATTTCTTAAATTTGACAGGGATTTAGCTGTGGATATACTCAAGCTTCTGCCAGACCCAGATCTACTTCTTGCCAAGTGCTGTGCTAGATGTGCTGCCAGTATGGATGAGATCAATCTGCTTCACTCCAGGGTAATATAATTCAAATAGAGATAGACAGCAGAAATATGTCAAGGTCAGATAGCCTTCATTTTGTGGGGAAGATGACAACAAGGGGAGATAATCAACAGGGAAGAGGGCTGGGAGAGTGAAGACAGGGGAGGATGAGAATTTAGGAGGAAGAGGGCAAAGGAAGATGAAGATTGGGGAGGATGGGGGATTTGGAAAGATGGTAAGATGTGGCCTGTGTGAATGAGGGCAGAAATTATGCAGGCTGGTAGTAGGATGGCATGGCATGGGCGGATGAGGGCAACAAGGATAAAGTAAGAGAAGAGAAATTTAGGGGGTAGGACTTAAGAGGATGTGGACTTAGAAGGAGCAGGACATGCATGCTTGTAAGCAGAGAAGTTTGTTTAAAATACATACCTGGATAAATGAAGAGAAAGAGACAAACATTTTGATTTAGTTTGATATCACAAAAATCATCTTATTCATAATGATTTGGTTTAAGGCCAGGGTTTTACTGCAGTTTGATCTGCTTACATTTTATAGGCAGGTCTACCGTCCCTTGAGGAGTGCACACATCAGGCAGAGACTCTAAAGCTCAAGCTTGACGTATTCCAATGTGTGAAGTTCTACCTACTATCCACTACTCCAGAGCTGGGGTTAGAGATCGGCCTACAAGAGGTCAAAGGTCAGTTATTTCCAACCCAACTACTGATACTTTCACTTTAAATTGAAATCAAGTAACATGGACAGATACTAAATTTTTTTTTTATTTCAGTTGATAGATATGGCTTTCAAACCTGTCCTATCTAATAGCTTATATCTGTCTGTAATTATCATACATGTATGATAATGTTAAGCTCTTCTCGTCAAGACAGTGTTTAAAGAGATTTATTTCCTTTAAAAAGAATTACTCTTAACTGTTGAATAGATTCATTCAAAACTATTAAACATAGTAAACATTTTCCATTTTGCAAAACCAACGTGTTTTAAGTGTTCAAACAAGCTTCATACTAAAAGATTGTATGATAATATACATTTAAACATCATTTCTGCCCCCTGACAGGTCAGATGTCCAAGCCAAGGTGGTCAGTGGACAGCATCTTCCCTATGTTACAGTTATTGGGCTGTATCCGCTCCGACAAGCTCCAGCAACATAAAGCAGAAACGTAAGTACATATTTATAAAAATAACCATAAACTCACAGATCCCATACAGAACTGATGTTGTCCTCTAGGTTACAATCCCAGAATTTGATTTGGATAAGATAGTGTTTGTACCATAAAACTTACAGCCAAGACACTGTTGCAGTGGATGACTTGGTCAGTAAGTTAAAGTTTGTATATACTGATGGTGGGACTTGGCCAAAGCTTTTGTGATGTTATGTACCAGGTATGTAGTTATGTTAGTCAGTGAGATATATATAATCTAAACTTTAAGGGGAAGTAATTCTCTTTTGAGTGTTTATGGCATAAGTCCTTTATTTTATTACTTTGTACATAATACAGATAAGTTGAGAATGGAAATTTGAAATTGCTGTTTAATCACACATCATACACAAAAGTCATCAACACTGAGCTGTCAAGAAGTCTTTTGACAGTGTCATGTGACATAAAGATGGGAAATCTGTCATTATGTGCTTGTTGTAGCATGCAGGTATTTCTCCTTTTTATGCCCCCCGTCCCGTCCCGTCGCGTCCCAAATTATTTCTTTATATAATTTCTTTAGTTGGGGGGGGGGGGGGGGGGGGGGGGCGGGGGCGGGGGCATTCATGTCTCCACAGACATTTTATCATGTAATTTCTTTAGTTTTTTATCATGTGAACAGATGATAAGTATACAGCAGAATTCACTAGGTTTTTCCCTGGTTGTAAGGACTTACAGTACTCTGTAGCAGTTAAGTGCCTTGAAGTCCTCTTGTGTTGTACATTGTATTGCTGCTATTGGAAAGGCATTCCATTGTATTACGGTATACTGTGTGTTTTTTATTGTAGAGATGTGTCTAAAGGCAAATAAGTGTATTTATCTGGGCTTTTGGTCAATGGTATATAAAAGAGTAGTAAAAAGGTCTATGACAAAGTGTTAGTGTACTATAGTTACATACATGTATAGGAGAAGGACTCATTTACATAGTTATCTCCTCTGAAGTGTTGACAATTTAGGTTTTAATTGTAGGAGGTCTGTTACAGAGCTTGTGGTGCTCTGTTGTTTTGATGTAATGTGCTGGTCTGTGTTGTACTTGAGAATTATTAGATTCTGATCAGTAAACACTTGTTGTTACTTCAGTGTCTATTTTAAGTGGAGTCTATATATTATAGGATGTGGAGGTGATACTATTATTCAGACAAATTCTAGTTATTGCTATGATACAGACTAACTATGGGATGTTGCTATGATACAGACTAAACTTGGGGTGTTGCTATGATACAAACTAACTATGGGGTGTTGCTATGATATGGACTAAACTTGAGGTGTTGCTATGATACAAACTAACTATGGGGTGTTTGCTATAATACAGACTAAATTTGGGTGTTGCTATGATGCAAACTAAATTTGGGGTGTTTGCTATGATACAGACTAAATTTGGGGTGTTGCTATGATACAGACTAAATTTGGGATGTTGCTATGATACAGACTAAACTTGGGTTGTTGCTATGATACAAACAGATTTTGAGGTGTTTTTATGAGGTGTTGCTATGATACAGACTAACTTTGGGGTGTTTGCTATGATACAGACTTAATTTGGGGTGTTTGCTATGATACAGACTAAATTTGGGGTGTTGCTATGATACAGATTAACTTTGGGGTGTTTGCTATGATACAGACTTAATTTGGGGTGTTTGCTATGATACAGACTAAATTTGGGGTGTTGCTATGATACAGATTAACTTTGGGGTGTTTGCTATGATACAGACTAAATTTGGGGTGTTGCTATGATACAGACTAAATTTGGGGTGTTGCTATGATACAGATTAACTTTGAATTATTGCTATGATACTGACTAACTTTGAAATGTTACATTCCTATGTTGTAGGCTTAAATTTGAGCTGTTGTGCCTGTCAGCTTATATAGGAGCCCTGATGGCTATAAAAAATGGTTATAATTCCTTAGTCGGGTACCTGCTAGCACATGCAAGAAATATTTTACAGAAGACTGATCTCCATCTATCCATTAATGACACAAGCATCAACGATGAGCTTACGGCCTGGAGAAGTGTGGAGAAATATAGAGACAGCAGGTAAGTCTACATCAGACATCCCCTAATAAAACCGCTTCAAGTTGTATATACCTGAGAATCTCAAACATTTCTAGTTCTAGATCAGCATTTCAAATTTGTTTTCAAGAACAATTTTTTAAGATGTTTCAACTGAAAAAATATTGAGCAGAGTAACTAATATTCTTATTATTTGATCATTTTCAAAAGCAAAAAAAGACAATTATTCACTCTAAAACAGAGAGAAAAGTTTTAACCATTGCCTGACATAAGCACTTACATCAGAAATTTAGTGTAAAGCAAATTTTAAAATTTCTCATTGAAAGGAATAGAAAATCCAAGTTAAAGTCTTTTTTCTTTTCAACCATTTTTCATCTCAGCTCAAATAATTTCTTGTTTCAGAAGTAACTTTGATTTGAAAGCAGCAACCCTGTCCCCTGAAGTAATCGCAATTTATCAGAGACTGATAGAACGAGCTGGAGTGGATGAGGAACTCCGTAGTCTCGGTCCTGACTGTATGGCCAGCTCTAATCTACCAACTCATTCCGACATTCATGTCTCCTGTATTTCAGGACAACGAACTCTGGTATGTATCAAAGGTCAAACAACACAGATGTTCTAAAAGTCAAATATCTATTTTAAACATGTACCAAAGGTCAAACAGCATTAGTATTCTAATGGACAAAGGTCATTTACAATTATGTACCAAAGGTCAAAAATCACTGGTATTCTCAAGGTCAAATGTTTTTCACAAAAATGTATCAAAGGCAGTACAGTACTGGTATTCTCAAGGTCATTGTAGAAATATAGTAGATTTTCGAGACAAATAAATGAAATTATAGAATATCAATAACATACTTAAAATTAATGCATAATGCAACATTTTCTCACCAGCTTTGGTTAAGAACTGTTATTTTTGTGTAAGGCAACATAAACTTACACTGTGTTTTGGAAGTTTAAAGCCCTTAGGTGAAACACTAAATGTTCAAAGTTTCAAAACATCGTCAATTATGGCACAGAGCATTTCAAATTCAAACAATTTAAAATTATAATGGTTATGTGAATTTGTAAACATTACAAACTGAAGAGATATCTAGGTTGTTAAAAATAAACAAAAATCAATGTCAACATGTTACATGATATAGTAAAATGCCTGACATTATGTTTCAGGGTCTTGCTTACTTTCTGGAAGATGGGAAGTCAGCAGTGTCTCCTAATGAGGCCCTCATGTGGGCTAAGGTCAACCCATTTACACCCCTTGGCTCAGCTCTGAGGATAAATCCTTTCTGACGAAATGGATGTGTCAAAAATCTTGTTATGTTCACAGATATCTGTATAGACTGGGTTGTATGTAACCCTGATTATATTTTTCTTATTATTTATTCAAAAGTTCTAAAAATGAGATTTGCATTCATCTGTATTATCACAAGTTTTCATTTCATGTATTGATACTTTGTATGGTGTACATTTTACAGCCAGTGACAGAGTTCAAGGTCAACAAAAAGTATTCATGCATTGATACTTTGTATGGTGTACATTTTACAGCCAGTGACAGAGTTCAAGGTCAACAAAAAGTATTCATGCATTGATACTTTGTATGGTGTACATTTTACAGCCAGTGACAGAATTCATGGTCAACTCAAAGTATTCATGCATTGATACTTTGTAAGGTGTACATTTTACAGCCAGTGACAGAGTTCAAGGTCAACAAAAAGTATTCATGCATTGATACTTTGTATGGTGTACATTTTACAGCCAGTGACAGAATTCAAGGTCAACAAAAAGTATTCATGCATTGATACTTTGTATGGTGTACATTTTACAGCCAGTGACAGAATTCAAGGTCAACTCAAAGTATTCATGCATTGATACTTTGTATGGTGTACATTTTACAGCCAGTGACAGAGTTCAAGGTCATACCAAGTATTTGTACAATGATGCTTCGTATGATGTACATTTTACAGCCAGTGACAGAGTTCAAGTTCAACTCAAAGTACTCATGCATTGATACTTCATATGGTGTACACTTTATACCCACTGACAGAGTTCAAGGTCATACCAAGTGTTTGTGCAATGGTACATTGTATCGTGTACACTTTACACCTACTATTAGAGTTCAAGGTCATACCAAGTCTTTGTGCAATGATATTTCGTATGGTGCACAATTTACACCAAATGAAATAGTTCAGTATTATCACCAAGTATTTGTGCAATGATACTTCGTACACCAAATGACAGAGTTCAGTATTATCACCAAGTATTTGTACATTGAGACTTTGTTCAGTGGTGGGTACAGTTGAGTTTATTTATATCTTAAATGGAATCAAGGCATACATCATGGATGATGGATTTGCATATGTTAATACAAACCAACTTGGTTTATTATTCATCTAACAATGTAGACCACAAGAAATAAAAACAGACCTAGCATTCTAATACATAAATGCGTTCTGCGGTGTAGAATACCCCAGTGGCAGAGTTCATCATGACGTGTCCATTTTCATTCATTAGATTGACTGTTCGTTAATGAAATAAGGACAGATTTGATCCTTATGAAGACTTGTAAGGCCTGTATTAACATGTACAGGTGACAAACATACGAGACAAGATAAAGGTTGTTGTCAGGTACTGACAAATAATGAGAATTAGCCTTCAGTGGCAGAGATGAGCATGTCTTTTGAACAAATTGATTTGATGTCCTAGCTAATGTCATTTTAGTATAAATACTGTTTCTTATTACAGGGTATATTTATTTTTACTTTCATGTAAAGATCAAAGTTGCTATATCTGTTTATCATTTTAATATTGTCCTGATAAGTTCTCGCTGTGAATGCTTTATTACCTCGACCAGGAAATGTATGTAGAACTGCCAAATTACCCAAATGTCCATCCTTTACCCTCAATGTTCTGTTGCTTTTTTAACTAGACAAGGTTTTATCAGAATATTCAGTACACTTAAGAAAACTGGTTTTTAAGTGTTTAAGGATTCATGGTCAAGTTTATGTTTTTTTCCTTTAAATCGGTTCATGTAACATTCCTGAAACAGCTAGACATGTTTTGTATACTGGCTGTGATTCGTATAGATGATCTCAGTAATTCCTAATTATAATCCATTTTTTTCTTTTCATTACATGAGTGTATATGGCAATATTTAATTTATTTACTGAAGGTCTAATATGGCATTGAATATTTAATCCTGTTATCTATTAAGGAGATATGCCACATGTACGTTTATCACGGTTTGTTTAAAAAGTTCCAACAGGATTGTTTAAGACAAAATTGATTTCTGTGTAAACTAGTCCCCATCATTTTACTTTAAAAAAGAAAATTCACAACTTTCACACAACCCTTTAGCTCTCTTATTCATTTTCATCAAATCCATTGCTCAACACAGGATAAAAATGTCCTTTACACAGCATTTTATCGAGTCATTCTAAAAATTCATGCAATTATTTTCAGTTGTGCTCAATATCTCATAAAATGTCATCAGTTGATTATTATACCTGCTTAACACCACGAGGAGATAACACTATAGCTATTCCATACATACATTTCTAGGCAGTGAAAACATGTCCAGAAATATCCGGTGATTCGTTATGTCATGTATAACAATTTGTTTGAATTAATTTTTTTAAGAAATGTTTCAAAATAATTATGATTGTTTTTACCCTTTAGTTTGTCCTACATAGCCTAACATACATAATTTTTAAGTTTGGTGGAAAATATTCTCTCTTGAAATAAGAAACAATCAGAGTACTGTAATGGTGTTTATGAGAACATCCTGTATTATTCCTTCATGTCTTTTTTTTTTATTATCTTATAAATCATGTCAAAATTGGTTTCCTTATTATTGAAATTTAACCTAAGTATTTGAATCTCATCTGAGTTCATATCGTCCTGTTGTGTGAACTGAAGCTAATCTATTCTATTGTATGTATTAATGTCATTCTGTCCTCTTGTATGTACAGATGTCATTCCGTCCTGTTGTATGTACAGATGTTATTCTGTCCTGTTGTATGTACAGATGTCATTCTGTCCTGTTGTATGTACAGATGCCATTCCGTCCTGTTGTATGTACAGATGTCATTCTGTCCTCTTGTATGTACAGATGTCATTCTGTCCTGTTGTATGTACAGATGTCATTCTGTCCTGTTGTATGTACAGATGTCATTCTGTCCTGTTGTATGTACAGATGTCATTCTGTCCTCTTGTATGTACAGATGTCATTCTGTCCTGTTGTATGTACAGATGTCATTCTGTCCTGTTGTATGTACAGATGTCATTCTGTCCTGTTGTATGTACAGATGCCATTCTGTCCTATTGTATGTACAGATGTCATTCTGTCCTGTTGTATGTGCAGATGTCATTCCGTCCTGTTGTATGTACAAATGTCATTCCGTCCTGTTGTATGTACAGATGCCATTCTGTCCTGTTGTATGTACAGATGTCATTCTGTCCTGTTGTATGTACAGATGTCATTCTGTCCTGTTGTATGTACAGATGTCATACTGTCCTCTTGTATGTACAGATGTCATTCTGTCCTCTTGTATGTACAGATGTCATTCTGTCCTCTTGTATGTACAGATGTCATTCTGTCCTCTTGTATGTACAGATGTCATTCTGTCCTCTTGTATGTACAGATGTCATTCTGTCCTGTTGTATGTACAGATGTCATTCTGTCCTCTTGTATGTACAGATGTCATTCCGTCCTCTTGTATGTACAGATGTCATTCTGTCCTCTTGTATGTACAGATGTCATTCTGTCCTCTTGTATGTACAGATGTCATTCCGTCCTGTTGTATATACAGATGTCATTCTGTCCTGTTGTCCTGTTGTATGTACAGATGTCATTCTGTCCTGTTGTATGTATAGATGTTATTTCGTCCTCTTGTATGTACAGATGTCATTCTGTCCTCTTGTATGTACAGATGTCATTCTGTCCTCTTGTATGTACAGATGTCATTCTGTCCTCTTGTCTGTACAGATGTCATTCCGTCCTGTTGTATGTACATATGTCATTCTGTCCTGTTGTCCTGTTGTATGTACAGATGTCATTCTGTCCTGTTGTATGTACATATGTCATTCTGTCCTGTTGTCCTGTTGTATGTATAGATGTCATTCTGTCCTGTTGTATGTACATATGTCATTCTGTCCTGTTGTCCTGTTGTATGTATAGATGTCATTCTGTCCTCTTGTATGTACAGATGTTATTCCGTCCTCTTGTATGTACAGATGTCATTCCGTCCTGTTGTATGTACATATGTCATTCTGTCCTGTTGTCCTGTTGTATGTACAAATGTCATTCTGTCCTGTTGTATGTACATATGTCATTCTGTCCTGTTGTCCTGTTGTATGTATAGATGTCATTCTGTTCTCTTGTATGTACAGATGTCATTCTGTCCTCTTGTATGTACAGATGTCATTCTGTCCTGTTGTATGTACAGATGTTATTCTGTCCTGTTGTATGTACAGATGTCACCTTGTATGTACAGATGTCATTCTGTCCTGTTGTATGTACAGATGTTTTTTGTTGTAGTACAGATGTCATGTCCTGTTGTATGTACAGAACTGTTGTATGTACAGATGTCAATATACAGATGTGTATGTACAGATGTCATTCTAACCTTTTCATTCTGTCCTGTTGTATGTAAAGAAATTTTACTTCTTGAACCAGGAAACATTTCCTAAATTTTGTCGAAAGTTTACAGGAAATTTTGTCCATTTCTGTTAGTGTAGAATTGCTGAGAGTAAGAAAGGTGTGCAGAAAATATCTTCCTGTGTGTATGATAGGTTTATTTCTCCTGCAATAAGACCACCTTTGCATTTCAATCTGATTCAATCAGGTTACAACTAACTATAATAGAAATTTTTCCAAAAGTTTATGTCGGCTGTCATTGATGAAGCAGAGGACACTTACTTTTCCAGAACACCTGGATCGAATCTCGCTGTAAATCTTTCTTTTGTTTATGGTTTTATTTGATTCGATTTTTGGTTATAAATATGTTGACATGTTGGTATTTCTTTCTTTCTTTTTTTCCCCAAAAAATTAGGTTTGAAAAAATATTAAGAAAACCTAGGTTGTTGTATTTGACATTATTGAGCTGATATCATGCCTAGCTGTGTGAGAGAATTAATATCTTCAGGTAAACACCCACTTTTACAAATTGTACCTTGTTTGAAAACCTCCTTTGTGGAATTTCTCTCCACCTCTGCATGAAAAAAGGTTGTTTTTCATGGCAGTTTTGTTTGTAAAGGAGAGGAGTTTTATATATCTCAAGGAAATCTACATTTGTAAGGTGTAGTCTTCATATTCATATTTTCATAAAAGAGTGATTCCTGGAAACATGGTAGTTAAGGAACCTGAAACAGATGATAGCATGTAATATCTACCTCCTTAATCAGTGTTAAAGTAACATTTTGTTCATGTAGCTGTTCGGCTAAGAAAGTTCAACTGTTTTGAAATCTTAACATTAGATTTGTGACAGCCAAGTTTGGCAAGCTTTCATATATTGTTTAAGATTCTGTTTGATAATTTTGTAGGGTTATATTGTGTTTTAAAAATTATTCCAAAATTATTTCTATTTTTTATAATGTTTGCTTTTTATGTTTTCCATTCTCTTTATATAAATCACATTCCATTTTATTTCTATTGTAGTAAGCAGCTAGAATCAAATTGATATTTAGTTTCTCAAAGAACTATTGATTTTATAAAGGAATAGAATTTTACCTGGATTATCTTAGTCATAACAATGCTTCTTATACCATGCATCAAAAATGTTGTTCAAGTATCATTTTATCTTTTGAAAGAATTTATTACATTTTGAAGAAATTTAGATAAGTTAATTTCATAATGGTTTTCATTTTCATGTCTAAATAATACATAGAAAATATGTGGATGACTGATATCAAAAGTGTGATGAATGATTATGCATAATAACATAAAACTAATATGATGAAAAAGCCAAATAAAATCTCCATTTGAATAATCAAATGTTTCTTCTCTTTTCTTTTCAAGCAAAACCTGAATAAGAATGAATGTGCGTAGAAGTTGGTTGGTTGGTTGGTTAGATTTTCTGTATACAGAACACAAGTATTTGTACAAGTGGCATTCATAGACAGATATTTGTTTCATACAGTTGGCCTTCAAACACAGATTTTTTTCCATACAGGTGGCGTTCATAGACAGCTATTTGTGTCATACAGGTGGCCTTTGGGCAAAGTCCTTCTTCTGCCATTGCCAAAATACATTTTAAACATTTTAAAAACCTAGATTTTGATCACTAGTTTGAGCTGATTCTATCTTGTCTGTAGATTTACCTGGACTTTTAACAACATGCGCTCTATAATGTATTTCATTTTCTACAGTGAAATATAAGGTTTAATGGTGAAAATGTGATATTTTCATGAGGTGAAAATAATAAGTTTTCATGTTCATTCATTTTTGACCACTCAGATCACAGTATAAGGAGTATCAATTCTCTCAGAGTGAATTGCTGCCTTCAGAGACGACAACTCTGGTTGCCAAGTGAAATGGTAGGAAATTTACCTAACTGTAAATCATAAGTATTTCATGTGTTGTTTTTACTTACTTTAAGTTAAGTTATTTGAATATCTGCATCATAAATGAGAAATATATGTCCACAAGAGTAATTATAACAGACAATAGAGATCAGATATCAAAAGTGGCAAAATCAAATTGACACTAATGAAAGGTGTGTAGAAAATGTAATTAACAGAATACTGTTTCTAGCTGAATGAAAGTTATATTTCATCATGGGGCGCAAACTTTAATTTGATATCTCTCATGAAAGTACACTACTAGGGGTTAGTGTGGTTTAATCTACATTTTCATGTAGAGCTAAGGCTGTGTGTGAATTTAGTCTACACTTTTCTGTAGAGCTAAGGCTGTATGTGAATATAGTCTACACTTTTCTGTAGAGCTAAGGATATGAGTTTGGTCTACATATTTATGTAAAGCTAAGGCTGTGTGTGAGTGTAGCTACACTTTTCTGTAGAGCTAATGTAAAATACTAGCTGCAATATACCACTCGGCTAGAGAGAACTTTTCTCTTTAGCTCGATTGGTTGAGCGTCAGACTAGTACGCCAGGGGTCCTGGGTTCGATTCCTAGCAGAGGCATTGAAATAAATAATGACCTCTGTAACATTGGCGCCCATGTAGGGACCCGGGAATTGTACTTAGCCATGCCCCACCAGCATCGCTGTAACCCCTGGAAACTCGAGGACAAGTTATTTCCTGGAGGGGGAGTGTGTAACCCTGGTAAAATACTAGCCGCAAAATACCACTCAGCTAGAGAGAACTTCTCTTTAGCTCGATTGGTTGAGCATCAGACTAGTACGCCAGGGGTCCCAGGTTCGATTCCTAGCGGAGGCATTGAAATAAATAATGACCTCTGTTACACTAAGAATATGAGTGAGTTTGGTCTACATATCTATGTAAAGCTAAGGCGGTGTGTGAGTGTAGCTACACTTTTCTGTAGAGCTAAGGCTGTGTGTGAGTGTAGCCTACACTTTTCTGAAGAGCTAAGGATATGTATGAGTGTACCTACACTTTTCTGTAGGGCTAAGGCAGTGTGTGAATATAGTCTTCACTTTTCTGTAGAGCTAAGGATATGAGTGAGTGTAGCCTACACTTTTCTGTAGAGCTAAGGATATGAGTGAGTTTGGTCTACATATTTATGCTGAGCTAAGGATATGAGTGCGTTTGGTCTACATATTTATGCTGAGCTAAGGATATGAGTGCGTTTGGTCTACATATTTATGCTGAACTAAGGATATGAGTGAGTTTGGTCTACATATTTATGCTGAGCTAAGGATATGAGTGCGTTTGGTCTACATATTTATGCTGAGCTAAGGATATGAGTGCGTTTGGTCTACATATTTATGCTGAACTAAGGATATGAGTGAGTTTGGTCTACATATTTATGCGGAGCTATGGATGTTCCACTATTTCCAATTAATACACCACTAAGTATACAAAACAAAACAAAATCTACAAAATTTCAGCTGTTTGATTTTATTTCTATCCAACTTCACACGTAACCCTTTCAGTCACTATACATTGATGTTTCATGGACATCCTAGACAAGTTCTCATCTCACTCAAACATCTAGTACATCCCTTATTTAGGACAAGTTGTCCATCTCATCTCACTCAAATCTCACCTAATCTCCATTTCTAACAAGTTCTCCAGTAAGTCTCATTCTACATAACGATTTGTACCAGCCAAAGTAACTATACCAACATCAAATAGGAGAAGATACAGTCACAAACATTTACATGGACACCTGTACACTCATACATATCACTCATTGGTATTTTATACACATATCCACAAATTTGAAAAGAAGAATATCACATCTTCTGAAATTGCTGTCTGTGTCTACCAGCCACGAAGGCATTAGAGTACACTTATTACCATGACTTGCCTCATGATGTCTGAGTAACATTGTCATGTTAATCAGTTAGTTCAAAAGGAAGTGACACAGGAGTAAAGATATGCTCTACTGTGATTGGTCAAAAATATAAAGATAAAAATATTGTGAGATGATTATAAACAGACCAATAATGAGAGTGTCTTTGTTGTCAGATAGATTTACCCGAAATTTTATCTCAGAATAATCAAAATAACCACCTGAAAAGTACAAATTATCATGATTCAGGTAAAAATAAATAATATTTTGATGATAAAATGATCACATGATTGATGAGTTGTTCAATGTTATGATCGAGAAACTGTAGTGATGGCCACTGATCATTTGTACCCAACAATATGTGGAGTATAACTTAAACATGTTCTCTAGCACTAAAATACTGTCAGCTGTGTAACATCTGATATCAGACGGGTACATTTTTTAAGGGCAACACCTGACCTTTCATCGCAGCAGAAAATGTTTCTGTAATGAGTATCTGGTTGGTGACCTTGAGCCATCCAGACAAAGTAACTAAGACACGTCGATATCAAAATGATGATCATATATTCATCCCAACTTTCCTAAAATCACTGTAGGAATTCATCTATATCAAAGCCATCATTGGATTGGTCTTCCCCCTGTTCTGCTCCCTCCTGGTCGGCGTCACTTTCCTCAGACTCCGAGACCTGCAGGTCCATATTAATATCGTTACCCTCTTTGTTTTCCATCACATGTTGAGCAGCAGCCTCGCTGGCAAGAGCACTATGCATGAAGAAGTCGGAGGGGTCAAAGCTATTTTCATCAACATCCTGAGGAGGTGGGGCCAGGTAAGACTGGGCAGTACCATCATAGTATTGTTGCCCATCCCCATATGTCTGCATGTCCATGCTTGTGTCGCCTTCCTCTTCACTATCACTTTGCTTACCTAAAAAACAATGGTAAACACCATATAATGTACATGTAAAGTTAATTTCTTACAGTAAACATCACTGCCGAAACCTCAAACTGGGTAAAAGTTGACAGTACACCACTACTACATTAAACACCTCTTGGTTTTACAACAGAATTCTTTGAATTATTTTGATACTGGATCAAATTAAAACAAATGTTATAACTTTCCACTGCAGCAAATAACATCCAAAGAATCCATGTTCTATATTAATAAATCCATGTCTTTTACAATCAGTTTAGTCTTTCAACAATTTTTCTGAATCACAATCTTTATATTGGTAAATTATAACCACAAAAAAAGGACAATCTCCACTGTCTTTTGTTACACCCTTAACCCACCTATCACTTGGTCCTCATTGTCGGAATTTTCAGGTGTAAGTTGTAGGTCCTGTGCCAATGACTCGTCCACCTCACCTGTGGTGTTCATCACCTAGGCAACAAGTAGTAAGCAGGTAATCAATTCCATTTAATTCAGTAAAATTCAATAGAGACATTAAAACATTCAAAAGAAAAACTAACCATGAAAATCAATATTATCAGAAATGTTTCGTTAAGTTACTATCACATTATAGATAAACTAAACTGGTCTATCTACATGAAAAGATTTCTGATATACATGTTGAACATTACTCTCCTATCTAACCAATCATCTATATGAAACTGTTTCAATAAACAATCTAGTATTATGCACACCTTGTATCAATTCCAGTAAAATTTAGTGATTAAGAAGTGAAGAAAGGTAGTAGCTGTGAAGATAGATTATGTATTGGAAACCAAAATGAAATCTAGAAAAAGAACCGATTAACTTCAGCAGTAATGTACCTGGTCCGATGTTTGGTCACTGCTCTGCTGACTAAAGCTCATGTCCACAGCATTATCTTCATCTCCTTCAACATCGCCTTCTTCATCTCCCTCCACATCTACAAACTCGGAGTCATACTCCTCTGGCACTGCCTACAATATAGCAGTAACATTATAAACCGTTTCTTCCACCAGTAGAATGCTATCTACAGTGCCTATTGAATTAGCAGAGGTCAGATTCTTAAACAAACAGCCCCAGACTTGATTAGTGCAAAATACAGCCCAGATTAACATAGGTCATTTTGTAAAATAACTGAAAGAAAATCTCACTGATATACCTAACAATGCCATGGACACTGGTGAGATCATAAATGACCAGAGCAATAAAAAAATGAACAGAATTTCCAGTAGATTCTTGACATTATGTATCAACTCCTGAAAAAGACTTTAACCTAAGATTTTTTATTCAAACCTAATTTTACAAGTATTCTGACCTTCCATACTTCAAAGAAAATATTATTGAACTTGGTGGTCGTATCAAAACTATAGTTATAAGATATTGTCATGTATAAACTCCCTCATCATCATTCTGACAAGTAGAAAAAAACAGCACGAAAATACCAACATGCAAACATAGTCCAAACTTAGATTCAAGAAAACTAGGAAAAATGTGAACAAAAACAAGATTAACACTAAGACTTCTGAAAAGTAAACACAAATAAGAATAGCTTCTCCTAAAGCTAGGTTTTCAGGCTGTTTATATAAACAAGCTAAGTAAGACAGAAAATTGTATCAATGCTTGAAAAAATATTTAAATACTGAACAGTCTTACCCCTCCAGACATGCCAGAGTCGTCTCCCGCCCAGCGTTTTGATGGACTGCTATTGTCCTCTGCTATGGTGATGTTTTCTCTTGATGTCCCCAAACTGTTCCCCTCATCCATACTCTCATTGTCCATACCTACAAACCAGTGAAGGTATTTCTCAATAACCTAAACCAATGAGTTTAGATAAATGTGTTAGAATCAGCTATTTGTTTATCATCCTTAAGATGCACATTAGTAAGTAAAGAATGAGAGATGTGAGTCTGACAAATCAGACTAGCAGCTATTGACTGTACCACTTGTAATCACTGTGGAGTTATACAGACTTATAGAGTAGGGTTAGAGAAAACGAGAGAGAAATAAAGGGGGAAGGAGGAAATGATGAGGCTAAGAGGAAATGGAGAGGACAAGAGAAAATGGAGAGGACAAGAGGAAATGGAGAGGGAAGATAGAAATGGAGAGGACAAGAGGAAATGGAGAGGGAAGATGGAAATGTAGAGGGATGGCAAAAATGGAGAGGGTAGGAGAGGGTAGGAGAAAATGGAGGGAAAAAGGGTATGGAGAAGGTAGGAGGAAATGGATAGAAAGAGAGCACGGAGAACATATTAGGAAATGGATGGAAAGAGAGTATGGAGAAGGTAGGAGAAAATAGATGGAAAGAGAGTATGGAGAAGGTAGGAGAAAATAGATGGAAAGAGAGTATGGAGAAGGTAGGAGAAAATAGTTGGAAAGAGAGTATGGAGAAGGTAGTAGGAAATGGATGGAAAGAGAGTATGGAGAAGGTAGGAGAAAATAGATGGAAAGAGAGTATGGAGAAGGTAGTTGGTAATGAAAAGGGAAGAAGAAAGTGGAGTGAGTAGGAGCAAAGGATGAGAGTAGAAGAGGGTTGAAGGAAAATTGTGTGAAGTGGAACAGTTTAAGATAGGAGGGGAATCAAAAGGTTAGAAAACCTACCCAACAGGCTGTAGTCATCAGGATTGGCTGATGTGCCTGTCATGATACTGTCAGTCTCCACAGCCTCTAAAGCAGCTTCCTGAGCAGCTCGAATATCAGCCTCCAGCTGGATCAGGTGCTCTTCATTCTATAAAAGTGAGAAGTAGTAATGAACTCACAGTACAATGTATGAAAACAATATTGCACTGGAACCGATATGGCCTATATTATAGTTTTCTAAATGACCATTATCACATACACTGATAGAACATTTATCAATACTTATCTCTCTGCTGTCTACTTAATATGTTAACAAATTTCTCACTTCTTGTAACTGTGACCTACATCATGTAGAAAGTTTGAAAACAGTCAATAGTTTTGCACAAGTATAGCTGGCCCCTTAAAGTGAATGCGCCCAATATTCAACAGGCCAGCCTTGGTTCCGACCTGTATCTGTTGATTTCTTTTCAGGATTCAACCCTCAGCACATGAAAGCGGCTTAAGAAACCTTTCAACAGCCTGCTTACAGTCATCCTGTTTCTATGACATACAGTAATGAGTTACTCTACCTGAGCCAGTGCCTGTTTACAGATATCCACCATTCTGAAGGCAGTTTCTGTAAGTGGGCTGTCTTTTCCGTTGTATTTGCTGCAGTTGATTGGTATGAGATCACAATCTTCCAAGAATGATTCCCGTGTCTGGTACTTGTGAGCTTGGACTTTCTGGAAGACAAAAAGGACATAAATATATATATATATATAAATATACATGATTTTATTGCAAATATGAATATATGATGAATGACTTTCTTGAAAATCACTTGTGATAGGAACAAAGTTTAAAATTTCTATGTGCTGAACCAAAACATGTAAAGCTAAATACTTTTTGTTTATACATTCATTTACACTTTGCAAATTAGAAGGATAGCATTGCCATGGCTACAAGGTAAACATGATACATATCAAAAACTTTGGTGTTTTGTTCAGCTTTATTCTCCTTTCCTGGTAACCAACACAAAGTACATTTTCATATCAAAAACTTCGGTGTTTTGTTCAGCTTTATTCTCCTTTCCTGGTAACCAACACAAAGTACATTTTCCATTTTTCTCCTCTATCAACTTTCCCCCATTTAAATAACTCAGAAATACATGTATCAGTGTTTCACTTACCACTGTTGATATCAAGTTTTTTTAAAGAAACAACACTTTAATTGGTCTAGCCTAAATATGAATGATTCAAAAGTTTGAACTTTTTAATCTTTTACATAATTTGACCTTTTTTTTTTTTTATTTTACCTTGAGGAGTGTTCCGAGGTCCATTGGATGTGGAATGACTTCATAGTAATCCTTAACAAACTTCTTATTCACAGGAGCATGGAATGGCCAGGACTAAACAAAACGAGACGTCACAGCTCAGTACAACAATAACTGGGTGTTATGATTCAAATCATATCAAAATCAATGCAATTCTATACAAGAATTCAAACTTTTGATAAATAAGTGTTAATTTCAGCTCTATCATATGTGAACAGCAATGTATAAAGAGAAAGAGAAAATTGCAGTCAGTAAAACACAAGATGAAATTCAGTATTAGCAAATTTCCCCATAAATATTCCCAAACTTGAAGTCAGAATTGTGTCTGGTGTGTTTGCATTTTATAAATTACGTATCAAACAACAAACTTACATTTTCTACTGCCTTCATCTGAGCGATGATATTTTCGAGGATGAAAGTGAATGCCACTTGGTCATTGTCGTCCAGTAGAGGATTGATGGCCTTTTCGAGCCTCATCAATTTGTCCTCTTTCTGAAAAGGAAAAATAAAACACTACATAGATACACACACCATAACAAAATATACCATGTACATCATAACATATTTACAAATACATCACAATATGTAATAAGGAGTGACTAGACATTTTACAACCTTTCATTTGCTGAGTTTGAACCAAATACACATCTACTCTGAACCAAATACACATTAACTCTGAACCAGATATTTGTCAAGTATGAACCAGAAACACATCAACTTTGAACCAGATAAATGTCAACTATGAACCAAACACGCATCAACTCTGAACAAGATATACATCATCTTTGAACCAGATACACGTCAACTATTAACAAGATACACATCCACTCATATTGAGGAATTTTAGTGTTATCACCTACCTCAGCAAATCGCTTCAGACACAGGTTCAGCAACTGTTGGGCAGTCAACGTCAAAGCACTTTTCGCACCTGAGAAAAAAAATGGATAAGATTTTAGGTATGGATTGTATTTTATCCAGATAAACTACTTCATAAATTATTAACTTAGGTGTACGATTACATATCAAATAACTGAATGTTGATTAAAATTTTTCATTCTAGCTATACAATGTATATGTCTCCAAATATCATAAAATTTCTTTTATAAGAAGGTAGTAATGTATTTTTGGTTGTAGAAAAGTAGTTTATCAGTAAATAAGAATAATTACAATCACTTATCAGTATTTATATTTTAACATTAAGAATCTCAATCATGTCTAGCCAGCTTTTAAATCCTGCAATAGTCAGTTTTCTTACTTGTCCCTGGTCTGAGGCTGCTCTAGTGCTCTTAAATCACTTTGGGACTTTAATCCAATTAAACTTCCTTTTAATCACACGGGAGTCTAGTTAGTTTTCTTCTTGGACTAGCCTATATAGCTCAAGAGTCTTGTCTAGTCTGTTCTTAAGAGTTATTTTTCCTACTTGGCCTCTTTTAAATGGCTTAGGAGGCCAGCTTGCAAGTTAAAGTTCAGTTTAATATCAATGTATATCACTAACCCTATCGTTGCCACAGAGTGTGCAGCAACTCACCAAGAAGATAGAGGACTGCTTAAGTGTTTGTCTCCACACAAGGGAATGACACTCACCATTATACATTTTGTCTCTACACAAGGGAATGACACCATTACACATTTTGTCTGTACACAAGTGAATGAAACTCACCATTACACATTTTGTCTCTACACAAGTGAATGACACTCACCATTATACATTTTGTCTCTACACAAGTGAATGACACTCACCATTATACATTTTGTCTCTACACAAGCTAACGACACTCACCATTATACATTTTGTCTCTACACAAGTGAATGACACTCACCATTATACATTTTGTCTCTACACAAGTGAATGACACTCACCATTATACATTTTGTCTCTACACAAGTGAATGACACTCACCATTATACATTTTGTCTCTACACAAGTGAATGACACTCACCATTATACATTTTGTCTCTACACAAGTGAATGACACTCACCATTATACATTTTGTCTGTACACATGTGAATGACACTCACCATTATACATTTTGTCTCTACACAAGTGAATGACACTCACCATTATACATTTTGTCTCTACACAAGTGAATGACACTCACCATTATACATTTTGTCTCTACACAAGTGAATGACACTCACCATTATACATTACACTACACAAGTGAATGACACTCACCATTATACATTTTGTCTCTACACAAGTGAATGACACTCACCATTATACATTTTGTCTCTACACAAGTGAATGACACTCACCATTATACATTTTGTCTGTACACATGTGAATGACACTCACCATTACACATTTTGTCTCTACACAAGTGAATGACACTCACTATTATACATTTTGTCTCTACACAAGTGAATGACACTCACTATTATACATTTTGTCTCTACACAAGTGAATGACACTCACCATTATACATTTTGTCTGTACACATGTGAATGACACTCACCATTATACATTTTGTCTACACTACACAAGTGAATGACACTCACCATTATACACTACACAGTGAATGACACTCACCATTATACATTTTGTCTCTAGACAAGTGAATGACACTCACCATTATACATTTTGTCTCCACACAAGTGAATGACACTCACCATTATACATTTTGTCTCTACACAAGTGAATGACACTCACCATTATACATTTTGTCTCTACACAAGTGAATGACACTCACCATTATACATTTTGTCTCTACACAAGTGAATGACACTCACCATTACACATTTTGTCTGTACACATGTGAATGACACTCACTATTATACATTTTGTCTCTACACATGTGAATGACACTCACCATTATACATTTTGTCTCTTACTCACCTGTACACATGTGAATGACACTCACCATTATACATTTTGTCTCTACACAAGTGAATGACACTCACCATTATACATTTTGTCTCTACACAAGTGAATGACACTCACCATTATACATTTTGTCTGTACACATGTGAATGACACTCACCATTATACATTTTGTCTCTACACAAGTGAATGACACTCACTATTATACATTTTGTCTCTACACAAGCTAACGACACTCACCATTATACATTTTGTCTCTACACAAGTGAATGACACTCACCATTATACATTTTGTCTCTACACAAGCTAACGACACTCACCATTATACATTTTGTCTCTACACAAGGGAATGACACTCACCATTATACATTTTGTCTCTACACAAGTGAATGACACTCACCATTATACATTTTGTCTCTACACAAGTGAATGACACTCACCATTATACATTTTGTCTCTACACAAGTGAATGACACTCACCATTATACATTTTGAATGACACTCTACACACAGTGAATGACACTCACCATTATACATTTTGTCTACACAAGTGAATACACACATTTTGTCTCTACACAAGTGAATGACACTCACCATTATACATTTTGTCTCTACACAAGTGAATGACACTCACCATTATACATTTTGTCTGTACACATGTGAATGACACTCACCATTATACATTTTGTCTCTACACAAGTGAATGACACTCACCATTATACATTTTGTCTCTACACAAGTGAATGACACTCACCATTATACATTTTGTCTCTAGACAAGTGAATGACACTCACCATTATACATTTTGTCTCTAGACAAGTGAATGACACTCACCATTATACATTTTGTCTCCACACAAGTGAATGACACTCACCATTATACATTTTGTCTCTACACAAGTGAATGACACTCACCATTATACATTTTGTCTCCACACAAGTGAATGACACTCACCATTATACATTTTGTCTGTACACATGTGAATGACACTCACCATTATACATTTTGTCTGTACACATGTGAATGACACTCACCATTACACATTTTGTCTCTACACAAGTGAATGACACTCACCATTATACATTTTGTCTCTACACAAGTGAATGACACTCACCATTATACATTTTGTCTCTACACAAGCTAACAACACTCACCATTATACATTTTGTCTCTACACAAGTGAATGCCACTCACCATTATACATTTTGTCTCCACACAAGTGAATGACACTCACCTTTACACATTTTGTCTCTACAGAAGGGAATGACACTCACCATTATACATTTTGCTGTTTTCAAGAATCTGGTTAACATCTATGAGGAATGTCTCTCTGGATGTGTATTTTTTGTTTCTGAGACCCTAAAAATGAAAGCAAAACACAATTCTATAGTTCAATTACATCTATACTCATTCGTTAAAACAATTCTAGTAATAACATTGACAAATTTCTGCAAATAAGAATGGTGACAATGACCTTTGAACTTTTAAACAAACTCATACTAGGTATTCCCATATTTGTCTCTATCAATTTTGATCAGGGTGGGATGGATATGAATATCCAATTAAAATACTAATGTCAAACAGGATCAATTTCAAATAATGATGTCAAACAAATATTTCTAAATATGACACAACAAAGCATTCAAAAACAGAACAAACCTTCCACAACATCTCCACACAGCCTGATGTTATTGTTGAATTTTTAGTCTACTTTTTCTATTGCTTACCTCTCTGATGGTCTGCAGATCCATTGGAATTTTAACAACCCTATAGTAGTCTGGTACCTCTTTAGTACTGACAGGGAATAGAAACGGCTGTGCCTGTATACACAAAAGTGGTGCTATCACAATATACACAATACATCACAACATGAAGAGAGCAGATACAGACAAATCCCCTACACCCTACCCCGATCAGGACACAAACACAAAGTTATTGATATTAACACATCATTCCTCGAAAAAATAAGTACATTATTTTTTAAATCAAGATAAATTTTCATCACCTTTGTCCTGTTTTTTTTTATTTCTTTATATTATAATGAACAAGGATGGATAAAAATCTGAACTTATCAAAGACATCTTATTTATTTATAATTATTCATTTTGCTTTCTTCACAGTAACCACTGAACTTCTCTGGCTTGAAATTTGAAGTTCTGTCATGTAACACAACTGATGCCCTAATCAAACAAATCTGAAGAAGACAACACATAACACATATAGTACATAACCTAACACGCCTCCTTAAACTCCTCTAAAGGTCAACTCTTTCATGGTGGACTTTTTATCATCTCTTTTCACCCAATTCTGATAGCTATGCTGTGATAATGTAGGGTCTATAACTACAGGTTAGATGTGATGAAGACAAATACTTACATTTGGCAGATCTCTCATCTCATTAAGTACACTCTCTAACACAGTAGATAGGGTTACTATAGGATCAGTGCGTCTTCGATTTGATGTCTGCTTAGGCTTCTGAAATTAAAATTCCAGACATTCAAAAAATACCTTAAACCACAGAGATACACAAAGTGAAAATCTTCATAGAAATCTTCCAAACCAGATGTTAATTTTCTACCTCTAACTACAACATTGTTTCTTTATTTGTTTAAACATCAGAAACAAAAATCATTTGATACCAAATAACAAGCTCAGTGACCTTCATCAAAGCATGTTTTGTAATTTGAGTTATTATTCCAAAATGAGTGTACACTGTTTTCCCCTTACATTACTTCAATGACAATTTTAAATGGTGATACCTTCAAGTAATCACAATGTATGACGGATCCAACGCGTTTCTTTTTCTCTGGTTTGAAAGCCTGCTTTGGGAACTTGAGCAAGAGGGACTTTCTCTTCACTTGTTCGGCACTAAAATAAAGATTTTCATGAACAATTATCAGGGGTACTTTTGTTTTAATGCATTAAAATTCAGGATAACTTCTATTCAAAATGAAAATTGTGAAAAACTGAAGTACAGTCTGAGGAAACAGTACATTGTACCAGTATTAAATTATCTAAATATATCCTTACTATAGTGTACTAATGTCAAACATTGAAGCTAAATCAATGTGCGATAGGCTGACCGCTACCCAAGAATCTCTGGAACCATCATAAATGGGGTATTTAAAACATCCATGTTTAAATATATCAACATCTATGATACCATTTATTTTCAAATTTCGACAAAATTGAAATTTAAACTCGCCAAACTTGCAGAATTTAACTCTACATGTGCTACTTCTGAAAACAAATTAATAAAATATCCAATCATTGAATTAAAACAATTTTGACATAGAAGTTCTTACTGCTCCACAAGGTTCTTAGAAAACTTGATTTTAGTGCCCTCCACGTTAATGAGATCGTTGTCCACCAGGAGATTCTTTTCCTCTTCTTCTTCCTCTTCTTGCGTCATGGCCACCTGAACAGGGGCCACATTACCCACTTTGTTGTAGTTTGGACATTCTTTATTGGTCCTCATGTGACCAATCTGTCCACATGCACCACACTTTAACTGTCAACAGTAAAATACCAATAATGAGCTATGTCTTACCAAAGAGGTCCATTTGCCTATAGGATCACTCATTAAAACTGTCAAAAGAAAAATTATGTCAGTTTGTCATTTTGGTGTACAGATCATTGTCAGAAAGACACATCTGAAAACATTTACAAAAATATGTTTAAATCTATGAAAAAAAAAGTTCTATGGTAAGATTTTCTGGCAAGATCAAAAGTACATAAAATGAAAAATATGATGTTTTTTACCTTTAGGTACTTCATAATGTCTAAGAGACATTTTTTGAAAATACTCGAAAAATTGATCATATCACTATTTTTGAAGTCTAACATGTGAACCAAATCATTCTTACCAATACTTTAATTTGCAGAAGTTCAATCATTCTTTATTCCTATATAAAACTGAAAGCTTGAAGGAATCCATTTTGAATCAAGAAAATAGCAGAAATGCTACATATCCCTAATGAGTCTTCACAATGAATCTGACTGCATTTATTTGGCTTCAGGGAAGAAGTCAAAATCATGAACATTTTACATAAACAACAACAAAAACAGATGCCAACAGGTAAAAATACATATAAGGATTTATATAACATCACCAATATACATTTTTATACCAAGTAAAACATTCATAGTGGTTAAGACTACAAAAAAAGACTAACGCAGCATTAAATTTTTTTTCATGGTTACACATCAGACCTCTTAGGAAGTAATATGGTCAAACAGCGTCAACAAAAACAACCTTATATCTTCTTGAGTATGGAAAGAACACTTACAACAACTTTATCTAATAAACTAACCAAAGAACTTTAAAATGACCTTAAGCAGAGATCTATGATGGATCAAAAGAGCTATCAAGCAATTAGCCCATGCTTGGTAATATCACGGCTGTTCATTAGCATTACCAACAAATGCTATTTCACTATTCTGAGTGTCAGTCCCCGGGTTTATTGTCTGATCAGTGGTTATTTACCTTGCTGGCTTTGATAGAGATTGGTTCTTGCTTTTTCTTTTTCTTTATGGGGGGTGGAGCAAATTTCTCTCTTTCTTCGTTTCTCTTTATCCTCCTCAGACGCTCTTGTAGTCTGAAATAGAAACAATAAAATGTTTTATTGTAGCTTTGATAAAAATTTTAAACAGGAAGAAGTTCCTAGGAAATGAATGCCTCCTCTTTTGCTCTTTTTGAAAATAATTCATGTAATAGAGATCTTGTCCTTAACATTTCGTCCTTAAATACGAAAAAAAAAATTACATACAAAAGTTGTTTGCTTTTTCAGCAAATGTAACCTTAGGGCCCCAACATGTACCACTAAATATCATCCTAATACCTATCCTACAAGGAATTTTCAAAAACAAATTCTATTCTAACTGAACTGTTTAATCTCTTCACTTTTTTAGTTCATCTGTGTTAAATAAATCATGATATAATTACTCTGGTTGTTGCTTCAGAAAATGGATATGAAAGAGAATTTTTAATCAAAATGAAAGTCCAGATATTAACAGAGGATATATGAATCACAATCCAAAAATGTTAAGACCATGCTATTTCTATCCCCAATGTGCGCTGGTCTTGTATTATACAAACCTTCTTTTCTCTCTCCTCATATCCTCCTTCATAGAATCATCCATAGCGGCAAAATTTTTACTGGAAAGAAAAACAAGAAGAATGTGCTCATATACATCTTTAGAAATACCCCCATCTTGTGGTCTAAGGCACATGTGATTTCATTGAATATCTTATACAAAGCTTTCAAGATAAACAGTGTTTCTCAACGACTAAGAGATGTGTGAACTGTTCAAGCTTCTAGATAATTGACAGACATGTAGGATATTTAGGATTTTTATTAAGGCGAGATGTAGTCGATTCTAAGTGACCTACATAAATGACGGGTCCTTTTTCTCCCGAATCCTAACATAAGTGTCAATCACAGCTGGCTTTAACACCCATTCTGTCCTCGTGTATTCCTTTCCTTCATCATTTCTAAATGTTCTAGTAATCTTCAATTTGCGACCAGCCTGAAAAATCAGGAAAGCATTAAACTGGGGTAATGTCTCCATATGTATTGTCAATTACTTTCTATGTAGCACACAAACATTATATTATAACATTTTATATATATGTATATGATAGAACATTTTAATACTCTTCATCATGCAATATTTGAAGCTGTTAACATATTCAACAACTTTAGAAAGGAAAAGTAGAAAATGTTAAAAAATATTCAACAACTAAATTACAATTTAAATATGAACTCTGAGTGAAAAAATGATGATTTCCTGCTGGAAATACTTTTAAAGACACGTCCTAAGCATACTGGCTATTATTATTCTGGATGTCATATGTATTTAAATATATTTAAAGTAATGGAATCCTAATCCTTCCTACAAAAAGCTGTTTGTAATGGAGACATCTCACAACAGTATGTCCAGCATATACATATATCAATATTAGGAACACTGAATAAAACTTTTGAGATTTACAGTACCAGGGGTAAAAATAATGCAGGTGATGATGTAAGTCTGATGTACATGATGGCCATGATGTTATAATTCTATAAAGATGTATTAAATACAGGTTGACAAACATCCACTACAACACAGGTTAATAGTACTGAGGCCACTACACACCATGATGGCCGTGATGTTACAATTCTATAAAAATACAGGTTAATAGTACTGAGGCCACTACACACCATGATGGCTGTGATGTTACAATTCTATAAAAATACAGGTTAATAGTACTGAGGCCACTACACACCATGTTGGCTGTGATGTTACAATTCTATAAAAATAAAGGTTAATAGTACTGAGGCCACTACACACCATGATGGCTGTGATGTTACAATTCTATAAAAATACAGGTTAACAGTACTGAGGCCACTACAAACCATGATGGCCGTCATGTTACAATTCTATAAAAATAAAGGTTAATAGTACTGAGGCCACTACACACCATGATGGCTGTGATGTTACAATTCTATAAAAATACAGGTTAACAGTACTGAGGCCACTACAAACCATGATGGCCGTCATGTTACAATTCTATAAAAATACAGGTTAACAGTACTGAGGCCACTACACACCATGTTGGCCGTCATGTTACAATTCTATAAAAATACAGGTTAATAGTACTGAGGCAACTACACACCATGATGGCTGTAATGTTACAATTCTATAAAAATACAGGTTAATAGTACTGAGGCCACTACACACCATGATGGCCGTGATGTTACAATTCTATAAAAATACAGGTTAACAGTACCGAGGCCACTACACACCATGATGGCTGTGATGTTACAATTCTATAAAAATACAGGTTAACAGTACTGAGGCCACTACACACCATGTTGGCTGTGATGTTACAATTCTATAAAAATACAGGTTAATAGTACTGAGGCCACTACACACCATGATGGCTGTGATGTTACAATTCTATAAAAATACAGGTTAACAGTACCGAGGCCACTACAAACCATGATGGCCGTCATGTTACAATTCTATAAAAATACAGGTTAACAGTACCGAGGCCACTACAAACCATGTTGGCTGCGTTGATATCTTCTTCCTTTTGTTTACCCTTGTCCTTGCTGTCTTCACCCATCAACATCATCTTGTGTAGTTCTCGTCTCTCTGCCTCTTCTCTCTCATGGCTCAGCTATAAACAAACCATAATATCAGGTGGTGCCCATACAACCTTTACATAATTAATCCAGGAATATTCAATTAGAAATTTTATTATGTTCTTAACAGCCCGTCAACCCATAAAAGGTTGTTAGGGCCACCAACCAGTGCAATTAGAAGTAACACTATCTTTTTCCATTTTATATTCTATATTCTCCATCACAATTATTGGTCAAATATACAGTATTTGGTGATTTGTTATTCTACTTGCAAAACTTCAATCAAAATTAGCTAGAAATATTAGAAATCTTCAATTCTTAACCTTGAATAATATTCTGAAGTATAGACTACAAGTAATGTAGTTACAGTTACTTTGAGCAATCAGTTATCTGGTTAATCTGACAAGCTTACATAATGACACTATACATACATGATAGTACTAAATGTAACGGCAATTTGACATTGGATGAAAACTATCAGATCAGACCATCAATGGTTTTCTCTTCTATCTGCATTTTCAAGGTGTCTCTTTTTTTGTATATCTTTTCCATCCTTAAAAATAAACAACCTTTACAGTATATCAACTGTCTTATCTACAGCCTCATCAATATTTCCATATTTATGTAACACAGAAGCTGTTATAATACCTGAGAACTTGTTTTCTTATTTGCTAGCATGCTTTCAAGGTTCTTGCCCATTTCCTCAAAGTCAGATTCGTTGCCAGAACTGGAATCGTCATCTGTTGACAAGACTTCGTTTGAGGATAATACTCTGTAAAAAAACACAGCAGACAGGTAAACATTTATTTAAATATATTCAAGAACAAATTGTAAATAACACAATTTCTATCATATTTCTAATTAGAAGAATACTGGCATTAGATCACATCCACAGTTGTGCTGGTCTTGTATATTTTTTCAACATCTTATAGGACTGAATGGTCATATGACAATCAAACATCCAGAGGATTAAGCCACTGCATAGTGCATCCATTTGGAACAAAAATATGAAACACTTTAATTAGGACAAATCTTTGAAAATTTCTACATTCCAGGAGATGATCCAACCTTATATATTTAAGAAATGACTATATTCTCCAAAATAACCTCTTGACCAATTTAGTTGATATCCCAACACCCATCCCCAAAGACTGAATCAACTTCATTTACTTATGAAATGATTGCCATCCTCTTATGATGTTCCTTACCAAATTTGGTTGAAATCTGACTTGGCTCTGGGAAGGAAAAGTTTAGGCAAGACAAGGATAAATGATTTTCAATAATTACCTGGCCATGTCAAAAACTCTCTGACTTTGTAAGTATGTTTAACCACTAAGAAGCGATTATGTAAACTCTCATACCCACTGTAACATCAGGATAAATGTCTATCACTGAATGTAGCTTTCAACATCAGTTTTCTGACATCAAAAATTCTTTGGCAAAACTTCTTACCAGGGTTCCTGATGCTCTGCCACTGAGAAGCGATTCCCTCTGGCAAACTTACTCATACCCACTGTAACATCAGAAATGTCCATATCACTGAGATGTAGCTTTCAACAAAATGAAATCTTTGGACATCAGATCTATTCACAAAACCTCTTACCAGGGTTTCTGATGGCAGTATCAAAAAAGGGACTAACCTAAGGCTTACATATTTTTAAAACATATCAACAGATGAAAAACCATTGGAAAATTTAATTCTTCCTCAGTGATCAAGTTATCTTAAAAGCTGTACTCTAGGCCTTGATCACAGCACCATGCAAACTGTAATCAAGTAAAACATTGTCATTCATAACATTTGCAGAAGCCATCTTGAATATTTAGAAAATGAAGTCGCTTTGACCTCAACATCTCAAATGTCAGTATTAACATGTGAAGATAAGGGTAAGTCATTGACTATAAAGGCAGTGCCTTAAATCCAGTTGTTACCTGGTTAGCTTTTAGGTACTAAAGAAATAATCCATATTCACTTTTGGGAGTTAAAAAGTTTTAAAATCATTCTCATTTAAGTTGCATAAATCACTCTCAGAAAGATTACTGACCTTGACCCTCCTGTCTAGTGTTAGCCTGCTCTGCAGACATGTAAACACTCTCACAGATTACTGACCTTGACCCTCCTGTCTAGTGTTAGCCTGTTCTGTAAACATGTCAACACTCTCACACAGAATAACCTTGACCATCTGGTCAATCCTTGGGCTATCCTGTAGATATATAAATACCCTTGGATTGATCAATAGCCTTGACTATCCTGTCTAGCCTCAGGCTGTCCTGTACATTTAAAAACCCCTTCAAACAGATAACTAACCTTGACCGTCTTGTCCAGCCTTTGCCTGTTCTGTTGACATGGTTCTGACTACATCAATCACCTCCCATCTAGACAACTTTCGAATCTGTAGTAAAAATAAATAGGGTTATCACACCGACCTGAGTAACCCATTACAGGTTGGGTTTGAGTCAATCTGGGTTGGAAAAAATTGTACCAGAACCCAAAACATAACTTTGTAAGTGTACAGAACTGAATATAAATGAAATTATAGAAATATTCTAGACTTGACAAATGTCATGTTCACCCACCAAACATGATTTTTTTTCTAAGTTTTGGTAACTTGTACCCATTTTGTAACCCAGCATAGTTATATGAACTAAGTTGAGCTCTAAAAAGATTAAAAACAAAATTGAAAAAAAATAAGTAAACCTTCACAGCAACTGTACCTCTGAATCTGGCAGTCCAAATTTTCTCAGTAACTGTTTAGCATCCTTGAGCGACAGTTTGCGGAGATCAGCATCTGTTCCAGTGACAGTCTTTTTCTGTGGTGTCTGCTGCTGGCCCTCTTCCTTAGGCTGTGGTTTATTTGGAACCTTGACATAGGAGAATCCCTCACCACATCCTGTAGGGTCGGCCACACCTGTCAGGTCTAGCAGACATTTGCCCTTGAGAGAGGCAATGTACGCCCGTGTTGTGTTCCATGGAGCCGTCTTCACCTGAAAAAAATAAAGAGATTCAATGCAAAATCAAAAGCTTTCCCTGAAATGATGAGAATCACGATAATGAGATATCTCTTGGAAATTATGAGAATCATGATTCAGAGATATCTCTCAGAAATTATGAGAATCATGATTCAGATATATCTCTCGGTATGATGAGAATCAGGATTCAGAGCTATCTCTCAGATTGATGAGAATCACGATTCAGAGATATCTCTCGGTATGATGAGAATCAGGATTCAGAGCTATCTCTCAGAATGATGAGAATCACAATTCAGAGCTATCTCTTGGAATGATGAGAATCACTATTCAGAGCTATCTCTTGGCATGATGAGAATAATGATTCAGAGCTATCTCTCGGAATGATGAAAATCATGATTTAGAGATATCTCTTCCAAATGATGAGATTCATTTTTCAGAGATAATGTCTAGATTTCCTGGGAAGCAATACTTACAGTGAGAATGAATCATACAGAAAATTCTCAGGTAAAGTAAAACAACGAAATGTGTCAGTTTGTTACCTACAAAATATACAAATCTAGATAGAAATTCTTTCGCATTCTTACAAACCTCATCCTCAATCTTCATTTGTGTTTCCTCCTCATTATCATCCTCTGGAGCAAATAATGATCTCTCTCCATACCCAGCATCCTACAAAACAAAAACAATAAATAAAACACAGAAATAATGCTCAAACAATAAAATTACATTCTTTGTTGACAAGTTTTATTTGTTAATGCAACTCCACTTTAAGCAAGGTTTAGTCTCATCACAGTAATAATTCATTACACAAACAAATGTAATATTGGCAAAAAAAAAATAAAAATAACAAAACCCAGTATATACTATCTATGCAAGTTTATCACAAAACAAAGATAAAATAAGTTCTTTACATATATATCATATTTCAAAAGATACAAATAAATAACTTTTTTACACAATGGTGAAAGGTACATATCTGGTGACCTGTAGAACAATGAGGAGAGCTCACCTTTAATCTCTGTTCTGCGGCAAGCATACTGTAGTAGGCACAACACTGCTCCGGGGATACCATAGCCCTCATCTCATCCTCCGTTGGCAGGCGAAAGTCTGGCTTCAACACCCACCAGTTAGAGTCCATACCTGTCATACATCACAAGCCAATTCAATTACAAAACTTCTTAGCCAAACTCACACCAATTCCAGTTCTTGAAAGTCTGCTTTTTACCTAAATCATTCTTAAAAATATTCATTCATTTACAAATTTTTAATCGCTTATCCAACAACCTTGTTTTCATTCCTATAATCTTAACCTGAACATTTTAAATGAAAGATTTATGCTAACTTTTTATTAAGCTTATCACACTACCATATCAGTATCATCTATGATTGGAGCAAATCACTATGACAGCAAACATTATAATACTTTCAATTTACAATATCATTGAAATAACATGACTGATGAAGTGCAGAATCCTGTACAAAATTTCTTTGTAGAATGAAAATTGATATTGATAATTTTCTTGATTAAGCTGGAAAGAATTTAGTCATGGTCTAATATAAAAAGAAATGAAAATGAAAAATATTATATAAATAAGAAGTATATGGATGGTGAAACATCAACGTCTGAATCCTTAGTTCATTTGCCTGTTATTTAGATATTTAGACAAGGTACAGTTCAATTAGAGGGATGTTTAACACTGAACAAGTTTCACAACATCAAATGTAACAAGAAGATAGTAAACACTGCTGGTATCAATAAAACAACCAATAACTTGTAACACTAATATAGAAACATAACACTGTAAACCTGACGTTGACAGAAGGACCAAGATGGAAACATAACTGTCTGCAGAAATATTTCTCAGTTGTAACCAATGCATCGATAGACCAGTTTTAATTCGAAGTTAAACTTAATGTCTTTAAGACACAAATGTTCCTGTACTTAGGTCTATTTGATGAATTTCTAATTTCTGAGAAATAGTAATATGATGACCTTGAAGCCTGAAACATACTGCAGCTCCATTGCCCAGTGAAAAAACACCAAATCTATAGAGAGAGCTCATTTAAGAGCACCCCCACCCCTGTAATTGGTGTTAACCACCATAGATAATTGTAGTACATTACTTTAACCACTGATACCAATGACTCTGACTATCAATATATAACTATTTGTTGATGTGCTGAGATTGTCTAATGCAATGTAATACCTGATACTAAAATGAATGGCTTTTATCACAACAAAGATGGGAAATATCAAGTGAGACTTTCCATCCTAACACACTCAATTAGCTTTCGCAGATAGGCCACAAACTGTGAACGGACCAAATCTGAGACAAAATATTTCTTCAAAATGATATTGATGATGAACCATTTAGCATAATCGTGGCCAAGGCATATCAATATTATTGATATACACAGCAAGTTGAATGAGTAGCTGAAGAAACAGAGACCCAAGATGGCAATTTCAGTCAGCATGTTAGACTTGTATTTCCAAACAATATACAATGTCTTATACTGAATTTTTTTAGATCAAATGTAAAAAAAAAACTCTTAAACAGGAAGGGCATTATTTGTACTAAAATATGATTGTAAATTCATCCAAGGTATTCTCACAGATTTTTTTATGTACTTTAAGTCATAATGTTTATTAAAAGTTATCAGAGTGATGTCACTGAATGGTTGACAATTTTCTGTAATAGTAGCAGTGGTCTTGACTTTGTCACCCAGATACATAAGCACACTTGAAGCAGTGTTAATATTGTTTTGGGACATGCCATGCAGACATATGTAACACTTAACGGTTTATATTCCAGTGGATCCTAAGGAGTAAGTTTAAGTTTCCATCAGGTCAAAGCACATTGGGCAGAATTGTTTGGTGTACAGTATTTGCAAATCACTTAACATCTTATAGCTAATGTCTCTGAGTTGGTCCTTCTCAATCAACACTTAAAATACATCACTACCATATTTATCTGGCTCCTCTGAAAGATTCAATTTCCAGGGACAAATGATTTTATTCTAAATAAAAGGTGCAAAATTGGACCCAACAAAAACCAAAATGAAACAAAACATGATGATTAATAGATAAGTCTTTTTATCACATTTATTTTCTATTTACATAACAATTCTTGTCTAATAGTATCAGTATAGCCGTGCAGTAAAGTCACAAAAAATGAATAAGTTATTTATTTTACCTTCTAAACACAAGGTCCTTTGTTATTCAAGATGAGATTGTGAAATTCTCCTAAAATTCTCTCTTTCAAAACAAAATTATCCATGCTTCATGTCTGGAAACTTACCTGTGCGTTTAAAATCTGCACAAAGTTTGAGACGTTTTCTGATGCTGCTCTCAGAATGTGAGGGGAATGCATGTTTGATGTCATCCATTTTGATCCTCTTTGGTGTATCTTTGCTTTTCCAAAAGAGTCGATAGATGAAAACCTACAAACATCAATCAGGAAAATTAGTCTGGAGGTTGAAATAACTATCATTCAATACATCCTAAATAAAAAATTGTATTCTACCATCAGAGTGATGTAATTTCATATTTTGTTTCTTCGCAACACCTTGGAAAGGGAAAGGTTTTCTACAATTTCTTTTGAGCTACAGCTAGAGATTGAATCTGGGATATCTTATATACTAGACTATCCTAGCCAAGTTATCAGAGAAGTAAAATTTATCAAGCTTACACAGCATTCAGTAATGTTTCTGCTGAAGATGGCTTTATATAACTCAATGCATCACCAGAAATATTTTTCCACCTAGACAACTGTGTTTGAGTACCTGTAGGAAATCCCTTATGAAGTTGTTAGCTCGCTTAGAATTGGGCCCTGGCACCTCTGTTAATGTTGCTTCCTGTCCCACACAGTATATGGTTGCCACCTCTCTAATGTAGTAACTACACAAGAAAAACATAGTATTTCCTGACAGGTGTATACAAAACATCTTAGGCAATCCACGTATTATACCTCCTTGGTAAACGATAGAACATTTGATTGGTTTAGTGCTAGAACATGAGGTAATTGCAGGTTTTTACGGACTTACTAGTATACAAATGATATTCACCGATGATGTCACAGTTTGATTGTATATCTGAACATTCATCAGAGGTGTTGTTTAAATAAAAACAACAGATAATCATTTCTTGCCTCTTTGACTGATTACAACTCTGAACTGTGGAAGGTAGTGGAGAGAAAAACAACACCCTATGATGACCTGCTACCAATTACTGACATGTATCTTGGGTATTTGAAAATCGCACTTTGTTAAGTAATTTATGTAAGATAAACAACAGAGACACTCTATTTAACTTCTTTGTTAATTAAATGTTACCGTATTTATCCAGCAGAAAGCCCATGCCTGGCAAATAAGCTCAACTATATCTATTGATGTTACACTAGAATAAATATGAATAAATATTAAGCTTATTTTCTGTAAAAAGCCTATCTCCATCATTTAGGTCAGAGTTTACTTGTTGACTTCCTGAGCTAATTTTAGGATGAATACGGTAAGTTAATAATTTAAGTAAATAAATAGTTATGACACTTACTTATCTCTTTTCCTGATGATGACAAAGTCTGTCTCAGGTACCTTGTGTTCAAAAATTGATGCACGGAACATGTTATTCTCAAATGCCTGGATACATTGTCCTGGACTGAGTGTTCCAAGGAAGGGAGATGTATGTGCATAGGCCAGCTCACCGTATTTATACTGAGGGGGGCTTGCATCCTTCCCTGGTTTCTGGAAAAAAAAAATTTTGAAGCATTTTCAAACATCAGAATACCTTCTCTACTGTACAAAACTGTTATTTCTACTAAAGACGTGACAGAACTTGTGAATCTCTAGACTTAACTCATTCAGTTTCAGTATGGTGAAAATCATTAATGGTACAAAGTTTTCTTCCACCTACTCTTTTGTAGTAATTCTTTATTTTCGTTGCCATGCCAGTTTGCATTACTAAGGGAGGATACTCCTCTGAGTACTCAGCCAGAATCAGTTCCCCATCCATTCCAGTTAGATCCTGGGCGTTCCTCATGAAGAAAATCTCACCCCCTCCATATGCTTGTCTCTCTTGCTCCCTTAGCTACAACAAATGAACATGCTTTAACTCATTATATACAGCTACCTAGACGTATCCCTGATGTTGCAAGGAATAAAACCTATTTCTGTTGAAGTTCAGATTTTCTTTGATTTTTTTTATTTCAAGTGGATAACATATCCAAAACTGTGCATACCACTCTATATCATTAACCTTAAATAATTAATTTGTGTTACCGTAAAAACCCATGTAATGTCCGCACTTTTTTTCACCGAAAATCAATCCAAAAAAGGGGGTGCGGACATTACAGAGATATAGAGGAAATGACACTTTTTTCCTTCCGACAATTCATATCATATCTCCTTGAATTGTGTTCTTAAAAGCCAAGCATATCTGATATTATCGTTCTATGGTTTTTTCTATGATTATTTATGATTATTTATTATAGTTTCCATGGTTAATTCCTTCCAATTTCTCGTTACAGGTTCGTATTGTGTCGTCCTTCGTAATAGGAAGCCATTTTGTTTGACTTTGTCTCATGAATAAAGTTAGAGTTATTCCCCTTCCCCATTGAAAAAGCATACCCGTGAGCATATACAAAATAACACAACATTTTCATTCTACATTTTATTTACAAAATAACAATAAATAACATGTACAAGAATATTACATAAAATAAATAATCAGACGTTTTATTGATTATGGATCGTTTATCAGAAAGTCTTAATACATAGCAGGCCGGTTTAATAGCGTTTCTCGAAACCCCAGAAGTCGTCGTCGTCACTGTGGAAGAACTCCTCGGCGTTGAAGTTGTCTTCCTCTGTCTGGTCTTTGTAATAAATGGCGTTCTCGTCGTCTGATGGTGTGTCAGTAGGGTCAGTGGCGCCGTGGGTCATGGGCGGGTCATGTTACTGTATAGTTATCGTTAATTGGCTAATCACACGCTGTCACTCACTCACACTCGAGGTGAGGAGACGACCCAAGCTGTTTATAACACTGCTGGGCTAACCCTTATCAAAACACCAATTATCGAAATGAGGACTTGTCATACTGGTAAGCTTACTGTACCATTATGGAGAATAACTGTTGTTATAAACAATTAAGTGAATTCTTGAATGGTACCTGTAAGTTATACACAATGCGACATGCTCTCGGCCATTACGACATTAGCGTACGTGAAATGAAATCGGCAGCTTCAATTTGCATTTTTTACCCGCGGACATTACATGGAAGGTGGGTTTTTTCCCCAGATTTTTGTGTCAAAAAAGGGGTGCGGACATTACACAGATGCGGACATTACGTGGGTTTTTACGGTAATTGTTTCACATATTTCCACAAACGTATAGAATATATAAGTCAGATTAGACTTAAATTAATTAGAATAAGAATAAGGAGATCAAATATTTACAGAACAATAGAGAAATACTTACCCTTGCCTTCCTCTTGATCTGTTTGAGGAGAGGCAGTACTGGGTGTGGACCAGGCAGAGACAAGGTCCCATGGGAGTACCTCTTAAGGGTATTTCTGTGGAAAGTGCGAAGCTTCCCAATGCCCATATATGTAGGGAAGAATGGCTGTCGCAGCTCAAGACTAGGTGTGGAATGCTGTTGTAAAATGAGGAGACAGAAAATGTCAATAACAAGGATATAAAAATGCACTTCAGGAAGAAAATAACAGCATACAAAGTTTAAAAGCTTAATTAGATTTGATAAATAAATTTCAAAATTTCAAATATTGTACACTTCTAGTGAAGACAATGTAAAAAAAGTTATTTTTGCCTCTCATATTTCACATGTATTGTATTTTTATTCAGAATGACATTGCCTCAAACCAAGTCTCTTTACCTGGATAAGGCTTCCCCCAAGGTTGCCTTTCACTGCATTCTCCATAGTTTTTGGACTATAGTATTCATCATTAGAAATATTAAATGGATCCTTCTCCTGTAGATTGGGTGCATTCTTAAAAATGAAAAAAAATAAACCAATTATGATGATAAAATTTAGAAACAAATCTTCTTTTACTGTACACTGTATCATGCCATTCATTATAACTTATGTCAATTTTAATTCACTATCACATTTTTTCAGACCAAGCATGCAGTGAGATTCAATCTATTACTTTAACCTTGTATTCTAGTCCTGTGTTATGTTTTTTTTTGTTTTTGTTTTTTTGTTTTGTTTTTTGCAAATATTTTCAAGTTCGTTTTTTTTAATAACACGTGACCCGAGAATGAAATGTCTTCATTGTTAGAGATACTGTCACTAGTAATGGAGTCTCAATGTAAATAATACTTCCAATCAGCTTTCTTGAGACAAGCCTTATTAATGAATTAACTGTGTCTCTTGCTTGTTCTAGTCCTACTTCCTGATTTTGTCTCCACGACAATATATCCCCCTGGCATTTTGTGTGAAATGGACATTAATATAGAATATAAACATTAATCAGTTGATGTAAAACTGGCTCAGGTGTATTTCTTCCACAAAATATGAACAATGTTGGGACAACAGAATAGCTAAAAATAATAAGCCAATCAGAAGTCATAAGACATCAATGATATCTAGACATGCTAATCACTGTTCACAATATATTCTATTGTAATCCAGCAGATCTATCTGAAACCTTCCAGGGCTCTCACACCCCATTTTGGGACTGGGGCCCGGGGCTCTTAGAATTGGGAAAAATAGCTGCGTTTTCCTTAGAATTGGGAAAACTTGGGGTCTAAATTGGGAAAAAAAGATACTATTTTGCATTGGGAATATTCGGCCCCAAATCTGGCAGATCGAGAGCCCTGCCTTCTTCTGTCACTCTACCTTTTCCTCGTCTTCCTCTTCCTCTTTAGTAATACCAGCTTTGTTTAGTAACAGCTTTGACTTCTTAATCTCCTGCAATGTATTTCAAACTGACAAGCTAAAGAAATATCAAGTTGAGATCAGATCATTAGTAATGAAGAATCATGAAATAATTCCAAACTTAATTTATTTTTACATTACTTAATTTTTATTTGAAATATTTCTATATTTCGCAAACAAAAATGCCAAATTTCAGACAGTTTATTATGACCCAAAATGTTAAAATGACTAAGAAATTGACTTTGGAGGTATTCAATGAATTTTGTTTACAGTTTAGTCAACAATGAATGCATACTATTTCAGGTAAACTTGAAGAATTTAATAAAGGACATTCTCCATCAACATTGACAGATATTTAAAGAACTGACCTTTTCTTTTTTAGCGGGTACAGATTTGGCATCGGGGTCATTATCCTCTGGCAGTTCCAGTATAATGTTTTCATCGTTTGGGTCCAGCGTCAAGACTTGTGGCTTTGGGATCTTAGTCATATTCTGTAAAATAACATGAAGCATCTGTTTATTAGAACATGTTCATTGCAACATCAGCCAGTCTCTAAATCATGTTAGCTGTTTCTTTGATATCATTTGTGGACTGATGGTTTGTTTCACACATAAATCAGAATATACAAAGATTATTCACTTAAATTATTCACATAACTCACATTGGTCAATAATAATAAGTATATAAATAGCTGAAATTTTATGTTATTTTGTGTAAGTGAGCAACACGGTAAAAAAGATGACTGAGTGACACACCTCTGCATCCCAAATGATGTCATCCTCCCAGCGGCCATAAATTAGTTCCTGATTCTCTATAGGAAATATAGAGTAAATCTTCTCCTTGGAATCAGCGCCATCTCCTAAACATAAAACAACAATACACTACTACTATGTGTTGCATGTATTCACCTGTATCATACATATGTTACTGACAATTCAATTAAAATAAGCTAACTTGAGATAACATGACCTTGCAGTGATAACATGACCTTGCAGTGATAACATGACCTTGCAGTGATAACATGACCTTGCAGTAGTAATGAACCTGAGATTGCAAGGATGACCTTTAGATTATGACAAAAGTTTACTTGTGTGACTTTGTGGTAATACTCACATTGAGATTACATTGATGATCTGAGATAATATAAATGTGATTACACAGAGGACCTTCAAGGTTATGACTTATAGTAATGATGAGAGATTACATGGATGAACTTGAGATTATATGATGACCTTGTGATTACATGGATGAACTTGTGGTAACAGCAAGAGATTTGTGCTGATGATGACCTTGAGAATATGGTAATGAACTTGTGATACTGACCTTGTTTTATAATGGGAGACATGCCAGGGATAGTCTTTGAGTAGCCAGGATTTAGGATTGGTACTTTGGGTGTCAATCCACTGATGATATCATTAGGTTTCCCTGCAAGTCATCAGACCTTTATTACACATACACTCGGATTGTTTTCTCTCAAATTACTTCAAAATCCAGATCGAAGTGAAGATACTGAGCAAAACCATCACATTAAAATTCCTTTCTGTTTTTTTTTAGATAGAAATAAAACTTTGAGAACAATATTCTTACCCTGAGTGGTGAACTGGGTAGCAGTGCGATGAGAAGTGCTGGGGATCCAGCCAGCAGAGGGAGCCTTTTGTTTGAGGGATGCAATCACCTTATGTTTCACATCTTCCCCATTCCATATGATATCATCTTCCCACTGCAGCTGAGTCACCATCAGGAACACCTCATCAGAAAACTCTACCTTCTTTGGGTTTGGATTAGCACAAATTTCATTTTCCAAATCAGTGCTCTCCTGAAATAACATTCATATAATTAACAGTCACAATGCAGAAATCTTTAAATGCACAAAAACTTATTTTACAATAATTATGAAACAAGTTTGACCAACTTCTGTCAGTTACTAATGCTAGTCCTCTTGGTAAGATACAGGAAATGTGAATGTGAAAAAACCAGAGTAACCTGGAAAAAACACTCAAACATTCTTGGTAACTGGCTGTAATAATGATATCCATTGTTCCAACAGATCACCCAAATCTCACACTATCCCACTTAGAAACACACATCAGTATTCAACAGGAAATATTTAGCAATACAACACTGTCCTTTAACTGATCCTACCAGTCAACCATACCTGTTTGAGTTTGAAGCCGTAGTCAAAGTCACGTCCCAAATCATCCACACCCATGAAATCATACCAGTATTGAGCAGGACCATATCGCCAGGGTTCTATTTTCACACTTTGCTCTGTCTCTCCCAAAATTTTATTCTGGTCAGTTGTAGATTTCTCTTCTTCTGTTCTCAGCATTTTTTCCTGTCAAATTAAGTCCCACAAATATCATGAAGTTTCTGATCATTTTTAAATCATATATAGGCCAGACAAATTTTATAACAAACAGTTTTCAAAAGGCAATTTTTAACAAATACTTATCGCCTATGCTAAATTTGCACATTAATACTTTTACAAAATCAAAATTTGTCAAAAACACTGCTGGGAACAATACTTTTAAAAACCTATTTTGAGTAGTTAATACCATGCATTTTATGATTTCTGCAGACAACGATCATATACTGCAATAGATATGCATTCAGACAAAATGAAGATTTATTAACCTCATCATCAGAAAGGCACTCCTCAGGCAGGGCTGGTCTTCCCAGATTCAACTGAAAGTCCTCCTCCTCATTATCCTCGTCTGTTTGCATGTCCTCAACTGTATTAGAGTCTGAGAGGCTTTCAGACTGTTCTTTTCCTTCATTAGCATGAGCTATCATCTTCTGTAATGGAGACATCTTCTTCTCTTCTTCTGTGAATAAAGAGTATTTCATCTAAAATGAAGTCTGAGTAAGACCCATCCAAGAACTTTTCAAGAAAGAGCAATAACAATGTTCCGATGATGCCATGACTGAGAAATGTTTTAATACATTTATAACATCAAAAGAAGTCAAGAATATCAGTTAAAATCTGCTTTTACTACAAAATTCATATGTTCTGAAAAGTTTGCAGAGAAAAAAATCACACAGATCAACAGGCTTCTCCAAACTAATTTTTTATTATCTCCTTCACAAACCTTTGTTCTTTGCTAAACAGAGCAAAGTCCACAAAAGATCAAAGTCAAGAAAAATATGAGAAGCAGTCAACACTAAAGTAAAATGAAAAGCTTCTCTTAAATAAAACATCAAATCTAAATCATTTTCGGGTCATTAGTAAACTTTCAAACAACCTTGTAAATGTCCTCCAAAATTTATCATCTAAACGGATGTTCCATAGCTAAATTTAAAGCATATTTTATCTTGGCACCAGACAACCACTGAGACGACTACCAGGATAAAAATAACTGATGAAAAATTATTTCTGTATTTATTTATAAAGTTATTTTTCCATTCCCTATCAAAATTTTGACTCACTGCCAAGAGAACTCTTTTAGACAAATTCTTTAAAAAAAAACATTGGATTTCTGTTATAAAAATTCAGTCACTACTTCATGTGTCCTATATAATAATATATATAACAAATCAAATTGAGAAGATATCTTTTTGTTACTCATCTTCGTAAGGCCACTTCACTGACCTTTCAAAAAGTTCACCTTGTTTCTTTCTAAAGCATTAATATTCAGCTATATCTCCCAAACAGCATCTTCACAAAGAATTTCTCTACAATTTCTTGTGATGACATTCCATTTCAGTTTACCTTTTTTCTTCAATTCTGCTTCTTCTTGATCTTCATCTTCTGTCTTTTTTTTCTTTTTCCTTCTCCAGACATGGGGTGTATGAACAGGTTTGAAGAGACGGGAAAATCTCAGGACCTGTAGATTTTAGAAAGTTATGGCAAGTGAAGGTAATGAAGTAGGTACAACTAATAATATCAAAATACACTGTAGCATTTACCAGTACCTCTTATAGTATTTCTGGAGGATTAAGCTTAAAATGATACCTGCATGAAATATACTTGACACTAATTGAAAATCAATTTTTTCATAAAAGAGCAATGAATTACAATATACCTCTCCATGTTGAAACTCTGGAAACAGTGTGGTAACCTCTACTGTAGCCAACTCGGGGGGCAACATGGCTGCCAATGGGGTCTTAAACTTGGACTTGTCTGAACTATCAGGTGAACCCTTTTCAGACTTTGCTTGGGTCTGAACATGATTCCCAAGGCTACCTAGTTCCCCTCCTTCCCCCTCCACCTTGCCTGATTTGTTTGGAAGCCAGGAGGGAGGAGGCATCAATTTATTATCATCCTCATCATAGTCATCCTCTTCATTACCTACAGCAATAAAATGTTTGTTAAACGATATACAATTTCCTTCAAGATCTTAACATCATAGAAAAGCGGCCCTGATCAGATCATTATTTTGTTGTGGTCAAAGATTCAGTCCTGAAAATGCATTCACTTACAACAAAAAGCTGTACAAGATTCACATTGCTGTGATAAAGATGTTATCAAAATTACATCACTGCTTAAAAAGTATTGTCCTTTTCTTCTGATGGTTAGACATTTTACATCCATGGGTTTGTCATATTCATTATAAAGATAACAATGAGAGTACTTTAATTATATTCACAAAATTACGGAAGAACATTGAAATATATAAAAATTATTATCTGGTAGTTATTTATAAATTCTTTTATGAAAAGAATTTCTTAACACAGAATAAACATACTGGTTCTCTCTTCAATATACCTTTCACTTTTAACATCACTAACATGCATATAGAGTCAATGATTTGACTTGAGCAAGTGTTGAGTGCTAATAGGTAATAACTCAGACTTTTATACAGATACCAGACACTGACTTGACTTGATTTAATGTTAAGTGCTCATAGGTAATAACTCAGACATGTATATAAAGAACCAAGATACTGACTTGACTTGAGTGAGTGTAGAGTACTCATGGCCTCCCGTACTCTCTCTGACCCATCATCTGCCATCTCTGTAATGTCCGAATAATCTACAGCTCCTGCCACCTTTTTCTCAAAGTTCACTGAAAAAAATTAGTAAAATAATAATTCTTTATAGAGTTTCACAAAATGAAAAAACACCTAAACAGATTTGATAAGAATTGAGAAAGGCTTTAACTTATTATCAAAATTAAGACAGCTATCGAAACAATAAAATCCACAAATTTGTGTCCTGAATACTTCATTCTATACTGTATATTATTCCTAAGGGTACTTACAGCTTGGTTCCTCCTGTTCCCCTCCCTCAGTGGCTCCCTGGTCCTCGGTTATCTCTCGCACCATGGTTCCAATTCCTCCAAGAGCACTCAAGGATCCAAGATGGCGTTTTGATTCCTGTTAAAAATATCATTATGTGTGATCAAAAAGTCATATCTATCACACAATACTGACCACAAGCACTTTGTTATGTACAGCAAAACATTGTTGTTGCTGAGACTATATGAAACAATCAAGAAGCTACTGAGATATGTGTATACATTGTTTTTGTAATGCATATATACATGAACTATCATTTAAGCGAAACTTTACTTAAAAATAAACAGAGTAAGCAATATTCATTGAAAAGTATCTTTCATGAGAAAGATTTTAATTTTTAATTTTTCAAAAGGAACAAAATTTGTTGTGGAAAAAAAGATGCTCCTCCTGAGAAAAAGATGATAAGTAAATGATTTCTCTCTTAAGTGTCCCTTAATTACCTCATCCAAGAAATCCTCTTCAAGGTCTCCCTTCTTATCAATGTTCCCAAACAGAAAACCAGTGAGGGATGACACAGCCCCTGTACCTTCGCCATCATGATCATGATCATGGTCATGATCATGTTCCTCTTCACTGTCCATCTTGGTCAATTGTCAAATTTCAGACTAAGAAATCCCCTAGTATGATCCATAATGTGAATTAAGATGCTCTGTAGTCCTTTAAAAAAAGTTTTGTCAAAAGTTAGGGAGATCAGCATATATGGTTTAACGGGTCATCTGAAATCTTAATAAGATGTTATGATACTTTTAAGATTTTCTGATTCCTATTCTTTTCATGTTTACCAAGTTAAAATTATGCTGATTACCAATAGATTATATAGGAAACTTCCTTATTCAGTGAATATCCTTGGTTACTCAATTTCCAAGGACAAAAACTCTTGACAATGTACATTCTCATGCAAACTGCTAGTGTATTCACAAATACATACATATCTGATCTGTACTAGTGCATTGATCACAACATCACTGTCCAATTGCTTCATTGCAGATCTTAATATTTTCAGTGTTCACAGCTGAAATCTGTTACTTAATTGAAGTTTCTTTTTATAATTGAAGAAATGGTTAAAAAATCAAAAGAAAAGAAAGGAGAAGTTGCAGGAAATAAAATAATCTGATATATAACCAGATACTTTCAACAAAGCCAAATAGACACAATGTACTTTTTAATTTTCTCTCGTCTTTGGTTCCACATTTTTAGACGAGAATAAAAGAGTGATAATATTGAAGAACACATAGAGAAAAAGTACCCAGTATTATTGTAATTATGTTATTTCAGTGAAGGCAGCAAAACGATTCCTGAATAAAAAAAACAACTCAGAAATTTCCTTTTTAAGAAGAAAATTCCATCTCGAAGCTTATTGTTCCCAATTGCAACTCAAATTATCTCAAATGAGTGCAGAAGTTATGAAATTAAACAGAGATTAGAGGTAAACAAAAAAATCTACACCAGCGTTTAAAGATGAATGACAATCATCACTTAATCAATGAAAATGAATTTATGTCACAATTCGGGGAAAAAATGCTGTATTTATACAATGCAGTAATTTCACGATTAATCAGGCTGTTAACACCACTGGACTTGAGCGAGTGACCGGTGTTGCAGTTCCAGTGCTTCTCCAGATTCAAGCATGTTAAGATTTCCCTTGTAACTTAGGTATATCAAGGCTAACCTAGACGGACCGTTACAAGTATTCGTTCTACTTATTATATATGTGATCACTTTAATTATGTCCTTACACCAGACAACGAATACACTTCGACTTGTACTGGTGTTAATTATCTGTATTACAGATTATATAATTAGGAACATCTCTAAACATGTGTCCGTCTAAGCCTAACAGGCATGGTTGCTTACATCATCCATTCTAGAAGGCATTGAAAAAATCTGATTCCATTAACCGGCAACTATTGCACATTTTCCACAATCTCGATAGGGCGGTACATGCATATACGCCATCTTTAAATATAGCGCCACCTGTAAATAAATATTGTAAGAAGGGGAGATAATAACCTCTTTCCCAGGCACTGCGAGATAATTTGAACCAGTATATTTGAGGATATTTCGGAGGAATACCAACAGAATTCCGATGAAATGGTCTTTGATATCTAAAGTACACTATAATAACACAGCAGACACATATGTTCAATGCTGAATAATGATTAAATCACGCTGTCAGAGACTTAAAAATATTACGATCGAATTCGAAGTCCGTACTGTAACGGATTTCCCCATCTTCAACCCGGTTATTTCCGACAATCACCTTGTGCAAAAATCCTTCCCCGGTACCCAAACTGTATTATGCTTAAGATTCAATATTTGGACTACTTTTTGCCGTCGTTTCAATACCAGATACCGTTATATTACGGGAAAATGTTCTATTTGTACCTAATTGGTCCCTACCATGACGGGATGCTCGCCGTTTAACACCAAACTCTTCCCTGTCACAAGCCCATACCCAAGCCATACATCCGACGAATTTTACAGAAATCGTTCTACATTGTATGTCAGGGCCCATATGGCTTTATGCTCACTGTTTAAATACAACTGAAATAGAAACAGGCCTCTTCCAACAGATCCGACGATTAGAAGGCTATAAAATGGACACAATTTGCTGTAAATGGGCCATATGCACCCCTAGCTCCAGATCAATTTATTTCCCTTATTTTCTGTATAGGACCCTCTAGTGGTGAAAGATGGGAGGTGGAGACCCAGTGGACCAAGTCAGTACTTAGTCGATGTTCTAGTTACGTACAAACCAAAGTTTGTCTGAAGTCCCTTTATTCCGGGGCAGAAGGACAATCGGGATTTCACAGATGAAGTTACCTCTACTTCCCTGAAAATACTATTTCGCCTCTCAGGCCCCTGGGATTCAAGACCCGCCGTTTGTACATATTGAGTGCCCTTGCTATACTCAGAACATTTTGAAGATCAAAGCATTACTTTCTTTTCTTGACCCGCCCTTAGGACCCGGATGGTCCAGACCCACTTGTTTAAAAAATCGTGTCTTCTTCAAGGATGCTATAAAAAGAGGTAACAGTCCCCTCCGTTTTCTTTGTATATGAAAAAAGAACAAAAAACCCCGGATGAATGGACATTGCAGGACAGACGCCGGGACACAATGTCATGACATTATCATGTTCTTTAATCCATCGGACCAGACGAGCTAATGATTACGTCTGTGTTAGGACTATTCTTGGCAACCCAGTTCTAGATTTAACGTTTAATGGCAATATAAAGTCACACTCATAAAGAGATCGACATCAAGACATACAAGACACTCTTAACAAGTTAATATATGAATTCGCAAAAAAATGAACATTTATATCAGGAACTAGTGACTTGTGACGTGCTGTTGGAACTTCAACATACAGTTGAAAAACATAAGTTATAATACATCAGAGCCGAGTTTAAATACTTTCACACCATTGCTGGCCAGCAGTGAAATACACAAATAGAAAACATTCACGTTGGTCTACCAATGTTTTATTTTGCAGAAGTGTATTAGATGTACATGAAGCTGCTAAAAGTTCTAAAAAAACTAACTTCAAATTAAAAACACAAACAAAAAACCATACGTAATCATAAAACTATAGTCGGCTGAGTGTACTAAAAGTATGTGGCGACAGACTTGCAATGAAGTGGGACTACGTTATCACCGAGTTACCTCCCTTGCACTGTAGTTCGATGACGCCAAGATTTTTTTATACGAATAACGACGATTAGCGTCGTCATACAACATCTTTAACACAATATCTATGATGATCCTTTATATAGATCATTCTATCATAAATGTCTTTAAATACGCACTGTATACTATATATACTACTGATTATGCTCAATCTTTTGATACATTCGCGGTTTTTTCGGTTTTACATGCTCCCACGCTCCTATACAAAAGGGATTTTTTCAGATTTAAAAAAAAGACAATCTTTTAATCAGAGATATTAATAATACATGTGTTATATACATCTCTGATTTCATGCATGGCGGAAACAAACAAAATCACTATTGAAACCGACGGAAATGAACGAACTGACGGCTATTCTGAATTGTAGAAAGTTAGGGAGAAAACTATGGATTAGAAATAAATACGGACAAAAAACCATGACAGAAACTATCTTAACACCTCCATGACGTTGTCAGCTGTCATTGGATAGTCTTTCCATGCCTCAGTTCACGTTTATCCTTCAGGATACTGAATCACCTATAACCGAACGAGTTTCGCTTTGAGTACAGCTATGTTCCGCGTACCAATCCTGGAAGGCAACTACCCTGGCCAACTTGGGAAATACCGTCACCCTTTACCATCCCCTTCCTTACCCCCAAAACGTGACGTCACTTGTCCCTCCAAAAGCCTTCCTCTTACCAGCATTGTCAAAACTAAACTACCATTATTATAAACAGCCAGCATTGTCAAATCTAAACTACCATTGTCATTTTCAGACTGTGTATAAACAGACTGTGTATTAACAGACTGTGTATTAACAGACCGCGTATAAACAGACTGTGTATTAACAGACCGTGTATAAACAGACTGTGTATTAACAAAACTAGACTACCATTGTATAAACAGACTGTGTATTAAAAGACTGTGTATTAACAAAACTAGACTAACATCGTATAAACAGACTGTGTATTAACAAAACTAGACTACCATTGTATAAACAGACTGTGTATTAACAGACTGTGTATTAACAAAACTAGACTAACACCGTATAAACAGACTGTGTATTAACAAAACTAGACTACCATTGTATAAACAGACTGTGTATTAACAGACTGTGTATTAACAAAACTAGACTACCATTGTATAAACAGACTGTGTATTAACAGACCGCGTATAAACAAAACTAGACTACCATTGTATAAACAGACTGTGTATTAACAAAACTAGCCTAACAAAAACCCCATTCTATAGATACATAAACCCATTGCGATAACAATTTTAACATATACAGTATAAGCTTTCAAAAACAAATTAACAAAAAAAATTGTCAGAGTCATATTATGTATGTCAATCTGAACATCTGAAAATACATTCTCACAATGTCATTATTACTAGTCTAAAGTCAGGCTAGCAGTGAAATGCACGGTTCAAACGATCAAAGTTTCTAATCCATTGACTCAGAGAGCAGAACATTCGTCCCGACTGAATCCGTTAATATCCGATAATTAGTATCGACACTTCAATTTATCTTCATTTGAATCCAGACAAGTCAGTATTCCTTTGTGTTAAATATAGGTGGTGCAATCAATATAAGTAAAAAAAAAAACAAGTCTAATCTATTTCACAACGTCCATTACCCCATACAAAAAACTTCATTTCATAGCCATATTGTAGGATATACACCACAATACAATTAAATACTGAGGAAGGTAAATCTAGAGGTAAGGCACATATAAAGGCAATACATTTCCATGTCTAGAGGTAAGGCACATATGAAGGTAATACATTTCCATGTCTAGAGGTAAGGCGCATATGAAGGTAATACATCTCCATGACTAGAGGTAAGGCGCATACAATGGCAAAATACATTTCCATGACTAGAAGTAAGGCGTATAGACATTCAATACAGTTCCACGTAAATGTACATTCTGTAAACAGTTTTGTGGCGCAAGATTAATAATGTATTTCCTTTGACTATAGTAAAGTTAAAGCCTGCATAGAGTAAAACATATCCTTTCCCAATAGAGGGCTTAACATGTTCAGAAAGAGGAAATACCCGTAATATTGGTTACCTGCCTTTGCTCAACTTTTTTCCGCTTGAGTGTGTTCGTTATATTTTCTTAGTCTACCTTTCCGTAAAACACATTTCATTCTCAAGATAACAGAGTATTCATACTGCACAGAGAAAGTATACAAACGCTGAATATAAATACATTTCTCAGTGCAGGTAAGACACAAAAAATCAAAACATTTCAGTGTGTGGGTAAGTTTCATACAGAAAATACATTTCCATTCAGAGGTATGATAATACAGTAAATACAGTTCCATAAACAAGTAAGAAATACTGCAAAACATTTCCAGGCGCGGTAAGACACAAAGCAAAAACATTTCCATGTACGGTAAGACACAAAGCGAAAACATTTCCGGGCGCGGTAAGACACAAAGCAAAAACATTTCCATGTACGGTAAGACACAAAGCGAAAACATTTCCAGGCGCGGTAAGACACAAAGCAAAAACATTTCCATGTAAAGGCAAGAAACATACAGAAAATTCATTTCCATAAACTGGCAAAAGAAACATACCGTAAAACGTTTCCATTTAGAGGTATGATACATACAGTAAATACATTTCAATAAACAGGTTAGACATGTGCGGTAAGACAACACGGGATATGCATTAAAGGTATTTCGTTTTCATTCAGTATCACGTACCAAAAGTGACACGGACAATTTTCGATGTAAGTGGTGTTTTGGTTTTTAACTAATGAAATACTGAAGTTCAATGAAAAAAGTCTTGCATGCCATGTTTCTCATCGAGGATCAAAGAGTCTTGGACGGCCACAACTCATTCGAGGGGTTCTACTTGTTACCATAGCAGAACACTTTCCGGACCCAAACGGGCAATATGAGACTGTGTGCGCGTGATCCCCGGTTGCCTTACAGATGGGGCACCGGAAAGTCCTAAGCACTGGGCACGTCACATGTCCCTTTGCATCCTTGAGGTCATGTGACGTGTAAAACACCTTTGTTTCTCCATTTGTCTTACAGAACTTGCACACGAATTTGTCCTTGCCCTCTGAACAGCCTGTAACGCTTCTGACACTTCTTTGTGCGGTGTTTTTATTCGCGTTACAACGCTGATCAAACGTCGTTTTCACGAGTTCGGTAGCATGCACGTCCATGGGTTGCATCGCAAGTATGTTTTGGTGTAACAAACCCGTGACATCAACAGGAAGGACCGGTAAATGACATGGCGGGGGATTGTCATACATTTTTACACAGAACGAAGTGATGCCAGCGTTGTCATGGCCATTCCCCTCGTTTTGGAATGTCTCGAGTTGATTCATGGTGTCCTTTTCAAGCTGAAGCCTCTCCGGAAGTACTCCTCTATCATATCGTTTACGCTGCCGCACTCCGGAACGCTCGATGTGTTCCTCACTATTTTGTAACACCGTAGCGTGATCCATTTTGGACAGGTTAGATTTTCGTCGCCATGAAGATATCCCGCACGGAAGCATTTGTCCAGTTAATCCGAGATGACGTTGCTGTTTAGACGATGCAGGTACCGTGCTCCCCTCACGTGTAACGACACGTGAGTCTATTGAAGACAACTGTTCGTTTGAAATGAACGCTTGATGCTGGAACACAATTGGAGGTTGGTGCCGTTCCTTTGAACTTATCGGTCGCTGCTGAAACACGTTTCGTGTTGGATCTTTTTTTCGGGACCTGAACAGGAGGTCTTTAACTAAGCATCGTTCCCGTGTGGTCCCCTCGGGTACAAAAGGACCAACAGACCGACAATGAACATTGTTTGGTGTTTCGTACTGTTCCCGTATATTTAACTCTCCCGGCTGGAACATATGTTGTGTCCCATAGCGTTCTACGGAAATTTCTGCGAGTTTCTTTTGTCCAATGTTTATCGCTTCCATGGAATTCTCTAGAGTCTCAAACTGTTCTCGTAGATTCAACTCTCCCTCCTGGAATATATGTTGTGTTTCATAGCGTTCTCCGGAAATTTCTGTGATTTTTTGTTGCTTGCGTCCAATGTTGCTCGCTTCCATGGAAGCCTCTAGAGGAGACTTACAAACTCGTTTCTGACGAGACAATTGAGGTATTGGAAGCAACCCACGATTCGGTTTTGGAATGTCATCCTGTTTTCTCACGGTAGTCTGTGTACAATTGTCGCCGCTCTTTCCCATCGATATCTGTTCCAACATATCACAACCTTCACTTTCTTTGTACTCGTCATCAACAAATATTACACCAGAAAGTCCAAGATAGTCTTTAGTGAGGTTAAAATCCATTTTACTATGTTCGCCTCGTACAGTGACGAATCGTACACTGAGCGCGAATTACAGAATCTACCTCACCAATCCCCAAAATTTGGCAGAGATTCAAAACTCGGTATCACTGTCAACAACATCCGTTATGTTCAGCAGCTCCAGCTAACAGAGGTCAACTTCAAAGGCGGTACCAAGGGACATGCGTCGCTAAGGCCTGTCACGTGAACATCGAGTGTGACCACAACGCAATACGATATTTTGCTTTAGAAAAATAACCGCGCTTGAAACAAAAACAATTTATTTTCCATGTGGATGACAGACGGAGGGGGGTCGGGAGAGCAGGTATCTTCTAGAAATTAAAAACTCCGAAAAGTTCAGGGAAGGGACAATAGTATCTATGTATTTATAGAAAAAACACATACACGGACAAGAATAATTCCCATTAATCTCTACTGCAGTAGAAATAGAAAACATCCTTGTGATTTCAAGTCGAATACGACTTACAACACATTTATATATCCATATTAATGTACGTGTTTAATATATGACTTATGTAGACCTAGAGCTGTATTAACAGGAAAAAAACGCGTTGATTAAATATGCTTACCATTTTCATGGGAAAAAAAATCCTTGTATCTAGTTAGTAGTATTTTGAACAATAAGTATGTAATATTTTGGTATAGATCTCGCTATGTTCTATGAGTGCGTTACCATACGCCTCACCCTATACAACTAGCCCCAGCCAATAAATCTACACGGTAAACGCCAGGAGTAGAACATTTACAGACAATGAATTCCGCTATATAACGTCCAGTCTCTATTATAGACAGACAACCAATGATTCAAAACAAGATCTTCCATTCTACTTCGTAATATATAACTCGTTATATGAGAGAGACCTTCTTGTAACGAGATCCGAAGTAAATCGAGATATGTGGTCTTAATTACATAAATGGGTAGATAATGAGAGTCGTAACAGGAAAAAAAGGGTTCCGTCATATTCAGGTTTGTTGCCTTAAATAAACGCATATCGGCGTCTGCTGTGCCGAGTAAAATATCGATGTAATGCCTTTTCCCTTTCACTAACCAGTCAGAATATTCACATCAGCATGTTTATCTATATGCGTTGTATATTTACATATTTGTTATCGATTTGTTTCACACGTGCACTCCCAGAAATTTCCAAATTATATAATCAATTATATATTACATACGCACTGGTGTAAGATTTCTGCAAAATAAACGAAATCCTCAAATTAATCTCCCTATAAGGCAGATTTGATTCAACGCGGACGTCACGTTTTTCACTCAGCCCAGACAACATTAGACCTGGCATAATAGACATCACAACAATGTCATTACACATGTGTCTTCCGATATCTATGACATGGTCGTGTGACATGGCAATAAAGGTCACTTATATGATAAATAAAGCTAAACATATTTCATTTAATTATTACACAGTATTACCCAGTTAGACATAATAAGTACATCATACATACAAACAATACACATACACAATACATTAGAATACCCAGACTTTCAATACTTCCATGACATTTTTTATAATCAATTTCTGTTTCACAAAATAGATATAAGAATGATTTTATTTATAGTGACTAAATTTAATATTGCACTTATTCGATGGAATAGATAATAAATTGTCTTTATTACAATTGTCTGACTTTGTACCTTAGGAGGATCCCCCGACCATTACTGTGGGTTAGGCTGTACCCAACAATAGATTATAGACGACTTACATAATACTATAGACACAGTTAAAGAGGGATAATTGTGTTATTGAATACGTGTTTTGGTATTCCACAATTCGTCAGACGAGACGTTCATCAATACCGAATCATCGCTATTAAATCATAATGATACTTTTATTAAAAATAATTATGAGAAAGAAAGGGCCGTTTATTACTAGTGTTTCTCTGTGGAACTCATATGTTATGTTATCGAACAAAGAAAATACATCCTTTATCGATTTTCTTAGTGTCGACACAAATAATAACTGCTCCCCAGCCAAGGTTGGTAGCAAAATGTGCACTGTGATACCGAAAGTGCCGACCATGTTTTTGATGTGCATTTCTTGGTCAAGATAGGATTTCTGGATGTAAAATCGTGATTATTAGAATTTTGTACCTACAAACGGTATAATAGATATTTATGCTTGAGGTTTATTAATAGAAATTGTAGCTATTTTTGCGCTGGATTTCCGGAAATCATCGCTATCTCTGGATAACGTATCGATCGAGTTGGACCCGGTGAGATCGTGGGGTAATACGAGATAATGTCGTCTCTCTTCTCGTGTATCGGGGGCAAAAATCCACTGAAGAAATCCAAAAAGAAGAAAGGAAAAGAGCCAGAAGACAGGAAGGTAAGAATGGCGAGCAGTACGAAAGCACATGTGTATGTATATGTGTGCGGTGAAATACATACGCTGCGATACACATAAACAGCTGCCATAAACATAGCAATGTGCCCGAGGTCACATGACTACCGGCATCTGTTAGTTTTCACAAATTAGGCATATTATGAGTATGTAGGGTCTTTTCTCGTACCGATACAATGCAGCATTGTTATACTATTTCAAATTTGTAAACAACTAAATAGCACACGTGTCTACTTGCTCATTGTGGTATAAGACCACGGCGCACATGGCCTCGAAGCTCGTGCCTGTTGTCTCGGGGGGACGAATACAGCGCTATACGTGTATTCATGCTTCTGGTTTTGATATGTCTTATTTCACTGCTCATCAATCACACACACAGATTTAAGTATTGTTATTATGGCAGATTAATTCCACATTGTAGATTCATGTATATATAAATAAACATGAAATACTTTTAATGTTTGAAATCGTGTCTAATAATTTACAGTAGTCATAACAGAATATCTCAAAATATCCACGAAGAAATATATTTACACACACTCTAATACCTGATAATTTTATTAGAGTATTCATAATTCATTTTTACAATCACTTTTAAATGTTGGTGTGACCTCCATGACCTCATATAAACAGATACACGTTTACCTACACGTACCTACCCTATTTATTTGTTGTATGTTTATACATTACGTTGTTCACGTGCCCAATTCAAAAGTAATAAACGTGTTATGAGTAAATACATTGTTTTCTTTGTATAAACTTGTAATTCCCGTGGATATTACTTCAGTATTGAGACAATGCCTGATTAACACTACCTGTGTCTGGCTTACTGGTGTTTAAATAATCTCGTATTAATCACCACCAAATCGAACGGGCAATGGCTGCTTCAAACATATCGAGCCAATCACAAAGTGTATTTGACAAACGGTCATTTAAGTCCGTGGTCCTATTGAATATATGCATGCCCTCGATATAATCTTAACCAACACACTAACAGCTGAACACTCTTAACACAAGCAGGGGAGCGGTTATTATTTGTCTTGTTAAGCATTGGCATTCCATAAGCATGTGGATATCTGGAATGCCATCTAAACGCATTTCAGCGCTAGTAGTAACCATTTTCAATGTAAACCTTTTTATAACATAAGTATTACACGCTTTTCATTACTTCTTATACTGTTGTCAGCTCATGAACTGGGAGTATACAACGGTTTTTAGTCAGTTTTCTCCATAGCTATGCCATACAATGAACGCCATCTATATCAGCCACAATAATAACTTATAAAACAAACCTGGTGTGGCATACGGATATATTTGTCATACGTGAATTGTCAGTCCTAATAAGGTCTATACACATTTTTAAATAAAATTTTCTTGATCATGGAATTTTGTAAAGCTCGGCGTTGTGATTCTTTTCGTTCAACTTAACCCAAGCGCCTGGAAATAAGTGTGAATTTTCTTTACAGTGAGTATTCTGCACCTTGTAGTTATTATCATTTGTAAAGTTTCACGTACCTGTGTATATAATGAACAGTGAACATGTTTTATAACACTCTACTATATGTTATGTATATTGTTATTGTTCATCACGAGAGCGAGTAAGAATTTCGGATCAAGTTTTAATATCAAAATTTTTTTAAGGTGGAAAGTAAATGAGATTTTCAATTTGTGTTGACGAAGACACTAACATGGATCTTATCGGAACTTCGAAGTGTTTTTTAAACGATATCTACGTGCTCCATAAGCGTCGTTGAGATATGCTTGTTTGTAATCGATGCCTTTTAACTGAAGGAACCTGCATTTGTCGAATGCTCAGGACGTCAAACCGTTTATAGAACAGCGCCTTGGTCAGTGTGGAGAGCCGATCAATGTGACCAGCCAATGGGCCGTTGTCACTACAGACAATGTACATAGATAGCCGTCCTATTTCTAGATAGAAAAAAACTGGTACAAAACAGCATTGATCTGCAGTTGCAGCACGTGAATCGTTTATCATCTGCTTGGTGATTTAAACAGACGGTTTTATTCTTAGCTGTAAATGTAAGGATTCTTCAAACAATATCTTTGACAGCCTGTCTCTTTTTTGTCGTTAGGCAACGGTTGATATTTATTTTCATGGTATCTATGAATAGTTGATAAAAACTGTATTTAAATATTCATTTCTTCTCGTTTTGTCTTGTTTGCACAGAAGAAGCCCGAACCTGTCCCGGAGAAAGAAGATGGGGCTACACCAATTGTCGAGGAAATTAAACCCGAACAGGCGCTACCTGTCGAAAAGTCTCCACTTCAGGTAAAATATATTAAAAAAAAAATGAAAAAATACAACAAAACATTGTGCAATTTCCACGTTATCAGAGTTATCGATCTCTACTCCATTATCTGACTTCGCTTCATTTTGCGCTATCTCTTCAGTCTATTCTTGTAGTATATGCCGAGGCGTGCACTATATTTCTGTGCGGAAGCGGTTTTTGTAAACGTTACAAGCGCTCAAAGTAGATGACGTTTCACTGACGTCATGGAAAAACCGGAAGTCGATGTGACGTTTTGTGTCCTGCGGTATATGAGAAGGTTGCTATATTCGTATTTATATCAACATTCACACAGGATAAGACGGAAGGTATCGGTATTATTAAGTACAATACTTCATAACAAGCGTTTAATGATGTGCATGCATTATCAGAGGACGATTGTAAACACAGAAAATTAGTTTAGTGATATCATAACAGTCGTGGGGGCAGACTGAACGGTTTTAAATTTTGATTTCATCAGTGATGTTAATGTCGTATACAGTTGATTGACTTGTATTTCAAGTGAAATCAGAGGTCTTTATGTTTGTGCAAAGTTTTTTTTCTTGAGAAATTTAACAAGTTCTGAAATTTTTTTTTAAAAAATTGTACATATAGTTCTTTCTCGAGCTCCTACTTACTTACAAAAAGGATGTTGGTTATTTTGCTGGTATGAATAAGTTGACCTTTTATTTCTTGGTTTTCTTAGATAGAGCCTGTTCAGTGATGATTTTAGCAGGCGATAAAACCAAAACATAGAAGGTCTGTTAGTAAATTGAAAAGTTTCAATATTTTCTCATAAGTTTTAATTCATTTGCCGTATAAAACATTCTTTTCAACCGATTTTTTCTAAACACTAACTATAACGTTAGGGTATTTGCGTTTTTTACCTAAACATTTCTCTACAGAAGACGTAGCGGAATGAAAAGTGATGTAATTATTAAAAATGTTTTTAGGTGATACGGAATGAATTATAAATGCATTTAATTGATGAAAATTGTTCTAATTATGGTTGCGCAACGTTACTTAAGTTTTTGTTATTAGTTATTGAATATAGGATCGAAATGCAAAATTGCATTGTTTTCGGTGTCATCCGGTTTAACCTTTGACACGAGAGCGTTCGGATAGTTGATATTTATTTAGTTATTCCCGTTAAAAGTGGATATCACTCATGACCATTATATTACATACATGTATATTCAAACTTTAAAGGTGATACTATACTGTAATGGGAGTAGGTACAGTAATTGACTTCGAATAGACGATGGACCTATATCATATATTAAAGCGACATCACGGTAAAACGACATCTAAAAAATGTTTAAACACTATTTGGTAGTGGTGGGCTGTTCATATCCTCTTGGGTTCGTGATCCGCTCTCCATTGTACGTTAATCCTGCGTGTTATCGCCATTTCTTGACAAGAACTGGACGTATTTTTCTCTCATTTCACATAGACAGTCTCTATGGTCATTAGTTATGACTAATACATTTTAGGACTGACCAATAAATTGTAATGATCGACAGGCAACAATCTTGGATTTTGAAAATAAGTTTTACGCTATGTCTTGAGAAGTAATGAACGCTTTATTGTAAATTTCATGCGTTGACTCTCATTGTTGTCTAGTTAGTAAAGGATCAATTTTGGTCTGATACAATCGGGCCGACAGGCAGTCGTTCTGTCTTTTGGCAGACCAGTTTGTTTTTTATCGCTATTAACGTTATTGAAGTACTGAATGGATCTTGAAAAAACATCCTGTGTAGACTGTCCTTAGCTTTGCATCATAGTTTTTAGGACTTAGCAGAAAGTAGTTCTAGTTTACTGTCATTATAATTCTCAAAATATTTGATAATTTGTTCTCAGATATTTTGTATAGATTCCCCTTGGTCCTTAATTTACATTTCCAATCTTCTGACTATTTAAACAGAAAAACAAAATCAAAACAAACAAACGCAAAAAACTCTACGTTTGTTTTAACTATTTCTGTAGATGCACTGGTTCGGTACTTTTAACCTTTTAATAATATTGCCACTTCTGAAAAAGGAAAACATCCAACTGACTTAAAAGCAACACATACAATACAGTGACGGGCGTCAAGATCACTTTGCGATTTGTTTTGATTCTAACGCTTTTGGAAGGCATCATCATTACTTTTATATTGTACTTTTTCCTGAAAGGAGATATTGTTTTAAGTCACTAAGTGATATCACTATGTTTGAATAAGCAGAATCAAATGCTCTAGGTTTGAAGTGATATGCGTGTATCTAATTCATTAGTTTAGAATAGTTGGTATAACATGTGTATCACGAAATTTCCCATTTAAATTTAAATGAGTATTCAGTGATTCGAATTCACTTTCTCGGTTATTTGGAGTTTTTGGGAGTAAAGATTATAACAGTGCACATCAGCACTCTGTTATTAAAAATATACCGAATGTTGTATTTTGAAACTGACTGTGTGTATTGTTTCTTGTATAACGCTTCGTTCCACTTCTGTGATATATGATGTTTCAGTTCCCGCTCTCGTTTTTTTTTTAGATATTTTCCCCTTCTCCCGCGATATATTGTTTCAGTTCCCGGTCCCGCTAGATATACTTTTGTTTTCTATTTCTGTTACTGCGATATATTGTTTCAGTTCCCTGTCCCGCTAGATATACTTTTTTCTGTTCCTACTGCCGCGATATATTGTTTCATTTCCCGGTCCTGCTAGATATACTTTTTTCTGTTCCTACTGCCGCGATATATTGTTTCAGTTCCCTGTCCCGCTCGATATACTTTTTTCTGTTCCTATTACTGCGATATATTGTTTCAGTTCCCGGTCCCGCTAGATATACTTTTTCTGTTCCTACTGCCGCGATATATTGTTTCAGTTCCCTGTCCCGCTAGATATACTTTTTTCTGTTCCTATTACTGCGATATATTGTTTCAGTTCCCTGTCCCGCTAGATATACTTTTTTCTGTTCCTACTGCCGCGATATATTGTTTCAGTTCCCGGTCCCGCTAGATATACTTTTTTCTGTTCCTATTACTGCGATATATTGTTTCAGTTCCCTGTCCCGCTTGATATACTTTTTCTGTTCCTATAACTGCGATATATTGTTTCAGTTCCCTGTCCCGTTTGATATACTGTTTTCTGTTCCTATTACTGCGATATATTGTTTCAGTTCCCGGTCCCGCTAGATATACTTTTTTCTGTTCCGACTGCCGCGATATATTGTTTCAGTTCCCTGTCCCGCTAGATATACTTTTTCTGTTCCTGCTGCCGCGATATATTGTTTCAGTTCCCTGTCCCGCTAGATATACTTTTTCTGTTCCTATTACTGGGATATATTGTTTCAGTTCTTGGTCCCGCTAGATATACTTTTTTCTGTTCCGACTGCCGCGATATATTGTTTCAGTTCCCTGTCCCGCTAGATATACTTTTTTCTGTTCCTATTACTGCGATATATTGTTTCAGTTCCCTGTCCCGCTAGATATACTTTTTTCTGTTCCTACTGCCGCGATATATTGTTTCAGTTCCCGGTCCCGCTAGATATACTGTTTTCTGTTCCTATTACTGCGATATATTGTTTCAGTTCCCTGTCCCGCTAGATATACTTTTTTCTGTTCCTACTGCCGCGATATATTGTTTCAGTTCCCGGTCCCGCTAGATATACTGTTTTCTGTTCCTATTACTGCGATATATTGTTTCAGTTCCCTGTCCCGCTTGATATACTTTTTCTGTTCCTACTGCCGCGATATATTGTTTCAGTTCCCTGTCCCGCTAGATATACTTTTTCTGTTCCTATTACTGCGATATATTGTTTCAGTTCTTGGTCCCGCTAGATATACTTTTTTCTGTTCCTACTGCCGCGATATATTGTTTCAGTTCCCTGTCCCGCTAGATATACTTTTTTCTGTTCCTATTACTGCGATATATTGTTTCAGTTCCCTGTCCCGCTAGATATACTTTTTTCTGTTCCTACTGCCGCGATATATTGTTTCAGTTCCCTGTCCCGCTTGATATACTTTTTTCTGTTCCTACTGCCGCGATATATTGTTTCAGTTCCCTGTCCCGCTAGATATACTTTTTTCTGTTCCTACTGCCGCGATATATTGTTTCAGTTCCCTGTCCCGCTAGATATACTTTTTTCTGTTCCTATTACTGCGATATATTGTTTCAGTTCCCTGTCCCGCTAGATATACTTTTTTCTGTTCCTACTGCCGCGATATATTGTTTCAGTTCCCTGTCCCGCTTGATATACTTTTTTCTGTTCCTACTGCCGCGATATATTGTTTCAGTTCCCTGTCCCGCTAGATATACTTTTTTCTGTTCCTACTGCCGCGATATATTGTTTCAGTTCCCTGTCCCGCTAGATATACTTTTTTCTGTTCCTACTGCCGCGATATATTGTTTCAGTTCCCTGTCCCGCTAGATATACTTTTTCTGTTCCTACTGCCGCGATATATTGTTTCAGTTCCCTGTCCCGCTAGATATACTTTTTCTGTTCCTACTGCCGCGATATATTGTTTCAGTTCCCTGTCCCGCTAGATATACTTTTTTCTGTTCCTATTACTGCGATATATTGTTTAAGTTCCCTGTCCCGCTTGATATACTTTTTTTTCTGTTCCTATTACTGCGATATATTGTTTCAGTTCCCTGTCCCGCTAGATATACTTTTTTTCTGTTCCTACTGCCGCGATATATTGTTTCAGTTCCCTGTCCCGCTAGATATACTTTTTTCTGTTCCTATTACTGCGATATATTGTTTCAGTTCCCTGTCCCGCTAGATATACTTTTTCTGTTCCTATTACTGCGATATGTTGTTCCAGTTCCCTGTCCCGCTAGATATATTTTATTCTGTTCCTATTACTGCGATATATTGTTTCAGTGCCATGTCCCGCTAGATATACTTTTTTCTGTTCCTAGTACTGCGATATATTATTTCAGTTCCCTGTCCCGCTAGATATACTATTTGTGTTCAAACTCTCACGATATATCATTTTTTTGTCCCTAACCTCACGATATTTTATATTTCCATTCCTCTAATTTCTCAATCTCCGCTATACATGTTTCGGTTTCCATTCCCGCTCTGTATGTTTCAGTTCCCGCTCCCGATATATATAATGATTCAGTTTCCGCTCCCGATATACATAATTTTTTAGTTCCCTCTTCTAATATATATAATGTTTCAGTTCCCCGCTCCCGATATATATAATATATACATCATGTTTTAGTTCCCGCTCCCGATAGATATAGTGTTTCAGTTCCCGCTCCCGATATATATAATATTTTAGTTCCCGCTCCTGATATACATTATGTTTTAGTTCCCGCTACCGATAGATATAGTGTTTCAGTCCCCGCTCCCGATATATATAATATTTTAGTTCCCGCTCCTGATATACATTATGTTTTAGTTCCCGCTCCCGATAGATATAGTGTTTCAGTTCCCGCTCCCGATATATGTAATATTTTAGTTCCCGCTCCTGATATACATTATGTTTTAGTTCCCGCTACCGATAGATATAGTGTTTCAGTTCCCGCTCCCGATATATATAATATTTTAGTTCCCGCTCCCGATATACATTATGTTTTAGTTCCCTCTCCCGATATATATATATATAATATTTCAGTTCCCGCTCCCGATATATATATAATGTTTCAGTTCCCGCTCCCGATATATATAATATTTTAGTTCCCGCTCCCGATAGATATATATGTTTCAGTTCCCGCTCCCGATATATATAATATTTTAGTTGCTGCTCCCGATATACATTATGTTTTAGTTCCCGCTCCCGATAGATATAGTGTTTCAGTTCCCGCTCCCGATATATATATATATAATATTGCAGTTCCCGCTACCGATATATATAACATTTCAGTTTCCGCTCCCGATATATATTGTTTTAGTTACCTCCACTGTTATATATAAAATCAGTTTCCATTCCTGATGTATATTATAATGATTCAGTTCTCACTCCCTCTCTCATAATTGCTCCTGTTGTCCATACATATATATGACATCGTCTGTCTCATATGCCTCCGTGTTGTTATTGCTGTTTCATCGATATGCGAGTGTTTGTGACATAGTTTTGGCTGTTCGTGTAAAATATGCAAAAGTCCTTTTTGTAGTAACATTTCCGATTACTTCTACTCCAAAGCCGAAGAATATTATGTAAAGGGACGGTACTAACTTTTAAAGTCAAATGTAAACGAACAAAATGTTGTAAAAGGCAAGAAAAACAGAGATACATGTACATCACTTTCATAGACATTGTAACATAAAACCCATCTTAGATAACAAATTGTCATTGTTGTTGTGTCAATATTCAAGTGGATATTTCGGACTGGTATATAGACATTGATTTTGTATATTTTCAGGTGAACATAGAAAATGCCAAGCTTCGGCAGGTTGAGAAAGCCCAGGAAAGTCATGCCAAGGTGGACGAGCCTGTCAGTCCACTACTCAAGGAGCTCCATGAGAAGTTCCAACAGAGGAAGGACAAATCGAAGGTCGGAGCAGACGGCGACCAGAACACGGTCTTACCGGAGGAGGGTTGTCAGGAGAGCAAACCGGACAATGTCGTTCCGACGGGAGAGGTGGCAAAACAGAACTTGCCAAAGAACTTCGCAAAGAATGCCATACCGCCAGCGTCGAGTCAGGACCATGAACCGGAACTTTGTCTAATGAGGACGCGCATTACACAGGTGGAGCGCGAGAATGATCGTTTGAAGGTTACAATAGACGAGCTGAAGAATGAGGAGCGAAAGAAGAGTACTGAGGCAGAGGAATCTGCAAAACTCGTGGGGAAATTACAAGTCGAGGTGGGTGTACTGAAAAAGGAGAAGGAAGATCTTTTAGTTGAAGTTGAAACTCAGCGTGCTAGAGCAGAAAGTTATGTCAATTCTCAAGCTAGGAGCGATCATGAGAATGACTTGGACAATGCTAAAGGCAGGGAGGAAATCCTCGAGGCAATCGGTCATCTAGACAGGGTGTGCTCAGCGTACGAGCCGGTCGTCGAAAAGGTAGAGAAAATAGAAGAAGATTTAGACCGCGAACGTAAGGATGAAAAGTTATCAGAAAGACTAGCAGTTGTTGAGGAAAATCGCGGTAAAATCAGCGATGATGTGATGGGTTTGCTCAAGAGTCTTCAGGAACTGGAGTGTCGGATCATACGCCTCGAGGTCAGTAAGGACGACGAGGAGGCCATGGAGGCAATTTCAATGAAGGTAGTTCAGCGTCTGTCGGTGGCAGAAGAGGACCACTCCAGTTTGACAAGAGAAGTTGGTGCCCTCTCGCATTCATATTCAGACATGGAACTAAGGCTAACGCAAATAGAGGATCAAAAAAATGCTTTAAGCGTCCAGATTGAGACGTACACTGCTGAATCAATTCAACTGAAACAAACTATTGAGGACCAGATGAGAATGTTGAAAAACAACGAGGAGGCGCTAGCAGAGGCCTCATCCTTTAGAACGGTGAAAGAACAGGAGTTACAGGAAGCTACAACAAGATACGAAAAAGCAGCTGCTCAATTGAAAGAGGAGGAACAGAAGTACTCAAAGCTGGAGACAGACATGAAGGACATTCGACAGAAGTATCAAGATCTCATGGAGAGGTAAGTTTTATTTTCTTAAAGTGACATTTTTGTATCCTTATATCCAAATATGTAAAATAAAGCTTCACATTATGCTTTTTTTACCAAGCCTATCTAAATGTGTCCGAACATCCGAAGGGAAAGTATGCAAGATTGGTGTCTCGTCAATTTGAAGGTCACACTTAATATCTATTAATTTGTAAATGAAGGATTATTTAGATAACTTCATAAAGATTCAAGTGTTTTTAGTCTTTAACGTGACTGGTTAGTGTTAAACTGTTTAATTAGAACTGACACTGTTTGTACGCAGGCTAATGAAGATTTTGTAAGTACAGGGTATTAGCTACTTCCAAACTTTTATTTATTGATGTATTTTTAAATTGGCTTGTTTACATTACAATATACGGACTATGTATATTACGATATAGTTTTGTGATTGCCTGTTAAATTTATTCCTTTTAAGTTTTCAATTCCTTGAGTTGTAGAATCGTTGTTATACTTTTCTTCTGTATCAAAATATGCATGTAAGTAAAACAGTCACGCTTCGCTGAACTATCATATGTCGTGCAGATCTGACGTCGTATGTTTCTAATTCAAGCAGTCTGGGTCTTCTGCGGAGTGCTTATGTCAGTTTTGAAGTTGAATATACATGTACGGTCTTATTGTCTTAATGACAGAAGAATGAAAAAGATGCACCATGTAGAAATATGAATCAAATATTGTAGAAATATAGCGTTCACCTGAAAAATTTGTTTTCCCAGAATGATATCATGGGGTATGCAGAATTTGACCTTTCTATTAAACGACGACGTACCTCACACACTCCATGTTACCTGATCCCAACAAGTGATGGTAGTTCTGTTCTCATTCTTACCTGTTTATTCTCATTATTTAATTGTAGACACGTCGTGACAAATAGGCATAACTATAACTGTCTGAAAAAAGCAATATCAAATTATTTACAATTTGCAATGTTGCTGGTAACTAATTTAATAACTTCCTGAATTGATGGATCCTCTTGGCTCGATGGTAATCTCGAACTTGTTATCCCTGCTCAAATGCTATATTGATATATAAAATATGTTATTGTTATATAAATGAGCTCTGTCTCGTTTGAACTGAACTTGGTAAAAACAAAACACAATTCTATATTTAGGAACAGTTGCTCCACGGGTATATAGCATGTTTATAACGAAATTTTGTGTTTTCCTATTGACAGACTATTGTATGTATTCTACTCCATATAAAATTCACAATATAGACCTAAAGTTATTTGCTTCAAAGTGTTATGTATGACATTTCTTTATTATTTCTGACATTATTTGATGCTAATTTTTGCATTATTTGATGCTAATGTTTACATTATTTGATGTTAATTTTTACATTATTTGATGCAAATGTTTACATAGTTTGGTGTTTATTTGGACACTGTTGGATGTTTATTTTGACACTGTTTGATGTTAATTCTGACAATTTTCTGTCGATTCTCTTCGATATCAAACATAAATATGAAATGAAATATCTGTTTTTACTAAACAGGGCTTTTTTTATCGAATGAATTTTCCTCTGTAGCTGTTGTTCACAACGTGAAAAAGGATGAATAAAGAAAGAACTGTCAATTTGGTGCATGGTTAGATATTCACTTCATTGTGTAAAGTCTCTTTTGGAACAATGTTAATGTATCCCCATTTTATGGGACATACGTTTCAAAGGATTCATTGGTATTTTCATTTTGTTTGAAATCTGCAAATTGTTTTGTTGAAATGTGTGTATAAACTTGAATAAACAAAGAATCTCTGGCATCAATTTTACCGTACTGATATATTTAACACAGGTATAGGAGTGTTACAGCCGATGAGGTGATAGAAAGGGATGATGTGACCCTTGTCACTATGAAAGTCGACGAAGATGTCCCTATCAACATCTCAGAGAGGTTTCACAAAGAGCTCTACTGCGATAAGTGGGCAAATGCTTTCGAAAAATTAAACACTACCTTCAAAAGGGATGAAAAAAAGGCTCTTCAAATTCTCATGGACTTCTGCACGGTAAATTACTTTATATTTGTTAGATTTTCAGAGAGTAAAAATCGATCTTTCGAGTCAATTATTGGCATAGGGTATATCATCGAAATAGTTTCTTAGTTGATTGCTGTTAACTTATGACTGTTTGTAGCTATGTTAATCGGTACATAGCTCGTGAGAAACAGACGTGGTATATCGCCAAGTCGTTCACTGCTAGGATAAGAAACCAATCGAGGGGGTACTCATGCACTCAAACTGTCATCAGTTTGTTATTTTGCTATAGGCAAATATCAGAAGGCAAAATGCGTTTATCAGTTCTGTATTCACAAATACTTCAAAATATCGAAACAAATGGTGGCAAAAGGTAATCCCACTTGAGTGCAATTTTAGATGTAACAGTTCACCACTTTACGAAGGTAGACAGAATGTAGGGCGGTCTGATCTTCATCAATTAATCGCACGCCTCCAGTTAAACAAAAAATGAATGATTTGTCATTAATAATCGGAAACACAAACGAGACTATCCTATGACAAGTATTTGTCCGAATGATGAAAAGCACATTTTTGTTTGGGTTTAATTTGCTCGGAGTTTAAGGTGCTCATAACAGCCAGCATAGCACCTGATCATATCCTCATTAACAGAAAGTTGTGCTATCTATTTGCGGATTGAAGCAAACAGATAGCACAGCTTTCTGTGATCGTTTCACAAAAGCTCATTGATACAAATACTTGGGAAGCATGCTTGCTATAAATTCAATCCATAATCTATCTGATATATGATTGTTGGCATGCATTCTAAGATAGCGTGCACTTGCTTCTACTAATTTACTGATGGAACACGAGACAAATGCTTAACTTATGTACGATTACTCTCACCGCTGTCACAATTTCTGACTCGCTTTGAAATAATGATGTTTCTCATGTTATATTGGTGTCTCAAACGAATGTTTCTTATTTAAATTGTGCATTCATGTCCCATAGTTCAAATAAGTTCAAAAACAGTTGATGGTAAGCTATGTGAATTTTTTCACAGTTGAATGTAAGCCCAATTAAATGTTCACAGTTGATGGTAAGCCCAATGAAATTTTTCGTAGTTGGATAAAACCTTTCTGGAATTTTCTACCAAATGATGGTAAACTCAATAAAATTTTCACAGTTGATGGTAAACTCAATAAAATTTTCACAGTTGATGGTAAGCTCAATGAAATTTTTACTGTTGATGGTAAGCTCAATGAAATTTTCACAGTTGATGGTAAGCTCAATGAAATTTTTACAGTTAATGGTAAACTCAATGAAATTTTCACAGTTGATGGTAAGCTCAATGAAATTTTTACAGTTGATGGTAAACTCAATGAAATTTTCACAGTTAATGGTAAGCTCAATGAAATTTTCACAGTTGGTAAACTTAATGAAATTTTCACAGTTGATGGTAAGTTCAATGAAATTTTCACAGTTGATTCTAAGTTCAAGGATTTCTTTTTGATATCTCAATGTTTCACTAGGAATATTTTCCACATCTGAAGGCAACCTGGAAAATGTTCGAATATAAATGGTACCCTCGAGAATGTGTTTTACATTTGAACGATCCGTTTAAAAAAAGTTATACATCTTGATAACATGACTAAGTAAATGTTTCTCATGTCCATTATTGGTCGCCCAGACAAGTATTGGACAGTTAAAGATTGATGGTATGCTCAAAAATGCTTTTTACTGTAACGTAAGAGTTTCTTTTATAGCTTTTACCAGAAAATGTCTCGGATTTGGGCTCGATATTATTTCGTAGTTGCTGATCATGTATAGATTGTGATCCGTTTATACCGTCTCCTATATAACTGTACTTTTGGGACTGACTGTACATGCCGCGGCAGTTATGAAACAGCAGACGCTTCATCGATCGGCACCTCTTAGAGGCTCCTACGTAATGGTAGACATGCAGGTTTACCAATCCTCACGTAGACATGTAGTCGTCACAGCATTGTGTACACAGGATATTCATAAAATCACATTATCAATAGAGGACATTTAATTGTTTCCTGTTGAATAATGTATTTCACGAGTGAGACAAAATAGATATTTTCGACGTGTGTAAAGCATAAGCGAAAATGTCAAAACAGTCTATACTCACTCGGTAATTTTAGTACCAAAGCCTGAATTAGATTTCTAAAATACTTACAACTACTAAGAATAAAGTGGCATTTATCATGAATATGGAGAACGCGTCTGTAAAAGTTGTGTAAAGATTGAGATTACGCTTCACCTTGCTACCCCTAAGTGATAAGTTCTGTTTAGTTGTATAGGGCTTCCTTCTTATATTGGTTTTCTCAAATTTAGGATTGATTGAAAGAAAGAGGGTAAACACATTTTCGATTTTGAAATATCAAGATTTTTAAAAAAAAAAAAAAAAGAAGAGAAAAGATAGGCTTCCGGATATTTTGAGTCTCATGGGACATCTTTCTTTTTTTACTTTTCCTGTGAAAATGTTGAATGACGTTTTGTCTATGAATAAAATAACAATTTTAAGAAAAGTGAGATTTATTATTTTTGAACATCCTTAATCCACTATTGACATGATATAATTATATGAATATCAGACAATCAAGGAGAATGCAGAAAAAAGGGGAAACATTCAAACTGGCATGGACCTTGAACAGATAAATAAGGTCAATATCCCTTTGAGATTTTCTTCTTCTTTCGGGTTGATTTGTGTCATTGACTGTTTGAATTATGAGCTGCATATTTGATGTTTTTGATAGTTGTGATATTTTTGTATTTTAGGAGGTGTACCTTCATTGTCGCCGTATAGCTCGCCAGCAGATAGATATGGTCTGGTCACTCCTTTGTAACCCTACTGCGGCCCAGGTCCGTGGGGGCCTCTCTCGTAGGACATCAACGGCGGTACGTACAAGATATACAGCGATGGAATTTTAAGTCAAAGTGAAGGAAAATAATGGATAGTTTTGATACCTGATTTGTTGAAAAATAATACAGTTTATAACACATATGTATTTTGGATATGTGCACGATTCCATTGCTCTTTCAGAAGCTGCCTCCCCCGGACTCCGTGCCTGCTGTATTACGGGACCTGATCTCGGAGTACCGCCGAAAACCGAACAAGGAGTTTGTCGACCACCTGTATGACGTATGGTTGTTTCTAGTTTATTTGTATCTAAGTTTAGATTACATACTGTATATTTGGTCCTTTCACAAATAAAAGTTAGAACGTTCTTAGACAGGTATCTGTAAGGAATCTATGAATATATTCTGTACCATAAACTCTCTTTTTGTTAATGTGATCGGGAGAGATTCGTCAGAAGAACGACATCGAACGCCAGTTTTGTAGAATCTCGGTTAGATAAAAAAAAAATAGACAAAAATTCATACACACGAATATAAAAGTATTTTTATATTTAATCTGTTCGCACGATACGCCTTATCTAAACCTATGACTGACAATTGGGTTACTAATCATTACTATATACAGTAGTATACTACTTTATAGTTGATTATATGGTGAAATGTACATGAACGTAGGTAGTACAACCAGATGAGTAACAAAGAGTATGATGATATCCTCTTCAAAATGGCTCTTTTCATTTCAGGATTTCCTTGGACAGCTGGACTTTGAGAAGTCTCGCCATTTACGTAACGTGCACGAACGAGAGGTGAACGAGATTAAGTCGTATATCCGGAAATGTTTGGAGCTGAGCTGGGAAATGGTGGTACAGCAACCTCCTATGTACCTTCAGTTCAAAGTCCGACACGGGTCTGAAGCGGACACCACCAAGTTCGACTTTTACTCTCACCCCGGACACAAGACAGATTATCTGGTGTGGCCGGCTCTTCTTAGGGATGAGAACGGACCTCTGCTACAGAAAGGGGTCATACAAGCGATTCCAGATAAACCCTGAATATTTCAACCCTCAAACTCATTTGATGATCAGCTCATTGTATAAGAAACACTCTTCATTTCAGGATCCAGGATTTCAGGATGTCCCGCCACAAGACATGACTAATAGGCTTCTGGAAACAAGTTCATTCTATCCATCATATACAGTATCTTAAAACCACATTTTCCCCATATTCACGTAGTCCCTGTTTGAAATCCATGTCTAATTGCGTACAGGGATGGTAACAGATTATGTATGGATGTTTGTTGTGTATGCAAGATATGTGTGAAGCAACGTGTACATAGACTGGGTTGGAATGTTAAGGTTACATTGTGTTAGACTACAATCCCTTTTATGGAATTTACATAAACCTGTTTTTGATTGTTACTTAATTGACTGTACAATGCAACTATCAATAAGTCCCTGTCGTTAATCGATTAATAATGTGTTAGGAATGAACCATTTAGTAACTGTAAATAGGGAGGGGGAAGGGCTTGTGGTAACATCGTGGTAACTTCGTCATTATCTGTAAGCTGGCTGGACCATCACTCTTGAGTACGGTTTGGTCTCGTATAGGGACTTACCAGCTGATTAATTAATTCTTATGTACATTGTGCTCACTGGTTTACTTAACTGTATTGCCTGATGTGTAATGCCCCATATTGAGCTTGTGGTTCTTGGAATGTGTGTTTTGATCCTGGATGGCAATAGCGTATACGATTTGATGACTGTATCTGATGTACACTGTGGTATGTGGATGAGTATGTATACCTATATATAACCACAATGCTATTTTGCACCTGAATTTATTCAAGGAAGATAAGAAAACAGTGTATCGAATTTTTAAAACTTTTGAAGCGCACCCTGTCTATTGTATTTCAATGATGATATTCAGCAAACTGCTACCCTCATTATCATACTCCGTTTTTACTTCAGTTTTTTTTTTTTTTTTTTTGTAATTTATTTTAAGTTTTAGTTACGTAATATGCATGGGCAGCTAATTTATTTTAGGGCTCTGTGACACTAGTTATATACAGACGAGAAAGCCTATGACTTCTGTGAGGCCAGTTATATACTGACGAGAAAGCCTAGGACTTCTGTGAGGCCAGTTATATACAGACGAGAAAGCCTAGAACTTCTGTGAGGTCAGTTATACACAGACGAGAAAGTAAATGACTTTTGTGACGCCATTTATATACAGACGAGAAAGTCTAGGACTTCTGTGACGCCAGTTATATACAGACGAGAAAGTCTAAAGTTTCGGTGACGCCAGTTATAAACAGACGAGAAAGCCTAGGACTTCTGTGAGGCCAGTTATATACTGACGAGAAAGTCTAAGGTTTCTGTGACGCCAGCTATATGCAGACGAGGAAGTCTAGGACTTCTGTGAGGCCAGTTTTATACAGATTAGAAAGTAAATGACTTCTGTGACATCATTTATATACTGAGGAGAGAGCCTAGGACTTCTGTGACGCCAGTTATATACAGACGAGAAAGCCTAGGACTTTTGTGAGGCCAGTTATTTACAGAAAAGGAAAGTAAATGACTTTTGTGACGCCAGTTATATACAGACGAGAAAGCCTAGGACTTCTGTAAGGCAAGTTATATACAGACGAGAATGTAAATGACTTTTGTGACGCTAGTAATATACAGATGAGAAAGTAAATGACTTCTGTAAGGCCAGTTATATACAGATTAGAAAGTAAATGACTTCTGTGACACCAGTTATATACAGACGAGAATGTCTAAGGTTTCTGTGACGCCAGTTATATACAGACGAGAAAGTAAATGACTTATGTGACGCCAGTTATATACAGACGAGAAAGCCGTAGACGTCTGTGACACCAGTTATATACAGACGAGAAAGTAAATGACTTCTGTGACACCAGTTTTATACAGATGAGAAAGCATGGGACTTCTGTGGCACTAGTAATATACAGATGAGAAAGTAGACTTCTGTGACACCAGTTTTATACAGACGAGAAAGTCCAGGGCTTCTGTGACACCAGTCATGTAAAGACTAGTCGAGAAAGGTTTTTTTTTTGTAAGACCTCTGTGACACCAGTTATATACAGACGAGAAAGCCTAAAGCTTCTGTGACGCCAGTTATATACAGAAGAGAAAGCCTTAGGCTTCTGTGACGCCAGTTATATACAGACGAGTCAGTCAAGGACTAGTACACTAGTAATATACAGATGAAAAAGCCTGGGACTTCTGTGACACTAGTAATATACAGACGAGAAAGCCTGGGACTTCTGTGACACCAGTTATATACAGACTAGACGAGAAAGTGGAGGGCTCTGGTGATAACGCTGTAATACAGACGAGGAAGTGACAGTATACAGATAGAACAGTATATTCGTTTTGTTATACCAACAAATCCTGTCATGTTAAACTGATTAAAAAACTGGTTTCATATAAATGTAGAGATCTTTACAACATTTTTTGCAAACTTTTAACTATTATTGCTTAAATCAGTTTAACAATGCTATGTTCACCTTTCATGCTTCAACCGAGGTAGTATGACATGTCTGTATTAAGGCGATAGATTAACAACGTGTTCAGATATACCAAAGTTATATAACTGGTGGATTTTTTTCTGCCTTGTGTTTAGAATTTTTATCCTAAGCTAAAAGTCTTTTCTAAGTTTGATGTTTAATTCAGACGCGTTGGTCAGATATTTCCTTTGTAGGAACATTTAAGTCCTTGCTTTGTCTTTATGTTACCTATGTGTTAACTGCAGTTTTACAGACAATCTTACTTTGTATAATGTCATTTATTTTATTGGTACGGTACGAGTTCCGTCTTTTAGTGTACAACCAATAGTTGATGGTGCAAATGGAACATTTCATATTATGTGTAAAAGTTTTAACCAGGAATTTTTTCCTTAATGGAATGATATTGCTTTGAGTAGTAGATTTTTAGATGTAGATGTGCACGCTTTATTAGAGAACATCCAGAACTGTAGACACTTAGTTCCGGGATATACATGTTTAGGCTACACTAGTAAGTTATGTGATATTTGTGTAGACCCGTGTAGACTACACTAGTTAGTTATGTGGTATTTGTGTAGACCTGTGTAGACTACACTAGTTAGTTACGTGGTATATATGTAGACCTGTGTAGGCTACACTAGTTAGTTACCGGGTATACATGTAGACCCGTGTAGACTACACTAGTTAGTTACGGGTATACATGAAGACCTGTGTAGACTATACTAGTTAGTTACCGGGTATACATGTAGACCTGTGTAGGCTACACTAGTTAGTTACGGGTATACATGTAGACCTGCGTAGACTACACTAATTAGTTACCGGGTATACATGTAGACCCGTGTAGACTACACTAGTTAGTTACGTGGTATATATGTAGACCCGTGTAGACTACACTAGTTAGTTACGTGGTATATATGTAGACCTGTGTAGACTACACTAGTAAGTTACCGGGTATACATGTAGACCTGTGTAGACTACACTAGTTAGTTACCGGGTATACATGTAGACCCGTGTAGACTACACTAGTTAGTTACGTGGTATATATGTAGACCTGTGTAGACTACACTAGTTAGTTACCGGGTATAAATGTAGACCTGTGTAGACTACACTAGTTAGTTACCGGGTATACATGTAGACCTGTGTAGACTACACTAGTTAGTTACGGGGTATACATGTAGACTTGTGTAGACTACACTAGTTAGTTACGGGGTATACATGTAGACCTGTGTAGACTACACTAGTTAGTTACCGGGTATACATGTAGACCTGTGTAGACTACACTAGTTAGTTACGGGTATACATGTAGACCTGTGTAGACTACACTAGTTAGTTACCGGGTATACACGTAAACCTGTGTAGACTACACTAGTTAGTTACCGGGTATACACGTAAACCTGTGTAGACTACACTAGTTAGTTACTGGGTATACATGAAGACCTGTGTAGGCTACACTAGTTAGTTACCGGGTATACATGTAGACCTGTGTAGACTACACTAGTTAGTTACGGGTATACATGTAGACCTGTGTAGACTACACTAGTTAGTTACCGGGTATACATGTAGACTTGTGTAGACTACACTAGTTATTTACGGTATATACACGTAGACCTGTTTAGACTACACTAGTTAGTTACGGGTATACATGAAGACCTGTGTAGACTATACTAGTTAGTTACGGGTATACATGAAGACCTGTGTAGACTACACTAGTTAGTTACGGGGTATACTTGAAGACCTGTGTAGACTACACTAGTTAGTTACGGGTATACATGAAGACCTGTGTAGACTACACTAGTTAGTTACGGGGTATACCTGAAGACCTGTGTAGGCTACACTAGTTAGTTACGGGTATACATGTAGACCTGTGTAGGCTAACTACTTAATCATGAGGTGAATACGTATCTCTATAGGTCACATTTTTTCAGCGATGACAAATGTAATGCATTCTTGATAAGAAATGCTATGAAACTGAAATAAATGTATAAAACATACCGCCATAATGATGTATATTAAAAGTGAATGATTAATCTAAACTGCCTGCTATACAAGGCTGGTGGTCTGTCTTGGAAGAGTAGAGTTTATGTTTTTTCCTTTTGTTTTTGTTTTGCCAAAATTATAACCAACTTCTTTTTGCAAAATTCAATCAGATCATCATCAGTTTAGTGTTAAAACTGTGTTTATCTGACGTTAACACTACGCTGATATTTATTACTTTCTTTAAATTAACGTGTTTATTTCATCATACTAAATATTTATTTTGAAGAGTTATGCATCCTGAAGTGTAATGTGAAGGAAAATTTAAGAGTATTTACGACGTATTAATTGCACATGCTAAAATAAAGCTGCTTTCTGTCACTGCCAAATACAGCATCTTACGTATAGCAAGTGCATTTCATTAATGACAACACTAGTTGCAGAATTATTTTAACCACCAATTCTTTACGTGAATATTCAATATAATTTAACTAAAAAGTAACTCCCGATTGTTGACAGGGTGGTCAGTGGTAGTATGAATGTATTGATGTCACTGGTCAGTGATAGTATGTATGCTTTGAGGTAATGCCACAGGTCAGCGGTGTTAGTCTGTATGATCTAGTATCATGCCTTTGTTAAACGTGTGAGATAAGTCGTGCATTGTTTACTTTCTACTTAAATGTATACAGACTTCTGTGTTCTTTATATAATTGAGTTATCTCCCCTGTTCCATACTAACAATTTCTCACTTGTTTTTATGATCTCAGTGATTTAATGATTGGATTGTCGAAGCTAATTGTTGTGATTTTGTTGATTTCACTACTTCAATGTTATTAATTGGTGCGATTGTAGATATTTAGAAATGTTTTAACTACCTATTGTGCAAGCCCATTTACATTTACCCAGACATCTATGGATATATACATCTGTAATCAAAGTTTGTTTTAATCAAATCGTTCTACTAGATTTAATTTATTTCATCAAATATTGATAGTAGAATAAGATGATTTTTCTTGTGTTGTGTTCTTCTTCTTTTAAATAGTACAATCAGAATTGTTTGAAATGTTACCTGCGTGATGTACTTATCGGTTTTGATGTACGTAAACGTGGCTTCTATATGACAAGATACATAATTTTACCAAATAGGATCAACCACTGAATAGTGTGTCAGAGTACATGATGAAAAAAATCATAATATGATTAGTAACAACAGTTAAGATAGTGTTGTACATGGGCCCGTGATTTCTACTTAAAGCTTTGGATTAGGTCTGCTTATTGCCTTCAGTGCTTTTGTGATGTATGTCATGTTGTTGTTTTTTGTGCAAGGAGTGTATTTTTTGTTGAATTTGATTTTTACAAGTAACAGTATTGGTTATTTTTAAAGCCACACAGTGTAATTACCATGTGCCAGTTCTACACTTGTTTTAGCTTATATTTGTTGTTTTAGCGTGTTTTATGTAACAAAGTGCAATACATGTTAAGCAGAATCCATAATGAGTTTACTCAACACCAAACCATGTATTTATTATTAACTTAAAAGTACTTGCCATGCTCAGCTGTTTATTTGTCTGAAGCGATAGTGTGCGAGCGGGTAATTTGTACCTGAGACTGTGGTATGAGAACAAGTGGTGTAACATCATATATTCTCTGTATGACGTAGAGCGCATACATTTGTTTCAATCTTTTTAAAATATGTGTTAATGTTTTTTATTCAGCATTCATGCATGACGTTTACATTTGTACTTAATCCAATGAGCTAAGTCACGCATTGTCAGTAGATTGTAACATGGTGAAAATCCCGCGGACTCTTAAATCAAATGTATGCAAGGTATTTAATGTGTATGTTGTATTACCTTCATGAGGGTGATATGGTACTTTGATAATAGAACGGCTATTAGAGGTTTGCAAAGAAAAGATGATGGATACCTTTCTCCGACATTTCTCTATCGTAACATATTGGATGTTGTAGTCGTTAACTGTATGAAATGAGTGTCTTATTTGATAACCTTATCTAATTGCGACATGGTTACACTACATACAGTGGTGGTGCAGACCTAATGTGGGTGATGAGGTCAACGTTGAATGTTTTTCCAGGGGAAATACGGATTTCTTTAAGAAACACAGGAAGACACATGTGAAGTGTGGGAGAATATATTATTTTCATGGGAGACAATAATGTACTCAAAATTTTACATAGTTGTGATATGAAACACTATTCTAAAGTATGATATAATATTGTACTATCCTCATGAGGGTGATATTACACACTTTTTATCTTCATAGTGATGATATGATCGACTATGATATAGGATGATATAATACACCGTATCAACCTAATGGGGGTGATATTGTATACAGTTTATAGTTAACATTTGTATTATCAAAGAATGGTGATGTTTTTATAATGACTGATTTGAAGATCGGCGAGATGGTAAATATAATGGCATACACATTTAGTGTTATTTTATTTCTACTGATACATTGAAACCCGTATCGTGGTTTGTGAATATGATGTTGCTCGACATATTCTTGTTCCAAGTTTAAGCATTTATTTGTAAAGAAGAAAAATAGGTCATTCGACATGTAAGAACACAGACTTGTGTTGATCCAGTATGCGCCATAAGTCGATATATGTTTTCCCCAGTTGCTTTTACATAATATGCTTGATTGTGAATACTGTGGTAGTGAACTCGGTTTAGTATGTGTAGTACTTTTTTGTTCTTTTTTTTTTTGATAAAATCAAAACATTCCCAAATAAAACTGTTTGTTGTGAATAGTGTTGTTTGTCCTTAATTATTTTCATTCGAAAATCTCTATGTTCTTTGAAATGTCATAATCATATTTATTCCTGTTGAAATACATACAGACTCTTAATACAAATATTCCTATTTCTACAGTTTCAATTACATCTTCCCGATCACTGGTATAATTTTTTTCTATTTCTGTACAATTATAAAAATGTCAGGAGATCATCCTACATCACATGTGTAAAGATCTTATTTAAGTCTGCAATTTGGTATGGTCGAGAGATACCTAAAAACAGTGCCTGCAGCAGAACAAAGTCTACAACTTCCTGCATCTCATCTTCGTAGCTCACAATTACTTTATTTAACATTTCTTTAAACTGATTTTGGATTCTTGAAGGCAACGTGAGTATTAAGGGCATTACGGGAAAAACATGAACTACCGAATCCAGGGGTAATTTCCACTGTTTTACTAACGAATTCGAGGTAGGAATATTTCAGCTGGACGCCACCGAGCGTCATTTTAGTTGATACATAGATATACTGACAATCGCCACAGTTTCAAATCGGGTTGCGTGGTAAATGTCATCTAACTTCCGTGTAATATCAGTTCTAACTTTTACTTAATTCTGATAACATCTAGTCTAAACGAAAGTCAGGCAGGACTCTCGCATTGTATGTTAACATTGATGTCACATCGGTGTTGATATGTAATTCAGTTCAGCTGAATTCATTTAGTTTACATAGTGACATCCTTGTGTGATAATGATTTTCTATTTAAACATGTTTGTTAGTATAGCAAAGCGAGAAGTATTGGTTGACAATGGCATAACACTTGGACAAAATGACATTAAGACTTCTGGGTATTTAACACCTTAATTCTTTTGATGATTTCACTAACCGGAAAACCTAATTTCATCTGACAGGTTCAGTACCTGAACTAGTTATATATTACAAAAGATACAGTTTCTTGTGTAGAAAATCCGACTCAGTTGAGTAATACTTACGGACATGCATGTAAACGATTTTTAAGTTTAAGTTTCTAGGAACCTTTTGTTATATAGAAAATCGGTGTAGGTGGTTAATGTGTGTGAAAACAAAGTGTTTCCGTTCGCAATGAGAAAGTCGTTGATCATCAGCAGTTTTGACAAAGAAGCGCACTAGTTCTTTACTTTCATCACAATTGTGTACTCTCGGAAACTCTGTCTTTGTAATCCGACATCTTTTCAGATTCAGCATTGTCCTCTTCTCGTTTCTGAAATGAAGAAAAATGGTAGTAGGTATCGAAGATGAGAAATTCGCTGAGGCATATTTGTATTTTTGACGTGCGTTTAATAAAGTATAGAGAAGACATGGTGTGGTAGAACCAACAGATTGTTTTTTAATTCTACGGAATAGATTACGTGTCAGTAAAAAATAATAAAAAAAAGCTTCCTGCCAAGCATCACACAAATAAAATATCCAATATCAGATCAAGCTGTGATCACTATTAATCAAATCTTGTTTTGGTGTTGATCATTGTCCTCTTAAGGTGGTCTTTTGTCCTATCAGTTATATGGAAAAAGGGAGCAATGGGAAATTGTTGGTTACAAACGGCAACCTTTTTACCGTAACAAGACTCTAACAGATATTTTCAAAACCAAGAGAAGATAACAATTTTCAATTATCAGGTTCAGACGTGTGGCAGATAACAACAGTATTGTCATCTTTCGGCTTGAAATCAAAACATAGACTGTAAGGCAAGACCATGAAGGATTTCAATTTCACAGTCCACAGCATCTGTCGGCTCGACTGTTCTTATGTCATAGAAGAGATTACAAAACTAAGTTTGTTTCATTATTTCTTTAACATATTGGTCTATACGTCTACTCCATGTACAAGCTGACATAACAAAAGATACAGTCTCACATTCTCAAACAATGTATCTAGACATACGGTCGGTTAGAGGTCCAGTCATCACCGCCTGGGAGTTTAAATACCCAGATGACCATTCATGCGGAACTTTTTTGACCAACCACTTTGATACGATTTCTCAATATTATTGTCCCCAGTAGATCCACTGTTATGTACCAGTTCGGATACTTTAATAGGTTAAAATAACATAACATATCACAAATTATATTACTTGGATTGTCCAAACTTCACATGGCGTGTATTGTCGGTGAAGCAGTAAACGATTTCACTTCCGTAACACATGGTCTTATTTTCTCCGTGTAAATCATTCTTTCGATCACATTCTACCCTGTTTATTTTTCATCAGTTTGGATCATGATGATATTGCTGTTTTTTGTTTTATTGCAAATTCTGCTGTAACAAACGTTAGGAAATCTTAACATACTGGAATATAAGATACCAGCATAACAACATAATCATAATCCAAACTCAAATTAAACATATCAAGTAAAAAGTATTAATCAACGTAGCTTTTATCAGCAATAGTTACCTTATTTTCTGTTCTATTCCCGCAACAGACGACATCTCTAACAGACTGTGGTAAACAAGGACATACTCTCTCTCCAAAACTAAACAGGTAACGACTGTCCAAGTGTTCAAACTTCGGCCGACCTGTAACATAGTTAACGCAGACGGTGATCTCTTTGTAACATCACCCATTAATATCCTATTACAAAACTCCCTAGACTGGCTATATAAGCAACAAACAACATAATACAAAACTCATTAGGTGATCTATATAAGTAACAAACAAACACACAATAAAGTACAAAAAACTCATTTAGCGATATATATTAGTAACAAACAACACAGTGCAAAACTCATTTGGCGAAATATATTAGTAACAAACAACACAGTACAAAACTCATTTGGCGATATATATTAGTAACCAACAACACAGTACAAAACTCATTTGGCGATATATATTAGTAACAAACAACACAGTACAAAGCTCATTTGGCGATATATATTAGTAACAAACAACACAGTACAAAACTCATTTGGCGATATATATTACTAACAAACAACACAGTACAAAACTCATTTGGCGATATATATTAGTAACAAACAACACAGTCCAAAACCATTAGGTGATGTATTTTAGTAACAAACAACACAGTACAAAACTCATTTGGCGGGCTACATCAACAACATAGACCACAATACAAATTACACAAGACTGGTTGTATTGGTAACAAACAACAGAGTACAAAACCATTAGGTGATGTATTTTAGTAACAAACAACACGGTACAAAACTCATTTGGCGGGCTACATTATAACATAGACAACAATACAAATTGCATTAGACAGGTTGTATTAGTAGCAAACAACACAGTACAAAACTCATTAAGCGGGCTAAGTCAGTCCCATACAACATATTACAATTTACTAGACTCATTATTAATCAAACACTTACCTACAACACAACTCACTAAAATCGCTACTGGTAGCAAACAGCAGAGTCCTACAGCATCAAACCAGTAATTAGAAAGGGAATACAAAGCGTCTAGCCCCTCCGGTCTGTAATAGAGCAAACTCGCGGTTACAAAGGAATTTCTTTTCAAATGTAGTTCAGATGTAAAGCCCAATGATGTGATACATATACATATAGTTTTTGCTTACCTTTCATCTATTTTGAAGACAGAACTAATTTCCGATGTCGTTACATTGACTAGTGTACTATTCCAGCACTGGTCAATAGGGGCTGGCTGGAGGGTAGGGTGGAATTTTTTGTTGAAGGCACTGCCCAAATTGATCCAAAATACCAAACACGTGCTCAACACTCCCCCAATAATTGCGCCCTGATACAAAGAAAAGAGGATACATAATACGCCTATAGATTATTAGGTATGGATTGTCAGAAAGATGCTGTACTCTCAATCCAGTGTACAAAAATCACATCATATATAACTCACTTTCTTTACCCACATTACTTTCTCTGCCTATCGTAATACGAGATTTGTCAGAGACAGGAAATCCTCTAATCGTTCAAATATGACTTGCATGTTAAACGGTCTTTAACTATTTCGGTGATTAGTTAAAATCTTATAAACAGTAAATCTGTCTTTCTTTGACGTCACATAACAGCAAATGATATTTCACTTACAATTTGCGTAGCAGAAGGAAAGAATATCGAGTAGAGAAAAACTCCAACAACTGGAACCCCAAACACGGAGAGCATACTGGAAGCTACCTAAAATAGATGGAAGAATATTTACTCAAAGGTCGAAGAGTTAATCAGTGGTAAAAGAACATTTTCAAATAGAAATTAAACAAATCACTTTATGATTTCACAGCTGCAGAATTGTAGAGACAGGTCAGATTGATTTTTTTATTTTGCTCTAATGTAGTTGAAGCATGCGGATGAAAGATGCAGGTAAGTAAGGAATCTTATTTATCAATGGGTTTTAGAATAAGATAAAATATACATAAAAGAAGATCACGGTGAGTTGTTCTATCGTTGTTATTTTCTTTAGGTGTTCAGTTACTGATGACGTAAAGCCAAGATAAAATGACACAATTTCGATGATGATTTAATGTATAAACAGGCAGGGCGCGATATATTAACGACGTTACATAAACACAGACATGTCACTGCATGATTTAATATCACCTAATAATGCGGTAACACATGATTGTATTCTGACCTTGACCTACATAACTTCCTGTTATACGTGGTTCTGTACTCGTCAGATATATGACAAAGTCGTCATGTTACTATCTCCAGTAGATAATAAAAGCAAGCATATTACCCCATTCTAAAATGATGCGAGTCTTATAATGACATAAATACGTAAATATCAAGAGAAATTCAACATAACATTGACACCTGAATATCATCGAAATGAACAATGCATTATATCATCATTATTTCTGTTAGATATATACTGGACAAAATAAGTTAAGGATCATAAATTGTGACCATAATATCTTTAAAAATTCAAATCATGTATTGCCGGTAATTGCACTCGTAGTTTCTCCAATATGTACCTAAAGTCATGTCAAAGGTGAAAGCACGTGCATCTGAAGGTCTTGCCGTTCCGCTCTAGTTAACTATGGTGGTGTGAAAAACTGACTGGTCTATTACTACAGAGGAATCTTGCAGGTTTTGATTCTGTTACTTCTAAGCTAAAAAAAGTTGAATTTGGAAACATTTAATCAATTTGTAACGAAAACTTGAAAAACTAATCATGCGAAGACATTTAAATGATATGGAAGCCGCGCGAGCTATAGGGCTCCTTCAAGCTGGTCAAACTCAACGAAATGTGGCGGCACAGCTTCATGTTTCTCAGAGCGTGATTAGTAGGCTATGGAATCGCTATCAACAGACAAATAACGTCCGTCAACGCCCCAGATCTGGACGACCACGCTGTACGACAGCCCGACAGGACAGATTCATTTGCATCACGGCACGACGTCAGCGGTTTTTGAGTGCTCCTGTCTTGAATCTTCAGTTTCAGCGTGCTACAAATCTAAGGATTTCATCCCAGACAATCAGAAACAGACTCCATGCCTCTAATTTACGAGCTAGAAGACCAGCAGTCCGACCAATTTTATCCAGAGGTCATCGACAATCCAGACATCAATGGGCCACTCATCATTTGAATTGGCAATTACGTCATTGGAGAAATGTTATGTTCACAGATGAGTCTAGGTTTTGTGTTGACTTCCATGACGGTAGGAGGAGGGTATGGAGAACCCTAGGAGAGCGCTATGCAGACTGCTGTGTTGTCCAGCATGATCGCTTTGGTGGTGGGTCAGTGATGGTTTGGGCAGGGATCAGTGTTGACTTCCATACAGACCTCTACATCATAGACAATGGATCTTCAACAGCTGTTCGATACAGGGACGAGATTCTACACCCTATAGTAAGGCCCATTGCAGGAGTTGTTGGCCATGATTTTATTCTGATGGATGATAATGCTCGTCCTCACCGTGCTCGTGTGGTCAACGACTATCTTCAACGTGAAGCAATCGTTCGCATGGACTGGCCAAGTCGTTCCCCTGATCTGAACCCTATCGAGCATGCTTGGGACACCTTGCAACGCCGGGTTTCAGCTCGACCTAATCCGCCACAGAACCGCCAACAGCTTATGATTGCTCTGCAAGAGGAATGGCAGCGCATCCCACAGATCAGCCACCGACGACTAATAAGAAGCATGTGCAGACGTTGCAGGGCAGTTATTGATGTCAACGGAGGTCATACTGCCTATTAAACTGCCAATTGCAGTTTGATGAGTTTTCCTTGTCTACATGATTAACTTGCTCTACTTCCTCTTACACTTTGATTTCAAGGGTGCTGTTACTCAGGGTTATCTGCTCTTGGTAGCAATTACCACAAATGAATTTGTTTTGTGTAATTAAAGACTAAAATGAATGTTCTGTCATTAAAATTTAAAATATAATCATATTATTATTTGTATGTAAAACTGCACTGTTTCAAGTTTATGATCCTTAACTTATTTTGTTCAGTATAATAGAAGACTTACCTTGAAAACGGATCCAGGAAATTCTGCCACCATGAAAGAAATGCTTATACCCACAATTCCGTATATAACCACTGAAAATATACATGCAGTATAGCCCTTTAGTCCGAGTCTTCCATCAGGCAGATGAAAGAGGTCGGCCACCTAACCCCCTTCAACACATCCTATCTAAATTACTTTCATGTCATGAGAGAGGAAACGTTATATATAAAGCAGATAGATAATATGGAAAAGGTAACATTGAGTTTATTGAAAGTAACGTAAATGGTGTCGGGAGTTCATGCAAAACTTTTCTCCCCCTCCTTCCTTCCTTCATTATCACAGACTTGTATAATTTTTGTTAAAACACGACTTTAGAGCGGTTGGCACCCGATGGAAGCTGGTGCTGTCAGAGGACTCAGGTAAGTATATATGAATAAAGTTATGACTAAAAACGTCTCAGTCAATGTTATTGTCAAATCACGTATTCACATTGTAAAATGCACGAAACTATGTACTTAAAGAGAAAATTACATGCCGTCGTTTGAAAATATATGTTCACTTCACAACAATTGTGTTACCATGACTACCATACATACGTTGCATGACTTATTATATTCAATGTAAATTCCCTGGATTGCTTGAGGATTGATCTGTAGCGTGACCTTGGTATGTTATAATACGGACATATATTTAATCTGATTGGGTCATATTGGCACCTGCCCATCAATAGAGTATTATCGTTTCGGTAACTTCACTGAAAGTGCTCAGACAGTCTTAAAGCGACATATACACGCAAAAATTATTGAATGTTGATAATACTTTATCAACACGGAAAATATTTCTCGAGACCGCATAAAAATGAACAACCATTCCTGAGATTATGACAATCATGACTGTCACTATAACAATCATTTCTGTATCCAAGATTATGATTACTGATAAGACAATTCATTAGAAGATTTTACAAAAGGCACACAAGTGAACAACATCTAATCATAATTTAGAGTAAGATACAGTAGAGTCAACCAGTGAATTAAACTGCATCTAATTCATTTGAAATAGGTCACTGATTCATTTGTTGAATTAAACGGGGTAAAATTGGCCTGACAGTTTTACGGGCTAAAAAACGTTATAACAACCAGAAAAAGATAATAACAGAGACTTTCATCTCTTAAAGACGATCACATGATTATGATAATATCTTCTTAACAACTTCAATTTGGCAAACATGTAGATTTATAAATGTTTTCATGATAATCAACTAAAAGGTAATTTCCCGTCATTATAAATGTTGTGATAACTACCTGAAAATTTTGACAGAAGGGTGACGGTGGTATCCGAAAGTCTTGGGAAGTGTGGTTTGATGAAGTCCTCGTGTGTGATTGATGACATACTGGCCAAACTGGATGAGACGGAACTGCAAGACAAACACGTAGATTTGTCAACAGGTAAACGCATCAGACCGCCAGAATAAGATATAGAGACATGATGGAAAATAGAGACGTCCGTGGAAACCCAAACAGTATACTAGTTGTAAAAGTATAAGCAATGTGTACAACTCTAACGCTTGAGTTCAAAAGATGCGGGTTAATGAAAATTATGGGTCATCAATGTGAGAATTCATTCTATCTCTTTGTGTGATATGAAGCTGGACGTGTTTTGATGATCGTTAGAACATGACATTACCTACTTGGATTGACCCAGATTTGCATGCCAGGTGTTGCCAATGACGCAGAGGACGCTTACTCTTCCAAAACACCTGGTCTCATTCTCCTAGTTTTTTTCAGTAGTTGAATTTGAGTTTGGATTATGATTTCGTTCACATGTTGGTATAATTTTTTTCAACCGGGATTTGTTGTATTTTATATACAGTAAATTAAATGATTGAGTAAATTGTTACTAGATAATATATTTAATTATTAAACTGTCATAAAGTGTGATCTATTTATATATGACAGCCGGAAAAATGTATTTTTGGTAATTTTTGTGAAGGAAGGAAAAACAATACGGGACTAGGTTTAATTCATGTAAAAAAAAAACAGCTTTTCTCCAAATGGTCTGTAATCTTGCATACTTAGAATGTCTACATCATTAATCCCGCACAAAATATGTTGATATACAGGAACTACTGACTGGGTAGGGGAGGGGGTTGGTTGGTGATATATGGTACCTTAATGATGCTGACACGACAGCCGCAAGGAACATCCCGGACATCCCTGGGAAGTTCTGAAATATGTTGACGACCATGTAAGGTAATAACTGGAACAGAAAAGAGTGACAATTACATAAAATTCACCTAAGGAAGCGTTTTTCATATCATTATGAATACATTACCAACGACCATCTTTCTATTATATATTCATTAATTCAATGTGTCTGCCTTTTATCTCGTAATGTCAGGTAAGACAACACCCTTACGAAGATTATTGGTGTTACTTTCACCTGAATAAATGTTCCTTAGATGAAATACAATATGCAAAGTCATACAGTTGAACAAGATTTCGGTGAAGGGTATATGCCTTTATGAAAATGCACATTTAGGTGAATTAACCGGCATCACATTCAGTTTATTTATATGAAAAGTATTAAAATATAATAACAATACCGCTTAACATCGCTTGTTGTGAACAGCTTTTGCCAACTATTAACCAACCAACCAATCAAAAATCACTTTGGAATATAAAACGTAATCACTACTATGTCGATTTTTAGAAATAAACCGGAATAAAATATCTAATTATATATTTAATAGTCGAACGAGAAAGAACTACGAATATTCGAATAGAGCATGTTTCTTCTTTGGTATGGTTGTACTGAAGTACGAAATAACAACTTTTTTATACCTTGTGTCTGATTTAATTTGTTAATTGCAATTTGTAATTCTAGGGTTAGTACACCTCCCCATCTAGATTTTAACATTTCTTTCGACTAATTGTCTGCTCCTAAGTCGCCTCGTAGTTTTCAAAATCTAGGGCCTAAACATCATTGACGAGTTCTAGTTGGACAAAATAGCTGTATGATACAGTTACTTAATTGTCTGGCTTTGCCGTCTCGTTATTTGTACTGAAAGGTGCTATTCATTTGCATGTCTTTTGAACAATATCCAAATAAAATATCTTCTAGAATGTCATTGTAACTAGCGTTACCCAGAAACATATATAGCATTATAATTTCTCGAAGTATGTTTCAAATAAATAGTGATTAAGTATAGACACAATATACACTTAGATGTTAATATCCAAATTTTGCACTGAACAAATGCCAAAGAAAATCCAAAATCAAAGGTATTCTTCATTCAATTTTGCAGAGGATCATGGTAGTACGAATCATTTTGACGTTTTATAGACTTTTTGATATTGGTCTAGAGTTCATCGACTGACGTCCTATATAAGAAAATCGACTGTGCTTCAGAAAAACAGAATGATTCGACTAAGCTAGGGAATTTAGACATACAGAAAGGTGTGTTTTATAAGATCGTTAACGATGTTCTTTAGATCGTCGGAATCTAAATAGTTTATAATTCAGGTGCTGGTAATATACAGCTGCAAGTAAACAAAAGAAAAAGGCGTTTAATTCATCAGTAGTTTTTTTTAATTTTTATATTGTATAGTAATGATTCAAAGATTACCATTCAGATTTTCAGATTTACATTCCAGACTCGCGGGAACACGAGAAACCTGATGTGCGTTGAGTTAATTTAATTTGACTTACTTGATTTGGGTTAGGTACAATTTTAGACTTGAGTGGGTCACATCCTTTTGACGTGAAGTAGGCATATGCCACCAATCCTTCCCCACAGGCGAGACTCATGGTCAACAAGAAGGCGGGACCAGATAACAGGTACACACTGTTAACATTGACACAGCAAGAACGAAATGACAAATGATGTACTTTACTAACTATTTATAACTAACTAACTAAATAATAACGGTGGCTGGAACGGACACCATAAAATATATTTATTATTGCATTGGAACACAGTATGATTTCTCATTATAAACAAGAATATACTGCCAGTTTACTCAGATAAATGTACAAATAAATGGTTCCTACTTTGTCCATTTCAAGTCAACTTAGGTACTAATCATAGTATTCCGTAAGACTATTACCACAGAACAGGTTCTTCTGTTTCGTATTGTTCTGGCTCAACTTCAGGTTCTTATAGGCATTGATTTCCCCCAATAGAACAATGAAAGGGGTCATTCAAAATGTAGTCAATTACTCCCAATAATGACTCCCCATCAATAATGACTCCCCATCAATGATGACTCCCCATCAGTCAATGATGACTCCCTATCAATCAATAATGACTCCCCATCAATAATGACTCCCCATCAATAATGACTCCCCATCAATTATGACCCCCATCAATGATGACTCCCCATCAATAATGACTCCCCATCAATCAATAATGACTCCCCATCAATCAATAATGACTCCCCATCAATCAATGATGACTCCCCATCAATAATGACTCCCCATCAATTATGACCCCCATCAATAATGACTCCCCATCTATAATGACTCCCCATCAATCAATAATGACTCCCCATCAATCAATAATGACTCCCAAGCAATCAATGATGACTCCCCATCAATAATGACTCCTCATCAATTATGACCCCCATCAATAATGACTCACCATCAATAATGCCTCATCATCAATTATGACCCCCATCAATAATGACTCACCATCAATAATGACTCCTCATCAATTATGACCCCCATCAATAATGACTCACCATCAATAATGACTCCCCATCAATAATGACTCCTCATCAATTATGACCCCCATCAATAATGACTCCCCATCTCCCCATCAATAATGACTCACCATCATCAATGATGACTCCCCATCAATAATTACTCCCCATCAATCAATAATTACTCCCCATCAATAATTACCCCCATCAATAATGACTCCCCATCAATAATGACTCCTCATCAATTATGACCCCCATCAATAATGACTCACCATCAATAATGACTCCCCATCAATAATGACTCCTCATCAATTATGACCCCCATCAATAATGACTCCCCATCAATAATTACTCCCCATCAATAATTACCCCCATCAATAATTACTCCCCATCAATAATTACCCCCATCAATAATGACTCCCCATCAATAATGACTCCTCATCAATTATGACCCCCATCAATAATGACTCCCCATCAATAATGACTCCCCATCACTCCCACCAATTATGACCCCCATCAATAATGACTCCCCATCTCCCCATCAATAATGACTCACCATCAATGATGACTCCCCATCAATGATGACTCCCCATCAATAATGACTCCCCATCAATTATGACTCACCATCAATAATGACTCCCCATCAATAATGACTACTCATCAATTATGACCCCCATCAATAATGACTCCCCATCTCCCCATCAATAATGACTCACCATCAATGATGACTCCCCATCAATGATGACTCCCCATCAATAATGCCTCCCCATCAATAATTACTCCCCATCAATAATTACCCCATCAATAATGCAGCTAAACTGAAGAGTTGCTGTAATACACAGTTTTAGTGCAGATTTTATACAAATAATGAACGGACGTTTTAGAAACTCGATATCGAACTTTTCCTTCAATGAAATAAGTATCTTATTACACTATCATAGCCAACAAGAGTGATTAAGATAAGTTGGAAAAACTAGCTCCGCAATTGTTGTAAAATAAATAAAGTTTATAAAAAAAAATCATAAACCATATCCATCCTGCCGAATGTTCTCGAATGGTACTATATTGACCGTACGCAGTTACTTTTCGTCTGAACTCAATAACACTTAGTTCCTTTGCAGTAATATAGCGTTACCATGTATGGCGTCTTATTGAATTCGCAACCAATAGAGCCGTGTTCCCTAACGCAGCATTTTTATGAGTGTTCCCAGCCACCGTATATCACATACTTTACGTTAAAAAGATTTTACAGAAGAATATAATTTTATGAATAAAACCAGTAGTCTTGATTTTGTCCGCGGGCCCCAGAAATATGTATCAACCTAGGATGAAGCCCGAGGATGATACATTTCTTACATCCATGAATAATGTATAGACTTGATAAAAGGGCTATAAGTGTATTAAAGATACTGACAGCCGACACCGTTATATATTACACTCGGAGTACCTTGTGGTAACAACTATTAGGTATACTGTATAGTATAAGGAATCCCAGAAAATATATACGCTGATGCTCGTTAATTTGCCTGTTGGTAACCGGTTCTCATTTCAGTACATGATATCATTTACTTAGATTGGGCCAGATTTACCTGGCGAGCGTCGTCGATGAAACAGAAGACGCCTTTTCATCCGGAACATCTGGTCTTACTCTCACTGTACTTTTTCTGTGTGTAAATCTGTCTTTTGTGTTTATAAATTGCCGTAATTTTTAAGGAATTTGAGTTTCGATTATGATTGAGTTGACATGTTTGTATTTTCTTCGGGTGTTATAATGTGATGACAGTTAACAAACGAGTCATACTGTTGAAAAGGGTGACACTGAGAGCATCAGTGTGACAATAGAGCATGCGAGGGCAAGTGAAATAAAACAATGGTTTGTGGCAAGTAAAGTGGCAGGGACAACAAGTACTGGAATACTTACTTCGTTGCCTCTCGCTGCGTCTGGCATGAACTCATACGCTGGATAGCACTCTGTTTGACAACCACGAAAAAAAGTTTAAATGTTCCACCAATGACGAGACTCCAAATGGTGTACTGGACTAACGGATCAGGGTCAAAGCTGCAGCATACATCAAAAGGTCAAGGTCGATGTAACGAAGTATTATTTACATTGATTCTTTCTAGTCAAAATCAAGAAATGCCGTAAAATATGGCAGGTGCTGTATAAATATGACAAGATAACGAGATATACAGTCAGTATGTATACCACATAACACTGACACAAAGATGTCAACTATGTCTAGTTTACTCACTTGAAGATATCCAGTCTGTCTGTAGCCGTATTGACCTCCCAGACATAGGCCGACCCTCCTGCGTCTATTGTACCCTGTAAGCAGTTATATGAACTACGGTACTACACTGATAGGGAGATATAAAAACTAGGTGACAGGAAGTCAGCTTAGGAAATACCTATGAAAAGGAAGATGTCTTAATGCTTAAATGAATGTCCAGGAGGCTTTGAGGGACAGGGAGGATGAAATGTAGGGAGAGTAAGAAAGAGAGAGAGAGAGATGATGATGATGATTATGATGATGACAATGATGATGATGATCGCGTGGGAGTTATGCATGGGCAGCGATATATTTGATAAGGCAGATGCAGTTTGGACATGTTCAGTAATCGACTTCAGATCTTGTTTCCATCTTCAATATTAATACAAAAGATAATGTATGTCATGAGGTTAACGTTAATGGTAGGAAAATAACATTTGTTTTAATATTATTATTATTACAAGACATAAAATGAGTGGGTAAAAAGTCAAAACCTTTCCTGGATATAACTTAGATGAAGCGTGACGGATTGTCATAGTAAATGTGACATCCTCACTTCAGTTTCACACTGCATCATCCTACCATGTTTCTGAAGCTTCTTTGACCTCTAGATTAACATCTAAAGTCAGTGTGAGGCGTTTCCTGCACTACCCCTTGGTGATAGGGGCCAGTTCCTGTTATGCAACATGCATGAGACTAAATGAATACAAATCTGCACCAGGTTTAGAGGTGCTCACCGCCCACCTAATTATATATTGACGAACTTAATCTTTTTTCATATAGATACATGTACACTGTAAGCAATCCTCTCTTACGTCTAATCCTGAAGTTCTAAACCGTATCGGATGACCGAGTGTCCAGCTTGACCAGGAGAATACTTTCGTATAAATAGCGTGATCGTAACCTAATTTAGTTAGGAACAGTAATAATGTGTATAGAAAACGAGACTACATCACCCAAACGACGAGTTTGCCAAAATGTGGATCAGTATTGATAAAGATTTAATTGCATGATAGCAAGATGATTGTTATAAATATCAACATGTTGCATACTTGATCTAGTTTTCTCTTCTTTATTAAAGATTAAGTTGTGGTTTACTTCAGCATACAATTTTCTTTTGGTCATGTTTGTTTTTATCACTACATTTGCTTTACGTACAACATCATGAGATTCGAAGACTAAGATTTGTACTATTAGGTATGAGTGAAATATATGGTATCTTTCTTAATTTCATCTAATTGTTTTATACTTGACAGGAGATTCCGAAACTGGGCATTTTGAACTCTACAGACTGTAGGTTCAACATCCGGTACATGTCGGTCCGTGTACTGCTGATAGTTTTCAGCTGTATCCGTTTTATCATAGGGATTTCCCTGCCATTTACTGATATCTATAACCACCGCCCCATTTCAACAGAACTAGACTAACAGTATAATGATGTGACTATAATTGAAACTGGTCCTGCTGTGACGTCACAATCTTTTAGATAGTTATTCCATGTTTCGTCTGTCCTTTAACTGGATTTGTATTTGCACTACATTGTATTAGAACAACGTTTGCGCTCATTATTAGCGGTTAGTTCAATTCTATTGCCCCAAAACGTGGTAGTAATGTTAATGTAAACAATAAGTATTTTCCTAATATAATTATAGTCAATACAATTACAATATGTCCTTCTGGGAAAACTCCAATGTCAGGTTTTATAGGAATCGCCAGTAAATCACTTGCAATTCTATCAATTATAATTCCATTCAGAATAAAAGAAACTCTGTCGTTTCAATCTTTTGGTTGTAATAACGGTGAAATATTATGATCATCACTAGTCGTTCATACCTAGACTCCCTCCCCGCGATCCTTTTTCTGTACGCGGACGATCGGAATTATTCCGAAGATAACCATTAAGTGATATCTCTCAGAACAATATACATGACCGAGGGTATTCCGAACGGCATGATATGATTGATATGTTGATGATGACCGAGACTATTCCGAACGACATGATGTGGTTGTTATGTTGATGATGACCGACAGTATTCCGAACTACATGATGCGTTTTTTATACGTTGATAGAGACCGAGAGTATTCCGAACGACACTATGTGATTGTTAATTTAATGGTGACGAGAGTATTCCAAAGAACATGATGTGATAATTACCTTGATGATGACCGATAATATTCCGAATAACATGATGGTGCACTGGAACACGTCAGTCCAAATAACTGCCTTGATACCTCCCTGTCATATAAAGGTAGGAAAATGATAGCAGGTGTAAGATGTACCCTTTGTCTGGATCTCCAGTGTCTTATTCTTTATTCATATTAAAAAGATGTTATTTACTTGAGTTCCGGTTTATTATTCCTGCATACGTACATTCACGTAAATCATTGGTATCAATGGTGGTCATTCCTACAAATGTTACATCTATGATGTATTTGTCATTCAATACATATATATCAACCACAATCGTGTATTAGAAACAATACAAAATTAAGAAAAAAAAAAACAATTGCATTTCGTTTGGATTGACATAAAATTATATTGAATATTTTAAACCATACCGATGATCTATAGCCGAGAGGTTTTGCATCTTGGAATTTTGGTCAGTTTGAGCGGATGAAATCCTTACTACAATACACATCATAATTGAAAGGTGGAATCCTATGGACGAGGTCGGTACACATAATAATACATACATTTGAAAAAAATAAAACCACGCACGGATTAGAATTGTTTTCTATGTCAGTGATAAAACTGAGCTTTCTTGTTCGTCTATCGCGGAATATATCACAGCACACAAACTGTTTTAAACTGTTTGGCGGGAGCGGCATGTGGTTAGCATATACTTACTATAGACGTATACAAAACAGCAGCCGATGATACAGCTAGTATGGAGACCCACTTGGGGATACGGGTGACTGTAAAAACAAAATGGTGAATTTGTTACAAATCAAAGCATTGCAGTAAAGCAGAAAAGTCACCAGACTGCTCAAAGGAAAAATAAATTAATAAGATTTTTTTTAAATTATAAAAACAAAAAAGAAAAAAAATCAAATGCTTCGGAACAATTCAGCATGTTTTTATCTGATTGAAAAGTATTCATTTACTAGTATATTACATCTACTTCCCTAATGGGTACACACAAAACACTCACCGCCTTCCATGGCAACCGCCTGTCCCATAACAACTACACCCGTGTAAATTCCCTGTAATACAGGTCAAATAAAAAACAAACATTGTCTTAGTTTAGGTATACTACATTGTGAATTATATTTTATCAGTTCGTAGAATTCAATACCCCTACCAGTCATGAAAACTGTATATTACTTTTAAAACAATATGCAAGGATTTTGCATTTAATAGCACGGCATGCCATTTACAAAATAGATGTATTTTAGCAATAACAGCGAGTGCCTTGAGTAATTCTCATTCGTTTCTGATGTAGCACTGTCAGTTAAACTCGTCATCAAGTAAAATCACTAGGGTTAGCATCCTTAAATGATCTTAGCTGTTAATAGTACGTTACATAAAACAGGAGACCCACGAGCTTAAACGATCACCTCTCCAGTCTCAACCGAACTCAAATTACAAATGGTCATAATTCTGTTGGTTAATATGGAATCAGTAGCAACACGTTAGAGTACTCTGCCAAGAGATTAATGATACAAGGCTGCATACTACATTTTCCCATTAAAATCCGTTGATATTTACTCAAGTTATCGTGTTTACAATGTTCAATGGTGATAAAACTGCAAAAGGGCCATAACTCTGTATATTACATAAAATTTTGTCCATATTTAACCATATTTACTAGAAACATTTAACACATGACGCGTAATGACGGATAAAGAACGATCGCAATATGTCCCCATGACCTATCACCTATGCTCAAGCGACCTAATAAAAGCGATTGTTATTTAGATAACTAATCACATGTATTTAACAAAACTCCATCTTACTTACATTCAGAAGTATCATACACGTCGCTATAAATAGCCTCACAGCCTTTCCATTGTATCGCCGCTGATAATACTGATAAAAAAGACAAAGATAAATTGAGCTGTCTAGTACACCAGCAAACCACAATGTCATTCATCAACATACTAAACGGACTCAATCAACAAAACCTTAATCGGGCAATACATTCCTACATTAAGTCTAGGTAGGTGTGTAGGCATTTCTTGCTAACAGGTAAACTTACACAGTATGTATCATTTGTGGAAACAGTTTTCACTCATTTGTGCGTCCCACGTTTCACAGTCTACAATACCAAACTCTCTTTCTTACTTGTAATTAGTAGCAGAGTTTTCGATAATGGGTTTAGAGGTAGTTAACGTTAAACATTCTAATGAGTTTCATGACGGACTATATTTTTGTTAGGAAACTGTTAAACTGAGATTTGTCTTATGGACATGACAAATACTGGTCACTTAGTCACTGGAAATCAAACAGCTTCTAAAATTACGGATAGTAGTATTGTATCGGTCTGGTGTTGATGAGAGCCAGAAGAATGGTTCAGACAAACTAATTGGAAGCTAGGCTACCTTGTTTAGACTTGGAACCTTACGAGACCTCTGGTATGCGAAAAATGGGACAGTGACAGTACACAAAATTGTGGGTTAATCTTGGTAAGTCCCATAAAGCCGGTAGGCGTCGTGGTGCTCCCATGGGATAGCATAGCATATGTATTAGAAACATGTATTTCTACCACAATAGGTGGATGTTAATCAACACCTTAGGCATCAGTTAATCATTACAGTTGTTTTATAAACGAAGTTTATACCACATGTCGAATAAACAGTAAACGCGTTTTGATTGGCTGACGCAATGAACTTTTACTAGAAGAGTGCTTTACGCAATCACGGAAATTCAAAACGTAGTTCAGGACTGTTTTTGTAATATTTCAATTTCTATATAGATTTTATCATTCACTGTTTTGAAGGCAGTGAACCTGTTAATTACTTGTAAAATTCTGGGTTAAATTGTTATAATTCCATATCCTTTTTAATGAATTTCTGAAATTGTCAGTTTTGCGCAATAGTTAGCATTTCATTACAGGTTACACAAAAGGTTGTTTGTACATTTCTTTCACACTCGATAGCTAAATATAAAGCTAAATAAAACCAAAATAGTCGCTAAAACTCGAGTTTTCTTTCGTAACGTCTGAAAATAACTACCTCTAGTGATAACAACCACTTGTTCCGTACTTTCTATATATTTGTACTGTAGAACTTCTCTGCTTAAACCGACAAGAAGCTTTTAAAGTGATAAAATATTTTTATCGTATTAGGTCTGTACAGGATATGAATATCCTGTATTTTGGACGCTGGTTCATGTTTGGTGTTGATTGGAAAAGAAGGCGGGAAATTGCACCAACAAAGTTATCTTTGTTTCAAAATTAAAGAATCATGCATCCTGTCGAAAAATAATTTGATAACCCATTTGATAGGATTAATGTAAATATCCTGCGGAACGATAACATAAACTCAAACGCATTAATTTTTTTTTAAAATGCACACACCCATTCCCCGCATATTTAAAACATTTCTTTCCTACATACTTCACAATGTTTTTTTTATATAGATTCTCTAATTATTGTGCTAATTTTACCATTAATAGTTTACTGTTAGTGCGAAATATCAAGGTTATCTGAGGTTCATCATTTCGCAAAAACGCTTGCTTTCGTTTTCGTGACCTCTATACAGTCTTGTGGGAACGCCTCTACCGTTTTCTATCGTGTGTATATATGTATCGGAGGATTTCCGAATTATTAACCTTTTTTTTCTTTTTTCTATGTGTGTATCATGAGGAATACTTGCCTCGTTTACTGTCGTTAGCTTTAAAGGATAAAGCATTGGAACCACAATCCTAGCCCCGATCAAATATGATAGGAAAAATCCAAATGACGAAAATAATAAAACACCACCATAAAGATAGGTCTCGGCGGGGATACCGAGCATCAAGATGGACGACTGCGTGGTGACCAGCATCGAAAGGATGAGAGGGAATGTCTGTATTTTCCGATTCCCCAAATGATACTCCAGACTGGTTTTCTGTTTTCCTCCTGCACAGGCATGGAATATGCCGATTCCAATAGAAATAGCGATAACACAAGCAAACAGTACATAATCCACCACCACGAACCCTGGGGATTCGGCTGGAGCAGACGACATGGTGCGTTCAGGCTGAGTGAGTAAGTGTGTGCCTCCCTCACTACTTGTAGTAAACACTATATGCTAGCGTAGGGCCAGCATTCAGTCAGTTATTTAAGTATGAGCAGGTTTTTATTTTATGTTAACGTATATGTAGATATCAGTATGTATATCTTTTTCAATACCATTAATGCTTGTAATTAGTAAAATTTACCGTTTTTTTTTTACTTTTCCAGCAACTGTTTGCCAAATGCTAAGTTTAGGCATTTTTTTTTTGACATGAGGTCGAAGAAAGGATTAGGAACCATAGGTTAACGCTCACGTAACTTGCCTTAGGAAGCATGCAGTCCCGGGCGGTTTTTTTAGGCAAGTCATACTATGATGGCGCAAAGGACCAAGTGAGCTTATATCATACCACAGCGTCAGTCGTCTGTTCGCCAACTTTACCTATAAATCGCTAGTCATGAACCACAAAGCAGATTTTGACCAAAATCGACCAGAGGCATTCTATGGGGAAGGAAAGCCATCGATAAAAAAATAAATAAAAGATATATCTTTGCCCCCGGGTCCGAGGGAAGGGTACCAACAAGGGAAAGTTAGTAAATTCTTTAAAACCCTTCTTCTTCAGAAGGGATGAAAGGATATTGTCCAAATAAGATTATTCGCTGACGGGGATTCAATTAGGGGATATTATGTTTGTTTTCAAGTAAGCATATACTGGAGATTAGATCATGATTTTTGTTCGTCTTGTATCAAAACGGCTTCACTAATTATCTAATTTCCAGTATTCGCATAAAAACAGTCATACTACTACCAATTCTATAATAATTTGAATCTAAAAGTGATGATATATTTATCGTAATATCAACGAAATTCAACAAAAACTGAGAACTGCACAACTTTGTTCGAAACTGTCCCTCACATGTTCTTAGCCAATGGAAACACTTCTTTCAACCATTGACGACGGAAAGCTCCGTCCAATTTCTAGCCATGTTGTCGGGGCATTTGAAGCCTGAAAATCTGGTGTACGTACCGAAAATTCATCATATCTATTTCTTAATGGTAAAGGCATTTGTTTACTAAAGTAGATCGGTAAAACAATAGACACCATGTAAAGGCATCAACAAGAGATCATAACGGGAGACGCATTCCTACATTTTCTTTGAAATGGAGACTGGGATTTATGTATCATTATCTAAATGATTTCATTTAGTTGTGATATCATTAACTGAAGTTAAATCCCTGGATTGTGAATATCGTCTTTATTGACATTCTGACATTACCGACAAACTCACTTGAAGCGGAGAAATGTGAATCGGAATATGTCACAACGATTATGATTATCCTACTCTCTGCTTCGGATTCACTATTTCAGTAACACAGTTCAGCATGTCGTTATAATAAATTTCTCAAATGTCGATGTCGGTCACCTGCTTCATCAGAATATCAGAAAGCGGGATCATAAAAACTATCCTATAACAAAAATGCGTTACTTTAGAATTTAGTATAAACGGTAGGTATTTGGAATATTTACCAAACATCCATTGTACTACAGAGATTGTTAAAAGCATTTGACGCTTAGATAATTTCGATGTGTTGATGACGACGATAAAAGACTATGAGCCAGTTGTTCTGATACCAGTAAAGTGAGTGCTTTGTCCACAATCTATAGATGAGGTCAAAAGTTTATAGTTGCAAACGGGTATATGGAAAATACGACGTTATATAACATGACAATATTGCAACAGGTATTGCACAGAAGAACATTGATTATGCCACCATTTGGTTTCAAAAAATAGTTTTAGCTAACAATTTTATCATTGACTCATTCATTACTTGTTTTAACGAATAATAAAATTTCACTGTCGATACCGGAGACAGACGAAGACTTTCTGCCAACAATATTGTTCCTTTGAGCACTTTGAAATCAGTTATGGTTACTGGTTGGGGATCAAAGATACATGCATTTTGTGCAATTTCTATGATGGTCCCTGAGGAACTCTTCTCGAGATTGTTGGTAGAGGTACATTAGTTACACCTACGTACATTTTATGGAAAGAAATTGAAAAGTATTTGGAGGATGAAAATATAGAAGAAATACAACAATCAGTGCTATTATGTCAGAAGCCATGTATGAGTTCAAAGATGAAACATTTTATTTAAAATAAAATAAAAATAAAACTTGTGAGTGCACTCTTTGTACTATTGAAATAGAAGCACCATAATGGACGTAATTCAGCAACAGCCGATTTCGTTAATAAATATTGATGGCTGACAAAGAGTTTACAATACAGGACCTATTGAGTAACCTTATGATAAGTAAACTTATATATTCCTCCACATGGGTCCACTGGGTGTCAGCTAACCTTTTCAAATGTCAACTTAATACAAATCACACCACAACACTTGATTCACGCGGAGAGAACTGTCCGCATATTCTCATATTTTTTGTAATGCTTAACATATGGGATAATCTGCACATTATCTAGCCAGCTGTGCTTTATATCTCCCCTAAAGTAGGTGACCAACGCTGGCTGCATAACGTAATATGATACATAGAGGAACAAGTGTAATCAAATATGCAGTGTAATAAAGGCCCTTCTTACATATCATTTAGTTATTATGACATTAGAGTTAAACATTTTTTATCTAAATTCTTATCCAACAATACCACAAATAGATACTGGTTAATATGCCTCATATGGTTGAAAAATACATATAACTATCATGGTTTAATGAGAAGCGGACTTGAAACAAAGTGTTATTTATCGTAATATATATAAGCTGTATTTTTACTGATTTGATTTTCAATTTTTAATCTTTTACATAGATCTACATTTTATAAGACTTTTAATCAATAAGCCATGAAGATGAACGCATAGTGACCTCTATCTGCTATGCATTTATGGTTAAAGTGAACGGAGAAGGTTATTTGTAAATCTGTTTAAACAGGCTAGTAGTGCATGTTAATATCCTCCAAATGAACTTTGTTCTGTCTTTTAGCTTCTGGAAACAACTCTATGTTACAATTTAGTAATACACGTAAAATTATGTGAAATTATGTCCTCAGTTTCCAAAAATGGTCAAACATCATTTAGATTACCCAGCACGTATTCAACAACTTCACACTAAATGAAAAATACCGTTTAGATCCATTGCAGTAGCAAACAATGAATATATCTACAGCAGAATGAAACATTGTATAGATCTATAGCAGAATAAAATTGTATAGATCTATAGCAGAATAAAACATTGTATAGATCTATAGTATAGATCTATAGCAGAATAAAACATTGTATAGATCTATAGCAGAATAAAACATTGTATATATCTCTAGCAGAATAAAACATTGTATAGATCTATAGCAGAATGAAACATTGTATATATCTCTAGTAGAATAAAACATTGTATAGATCTATAGCAGAATGAAACATTGTATAGATCTATAGCAGAATGAAACATTGTATATATCTCTAGTAGAATAAAACATTGTATAGATCTATAGCAGAATAAAACACTGAATAGATCTATAGCAGAATAAAACATTGTATATATCTATAGCAGAATAAAACATTGTATAGATCTATAGCAGAATAAAACATTGTATAGATCTATAGAAGAATAAAACATTGTATATATCTCTAGTAGAATAAAACATTGTATAGATCTATAGCAGAATAAAACATTGTATAGTATAAAACATTGTATAGATCTATAGCAGAATAAAACATTGTATAGATCTATAGAAGAATATATAGCAGAATAAAACATTGTATAGATCTATAGCAGAATAAAACATTGTATAGATCTATAGCAGAATAAAACATTGTATATGTATAGCAGAATAAAACTATAACAGAATAAAACATTGTATAGATCTATAGCAGAATAAAACATTGTATAGATCTATAGCAGAATAAAACATTGTATATATCTATAGCAGAATAAAACATTGTATAGATCTATAGCAGAATAAAACATTGTATATTGTATAGATCTATAGCAGATAAAACATTGTATAGATCTATAACAGAATAAAACATTGTATAGATCTATAACATAATGAAACATTGTATATATCTCTAGCAGTATGAAACATTGTATAGATCTATAACAGTATGAAGCAATAGATGTGTAGATTTTACAGGTACAATCCACAAAGTTTTAATGTCTCTTTTCAATAGCTGACTAAATATTAATCAGCATTAAATTTTCATTGATCGTTCGAATAAATGTAAAAAGATCTTCCGTTTGGTAAAGGACGTCATTTTTGTCTTAGTGTCTTATATATTATTTTACGGTCTGTACCAGTCAACATTTGGTGATGTGACTGGAAGGTTATAATTAGCGAGAAACCTTAGAGTTGGTACTATCCGTGTCTCAATGCTTAACGGATTTGCCTCCTTAATTACCAGTCGTCTGCAGTGTATTTGATTTCTGAAAAGGATGTAGGATATTAACTTTATCGCGTGATTTGGTACAGAGGAACATTTGGTGCATTTTAAACTCCATCAACATAGTTTTTATAGTATAAAACAGTTACAGCAAAGCGTGCTAAAGTCAATGACTTAGCATATGTTAATTTAATCATGGTCACCCCTGTCAGTTGTTCTTAAAAGTTTATACCTATGTACGTGCTGATTGCTGAACTTCCTTAACTGTCATTAATGTATTCAACAAATGTCTGCCTATAAAGCCTACTTGAATACGACAAGTACATATCTATGAAGATTACAGGTTTTGTATGCTTTGTGGTTTTGTTAGCTTACAGCCCATTTCTCATTTCAAGTCATTACTGGACCCGTCCGTTTAAAACCCTGCGAAGACGTGCAAGCTGGAAAGACATCATTGGACCGGGCATTTATTACCCTCCGAGGAAGTTCAAGCTCGAAAGACATCACGTGACCCATACATGTATAGCCCTCCGAGGACGGATAAGCTGGAAAGACATTATTGATCCCGTCCATTTATGACCCTTCGATAAAAACAAAGACAAAATTGGACCCTTCCTTATAAACCCTGATTATTTTTCAGAATTTTATGCTCGTAAAAACAAAGACATTACTGGACCTGCAATTATATAACCCTGGTTGTTATGTAGAAGTTAAAGCCAGTAAAAATCGTGGTTGTTATGAGGACGGACATTAAAGCCGGTACATTTTATGAAAATACATATTTCACGAGCGTGTCTGATATTTTGGTATCCTTCACGAGTGCCAGTGTGTATACTAGAAAGCTGTCTATACATTATACATACCACCGTTAAGAAGTAAGAAATTGTTAATTGTTTCTTCACAATAGTTTTAATATGTGGAAAGTTTGATGAAATGACACTCAAATAATAACAGATACGCATTTTTAACCATTAACAGTTTATTGTGTACTAATAATTGTATTTCTTAAAAAAAACCATTAAGTACATGATAATGTACATTTACATGAAAATTATCCTGATACTCACGGGCAACGATCAATTTCGCTCTCTGCACCCTAGGATCATGCCATGGCAAAATTGAAGGTTCCATGTGCAACACCTTGTGGACGAGAGGAAAAGACTAGTTTGATCCTGTGATATGCATTAAACGAATCTCGAGATTGCATATCAGTATGTTGTAATGGCTTTGAAGTTTTTGGGTGTCGCTCCTTTGTAATTTTCAAAAAGAGCGTGACAGCCTGTGATTAGTCCCTTTTTTTCTGGAACCAATCAAATTACTTCAGGGGTGCAAAGAACGAGAGTAATTTGTATTCCGTGGAGTATTGAGGATGCATGAAATAGTCTGAATAGGAAGAAAAATAGAAAACAAAATCGTGTAATGTTTATTGCAGATTTAATGGTTACACTGTTTTGACAACACCAACTTAATTCGCAAATTATGATGTTACACCAATTTAGACGTCACTTAAATGTTAATTATACAAGTTTCGCATTAAGTCGTAGGAAGGAGAGAACTCCATGCACATATGTAGCGTTGTTTTCTGGAAAGGAGCATTTGTATAAATCTGTTAATGTAGTGATATAATCGGTTTATCAAATCGAGGTACACTAAAACCGCAATATATTACAGAATGAGACTGTCACTTGTCATATATTTGATTCACTTTACAATGGTTATTGAGTACATTTTGTTTTTATAATGACGACACTGTCCGTAAAAAAATCAAGTAAATTAGTTTAAACTGAACTGGATATGGGGATGCTTATCTATTAAATACAACCATATTCTCAATCTTAAGCTGTTGTTTTTTTCATTCATTTTTATTGTTATTTATTAATTTCTATTAGAAATTTCGGTACTGGACGTGTTTCTGTGAGTTTTTATTGTCACACTAAGGGGGTTTAGCGGAGTATATATCTGTATAAAATATATATTGTTCAATTTTATTACTATATATTATTTCTTGGCTTAGTGTTTACCGGTTACGTTATTTCGACATATAATACCTTAAGTCACAAATTTACATTCTTCAATTTACAGACTACGAGTTTTGAATCGTCGATCGGGATAACAAATGTGGAGGGTTCTGAAAGTGCTGGAGTTTGTCTTCGAAGTTCAAGTGCATTTTCTGAATTGAGTTGAAAGTAATCGGCCCTGAGAAATTAAAACGGGGAAATTACCAATGGATTAGTGGTATTACAATTACATTATTTAAACTTTTGTCGGTGACTTAATGATGGCCTTTCTAATTGGTAAGATTTGATGAGTTTTATCATTGTATGGTATCGTTTACGTAATCTTAGTAACTTCATTGTAAAAAACTGCTCCGTTGAAGGGATATTTGTCTTTGAATTTTGCCAAGGTAGACGCACTCTGTTCAATCATCTTCTTGAAAATCATTCAGCATTCCTGTTTTATATCAAGTAGACGCCCTAATGGCGTATTCTCACATCCGTTTGTCATCTCATTCGTTTCCGTCAAACATCCCGCATTTTCGCGTTTCTAAAATGGAACGTATGTGCACATATGCGACATTATCTCACATATATGATACAAAACATTTATCATAATGTAGAAATTCATTACGTAGCATATGATATAAAAAAAGTATCGTAATATCGAAATTGATGACCTGATATGAAACAGTATTCGTAATAACTAAATTCATGACGTGATATATGATATGAAACAATATTCATAATAACGATATTCATGACATGATATATGATAAAAATGATATTCATAATAACGAAATTCAGGACGTGGATATGAGAAGTATTTATAATCACAACATTCATGACGTAACGAATGATATAAAACAATATTCATGATAAAAAAAAACTCATAAATACCTTTTCCAATCTGTCCCCGCAACAGACCACTCGCCTGATAAACCTGGGTAAGCAGGGACATAATCTTTCTCCAAAACTAAACAGGCAACGACTGTCTATATCATTCAACTTAGGTCGACCTGAATGAAAACAACGAATATAATTTCAATGATAAGAATGACTCATTCAAGTCTATTTCAAAACTGAATTTTTTATAACATGTAATTGACTAGACTCAATCAAAGGAAATACTTGTTGTTAGTTAAGAACAACAAACTTATCTTTTAAATTAGGAATGAGGTGATAAGCCAAGATAGAGCATTAAGATAAAAACTGTCCGCTTTGTTTAACAGGGATAGGAAACGAGTACCACTATGAGTTTTCATTTCCAAATGCATTTGTTCGTCAAATCCCGTGAAAACATATACTTGATTATTACACATCTGTCTACAAAATTAAAGAATCAACATTAAATATAAAGATATTAAACTTCTTTACCCGCTTGCTGGGAAAAATAAAATAATATATGAAATACGCGCGTGGAACTTGAGATTTGTATTACATATTTGTGTTTCTTTTGTACAATGTTTGAGACAGCAGGTGGTAGACATTGCTTATAGACTTTAAGTCCCCGAGATTTGCCTTATCGACATGCCACGTTTTAATTCATTCGAATAGGAGGAGCACGGTTCAGAATAAACACATGCACTCGACACTGTTCTGAAATTATTAAATGTATAAAAATATACTCTTTTAAAAACATGGGGCTAGTACACCTCCCTATCTAGATTTTGACTTCTCTTTCAATCACTTTAGATTTTCCTTAGTCGTCTCCTTAGGACCAAATATGATGCAGTTTAATTCAGTGTTTGGCTATACATTATATAACTCTAAATTTGTATTAAATGGTGGTATTCACTTGTGTGACTTTTGTAAAATCTTAGTAAATCGTTCTCTGATTGTATCGTATGATGAGTCTACATCATCTTTAAATGTAGAACGCATGTAATACTTTTTTATAAAAAATGTATCATTATATTAAACGATGAGTGTAACACTGCATTGATTATGTTGTGTGATGATGTAATATTGAATGGGTTGCATTGTACGTTGAGAATAACATTCAGTTTATAATATTGTACGATGAGAGCAATATAGTGTTGATTTTATTTTACGATGAGTGTAACATTCTTGTACAGCATCATCTGTGTAATACTGAATACTAAATCATTGTACGATAATATTGTTTGATGCATGTAATACTGTCAACTATTAATATAATTGATTTAAATTGGTGGACAGTGTTATGGTGATCTCAACGAGATTAATAAAAAATTCTTTGTGCGATATGAAACTGGATGTAATGCTTGTTAGTTTGCTTGTATGTTCCACTATTTTATAGATTGTTCTCATTCAAGAACGTGACATTACTTACAAGGATTACTAAGATTTACATGACGGTGTCGCCGACGATGATGTTTACTCTTCCGGAACACCTGGCCTTATTCTCCGTGTTCTTTTCCAGGATTTCCCCTAAAGTTAATATGTTGGTATTTTCTTTTGTATTGATATATCATCGTAAGAGTGTGTTGTCTACCGTATCATTTACCTTTTGTTGACATCTTGTCGTATACAATACTGCGCAAGAGTGTTCAGATAAATCTTAGAGATGGAGCCCATCAACTACGCCACCCGATATAGATAGACAAAGATGTGAGAGGGAAATAAAATGCTGACTTACCAGTCACAAAGCTCAGTAGACCAGTAACCAGTACAAACGACGCAAGTCCAACTGTGTCAAGCCATAAATAAGAAATTGAATAAACAGCGTCCAAGCCTTCTGGTCTACAATATGGTAATGAAATAGAAAAAAAACTTCATATGGAACTGTACCAGTGACAAAATCTTATCCATATTATAAGTTTTTTCTAGCATTTTCCTCAAATGAACAGAGAGGTGTTGCTTGTCGGAGAATGTCCGCGAGAGCAATACAGTGAAATTCTATCAATATTCTCAGTTGTTAGGGACTAATACAGCTAATGTTTTGGCTTGATCTTACAAAGTGCGATATTTCAGCTTATTCGACAATTAATACATACCTCCTTTGTAACGCTGGATAAAACAAGTGTTTAATGAGGCAAACAATACAGATTTACCAAATCATGCCAGAAGAGGCACTGCAAATGTTAAAGCTTAAAACCGTTAAAATGTCTTCGAAATGACGTATTTGGCTTCGTTGTCTTCCAAATATAGAAAATATTTATTAAAGCGGCAGTAATGATACTGAACCTTTCATTTCTCTCTCGATGTTAAAGTCAATATGAAAGGTAAATATTTGCAAATGAAGGGAATCCCGAATATCAATTTCCGGGTTTCATTTTTAAATAAGTTTGCAGTTCAAATAAATAGATACAAGATAAATGAATAACTTATTGAATGATATTGCAATTATTTTGAGGTCCAAACTGTTTTAGTAATTTGACTGGACTGGACTTTATTGGTATCAAGTGTTTTAGAAAAAAAACTAAAGCTTATTCGGTGTTCATATTCTCGCTCTAATGCATAGACAGTTATATGCACTGACGTACCTTTTCATTACATCACTGATTACAGGTGTTGTGGTGTTGTCTAGTGTACTGTTCAAACACTGGTCTGTAGGAGCGGGTTGGAGAGGTGTGTGGTACTTCTTGTTGAAGGCACTACCCAGATTTATCCAAAACATTAAACAGCTGCTCACGATTCCTCCAAGTATGACGCTCTTGAACAAATATATCCTTTCATTGATATTACTAGAAGTGTTTGTTTTAAGATGTTGTTACATAGGTGTATGCGCATGCCATGTATGCCACGATGATTTAGGTTTACATCAGTTACTAAATAGCCATATGTCATATGCATACAGCATACTTTCATGCACGTAAAATATGTTTAACGTTATCAACACACAGGTTTCCACTCTATGACTTTAATAAGGAAACGACATTTAATCATTTGTTGAAAGGCAATGTTCAGCAGGCGTAACTCAGCATATAGCCATATTTTCAAGGGAAAGACCTGGTCAAACTAGATAAATTTTTAGATACGTGGCTGATTGCGATTTTTTTTCGAAAAGGGTATTTTTGTCATCCTCTGAATTGTCGGAGCATAAAAATGATGAATTCCACACTTCGGTGAAATTATCAATACGTGTTTTGTCTGTTTTATTTTGTTTTTATATCAGTTCAACATCAACCTCTTTGCATAGACATACTTTAATGTCTACATTATATACTGCCACGGGATAATTTTCTATCAACTGGCTATTTTATATTCATTATAGATATGATCAGGAAAAGTCGCGACCCATACATCTCTATAACCCGTCACAGGGCTCACGTATTGAAGGCAGAGCTGTGTAATGTTTTATAGAGCAGGACAAAGTCCTGTACTGTTTTTGCATAAACTTATGACCATCAGTCTAAATTTGTCCTCACAACAACATAGAGTCAACATAGAATTCAAGGACATTAAACCTATTTCCATCGCATGATATATACTGTACCGTTACACTTTTTTGTTTTGTTTACTATCTGAGACGTGCAATCATATAATTCAAGTCAGTGACACAGAGCTGGGCTGTATCCAATAAACGAAGCATGCTTATGACTGATACAGGTAGAAATCGCAAAACGTACGGTCTGATAAGTGTACAAAACTTCTATTAACAATTAAATGTATATGTGAATAATTCTATATGATTCGATCTGAATGAAAATCAGTTCCCATTTGTCTTTATAAAACTGAGCGTTATATATGTTACAAGGCAGTACGCTGTAAATAACAAGATCTAAAAGATGAAAAATCACGAGTAATGGTAAAAGTACTCCATTAAAAATACTTTTTCGGTGGTATTATCAATTGAATAGTAAATATACAGAACTGTTTACTTAATATGAATCTACGATATTTTTACACTTCATGTGAAATCCGAATATTTATCAAATAAAACAATGAAATAGATAAAAATGCATTCAAAGAACACTCTAAGTGTCTGATATTACAAAATTGAAGCCGATTATAAAACTGATTTTAATAAACGATATTTATAAAAAATAATGTCTTATATTAAGCACTATAATCTTATCCTTTTTAGCTCTCCTATTCTTTTAGATAAAATCAAGTATGCAATTGAAAATGGATCAGAATTCAAGCAGATGATTATATCTTATTTAAGATATATTATAACTAATATATGAAAATGTGTACATCATCTATGGAATCGCGTTAGATTTTAGCAGACGTTTAACACTGTTTTAAATATGATATTGAATAACAAATTAAATAGGGTCAATGTTTAAAAAATTAAAAAGCGTTTTTTAGGGGTAAAATAATCAGTTTGTTAAAACCATCCATTTTATTTGCAAAGGAAAAGGGTATGTGTAACAGCATGAATGATTAATTACAAGCCAATATAAAGAATAATGCTATAACACCTAAATAACATGTCTGTGAGACAGGTCATTTGGTCAAAATTGGATAATATATAAATTGTGAATAATCAGAGACCAAAGTACAAGTTTCTGAAAAATGTACTGCCTCCTACTGTAGGTTTTAACTAGACTGACATAACTACATATCATAGGGATTTAATAAACCAATTCAAGATATATTGCTTCAATACTTTACAAGATACAATAAGGGGCATAACTCTAAGAAATGATGTCAAAATTGTATGAATCGTGAAACGGCACAACTTTATATCATAAGGATGTTGCATGCCAAGTTTGAGATAAATTGCTTCAGTAGCTGTTTTTAGATACCCTTGACAAACATTCCTGACAAACGGACGGTCAGACAGGGTGATTGCAGAATACCCCTTGCCTTCGTTGCGGGGGTTCTAATAATGAATCAGTATGGATTATGGTGAAGGGGTGATAACTTTCCACCATCTGCGGAAAGAAATAAACACTGCATAAATCAGCTTTGAAAGACTTACGACTTGGGTTGCGGACGGACAAAATATGGAATAAAGGAAAATTCCAGAAACTGGAAGTCCAAACAAGGACATCAAACTGATGGCTATCTGAAAGGTGAGAATATGTATTAGTATCGGATCTAATGGAAACACTTATGTATATAAAGTAAATAAAGTCATTTACATAATAATCATAGGTGATTTATAACATTCTGTTTAAGTCTATTGTTTGATGCTTATGAAAGTAACAAGAAGAATTGATATTCGAGGCAATGTTTTATAGTCGTCATAGTGATTCCATTTAGAAACATTTTAATTCTATGTGCGATATAAAGTTGAACATTTGTGATACGTATTAGTTTGCCACTAGGTCCCGTTGTTGTATACCCTGTTCTCCTTTGAGAACAAGACATAACTTACTTGGATTGACCATGGCGGGTGTCGTCGATAAAGCAGAGGACGTTTACTCTTCCGGAACACCTGGTCTTGTTTTACTTCTACTTTTTATACAAATTAAATTTAGGCTTAGATACAGCAATGCCAAAAAGTGAATAAACCCGTGTGATACAGCTGCTTCGTCTTTCTTGGACTCGTCAATGATGCTAAGGGCATACATTTTGAGGCCTTGGAGATGAATGAGGAGAATCCAAAGTGATCGAAAGCAAAGTCAAAATCTAGATGGAGAGGTGCAGTTGCATAAGATTCTAAATATGTTGCCTTTTAAATTTATGAAAATGTACTGTTTATTCTGTTAGTACGCAGTTATCACGATTATCTACGCAGTAGTAAATTCTCCGCATATGCTTTTTGTATATGTCACATAAAGAAACCTTGGACGTGTCTGATGCTTGCTAGTCTGCCTGTTGGCCCCGTTGTCGTGTAGCCCCATATTGGAACGAAACATTTCTTATGTGGACTGACAAACATTTTTCATAGCTGATGAAGCAGACGACGCTTACTTGAACACTTGACTCCTTATTCTCCTTGAATTTTTTCCATGAGTCTCCGTGGAAATCTTTCTTTTGCTCATGTTTTGCCTTCGCTAAACTGAATTTGAGTTTGGATTATGATCAGATGTTATAATTCACATACCTTGTATACCGATCCTGGTAATTCTGCAGTCAGGAACGAAATGACTATTCCTATTATGCCATATATAACAACTGTAAAGAAACCATGTTGTAATATACATATATCAACATCTTAAAATATATCACATACATATATATAAATATATCTCAACAATATCATTTGAGTATGTAAAATCTGTATTATGGAGAAGTAAATATACTCATCAACACAAATAAAGGTTAGTGTGTTTCCTTGGCGAATACCTGTAAATGTGTAAAAACTATTTTTGGCCGGGTTGCACATAGTGCAAATCCGAGTTATAGTATGGTGAATGTCGGGCGGGCGGGCACATTTTGATATTTATCAACCTAGACATTATGTTTCGTCTGTCGAAAATACAAAGAGAAATGGTTGAAGACGAGGTACCGATGTTGATTGGCTGTCGACCCCGCAAAACAACCGCTAAGGATGTCCGTTGTATACGGATTGATACACTTGTGCAATCAATTCGTAACAAAAAGGGCATGATCTGAGAGTCCGTGTCTACTTGAACAGTTCTCAACAGGTTGAAAGCTTACCAATTATCTGCATTGGCGAGATGTGATGGTTTGGGGAAGTATTTGCTGGGAAAGTAGAACCAATTTGCAATACAACCAACATTGGATATCGGGACGTTTCGAACAGAATAAGGAACAAGCGTACACTAGTCGCGTCACCAGAACTTTCCTGTTACAGAATAACGTCCTAACGTGTAATTATTAAAATAGTTAATGTACAATGTAGGTATGTGTGATATGGATATACTACCTAAGGGTGTATAAGTTGGGGTCTTAACGGAGGCTTCAAAGTTATAACCCAAATGGCTCCTGTATGTGTGGTGCGAATTTTGAAGATGCTATACACTTTTTCTTCCAGTGTCCTCTTTACTCACATGTTAGACATCATGTTAATTCAGTATATAATTTATTAGGAAATGTTAACCTTATTGTTTTGCTTTATGGTATCATTGGAATGTCAGATGAATTTAGTAGTTTTATACTTTATCATACTAGTTCTTATGAAAAAAAAACTAAAAGATTCTCAATTTACAAGTAATAATATATACATACAAATCCTATAGTTATAACATTTAGTATACTTAAGTAGTTGTGGATGTAGTGTGGGAGTGAGTATGTGAGTAGTTTATTTTCTTTTCTTTATTCTCTCTTTATTATTATAAACTGAAAAATACCATCCTATTATTAAAAAGAATTGAATATATTAATTAATTTAAAATATACCGGTATCATTTGGGAAAAGACTTAATCCCATTGTTAATACTAAGTTTAGACTATTTATTTATAATATGTTATATATTTTGTTATGTATACTATTTATTAACAATAAAATATTTTGAAAATGAAAAAAACTTATAACCCAAACTTCTTCACCTTGGGTATAATATTCATATTCTACATTCTTCTTTAAATCTTTAAAGGAATAAATTTTCTTCCCCATTGCAATATTTTGTAACATTAAATGCAATACTAGAAAAAAATAAAGAACAACAAATGTTACATTAGTATTAAGATCTATTGCATTGATCCTTTCAGAAAGCACACAAAGGTGTACAGACTGCAGAGACGCTGACCTGGAAGCAGTGATCGGGTACACATTAAAACATGTGCCCGACAGGAGAAGTGGAGGAGGAGGAAGACACCAGTAAATAATGTTATCAACATTTATTTACATGAATCTCTGTACCAACAATCAATATTTAATATTGCAAACCTATTTTCAGGCATAAAATTTCATGGAAAACTTCCTCTTTTATTATCTCCTCTTCTTTGTATTTAATAATTTGAAGTTCTTCACGTAACATATTGTGACATTCATGTATTGGGAAAAACATTGTCAACTTTTCATGGGAAATATGGTATTCAAATCTTAATTTTAAGAAGGGTTACTGGTATTATAATAAAATATACATTAATTTTGTTAGGGGCTCACTCTAACAGAGAATAAATATGAACATTTTATGTTTCAAACATTTTGTAATTTGTGCATTTGGAATGTTTCATGGTTGCTTTTTGTGTATGTATTTATAAATTAGGTTTTCAATATTTTATTACAATAATTTCTTTAACAAGTTTTTTTTTCCAATTCTTGTTTATTGTAAAATCTTGAAAAGAAAATGAATATTTTGTTTCTATTGTGCATGTGTTAAAAAAATGACTTTGATAGAAAATTTACACACGAGAGTTCATATATACAGAAGCTTGTTTTTATTGTCTTTAAGACTAGTTTTGTTATATTTAAACAATGAAGATCATGTCTTGAATAATTTCTTTTGTCGCTCTTGTCATTTTTGTAAATTTGTTGATTATTGTCATGATACATATATAATTTTTTGTGCAATTATGCTGTAAATAAAATTTGTAAGAGGACCTATATTTTGATTTATTTTATTAATATTACTTTTTAATTCTTCAAAGCATCCGCAACGTAACGCATCTGAAGTCAGATTCTGACCAATTCTGACTAATAAATGACGAAAATCTGACGTAAAATACTGACATAATATAGATGTCAGACATTTACGTCAATATTACTTTCATTTCTGACCATTTTTTGACGTAATCCTGACGTCAGGATTAAGTCCAAATCCGACGTAAATTTGACGTAAAATGCCTGCTGGGATTTATTGATCAATTGTTTATTCAAACATGATTGATAATGATCTATAGATAATGCAAATAAAGTAATGTTACCTTATCGGTATAGATACCCGGATATACCGGGATACATACAGCATAAAACAAATGAGACAAGAATAGAAACAACAAGCACGAGATCAGTAAGGAGTCGACCAACTTTTTTGGCTTAACTATAATCCTATGTACACTTAGGTTGAAGGATATTGTGACGAGATGGTAAACAGATTATAGAAACAAATACATAACATGGTAACAAAGTAGTGTACTCGATTCGGCAACGCTTTATTTAACATTTGGTTATAGGTGTGTGAGTCTTTGGCATTTGTCTGATGAAAGTGACAGCGTAGTCATCGAAACGTCACACTCAAATCTTCTACTGGTTGTGTTATAAGAACATCTGTTCTATTGACATTATCTTTACGAAAAAAAATCCGAAATAATATTGGTTTACGCACCACCCTATAACATTATGATTTATACGTTATCCGTTGTGTTGACACCTCACCTGAGAGTCTCGACCAACGGGTGAAAGCTGCGTCCGATAAACGAGGGAAATGCGGTTTGATGAAGTCCTCGTGGGTGGTGGAAGACATAGCTGCCAGACTTGAGGAGAGGGTACTGTAACATAGATCATAAAAATTGGAAAGCAACAGGACGGTGCAGACATACTGATGGACCAAACGGTAGTAGCATTGAGATTTTGTGCAAGCTTATCTTCGTTGAAAACGGCGCATTGGGAGGTTCAACTAAATCTTTATTGAAAAAAGAAGCACATGTAAAACACTGAATAAGTTTAGAGGAGTATCGATTGTCTGCATGTGTAATGAATCGATGTCTTTAAAACGTAAGAACGCAAAGGTACGGCAGCAGCGATTCCTACACAGCAAACTGGGGTTTGGAAAAATACGCATGCTAAATTCCACTCACATATGAATAATAAAAAAGATGAGTTTATACCTTAGAGTGTATAAAACTACATAGAACAGCTATTTCACTTCACCCCGCCATTTCTTCTAAATATTTACCAAAAATGTTAAAGCCGAGAAAGTTAGGAATGTCTGTGGAACTTAGATATACGAGAAAGATATATATTAATTGCTATATTCTGGATTAGAAATAAGACAAATGAACATGCATTCGTGCAGCCTGTTGACAAAACGAGATGGTTTATGACCTATGTAAAACTTGTGTCAATATAGTAGCTGTTTGACCGGTATAGAATCTATTAAATATCTTATTAACCGACAGTCTGCAACGACACAATACTTAATAGTCGATCACTATAGCAACGTTGAACATATGAGGAATTTAATTACACTCTTTTTACAGGTGATAACCAACTATTAATGTCCTTTTACTTTCACATAAATATGTATTACAACAAACCTATGTTAATGTTGAATTAAATCAAACATATTGTTATCAAAGATCTATAGTTCGTTTATGTCTTAGTTGTTGCTCCAGTAGATATTAAAAACGCAACATGTATTAGAAAAATAACTACAAACCTCAAGGTAGCAGCTGTGACTGCTGCCAGAAACATCCCAGACATGCCAGGATAATCCCTGAACATTTCCACCACCATAAAGGGAATTAACTGTTAAAGAACCGTAAAGGGAAACAACTGTGAAAAATCATTTCCGGCGGTAAAATTGAAAACCTTAGATATAGGGGATAGATTGTTACAAATGAAAAAAATGTTGTATTGTGCCACAAGAGATGTAAAACAATAGTGCATAACATGTAATGATATCCTTGTGTTAAAAGATCATAGCATGTATTCTTGAGTTATGAAATTAGCTAGATATAAATATAGTTTAGAATGTGATGGTTTTTTTTTTAATATAGATATAATACGAAACAAAAACGAATGCAAAATTCCTCCACATGATTCTTTTCAAATACTGCAGAAAACACATTGTTTTCGAGTTATTGAAGTCACCACGTGCTTTCATTGTCTTTAACATGACGTCATGATGTGATCTGCAAGTGTGTCATTTCAATATAATTTCATTACCTCAGATTAATGCGTCTTATACACGTCTTACTCCCGGAAAATACTATGTGACGGACATATCTAAATTTGATTTATAATATTTACTCAATTTTGTCCACCGATATAGTCCCTAATTTTCGACTTACTTGGTTAGGGTTGGACACCTGTTTCGACGTAAATGGATCGCATCCCTTCGCAGTGAAGTATGCGTAAGCCACCAAACCCGAACTACCGGCGAAACAAACCGTTAACAGAAAGGCCGGTCCAGTTACCAGGTACACACTGAATAATCAGAGGATTCATGTTAACGACGTCACCTCATATAAAGTAATGATAAAATGACGTAAACATTATGTTAACAAAATGGGAGAGTCATTATAATACACAAAAGATATTTATAATTTGTTATTAACTAGAGTTTAACGATAAATATTTTTTTTTTTTTAAATATTACAGAACTGAGATATTGTACATAGAATTTCCCGTTTAATATTTTTGCAGTTATCATTAGTGTAATATGCCATTTAAGTTGTTTTATTGGCTGTGCCAGTTGGAAGTCAATAGTAACATCACAATATGGACAATGACTTCATGCCATAAATTATTAATAATTTTAACTTTAACTGTTTTGAATGATGTAACAGAAAGAATCTTATTACTGTTTTTATTTCATATACTCGTCTCAAAGTTTTGCTCGATTAATAAAACTTCTAAATCACACGTGATAAAACTGCATAAAAAATGAAAACTTTTGATCCTATAGTCAATTAACGTTTCGCAGAAGGTAAAAATAACTTACAGTTTTGCTTGTTTCTCTGTTTGACAGGAATTCATGCGCTGAACTGATGTTTGTGTGATAGCATTGAAGAAAAATTTTATCGGTCCGCCAATGACAAAAGTCCAGAAGGTGTGGAGAACCAGAGGATCCGGGTCAAAACTTAGGGAAAAAATTTGGTTGAGAACAGCATGACTTCACCTCAAAAATCTGATATACAAACTACCTTGACTTCCAACAATAATTGTGGATTCCAAGGTTATATGCAAGATATTTAACAGCATAGTATATCTGAATTTGTAGTCACGTGAAAGTATATTATTGTCACTGGGACGAAACTGTCCTAATTACACGTTAAAGTCGACAGGAGACGAAAAATGCACCGCGACTTGTTGTTTTACGTAGTTACGTTATCGTTCATGAAATTACGACTTAACATGTTTTGCCCTTACAACACAATCAGGCTTCCGTAAATTGAAATATCACAACAAGGGACCTGATATGTATCCTTTGTAAACGGTAATGCAAATGAAAAATATTCTACATTAAATGTTAGATGACCTCGCCTGTCACATTTCCCTAGTATTGCAGTTATTGCAGTTTACGAAGCCATCAACTCCTAACAGCAAATTTGACAAGATGACTGTCAGTTACATTTCCTTTTAATAGGAAGTGATTTAAAAAAAATATCACACACGCAATAAACATCATTGTTGTACATACTTGAAGAAATTCATTCTGTCTGTAGCCGTATTGACCTCCCACACAAAGGCCGTCCCTCCCGATTCTATCGTACCCTGTAAACAATATGTGAACTCATCACGGAATCTTATAAAACATTGTTTGCATTAATGCGTAAGTTCTTGTTACCAAATTTTACCAATGGAATTTTATGATTGTAGGATTACTAGTACGGCTGTCAAAGTTTCTGATAAATGTTGATTTGGATGATATAAAATATCTTGACTAAGTTGATGTGAAATACCTAAATATGATATGACGTGCATTAATTAAGAATATATGAAATACCTTAATTAAGATGTGACATACTTTGACTGAGATAATGTGAAATACCTTGACTTAATTGATGTAAATAACTTTATTAATATTATGTGAAATACTTTAAGATGTTATGACTTATATGATATGAAATACTTTATTACGATGACATGCATACATTGACTAAGATGATGTGAAATACATTGACTAAGTTTATGTAAATACCTTGATTAAGATTATATAACATACATTGAGTAAGATAGTGTTAAATACCTTGATAATGACGGATAATATACCGATCAGCATGATTATACTTTGGAACACGTCCGTCCATATCACCGCCTTGATTCCTCCCTAACCAAGAAACAACGAAATATCAATAGTATAACGTCAACACGCATCAGGATACATTGCAAGTCAATTGTTGCTCACGTCAACACGCATCAGGATACATTGCAAGTCAATTGTTGCTCACGTCAACACGCATCAGGATACATTGCAAGTCAATTGTTGCTCACGTCAACACGCCCCAGTAAATAGTATACACCAGTTGGTCACGTCAACACGCCCCAGTAAATAGTATACACCAGTAGCTCACGCCAACACGCCCCAGTAAATAGTAAACACCAGTAGCTCACGCCAACACGCCCCAGTAAATAGTAAACACCAGTAGCTCACGCCAACACGCCCCAGTAAATAGTAAACACCAGTTGCTCACGCCAACACGCCCCAGTAAATAGTAAACACCAGTAGCTCACGCCAACACGCCCCAGTCACCCAACAGCCCAGTAAATAGTAAACACCAGTTGCTCACGCCAACACGCCCCAGTTAATAGTAAACACCAGTAGCTCACGCCAACACGCCCCAGTAAATAGTAAACACCAGTAGCTCACGCCAACACGCCCCAGTAAATAGTATACACCAGTTGCTCACGCCTACACGCCCCAGTAAATAGTATACACCAGTTGCTCACGCCAACACGCCCCAGTAAATAGTAAACACCAGTAGCTCACGCCAACACGCCCCGGTAAATAGTATACACCAGTTGGTCACGCCAACACGCCCCAGTAAATAGTAAACACCAGTAGCTCACGCCAACACGCCCCAGTAAATAGTAAACACCAGTAGCTCACGCCAACACGCCCCAGTAAATAGTAAACACCAGTAGCTCACGCCAACACGCCCCAGTAAATAGTATACACCAGTTGGTCACGCCAACACGCCCCAGTAAATAGTAAACACCAGTAGCTCACGCCAACACGCCCCAGTAAATAGTATACACCAGTAGCTCACGCCAACACGCCCCAGTAAATAGTATACACCAGTTGGTCATACACCAGTTGGTCACGCCAACACGCCCCAGTAAATAGTAAACACCAGTAGCTCACGCCAACACGCCCCAGTAAATAGTATACACCAGTTGGTCACGCCAACACGCCCCAGTAAATAGTATACACCAGTTGGTCACGCCAACACGCCCCAGTTAATAGTAAACACCAGTAGCTCACGCCAACACGCCCCAGTAAATAGTATACACCAGTAGCTCACGCCAACACGCCCCAGTAAATAGTATACACCAGTTGGTCACGCCAACACGCCCCAGTAAATAGTATACACCAGTAGCTCACGCCAACACGCCCCAGTAAATAGTAAACACCAGTAGCTCACGCCTACACGCCCCAGTGAATAGTAAACACCAGTAGCTCACGCCAACACGCCCCAGTAAATAGTATACACCAGTTGCTCACGCCTACACGCTCCAGTGAATAGTAAACACCAGTAGCTCACGCCAACACGCCCCAGTAAATAGTAAACACCAGTAGCTCACGCCAACACGCCCCAGTAAATAGTAAACACCAGTAGCTCACGCCAACACGCCCCAGTAAATAGTATACACCAGTTGGTCACGCCAACACGCCCCAGTAAATAGTAAACACCAGTAGCTCACGCCAACACGCCCCAGTAAATAGTATACACCAGTTGGTCACGCCAACACGCCCCAGTAAATAGTAAACACCAGTAGCTCACGCCAACACGCCCCGGTAAATAGTATACACCAGTCACGCCAACACGCTCACGCCAACACGCCCCAGTAAATAGTATCACGCCAACACCAGTTGGCTCACGCCAACACGCCCCAGTAAATAGTATACACCAGTTGGTCACGCCAACACGCCCCAGTAAATAGTAAACACCAGTAGTAAATAGTATACACCTCACGCCAACACGCCCCAGTAAATAGTAAACACCAGTAGCTCACGCCAACACGCCCCAGTAAATAGTATACACCAGTTGCTCACGCCAACACGCCCCAGTAAATAGTAAACACCAGTAGCTCACGCCAACACGCCCCAGTAAATAGTATACACCAGTAGCTCACGCCAACACGCCCAAGTAAATAGTAAACACCAGTAGCTCACGCCAACACGCCCCGGTAAATAGTATACACCAGTTGCTCACGCCTACACGGCCCAGTAAATAGTATACACCAGTAGCTCACGCCAACACGCCCCAGTAAATAGTATACACCAGTAGCTCACGCCAACACGCCCCAGTGAATAATATACACCAGTTGCTCACGCCAACACGCCCCAGTAAATAGTATACACCAGTTGCTCACGCCAACACGCCCCAGTGAATAGTATACACCAGTTGCTCACGCCAACACGCCCCAGTGAATAGTATACACCAGTAGCTCACGCCAACACGCCCCAGTAAATAGTAAACACCAGTTGCTCACGCCAACACGTCCCAGTAAATAGTATACACCAGTTGCTCACGCCTACACGCCCCAGTAAATAGTATACACCAGTTGCTAATGTCAACAATGATAAGTAAACTGTAAACAACAGTTATCAATCGTAAGTATATCGTAAACAACAGTCACTAACGTGAACAGGCGTTGACTAAGAAACCATTATTCTTTTTTGTTGTTTACTGGTGTGCTAACTGCATTTTAACCAGTAAAAGACTAAAAAGAAAAATTATTTCTTATATTCATATCTTGAAAGCATTCTTTTTCTTTATTTACACTCCTTGAAAACAGTCGTCGTTCATTGGACATTATATGCACTGACGGAACACCTCGACATCGTATGGAATAGCAAAACAGCTCGTTCAGATTTCGCAGGAAATTTTGTCAACTTCAGAAAGAAAACAGAACACAGCTGCACGATAACGTCATTATTAATTACCCTTTTGTGAAGTATTTTAAGTACTTTCATTTCCATTCACAAATTGCTTTGAAATTTTCTAGTTTATACAAAATAAGTTCTCAAAATGAAAAATAATTATCACAAACACATTAGCGGATTCACTCTAATTTTATACCATACATGTTTAACGGTTCGGCTTCCAAAGCGCCTGACATTACGTTTACCAAAATGCAAACATCAATTTTGTTGGTAGGGCAAAATGAAGACTGCACACCGGAAATGCAATATTATATGGTACAGTATACCATAACAATAATACTAGAGATACTAACGTCGACACGTATCAGTATATCGTAACCAATGTCAATATATGTTTGTATAAAGTACACCACAGTTTAAACGTCAACATGCGTCAGTAGACCGTAACCAGCGATTACACGTGTCTGAAGGAGTAACTCACAGTTGCTAACGTCACAGCAGAGATCAAATTTTACTGAAGGTGTGCATCGGTAGTCAGAACAGTGATGTCCTTAGGTGAGAAAACACCTAGCTACTGAACGTTATGGAGAAAGAAAACATGTAGCAAGCCATACTCTTACATTAACATACATCATCAAAATGTAAATATTAAAAGTAACAGGCGTTACCGCAGACCAGTAAAAGGTTGCTAAAACATCTATTAAACATAAATGACTTCTGAGAGAAATGAAGTACACGAATAAGCAGTCAACAGAATCATGATGGGATCTATTTGATATCACAAGTGTGGTATACTTACAATGGAGGTATATAGTACAGCAGAAGACGATAGCGCTAGCATGGAAACAACCCGGGGGATTCGAGTTACTGAAAAAGACATACATTTAGGCTATTGGCTTACACAGATATGCAGTCAGTCAAAATGGGTTTTTTCTCGTATTTTTACCTACTCGTGACATCTAAAATGACTGAATAATTAACATATATTTATAACCGACCTATAAAAAACCTGAAGCAGTTGTTGTTTGGACCCTAACTGCAGCGCATAGACCTAATATTACCATGTTCACTATACAGTTACCGCTGTGTATCATATTTAAGATTTTTGTCCGAATATTCATCATTTTTACCTTGCCTACATCATGAGGATTTTTACTGTGGCCGTTCCCTCCAGTCACATATCACATGTTGGGTAACGCAGTGCACTCTGGGGGAATATTGCTCATCTTTTTTGCATGTTAAAACTAGACATCTTAAAATTTAAATTCAAACGTTGAGATTTAGCTCTTTTAAATTTCGGATTCAAATCACAAAAAGTATCAAACTGGTGACATATACCGATGTATATATTCTTATGTGAAATATGAATAAATAATTAAATAGTACAGTGTTGCGCAAAATGACTTTACTAATCATCTTGTAAGGTTCCTGTTTTAGTTCCGGAATAAAAACCTTCCCAACAATTCAGCAAGGCCGCATTAAGAACGTATGGTCCAACACCTTTTAGCAGTTTTGAATCTCAATGAAACAGCTGTTTTACACTAATCGTTGAAAGGAGACTTACCTCCTTCCATAGCAACAGCTTGTGCCATCACAATTACACCGATGTATATTTCCTGTAAACAAACCCAAATGAGATTAACTATTTTAAAGCATTGAAGAAGAGATATAGATAAAATGGTGCTTAATGTTATTCTTCATATAATATAGTGTATATGTCACCTATTTATGAAACGATGCACGTTCCATATTATATTTTAAATATATGAATTGTTCTATGAATCTTACTTACGTTTATCAGTAAGGTACACGTTGCTATAAATAGCCTCACGGCCTTGCCTTTGTAGCGTACCTGGAAAAACTGATATCAAAACAGACAAGTCAAACTGAACAACCAGAAAATACCAACATGTCAACATAATCATAATCAATTTCAATAAAACTATGGCAAAATATGGACCAAAAAGATTTACACGGGAATCCGGAAACGGTACTGAGAGAATAAATTCATATGTTCCGGAAGAGTGTGAGTCTTCTGCTTCATCGACGACACTCGCCATGTATACATCGTTGACTGTCATGCAAGCTGACGCTTTTTGTTCATGCTAACTGATGTCATATCATATTTGTATTCCCTATCATAAAGTACCCGGAACTTTTTCTTCCGTCATAAATGTATCCGGGGATACTTTTTTGTATATCATAAAAATATTCTACGTATAGCATTTGTATTCCTCGTTGAGATCATTACTATAACTTCATCTGTTTTACATATTTGCTGTATATTCATTGGGTTGTTGGTGGGTTAGTTGACCAAAGATAACAGGGTTACCTGTACAGGTGTCAAATTAACTTGTTACGCCTGCTCATGTGTTACATATTACCACCGGTGTAGGTAGTGCCCAATTGAGTTGTTAACCAAAGGGCGCCTGCATATATGTGTATCTATCTTGCATCATAGGTTGTTGTGCGTTATCTTGAGTTGTCATAAAAACGCAAAACAGTGACGATACAGTAGTGACTATACGAAATAGGTTTAATGTATCGATGACATTTGACAAAGATGAAGTACTGTTGACGACTGTACTTGACGGAAATAAATTTGGTACAGTATAAAATCTTTAAAAATAATATTCAATCTAAGATATCCATGATATAAAATGTTGGTATTGATATAAACATTACGGGTTATTGTATGCGGTACCAGATTAAGCCAACTTTACGCCGTATAAAGTTATGTTTCAAATGTGTTCAAGGTCAAAGGGTACGACTTCTTATCTGATTTTGGTGCCAACCTGCACTTACCTCGCTAACAGTAGTCAGCTTAAGAGGATAGAGCATTGGAACAATAATTCTTGTTCCGATCAGGAACGACGCACAAAACCCAAATGACGCCATTAGCACAATACCGCCATACAGGTATGTCTCGGCAGGGATACCAAGCAACAAGATGGATGACTGAGAGGTAACCAGCATGGACACGACCAGAGGAAGTGTTTTTATCTTCCGGCTCCCTAAATGGTATTCTAGACTGCTGTTGTCTTTCCTTCCCTTACAAGCATGGAATGTCCCGATTCCTATAGAAATAACGATAACACAGACAAAAACAAGGTAGTCTGCCACCCCAAGTCCGGCTGTTTCAGACGACATGTCTGTCTGTTAATGGAGAAATGATACATACAAAGACATGTAAACCTGCATTATCATACATCATTCATAAATCCGCGTACCGGATTGGATACTAGCTACCTTACACTCGAGTTCCTGCTCACAAAGCTAAAATTCATCGTTTTGACAGTTAAAATGTCATGATTCTTCCCTCACAAAAACAAATATTTCATGATTCTTTATCTCCTCCCCCTCTCTCCCCCTCCCCCTCTCTCTCTCTCCCACTCACTGTCTCCTAGTCTCTCTCTCACACTCTCTCTCTCTCTCTCACTCCCTCTCTCCCTGTCTCTCTCTCTCTCTCTCTCTCTCACACTGCCTGTCTGTCTGTCTGTCTGTCTATCTCTCTCTTCTAGTAAATTAACATTCTTTATGGGAATACATGCATAATATATCTCTTTTTTATTCTTTAACACTCCATCTGATGACTTGTTATTTAATTATATGTTTGTATGTCGGTGAGTCGCTGATCGGCATAAGCTACTGACAAATCCCTTTGACATTTCAAAGTCAAACAAGATGTTTAACTTGAAATTTAGTACCAAGACTTGTAGCGAATTAAATACCTTAATTTAATAATGATTGAAAATAGAATAATCTATTCATTAACTGTAGGTTTTTTCATCATAATTATTATCAAAGCTATAATTCAACTCTGTGTCGTGTGCCTCCATCAAAATCACAATGGCAGACACGTCATCAGGTCAACACAGCGGTGTTAAGAGATGACATCAAACTCTAGATAGAGGAAAATGGTGTATCATACACTGGTCAAGAAGACGTAGTTTTGATGTGATTGATGGTATTTTCCCATCGCAGTGTCATGGGTTTCGTTCGGACAAATTGAATATCCCATCCTTACACAATCGTGTTACTACGGCTTACCATGCAGTTTGCCATTAAAATATAGCAGTAAATCAGTTACAAGTGCACAACAGAATCACGTGACTTGAAACCACGAAGACAAACCCACACTATGGCTTCGAAATGTTAAACGAAACTCTGGCCTTTTTAAAACATTTTTTTTCGTCGGGTTGGTAAAGTCAGTAGAATAGAAGTGCTTATAACATAAAAAATGTAGACGATTTAATTGTGACGTCTCAATGACAACACGGTCACCTTCATCTGACAGATGATAAGTGTGAAGCGAACTAGCGCTGACGTACTTAGTGTACGAATTCTGAATTGGAACCGATTCCACGAATATCACTTCATAGATGTGACAAAAGTATATAGATCTATAGTGTTACTTATAGTAAATAGCATAATTTAATACAAAATTTAAAGTTAGAACTTCTTCCAACGGCTATTTCGTCCTTCTAGGACTCGTCGGTGATAATAAGGGCCTAACTTTTGAAGCCTAGGAGATCAAAGTGATCGAAAGAAAAGTAAATATCTAGATGGGTAGATGCTTAATTTGGTAATTTCCACACATCAGATCATTTTACAACAATGTCAAGTACATGCATATATTCTGAACCATGTCACTACACGAATGAATTAAAACGTAAGTCAAACGGACATATATTGTTTAAAGTAAGATCCGGGACAAGGAAAACGCTAAAGTTTCGTATGAGCACACGATATGTACAGATAACCTTACAGTTTAGAAAGTGGAGCAAAACTTAAGAACTGTTACAATACATGGCTTGTGATAAAAATGCTCGTGTGATTTCTTCGTGAGGTTTAAAGACATATCTCCTGTAGTGATTTTGTAACTAATACTTATATAGGGCAAGTTACTGTAAAAGACACATTCCATACGGAACTACATGTTTATCTAGCAGTACTAGGTAACATTCCCGCGACACCTGGGGGTTTAAAATATCCAAAGGCAAACTGAACGATATGATAGGAAATTTCAAACTGAATTAAATAACATTGCCAACGACATGAAACTATAATGATATATCTGCTTTGTGTAACATATCTTTACAAAGTACTACAATGATTACACAGAAGTCATTTTAAGTCTTTAGGGTCCCATCATTAAATAGTACTATTTATAGAGAATACGTGTGGCCAACGTCTTAAAATATAAGCTGTATTTTTGCGAGGGTTAAGAAAGACACAATTGGCGAGCCACTTTTGTCTTTTTATCAAGAGCCAAATTGCATAGTGAAATGTTATTTTTTCAGTTAATTTCTTCCAGAATAAACAGTTTTAACAATGATAAATTATTCTATGCAATGAAATTAAATACTTTTTTTCTGAATAGGAACGTGCAATGGATTGGATTCCATGTTGACCTCTGTAGAGGACATGCAATGTTGGTACCTACGCTGAATGATGTATAGAATACATGGTAGTTATAGACGTAACAGGTGTATTCCAACTATATAACATGTATATTTACTACAATAAACATTGCTAAATGCAATACCTTTAAATAGGAAAAAAGATAAGCTTTTGTTGAGCTTATTTTTAGTACCCCACCATCAGCTTGAACAGCAGGAAAGTACTCATTCTAAAAACAATGTATATGTACATATCTACATAACGTCAGTTTGGTTGGACAGCATGTAGTTTTGCTATCGTGCTTTTTTATATATCATCCTATCAATCATCATTAAAAACAAGTGGAACTGAATACGTATCCCTGACGACTACCACATGTTACAATCCGTCGGATTATCGACATTATATTGTTTATATTTGAAAAACATTAGAATAAGCTGCGATAATGTTGCTTTTACAATATGTTTGATGACACGAATTATCTCATTTCCAAGTTAATTACATTGCCGTACAGTAAACGTTGGTTGAATTTTTTAAGTTACGCGGGATTATTTGAATTAGTTGCGAACATTTTTGGTAAAATCAGTCAGGCGCGAAATTCATTCATTCATAAAACAAAACTAGTTAATTCACTTTACTCGAGATATGTGTATTTGAATTCCGTAAAGATTTCATGCATTTTCTCAAAGGCCTTATCACTTGAAAATCACCGTTTTGTTTTAAATTGAAAATTGAAATGCGATGCCGCGTCTGTCGAAAGAAGAGAGGGCAATGGCTAGTGACATGTTCCAAGTCGGCGCCACGCGAGTTTGGAAGTCGGTTAGAGGGGAGCCAAAAGACTGCATGTTATTTATGGCAATTAAAAAAAAATATAATGCATTCGCTTCAACATCCGACCGTTCAAGGATTGGCCGACCACGACAGGTAAGCAGCCAGATCGTCAGTAACAGTCTGAAACGTCACTGAGTTCGTACACATGTTCCGTCTTAGGGCGACACAATCGCATCAATCGATTTGATTGTACTTGGTAATACTAACTATGTCTCTCATTATGATAGGTGGCAGATACGTATCAGTATCAGACTTCTCAGACGTACATATATATGGGATATGTACATTTCCTGACGATCTGTATGCATAGAACAATGAACAACATGTTGACAGTGATAAGTAAATGAAAAACGAAAGTTAAAATAACAGCGATGCATATGCGACCTATTTTGAGTTTATCAAATACTAAACACGTGTACTTGCAGGTATCATTTTGTTATAGTTTCCTTCTATCATCAGATAACAACAAAAGCTTACAAACAAACAAAAAAGCCGTACTACTTGCAGACTCTTAGTTTGTGTTTGGTATACCACCAAGCGATATATACAACTTAACGATAACCCGGATTAAACCGGGGTACCATGTACTCCAACAAGTTTGCACGGGTATTACAGATAAATCATACAACTACCCATGCTATATTTAGAAAAAGCGCGTCAATAAAAAAAATGGTGAAAGACAGCAAGCTTCTTGATAACACATTGTTTCAGGCAAGTAGATGAACATTTTAATGTCAGCTATTCTGGTATTTCTCAGTTCATGCAGCGTCTGAACCGGACAGGGTATGTTGATGAGGGTCCCAGGTCTAGCATACCTCGAAACACTACTCATAGGGAAGATAGACCTGTGTGTATACAGCAAGGAGAGTGCAAACAGGCTCAATGAACAGTAGCTAGAACGACAGTGTTCGCATTAGCCGACGTACCGTCAACAAACGTTTGAACAATAAGCGACTTGGCTCTTGTCAACCAGTAAAACGTCCTGTATTGCACAAACAAGCAAGCCTGTAATGTGCCCGTGATCACCAAAATACGGCATGCCATCAGAATAACATTATGGCAATAACAGCATTTGGCGGTGGCGGTTTTACTGTTTGGGATGCTTTTCTCTAAACTGAAGTTAAAGTGGACAGAAGTACCGTATTCAGGTCCTCCAACCCATAGTTGTTCCGCATTTTGATGTCCATCTATTGGTATATCGGCTCATCCTAATGGATGACAATGATAAACCGCGTCGAGACCGCCTAGTGCAAGTCTACCTTCAAAAAGGACTGATAAAGATGCCCACATGACGTGCATTGTCAACAGACATGAACCCATTTGAGCATGTTTAGGACTATCCCGTACACAAAGTCAATGCGTGGGGTCCAAAATGTCAATAACTGAAGAAATACGGCCTGCATTGATTCAGGAGTGACAGCGGTTTCCTCATAACAAGCTTTGGCTTTTGGTCAATGATAGAAGACGACTGGTACAAAACCACATATTGACATTTTCATACCCGTTGAATAGTCATTCATCTTGATAAATTAAAACGTTTTTGTGATTTGATGACGTATATATTAATGGGATACAGTTAAAGTCAGTCCTTTTTCTAGACTTTATGAATTCGTTTTTGAGCACGTCCTGCAGAAATAATACAGCACTTCCGGTTCAGTAAATTATTTTCTTAACATTGTGTTTAGTTTCGTCACACGTCTAAAAACACCTACATATATCGGCCTGTTGATTTATCCTTGAATGTTTTTCTTTAATGCAGCAAACAAAATTAAGCCCGGGCAAAGACATCAATGGTCCCTAACTTATGGCTAAGTGTATAAAATGACGGAATATCGCAAATTTGCATTTTGTATTTGAGTGATTTATGTGAAAATCAGAAGATTACATTCGTTACCATTTCAGATAAGTTTTATAAAACGATCTTCAGCACTTTATCATAGCCCCTAGCGGTCAGTTCTTACTAGACTGTAAGAATGTAACACAAACGGTTTAAGCAAATTCCAACGTAATATCTTGATTTGATATGTTAAGGTACATCATAAGATGTAAACAAAAAAAACGAGAATGTTATATACAATCATAACATCTTATGTGATACACATCTTTAAACAGTAAGGTATTATCTTATGTAAACAAGCATTTGGCTATCCATAACTGTGGCAGTGTTATATCACATTCCCGGTCCCCTGAACCGTCATGATACCTAGCCGACACACGGAAACGAAGGGAAGTAACTCGAGAAAATCCGAGGCTATTTCAGCTCGTATTCCTACAAATGAAGTGTTGTCCGAATGGTTCTATCTACGCATTTATTTTTTGGGGGTCTTGATCGCGGTTGATGATTAATTACACTTAATTTGTACAATAACGCAAGCCGACGTAAAATTCATAGGACCCAAGTATTTTAACCGTACAGACAATATCTCGGACTTAGTTAGTTGAATCTTGAATGATATATCAAATGGATGCATTGTTTTTGCAATATGGTAGAATATGGTTGCAAATAAATGCAAAAATTCGGGCTTATTTTAACATTTGATCTTGAAACGACAATTTTCCGATCTCATCTTTTGATTTTCTTATCAATCCGGATTTATGCCGTTCCGTCAAACGGTTCTTTATAGATAAGTTTAGGGGCGTCTTTACAGCGGCCTCTAGTGGTGTAAAGATTGTACAGTAAAGCGGAAGTGAAGTAAAAATGGGGCAGGGCTGATATAAACGAGGAAAAAATCGATTTCGGTCTTTATTTAGCAGGTTTGTCAGCTATTATTGATAAAATATTTGTAAGATAAGTCATTGCAACCACTTTTGTTTATGATGCCAACAACTCTTCGTTCTTTTATCTTTATAATGGCATTTGATTGGAAATGAGTCTGATGATGACAGGAAGTTATTATGTTTATGTTTTTCACAACGAAGCATCGGTATAAAGACATGTGTTAAAGCATAATGACATATGACTTTGTTATTATAAATGCATTCTGATAACACTCAAAACACTACTGGCATGGAGAGCTGCCGGACAATTACCAAGAGAAAGTTTATTCGTGCTTGTAATACATACCATAAAATGGCAGACCTTTCAGACCAATAGGATATATTTTCTATTTGTTATTGTTCAATTATTTCTACAAAAAGGTGTTAACAACATTGTCCTCTTACGCGTATCTTTCACTCTGCCTTGGTACTCCAAGAAACAATCAGAAAATAAGTTCTGTTTTTTTTCCCCATCCGCATATTTGCATTTTTATATCTCTTATGGAAAGTGTTTCCTCATCTTTATGGTGGAAGAGGAAAGAATAACTGTTTATCCAGTTTTTTGCTTAAATATTTTTGATTTCATCATGGATTTGTTGTTAGAAGTAATTACATTAACCTTTTGATTATTCAAAATTATATGGAAATGTTATGTATAATTGAAATCTGAACTTTGAAAATGTGTCGGTCAGCTTTAGGTAAATCAGCATGATGTGCCTGTCTTAAGTTTCTTTCCATATAAGCCTCTGACATTGTAAGAGTATCTGTCTTGGTAGCTGTGAGCACTAATGTAATGTCTGTATGACATATTTTCATTTTTATTTATTTTTATAGGCAGTCACTCTACTCAAAACTTACAGACAACAAAAGACTTCTACATACACTCTTACTCCTCGTGTACATTCTGATTGAATTATCTACCAGTTCAAACAATCATTTTTCTCTGCAATTCATTCCTATAGGTGATTTATGTAGTGGACGTTATACCAATCACACTATGAATTTACATTATCATGTATATATTATCGTGGTAGAAAAACGATTATTACAACCATCAAAGTGTGAGGAAAAACCTAAATAATTAATAATTACATAAAACAGTGCAAGTGAATAATTAAAATCTCTTTTTTAAAAAAATGGTTATATACGATTATAGTGAAAATCAAATTTCCTTCTAGACCATTTGTATTATTTGTATTTGATATAATAGTTTGGCAAGTGGAGATGTAAACACAAGTATCTAGAACTTGGTTTAAACGCTCTGGTATAAAATCAATTTGAACACAAGTATGTTATAATGATGTTTCAGATACCATTGATATTCATCATGGCAGCAGGGGAGAAAATCACATTGACAGATGCACTACAAAATGTGGATGTGTTGGATGAGCTTCCCTTGCCAGACCAACAGCCATGTATTGAGGGCATGTCCTTGTCAATCCATTATCAGGCCAACTTCGACACCAACTTTGAGGACAGGAATGCCTATGTCACAGGAGTTGCTCGATACATTGAGGAGGCAACTGTTCATGCAGAACTGGTAATACACTGTACAATAGACCCTGTTAGGTGACCATCTGCCATTGAATTTTTAGTATTTTCTAAGTAATATCATTATTCTATGAAATTTAAATGCCTTTGCATATTAATACACATATCTGATGACAGAAACAGTTCACATTCACAAAAAGTGTTTGAAAACTAGAGGACAACTTTATTAATGTGTTGATTTTTCTTCTTTGTATTTGAAGGATGTTTTTAGTTTCTTGTCTTATTTTCTGTTATTACGATTATGAGTATTATGATTCTGATGTACCAGTAATAATCCAGATTACAGGAATAATAAATTTAAAGAATCAAATTACATACATTTTATATGTTATATAAACCAATGTTGTCACTTGTCACTCTGTATAAGTTAACCCTACCTTCAGTGATTGTCTTTCTTTAACATTTGACATTTTCCCTGAATGGCTGTTATGAATAAATCATTGACTATCTCTCTGATAATGTTCATCATAGCAGTCACTATGTGATGTTTCAACTAAGCTGTACTCAGGAGGAAATTGGCTATATATACACATGCACCAATGCTTTTTTTCTAATGGTCATCTTTGATATTCTATTGTAGAATAAACTGCTGGAGGAGGGCCAGGAACATGCCGTGATGTTATATACATGGAGGTGTTGCTCCCGAGCTCTACCACAGGTAGGCATGATAGGGTTTCGACATTTTATAATGTGAGACATATATCAAGAGCAGAAACATTACTAGAAAACTTCACTTCATGGATATGAAAGACTGTCAAATAGAATTCAATGTTTATGTAGTTTTAAAAAATATAAACCATTTTTGAATATAGATATTTTGATCCATGTTGAAATAAAAACAAAGTAGTTAAATATAATTTATTAGTTGACTATCAACAAGTATGTCAGTATTCTTAATTAGATCATGATTAGTGTACATGCTTATCAATTATTTCTTATAGATTTCAAAGCTTAGAAGCGATTTCAGAAACCAATTAATGTCCAAGGATTTTATTGGCTAAATGTATTTTGCCATGTAATTTCACACCATACTGAAATTTTTTTCACAGAATCTACATCTTATACAATCAATAAATGCTTTTTCATATCTTTCAGAAAAAATCTCTTGATATATTATTGATGTAGAAAATTTTAAAATCACATTTGTGAAAAATGAATTAAGAGACTTTTCAAACTATGGCAGGAACATACCACAGTTCAATATTTTGAGGAAAAGTGAAAGAAATTACAATAAATTTTAATCAGAGTAACGCACAGTTATTTGAATTTTAGGTTAACTACAGTATACAGTATATTTACAAATCAAAAGTTGTTGAACCACCTCTCTGAACGATATTTATCCATAGAGTTACAGAAAAGTTAAATATCTTTCTATAAATGTTAAGCTTGCTGCCATTCCTTGTCTAAATGTATACTTTCTGGATCAGCTACACACTTTATTTTATTAATAGGTGCTTTTTTCCTTTTCAATCTTTTTCTGTTTTGAGTGGTTTTGATTAACCATGGTGTAAATATTGATACTCAGCAAAATATAGATTACAGGAAGGAGAATACTAACCATATACAGTCAAACTTCTATGAATCAAACTTCTATGATTCAAATTTTTTGACCTATATCTTTTTTTCTTCGGTCCTGAATTTGATTCCTTTATGATACTCCTAACTTATCCCTTTTTCAACTGACGTTTTGATATATGAAACTTTTCGATGTATCGAAGTTTTTTCACAGTTGTTAGTTACGAAAACATGAGTCGTTTACACTTCATGATTCGAACAAAATATTATATGTACTGTACTAGTTCTTAAGCTCCGCAGCAGAATTTCGCACGTTTCCTTACCTGACAAAGGGATTACAATGGAATACTGTTTGTTACTCTGTGTTACAAAGTTAATTAATGACTGGGCACAGATTACAGTTTAATTTATTGCCTACTCACAAGCCGTGACATTACTCAACAATGATATTAGGACATTTACCACCACCACCATTGCGATAAAAGCATATAGTGAGGTATAGTTTATGGAAATGTGAAAACATAGAGAGTAACAACCACTTTACACATACCTATCAGGAAAATATAAACGTAAGTACGCAATGTCCATTTCTTGTTAAATTCTGTTAAAAGTTTTTGTTTTATGAATGAAAATATTTCTTTTTAAAATAAAAAATATCTCTCTGCATTTAAACTTTGTTTTAGTATTTGCTGTGTCTGTTCAGTAAGAAATATTTTGTAATCAACAAAGGTCATGGACGTGAAAATGTTGATATAACCTAACACGAATGACTTGAAGTCTCGGTTTATTAAAGTTTTTTTTTCTAGTCCTTTGAACTTGGAAAGGTCAAAGTTTGACTGTGCTTACATCACTTAATTATGCAGACTATAAATTAACCAGAACAAATGGCTGTAATATGATATTGCACATTGTGCAGTTCACATTAACCATTTCATTTTTTTCCTGTAATAGGTTTTGTTTTAATTTTTGTTTCTGTGGTTTTTTTTTTAAATATTTGTGAGAAAGTTGACTTGTATAGTTAGAATTATATAATACTTCAAAATGAAGGTAATTGATAAATCATTGTTTACTTACAGTTTTCAGATAGTCGTCTGTTTAAGTCTGATTACTTTTCAATAATGTGTGATTCCCTTTATGAATAGATAGGACAATTTCAGTATCATGTTTTGGTAATGTGGAAGGATTTACAAGACTTTGATTTTGATTTTCAGTACAATTTTCTTCTGGGTGATTATACACCAGTGGGTATCAAGTCTTTATTTTCAACTTTAGGTTATGAATCCCTTATTGTAAATTGGGTTATTTTTTGTGCAAAATACATTTAAACTATGACATGATGTGTATAATTGAAGGGTTAAGAGACTGTTGCCATAAGCAGTCATCAGTGATAGGCTTAAAGTCCTGTCCAGGGACATGTAACATGCTGTTTTTTTTTCTTTGAAAATGTTTATATGTTAAATAGGATTTTCATAAAGAAACTTACTAAGAGTTTCTCTCTAAATTACTTCACCATTTTGGTTTTGAAAAAAAAAAAAATAAGAATGATATCCAAAAAAAATGTGGTATGATTTTAATTTCTAAATGATGACTTCTGCAGTCATAGTTTAAGTGTGTGCTTTGATGTAATTGCACCTCCTTTCCATGTCGTAACAATATAATATTTTTTAAATGACACTAATGTTGTTTGCCGATATATATTTGTATTTGAAAACCAGAGGAGAGTTTTAAGTTATTTCAGTCTTATGTTTTCATCCATAAGCAGCATGTTTATTTTCCCTCTTGATAACAATGATTAAATATCATTTAGATAGTTCAAGTTCATTTGTCACTGTCGTGTATTTTTCCCTTCATATATACTTTTGTTTTTGATGAAAAAAAGTTACTTTGAATTTTTGCCTAAAATTCAGTTTTTACTGTGTTTTACAAGCATATAAACATTTTTGACGATCTTTTACATTGCTTTAACCTCATCATGAAATAAGTACTATGAGCTGTGAATAACCTCACAGAAATAACCCAATTTATAATGTTCAGATTAAATGTGATTTCATTTTCACCAAATAGATAAAAAAAGAAGGCAGTAAACTATGATCATTCGTTGTATATACATCCTCAAATGGTAATCCAGTGGTTACAAGAATTATCACTATCCGCATCCCTGGGACATTTTACGGTGAAATTAAGGCACTAGCGAAGCAACATGATTGGTCTAGAGCATGGCACAGGAGAACAAACTGAGCAACCACAGACTGATAGGTTCCTTTGAAGATCACAAAGCAGCAACACCCACCATCAAATACAACATACTGTCATGTGGCCCGCAGACACTGATGTACATCAAAAGATCAAATAAGTCTTCTTGTCATATCCAGAAGGTATCACACATGGAACCTTCAATTTTGCCATGAAATGTTCCAGGGGTGCAGAGAGTGAAAGTGGTCATATCCCTGGAGTATCAAGGATGTTATATATGTTCTACATCATGCTATACACTGATGTAATAGTGTAAATTATATTCTTTTGGCTCTTTAGCAAAAACCTAAACTGCAAAGGGACAATTTGGTGTTGTTGGTACTTTATGATTATGTTACAAAGGCCTTACTTAAAGAAAGTTTCCTTATCCTTATAAACAACTCTTATTAAAATGGTCACAAACCCACAGTTTTCTTGGCATTTGTGATCAATTAGAAAAGTCCTTGATCTTGTTGTGTATAAATATATATATATATATATACAGGAACAACTTAATGGATATACAGGTACAATAAACCATTTAACAGCTTTACAAGTACATTAACAATTTTATAATAATTGTTCATGTACTTGTACTATTTATTGATTGTACATATAAACTAATAATGTTAACAGTTCTTGACTCTTTGACCTACACATGTACTGAGGCTCAATTCATGCATTGATCATCAGACTTTTTACCAAGACTTGAAAAGTCCTGAAAGAAATAAAAATATATGAATAATTCATTTTATGTCTGATATCTATTTTATGTATAGACAACATACTTAAAATCTCTCTCCTGGGTAACCCCATTTACATGTTATCCTGGAGACTAAGGCTAGCAATATTGTTCTCTTATTTACTTTCTTTGTTATGAGCCACCATCTCTTTATATTAAAACCTGTTCTATTTAAAATTGTAGACATGACGATACATCACATGATATTTTTATTTGGACGTATATTTTTTTCTTAATATATATATAAACCATCCGATTAAATTGAAAATCACAATACAAATGTCTTATTATGATTTTGGACATATTTTTGCATTTTTTGTAAGGATTGAATTAGAACTGATTCCAACAGACAGTAATTGTAACCACAGTGGACATCATACATAAAAAAATGTAAATGATATGATTGTCAGCTCTGTAAGGTTCCTTTAGGAGTGATAATTCTCAAGAACCTGACCAATTTCACCTACCCTGTACATTTTGTTTAATTTCGCGGTATTAAGTTATATTGGTGTGGGCTAGTTCATGGGTATTAAATTTGATGGAAGTTGATAAACTGGTGTCCCTGTATACAGACATAACGGATGCTTTCTGAGATTTCATTTACTGCGAAAATGTTGTCTTGATATTCAGTTCCATGCTATTTTTATTGACTGCAAACATAGCCCATATTACCAGCCATACAGTACATTATATGCTGAATTGTCCCTTAAAAGTAGAATGTGTATTTAAATACTAAGGAAGCAAACAAATTTTAAAGTTTATTCTTAGTACTTGCCTGTCGCTGGCTTGAATAGATCTGCTAGCTTTGACAAATCGCTGCTCATCAGGACTTAAAACGATAACACAACTTCATCTCCTAACATCAAATACTAAAAATCAAATTAATTAAGAACTAGTTTACGCTTAATTTAATGTCCTATGTGTCGTTGTGTTTACATCGACTAGTCTGTGAGTTGACCTCGTGCTGTTTTGTGCTTGTACATACGGATGTGTTACATTTAATGAGATCAGGCTTGTATTAAATGTCACTTTTTAATTTACTGATATTGTAGAACATCTATACTTTGATGAACATGTGCTGTATGAGAAGACATTTGCTCACAGTCACAGGTGTTTTATGATATACATAGTTGCTAGACGTTGTTTATGATATATTTACTATATATAATAAAATTGTTTATCATAGGTTGTTTGCAATACACATATATAGATTCACAAACAAAATTAACTACATATCAAGTAAGTTTTATAGATGTCAACATAATTTTTTTTAAAAGTTGGAATCCTAAAGTTATCATTTTCTGGCCATGAGCTTCATGGTGAATATGTTTTGCCCAAAATAAATGTGACTTCATGAGACGTCAGGAACCTTTATGATGAGGTATTATGCTGCAGTACTAATGAGATTTTTGAGACATTACAAGTCTTAATGACAGGGACTCCATGCCACTTGTAAGATTTTGGAGACATCAGGAATCTTTAACGATGGGGGATGCCATGTCATGTCACTGTTGTTCATGTTTTTGAGACATCAGGAGATATCTTGCAACTGAAGTAGGAATTTTGTTTTACTGTGTGTATTAAGCCAGGTCTATATATAAGTTGATCCTTCTACCCAAGCAGGTTGTTATACACTGTTTTAGCAGAGGATTCATTAGAAAATAACAGCAATCTTGTACAAAATGATTTTGCTTGTTATGCTCTGACAAGAAATAAATTTTGCATGTTACAGTTACCATTGCTGATAAATAATTGTAACAAGTACAGGAGATATTATTTATCTATCAATCTCTCAGACAGAAATTTAAAAAAAAAATAAGAAACTTCAAAAGTAGGTTTCCATTCTCATGAGACAGTGTTTGAACCTGTATATACATGGTGCTGTAGAATAGCGAGTCCTGTAGTATGTCAGAGAGATGTAAACAGCATGATTCCTGATGTGTTCTGTGACCCAATGAAGCCAGTTGATCAAACAAGATTTATTTATAAAGAATTTTTTAAAATAGATTATTAAAAAGGTGTTTTTTGGATGTTGTTAATAAGTGAAATCAAAATGTTTATATGATAAGTTTCTAGAATTAAATAATTAAAAAAGTGTTTGCATGGACACATAAAATAAATACCTTTATTTCTGCAGATTTGTATGTCTGTTTTTTTCTTCGTTGAATTGTAAATGTCATGTATTCCTTACTTTGATTGTCAATTACTTTGATATGTAAGCGATGAATGGTAGTTACCATTTATTGGGAAATTAACCTTTCCTAAACTCTATCAAGTAGTGAAAGTTTATAATATGTTAAACAGTGTAGTAACAATAGTGATTGTTTCATGTTATTGTAGTTAGATAATATTAGAAACTATTTCCAGGTGAAGAGCAATGAACAGGCTAACAGGACTGAGATCTACCAAAAGACTGTGGAAGTGCTCGACCCACAGGTCTCCAAACTGATGGATCTCATGTATTTCACGGTAAAATATCGCTGATAATTGTTAAAACCAAAATCATTCTTACAATCTTACAACATTTCTATGTCTATCTTTGATCAACCAAACTCATTATTCCTGTTTAAATATCTATCCTCATTTTCTAACATAACAGATGTGAGCTGTTGAATAAAAAGAAGCCATATGGTCCTCTGAAGCATTTAGTAGACAAACTACAACATACACATGAGACGATGTTAGATGTTGTTCTAGGAATTTTTCTTCAATTTCTTTTGACTGTTTACTATTTCATTGTGAATTTATCAGTATTTTGTTACATTTTATGCTAATTAATATTGTAATTGAAGTAATTCAGTCACTTATGTTTGTGTATTGGTAGTAAGGTGTTCCACTGTTGTGAGCTTTTGTAACTGTCGTAATTACAACTATTATATTAAGTCATGATCTCCCTACAGAGACGAGCTATACAGAGGTTTGGAAGTGAAGTGAAGCGCTTGTCCCACAATCAAAAGAGAAATGACTTTGTGTCAGAAGCCTATTTGGTTACATTGGGAAAATTTATCAATATGTTTGCTGAACTGGATGAGCTGAAGAACATGAAGGCTGGAATTAGAAATGACTACTCTGCTTATAGAAGGTAAGTGTTTCTTCAAGCCGAATAGAAGCCAAGAAACACATTGACATGAATAGATATGCATATTGTGGTGGAATGCAGTATACCCCTGGAGTATGCTGAATTTCAATTTTGGTGACTTGTCTTGTAAATATAGAGATGTCCAAGGGCAGGTTGGCCTCTGATTGTTAGTGTCAAGTGACAGGTTTTACAGCTCCACTCACTGCCATACTTGTAGACCACTATAGCCTGTTTTGGGTTATCAATATTATGTAAAACAATCTTTCCCTACTTTAAGAAAATGATTCTGGAGCTAAACAGATAACTTTGCTTTAGTCATACTGTTCATCATCTGATAATACAGATGATGGTCTCCCTTAGTAACATGTTATAGTAGGTACTGACATTTGTAAATCAAGAATTATTACCTAACCCCATTGTTGATCATTAAGTCTGTAATTTTATAACAATATGGTTCTAATTTACAGTCATTTCTAAAAACATTATGAATTTAAGAAAAATTGTTCTGCTGAATCAGAGGGCAACATAACCTTGCCTTTCACCAAATAATTCTTTGTTTGAGTCAAAGTTATAAATCAGTGTAGTGAGTCATGTTGAATTCCCTGAAATGAGTGTGAGGTTATCTCCCCTTTTACAGGTCAGCCATGTTCCTGAAGGTAATGGCCGATCCACAAGCCCTGCAGGAATCACAGAATCTCTCTATGTTCTTGGCCACTCAAAATAAGATACGAGAAATGCTTAAGGAAGCCCTAGTGGATGCTGGCAGTTGTGAAGAGCTCCTGGCTGACATCATCAACATCTGTGTGAGCATGTATGAGAACCGTCTCTTCCTAGAGCCTAGTGAAAAGTACATGTTGGTCAAGGTAAGTTGAATGATGGTTTTAGAAAGCACATTCATATAACAACTTAAAATAAGTAAAAACCACAATTCAGTAATTACAGGTAAAAATAACTGGAAACCATACTTCAGTAATTACAGGTAAAAATACCTGGAAACCATACTTCAGTAATTACAGGTAAAAATAACTGGAAACCATACTTCAGTAATTACAGGTAAAAATAACTGGAAACCATACTTCAGTAATTACAGGTAAAAATAACTGGAAACCATACTTCAGTAATTACAGGTAAAAATAACTGGAAACCATACTTCAGTAATTACAGGTAAAAATAACTGGAAACCATACTTCAGTAATTACAGGTAAAAATAACTGGAAACCATACTTCAGTAATTACAGGTAAAAATAACTGGAAACCATACTTCAGTAATTACAGGTAAAAATAACTGGAAACCATACTTCAGTAATTACAGGTAAAAATAACTCGAAATCATACTTCAGTAATTACAGGTAAAAATAACTGGAAACCATACTTCAGTAATTACAGGTAAAAATAACTGGAAACCATACTTCAGTAAATAATTCTGTATAGATGAAAATCAGTTAGAAACCACATGTCAGGAATTATACTGTGTATGACCTTTTTAAGGTGCATACCACAATAAGAGCCTGGGCCTTCAGAAGTGATAAAAAAAATTACAACACCTACCTTTTTATTCAGAATATATAAATAGAGTTATGCTGAGGATTACTATGGCTGTACTGTGGAACCATTCCGCAATGTGTCCGATGGTTTTAAGATAAAGACAGAAATGACATGAATTGGTTTTGTTTTTACTTATGAATTATATTAAACTTGAATTTAAAAATTGATTCTGAAATCTGTTGTTGACTTACAGGTAATGGCGTTTGGGATATACCTGCTGGATAGACCAGATTGTAGCATCTATAAGATGGACCAAAGGAAGCGAATCAATATCTCTAAAATAGACAAGATTCTTAAGGTTGGTAGTGTCCTCATTATAGTATGTTAAATGTAGTAAAAAGGCTATACTTTATATAAAGCATTACAAGAGAAGGAGGGGGACTTTCAGCTTTTATAAACTTATGAACTTTTATGAGTAATCTTGAAAGAAATGTGAAAAAAATGGTTATTGAAATTTCAACTGATACACAAATCAAACTTTCTGTCTGATATATAGATATAAGTAATTTATTCACAGACTTTGTTTTTTGCATTCGCTATCAGATTTTGTAAAATAAATTACATTTCAGCAACTCGAAGTTGTTCCACTGTATGGAGATATGCAGATAAACCCATATACCTACATCAAAGGCAGCTGTAACTATGATGCATCACGGTGGAACTTCTGTGAATCAAGCCACATCAGTCCTCAGTCCAACATTCTAGCAAATCTGGAGGCGATACGAGAGGACCACATGGCATATATAAGTCAGCTTTCCAAACACAGTAACGAGGTATTACAGAATCATTTACTGTTTAATGTTCAGGTATAGATGTAACAGATCTAGATGATGATAATGATGATGATAATGATGATGATGCTCATCGTCATTGTCATCATCATCGTCAGATAAGTGATAGAGTAATGGAGTACAAGGATATTCAACAGAAGCCATTTTTGAAAACATGCTAGATACAAGAAGCTTTCTTTACTCTTATATATGGAATAACATTTGAACATAAGCTCTGTGGAGGTATTTTTACAACAAAACTAAGAATAAAACATAGTAAAAACAAGGTAATGAGCATGCTAGTTGAAAGTAAGAGGAGTGTGCAGCATAAACAGGGTAATGAGCACGCTAGTTAAAAAAACAGGGTTGTGCAGCAAAAACTGTGTACATAAAAACTAAGCAAAAACTCAGGAAATTATATAGCACATACAAGTTATAAACACATGGACAGTACTATTATCACAAAAGCATAAAAATCACAAGCATACAGCATAAAACAGACAGCTCATGTATTTCTTAAAATATCAAAAATGGTTAGTAAACATATGATATATTGTGTAAATAGCAGAATCACATTTACAGCCAGTGAACAGGTGATTGGGCAGACTCTACCTGCCAAGCTCACTGACTAAACATTTATCAGATATAATTTCAAAAGTAAGAAACAGTAGAGTAATTTCAACAAAGAGGTATTTAAAACTGTTCATTTGTCTCCTTGAAACAGGCCATCACAACAACACGCGAGTCACCACGACCTGATTCTGAGAACAAAGAACTGAGTGAGCTTGCCTTACGTGGATTACATCTCATGTCAGCCTGGACACAACAGGTCATGGAGCTGGTATGTACTGACAACAGTGTGCCCTGCTTAAACATCTGAGGAACAGTTCCATTACATCTTAGTAAAGAAATGTTGTTGTGGTGATATGATTTTCTATCCTTAGTTAGGTGTAACATTCAAGTTACTACTTCATAAAATTACAAGTGAAAAAATGCTCTGATGAAGGTTGTGCTGCATAATATATGATCAAGATATTTTACTGTTACACCATCATAAGTCATCACATTACAGATTACATATGAAGCGTTATCTTGGCCAATATTTTGTTTGTGGCTTATTTTGTGTATGGCATGAGTTTCTCACTTTGACTTCAAAGAAACTCCTTTCCAGTGTGTAAAGTACAGTCAGCCTTTCTTTGCTGGGTTTAACTTCTATGTAGATGAAGATATGAGAACATTTGTTATCAACGAGTAGAGTTGTTACTGTGATATATTCAAGATACAAATGAAAATATCATAAGATATTTGCTCCCTAACAAAGTATTATGCAGTGTTGGAGGTTTTCACTGATAACCAGTTTGTTGTGACATTATGAAGCAATGGCATTCAGAATTGAACAACAATCAGCTGACCAAAAAATCAAGGTCACAAGGTCAGTAGTTCCATTGGTCAAGGTCAGTGTTTTTTCTTTTCACTGATTAACATTTTGTCATAATGTTGTGATGCAAAGTTTGGTCAGAATTAAACAAGGTGTAAACTTAGCATGGAGCAAAAATCAAGGTCTCTGGTCCCAAATGGTCAAGATCAGTGGGTCAAAGGTCATGGTCAAACTTTTCAGGGATGAAAATATTATTATCATGAATCATTTAGAACATTTGATGCTGCTCTTTATTGTTTTATGTGTACTTTGGAGAACATACAGTGATAAGAGATGTATGTTTCAGTATTCCTGGAAGTTGCTGCATCCAACAGACAGCCACCAGAACCCTGACTGTCCACAGTCTTCTGAGGAGTATGAACGGGTATGTGGTTTTTTTTTAGGTGCTTGTTTTTTTAAAGGTAAAAGTACATATATGAAGCTATAGAATTTTCTCTCACCTCAGCTTTTATCGTTGCACATTGCTGTTGAGGACTAGAATAAGCGCCAGAGTCCCCTGTAATATTTGGAGTATGGAAACACATGTCTGAGCATCCTGTAAAGTTTGAAGTATAGAATGAGTGTCTGAGAACACTGTAAAGTTTGAAATATAGGACAAGTGCCAGAGCCCCCTGTAATGTTTGGAGTATAGGAACACATGTCTGAATACCCTTTTAAGATAAAGTATATGAACAAACATGTTTGAGCATCCTGTAAAGTTTTAAGTGCAGAAGCATGTGTCAGAACCCCATTGAAAATTTCAAGAGCAGATGCTAGCTTGCCTCTCTCCTGTGAAGTTTTTGACTGGAAGAGCAAATACTAAAACCTACTTGCAAGGTTTTGAGTGTAAGACCAAGTCCCAGAGCCCCCCCATGTAAAATTTTTAAGACAAACAAATCATCCAAATTTAGCAACCATAACTCCACTTTTTTGTTAAATCAGGTAGAGGAGTTTATTGTAAGTCTCATCTTGACAGGATATAGTGAAGTTTGTGAGGTTAATTTTGATGTCATCTTGTGTTTACAGTCTATCAGGTACAACTACAACAGTGACGAAAAGTTTGCCATCATAGAAGTTATTGCAATGATTAAGGGGCTACAACTCCTGATGGCCCGAATGGAAACAGTGTTTATGGATGCTATTCGACGACACATCTATGCTGAACTACAGGTACGTTACAGTCCTGGGAGCCATTTTAATTGGTTTGACATAAAGTATTTCAGAATGTAAAGCTCTGTGATAACAATATCAACAAAAAAGCTATTTGTTCACTAAATATTAATGATAGATTAAAATGAATTTCAATTGTTTCATTAAAAAAGCAAGAATGTATGCAACTATATTCAAACTATAGTCCATGGAAGAATAACAGTACATTTTATAAGAGGTTTGAGAGACTAATCATGTTGATGTACTTACCGTTCTGTGGTTAGATGTGGTTCTGTGATTTCCTAACTCTGAACTTTGAGAAGATTACTTCCAAGTTCAAAATTGAAGTTTCTTTGAACAACATAAGTAATAGGTTTTTATCTATAATTTCAGGATTTTGTACAGCTTATCCTGAGGGACCCACTCCGCAAGTCCATCAAAAAACGCAGTGACGTCATCAAAGTGTAAGTATACATAAATCAGGTCATGCTGAGTATGAATACAGAAATAGGATAACACTGGAGTTAATTTGTCTATCTGTCTGTCTGTCTGTCTGTTCATAGAAACCTGTTAACCAATTTCAGTGAAACTATACAGGAATGTTGGGGGATATGTGTAGATGTACAAGCAGGATTTTTTTAACAGAAATTTCGATTGCCATGGCAACCAGATCACTACAAACAGGTTTTTGTGTAACTCGTCAATCATTTGATCAGTTTTATTGAAACTTGGTCATAGTGGTGTAACTTATTAATGCCTGTAATTTGACTCATCAGGTGTTTCTAGAACCGTTACTATAGAAACATGATGAAGGCTTAAAGGGTTAAAATTGAAATATTGTTTGATTCTGATGAAAATTGAAATGTATATCAAAAATATTTGATGTCATTTGGTTGCTATGGTAACCACATAAGGTCATGATTAGATGATCATATCAAGACTACTCTTGATCTTGTGGATTGATTTCAGTGAAACTTTGAGGCTGTTTGAGTCAATATTGCTTAATATCAGTTAACTGTAAATGAACCAGTTGTATATGAAATGAAATCAGATATAGTTAAATGTTTTTTTGACTTACAATAATGAAGTAAGTATCAATATTGTTTACTTAATTAGTGTATTCTTATTGCTATTTATAGGAAAGTTATCCAATGCAAGTCCTGTAAAAGTATAAAATATTAACTTATAGAAAGGTATAAAATGTTTGAAAGTACATAATGGTGGCTATTATTAATGTTTACACAGGATAATTATGGCAGTACGGGACACATGTGTTGACTGGTTCAGAGGAACGGAGCCTCAAGATGACCCCTCACTCAAGGGCAAGAAGGATCCAGATGAGGGCTTTATGATCAAGGTCCCCAGGAGGAATGTTGGCCCCTCAACAACGCAGGTAAGTATATCAGGTTCCTTCACTTCATCTGCCCTCTCTCAACATCATAAATTGATGAAATGTTGGTGTATTACAGTTTATACACGTAACATAATGTGAAAATAAAGGATTCTCAACATCCAAGAACGGCTGTTTATCTTTATTATTGGCACATTGTCGACATGTTTATACAATTTTATACAGATTATCAGGTACTGAAGTATAACATTGCGGTGTGAAAATATTACGTCATGAACAATTAATAATGGACATAGTATCAATTGAATTACAAGGTAGTTTATACACGTGTACAAAGAAGCAGTAAAGCAATGATACACTGTGTTTAACCTATAAAGCCAGCTCAGGCTAAAGTTTTGTTTATCATTTGACAAAGTCCACAAGCAATGCAACCTTCTTCACTTGTGATATGTAATTATCCATTTAACACTTTGTGATATGTTGTTTTATCTTACTTGGCCCTTTGTCTGTTTAAATTTACCATTCCTTTCCCTCTCTTACTGATATTATGTAGACCTTCAATGTTTTCTATCCTTAAGAGCCTGTGTAATCTTTTATGATCTTGATGGTTTGATATAACCGTTCCAGCTGTATATGGTGAGGACCATGTTGGAGTCGTTGATTGCTGAAAAGAGTGGTGGAAAGAAGACACTGAGAAAGGATATTGATTACCAACATCTGTTAACCATTGACAACTTCCACAAAACCTCATTCTTCTGGAACTATCTCCTCAACTTCAATGGTCAGTTTACATACAATCTTCATCTTAGAAAATATAAGAAACAGAATTCAAAAGAGTTCATGTTTTCATATTCAAAAGAAAAAGTAGTTAATTTTGTGTTTTCAACTTCAATATTTTAACAATTTTATTTATAATAGTTGTTGTATATAAATGATTACTATTCCACCTTCTAAGAAACTTGCTGGATCAGTATATATGAACCTTATGGAACCTGTCGAGATATTCTGTTGTTATCCGTCTTTTTTATTTCTTAACATATGACTGATTTATATTCTTAAAAATTGTACAATGTAGGTCTTTCTGGTATAAGGATGTTTGAACTGTGTATAGAACATTAGCAGATCAAATTTATCATCATGACCTTAATTTTTTTCAGTCATAAGGATTAAAAAATGATACATCATTGAAACAGATTCTAAATTACCCATATGGCAAGCCCAATTTTAGATCATTAGATGTTTAATTCTAAGAAATGTACCTTATCTTTACTGAATGATAAGTATCTGATGGTCATGGTTGAATGTGTTCTAGTTTTGTGTCTAGTTGATTTACTCTAACTTTACAACTTATAGAATCTCTCCAACGATGCTGTGACCTGTCTCAGCTCTGGTACAGGGAATTCTTTTTGGAGATGACCATGGGCAAGCGCATACAGGTAAACATATTACAATAGAAATTGACAATGGCAAATGAATAGATGGTTAATTTAAAAGTAAGCATCAGCATTGCTGTCATGGAATTGACTTAATGTGATTATCTGTATCCGTCTGTTATCCTGAATATGCTGTATTTAAGATTATATGGAACAAATATTTACATGAATGATTATAATTTTATACATGTACAAAGAATTTCGAATTTGATTTGGGTTTTTTTTTCATTGTTTAGTTCCCTATAGAAATGTCGTTGCCATGGGTGCTAACAGACCACATACTGGAGACCAAAGAGCCTTCAATGATGGAGTAAGATTTCTGTTTTAGTCTGGTCAAATAAACATTCTAGACTGGTAAACGTAGGTCTGGAGTGGTGTATGTGGGTAAAGATTAACAAGATCAAGGTGTTAAACTTGCATATATCAGTATGGATTCAGAAAATTCTGTATCTCCTTTAATTTTTAGAAATTTATTTACCGTTGGGTTCTTTCTGAACCCTGGATGTGTACTTTTGCATTCTGTTGTCATCAGTATGTACATTCTGCACCCCTTGGATGTGTGCCTCAATGCTTTTCATCCTAGATACATTCTTTACTCCTTGGATGTGTAACAAGGTATTATATTGTTTTTCACCTTTAGGTACATTCTGTACCCCTTGGACTTATACAATGACAGTGCCCACTATGCACTCACCAAGTTCCACAAGCAGTTCCTGTATGATGAAGTGGAGGCTGAGGTAATTATTCTAAGTGAAAATTTTACAATTAAAATTTAATTAAAAGGAATTCCAAGGAAAATGTTTTCATTTATGTTACGATATACGTTTTAAGAAACATAATTACTGATTAAGGAAACAATTATTATAGATGGTAAAATTATTTCAGAGCTTTATCTCAAAGAGGAGTCTTTATTTGGCTATTATTTAAATTATTGTTAAGATATATATAGAAGATGTATTGAGAACTTTAAGTTAAAGAAAAACTTATTTCCCTTTACTCCCAGGTGAATCTCTGCTTTGATCAGTTTGTGTACAAGTTAAGCGACCAGATATTTGCCTACTATAAGCATCTGGCAGGAAGGTAAGGTGCTGGGTTTCATTTCCAATTTTTCTATTGCATTGTAATGTATTTAGTTATTTTCTTTGTTAACATGTCCAAAAGTCATTTAAACAAGGCAGTAGAACAGTAATTTAATAAATTAATATAAACATGCTATTAAAACAAATTTTATTTGCTGATTGCTATTTAACAATATGGTTTTTTTTCAGTATTATGCTTGACAAGAGGTTTCGTTCAGAGTGTGCAAGCATGGGTGTCAAAGTGAATTACCCAGTTGCTAACAGATACCAGACTTTGCTGCGACAGCGACATGTACAGGTATATAAAGAAATCATCCTTATCAGTATGGAATGAAATTTCATTTTTAATTGTTCACATCTTAGCGTTACCCAGGGTACAAAATAGCCCATGGATCCTTATTTGAAAACAATTGTGATCTGTACCGATAAACCAAACATACTAATTTGCATGTTTGAAGAGATGAACCTGAGTCCTAGGTTCATGGGATCCAACTAGGTATCTTTGAGTTGGCTATCAAAGTCAGATCCCTTTGACTAAATAAAGAATTATGGAAGTATTATTCCTTGAAAATTTAAAACTTATACATTATGTTGCAAGGATAGATCAGTTAAATGATTGGAACCATTAAAAAGTTTAGAAAATACCATTTTGAGAGATAAAGGGTATTGAGCCTTTAAGTTTTGTTAACTTTTTAATGTTAATAGTATATCATTGATTTATTCTCCTGACTAGTAAATATTGAAAAAACCCAGTCTGATGAAAGAAATGTAAAAGTCAGAAATTTCTTCAATAACCCTTACAGTGACAGTGACAAGCCATAAGGTCAATGAAATACCAAGTAATCATTTTTTTATATTCTGACCATGGAAACACTCTTTTACCAATTTTTTTTTTTTTTGTGTAGATCCTAGGAAGACTTATTGATCTGAACAAGCTGATCGGCCAGCGAGTGAATGCTGCTTTACAAAAGGCCCTAGATGTAGCCATCGCCAGGTTTGAGGGTGGTGACATCACTGGAATTGTGGTAAGTCTCTGTGTTTTATAACTTCTTTGATAGTACATCTGATTAATAAGAGTACATGAATACAAAATCAAATACTAAGCCAAATGTAGAATGATTTTTTGTCTCTAAATTTGTGAAATTTGAGATTATTTTTACCGGTTGAATTTTACCATTTTTTACCTAAACCTGAATTCGCTGAATTTACTCCTTTTTGTTCATGTATAGGAACTAGAGGGGCTGATTGAGTGTAACAGACTCACCCATAAACTATTAGCCAAGTACTTGACATTGAATGACTTTGACGCCATGTTGAGAGAAGCCAACCACAATGTGTCTGCACCCTATGGACGTACGACACTGCATGTGTTCTGGGAGGTCAACTATGACTTTCTGCCCAATTACTGTTACAATGCTGCTACCAACAGGTAAGGTTATAGTCATGACAAGGTCACTGTGATGTTACGGTCCAGCAATACTGTAAAGGTTCCTGCAGTACTGCAATAATCTGTTTATCTTTACTATCTATTAAGTCTTGATGGCTGCAGAATTAACTTGTAGCAACTGTCATATGCTGTAAAAGTTTTGAATTTTGAAGGTTTTTACATTTTTTTTTACCATTTTTGAGGATGGAATTAAATTGCAAGAAAAAAAAGAAAGTAAATAAATTTAATGATGGAAACAGTAGTCCATTTCATTTCTTCTGTTTTTGGTAACACCCCGAAAATTTGGACCATGAGAAACAAAACCTCTACAGCATATCATTATCTTTAACTTTACTTAGTCTAGAATATTTAAAAAAGCAGATTTCTTACTTTTACAAGACTAAATTCTGAAAGTGAAATGTAATAAAAAGATGCTTTTGTAGTGAAGAAAAACATATTAAAAATGGTGTTGTGTCACTTTGTGTAGGTTTGTAAAGACAAAGCTGCCATTTGGTCCTGAGAGTCAGAGAGAGAAACCTCCCAATGCTTCACCACACTACATCTGGGGCACAAAGGTACCTCTTATTTCACTGTCATCTGTACATATACCTATGTTTTTTCTTTCCAGTAAGTCCACAATCATAGTTATAACACACGATGATGAAATTTTGACCTTAACCCTGTATTTCTACACACCATTCAGTGTGGCAAAACTTTGAGTTGAAAGAAAATACTTTAAATTCTCAGATCTTTGAATATTAATAAAGCATTTTATCAAGTTTTGTCAGTGAAACCTTATAAGTATAATTTCAATTAAATTTTGCTAAGTTTTGTTAATATCAGTTCATCAGCAGACCTGAATGATCTCTTTGTCTGTTTTACAATTTTATGATTCATTCTAGTAAGGAATTCTGTATATCTTTGTGGCCATTGTAATATTACTGTTATGTAAAACATGAAAGTACAAAATGATATATAAATGTCTGTTGGTTTACATAGTATCAAGAAGACAGAGGTTTTCTGTGTTTATAATAAGCTAATGTTTTGTTTTAAAAAATTTAGATCTGTATAATAATAGGGTATGTTGTCTTTATCTGGGCTAAGGTATTACAACGGTATGTAATTTTGTGCTGTAAATCAACTTATAGATTTTCTGGGTATAGGATCTCACTAGAGATTTCTTGGTTATAATTTTGTGATGCAAAGTAGACTACTACACTACAAACATTGTGTGTGGTTCTATGCTATATTCTGCTATGCCTGTTTTGATATTCTGCTATGTGTTGTGAAGTTTGGTATTAAACCGTGTTTCTGTGTGATCTACAGGCCCTGACAACCTCATACAGTGCTATCTACAACCTATACCAAGGTTTTGTTGGAGCTCCACATTTCAGAGCCATCTGTCGCCTGATTGGCTATCAGGGTATCGCTGTGGTGATAGAGGAACTACTGAAGATAGTCAAGGCTTTGGTAAGTAGACCTGATACATCTATTTTAATTTTATAGGTATCCACTATCTGACAAGTTTAAACTCTTTATTAAATGATAATCGGCAGAGAGTAACTTTGTTACCAAAGTACCTGTACTCTCCTGTCTAATTAGGATTCATGCTTTTATCAGTCCTTTAGCTAACTATATCTAGAAGGTAAATTGTATGGTTATGATTAATGTATGGAATAGTCTTAGATCTGTTACATAACATGCACTTAGAAGACGTCCATGTAGAAATTGTAATAGGATTTGGACGTTACAGGGACTGCTTACTTCAGAATCCATTTGAACAGATTATAGCAACATTAAATAGAGAAAAATGAACAAATAATCAATTTAGAGGGACTGTGAAATGTAACTTTCTGTTATTGTTGCTGTTTACAGCTGAAAGGAACCCTGTTTGATTATGTGAAGACTTTGATGAGAGTCATGCCAAATGTTTGCCGATTACTGCGATACGACTATGGATCACCAGGCAAGTGCTATTTTGTTGCAGTTCATCAATGTTTGGATGTTTTATGGTAAAGGTCTGCTACTTTCATTTTTCACATTTATTTCTTAAAGCTTTTTGTAGTACCTGTAACTTCCTTAGTTTTGATGTCTCGTCTCTTTAATGATGAATGATAATCTCCAATTCTTCAATTAATTGACGCTGTGGGAAAAAAACCGAACATGTTACTCAATTGTTTCATCATAACAGAAGTGTGTTATGAAGGAAACTACATTATCACTGTAACCCTTGGCGATGTTGTCATGTTGCTAGGATACCAGAGAACCCTGTAAACCTGACTTTGATGTATATTTACAGGTGTGATGGGTTATTACCAGGCCCAGTTAAATGATCTGATTCAGTACCCAGATCTGAGGACAGAGGTGTTCCAGAGTTTCCGGGAGGTCGGAAATGCCATCCTGTTCTGTATGTTGGTAGAACAGTCTCTGGTGAGTGCTGCATTAGCATTAAATATATCTTAAATTGATGTCTACATCAAAAACATCCAAAACGAAATTATGTACAATATGGATATGTGTTTGCAGTTATTTCTCATTAATTGTCTTTTTTAGTGTGGTGTTTAAAACTAAAAAGAAGAGAATAATGGAAAAACAAAGAAACCAAACATAGATTTTTACAATAAGAAATGATTACACAAGGTATTTCTCCAAGTTTTTTTAAAAAGAAAAATAATATTAATTTTGATAATTAAAAGACAAATACAAAGAGATTCATGTATAAGAGATATGAGTTCATATTTCAGACACAAGAAGAGGTTTGTGACTTGAAACATGCTGCACCGTTCCAGAATATCATACCCAAACCATTTATTCCTATCAAAGGTAAGCCTATCTGCTGAGTGAGCAATATCACTGGATGGCAGTGTCATGCATTTTGCCCTGCTGAACAGAATAGTGTAAACCAGATTTCTATTATTATATTAATATATCATATATATTATATTGACTCCTAAGTTTGTAAATGGAAACATGAGATATTGACTCAGAAGCTATTGTTTTAGAGGGTGACAACAGGAAGGAGAAAGAACAGGAGCTGAAGATGATGATGAAGAGATTAGAAGCAAAATATGCTGCTCTTCAGGTGGTACCTGTCATCTCGAAACTGGGAAATAGTCAGGTAAGTGGTACTCGTCATCTCAAAACTGGGAAATAGTCAGGTAAGTGTTACTCGTCATCTCGAAACTGGGAAATAGTCAGGTAAGTGTTACTCGTCATCTCAAAACTGGGAAATAGTCAGGTAAGTGTTACTCGTCATCTCAAAACTGGGAAATAGTCCGGTAAGTGTTACTCGTCATCTCAAAACTGGGAAATAGTCCGGTAAGTGTTACTCGTCATCTCAAAACTGGGAAATATTCAGGTAAGTGTTCTTGTCATCTCAAAACTGGGAAATAGTCAGGTAAGTGTTACTCGTCATCTCAAAACTGGGAAATAGTCAGGTAAGTGGTACTCGTCATCTCAAAACTGGGAAAGAATCAGGTAAGTGTTCTTGTCATCTCGAAACTGGGAAATAGTCAGGTAAGTGGTACTCGTCATCTCAAAACTGGGAAATAGTCAGGTAAGTGGTACTCGTCATCTCAAAACTGGGAAATAGTCAGGCAAGTTGTACTCAAAGAGAATCTTAAAACTAGAAATTGTTAGGTAAGGGGTACTTGTTATCTCAAGCTGGAAAATAGTCAGGTAATTATCATCTAGTGGTACCTATTGTCTTGATGATGGAAAACAAACGGTTGATCTGATACATGTTTTGGAATAATCCAACAGTATCTTTTACTTTCTGGGATCTCTGTAGTGACAAAAGTAGTCCACTAGTATGTCAGATTACATTCACTCTGTTTTTAGTTTTGATTTTTTTTACCTTTAAAGTTTGAAAAATTTGAAATAATTATGATGAGTGTTACTTTATATGACAGCAAAGTGAGATTGCCGCAGAAGGAGATCTTTTGACCAGAGAGAGACTGTGCTGTGGACTGTCCATGTTTGAGATAGTGCTGACTAGAATCCGTACATTTGTGGAAGATCCACTCTGGGTTGGTCAGCCTCCAGCCAATGGTGTTATGAATATTGATGAATGTACAGAGTTCCACAGGTTGTGGAGTGCCATCCAGTTTGTCTTCTCCATCCCTGTCGGGGACAATGAATACACCATAGAGTGAGTAGTATGTCAATTTCTGATTTTTATCCTGCTTTTGTGAACTATATAGAACTAGATAGTGGAAATTCTATATTCTCCATATCTTGATAAAATAATGAAAACAAGGTAAAGTGTAATATGTAAATATAACTAGCGCATTGACTTAAGATTATATACTGATTTCCATTATGAATATAATGAATGTAACAAACAATCATTGTTTGGTTGATGATAATGCACATTTTAGTGGATACAGTGTCTACATAAAGTGATATTAAATTCAGAATTTCCACTACTGGGAAACAGGGGGAGGGGGAACTAGTTTGGCATAATGTCCATCCATATGTCTGTCCGCTATCTTTTCCTGGATCTGTTGCCTACATTACTTGTCACTGGAAAGTCATACTTTTACTGTTGTGAAGATCTTTATCTTTATCAGAAATAGGTCACTTAAATCTGTATTTTGACCTTTGACCTACACCAAAGCAAAAGTTTGTTTTGCATATAATTTTGTATTTGATGGGGGATTGTAATTTGCTGCATACTCTTGTTCAAATTTGACTGTAATCTCAGTAATGGGTACTGTTAGCATTTTGAAGGCATCAATGAAGACTAACAATTTATAAACAACGAGAATATTCTCCTCTAGCATACAAGTAGAAGTGTACTGTAGTCTTAAATCATGTGTGACTTTTCTATTATAGGCAGTTGTATGGTGAGGGTCTGAACTGGGCAGGATGTGCTCTTATCATCCTTCTTAACCAGCAGAGGAGGTTTGAAGCCCTCGACTTCAGCTACCACATCCTCAAGGTCAACAGGGTAGACATGAAAGATGAAAATGTCAAAGGAATTGTAAGTACCATATAACTCAGGGGACTTAAGGTTATGTCTAGGGAATTGTAAGTACATGTAACTCAGGAGACTTCAGGTTATGTCAAGGGAATTTAAGTACATGTAACTCAGGGGACTTCAGGTTATGTTTAGGGAATTGTAAATACATGTAACTCAGGAGACACAGGTAAATGCAGACTCAGAATTGAGGAATGTCAAACCTTGCTAAAAAAAATGTATGTAACATATTTTCAACATTTACTTTGATCTGTATCAAAATAGATTAGTTATTCTGTGAGTTCTCAGTTAAGTACTGAATAGATTCTTCATATCAAGTAGCTGACTGGCATACATGTACTTTAACTCCATTGTCTAAGGAAAAAGACAACCATCAATAAAGTCTTTGTTTTTGTTTCCTTAATACAAATTACCATATACATTTTAAATCTCTGAAATGATATCATATATATATAATATATACAGTAGACTGTCGTATAACATCAATATGTATTCCTCTCTTACAGCAATTAAAGAAGATGGTGGACAGAATCAGGAAATTCCAAATATTAAACAATCAAATATTTGCTGTGTTGAACAAATATCTAAAGACCAATGACTCCGACAGTATACCTGTAGAACATGTGAGGTGTTTCCAACCACCTATCCACCAATCCTTAGCCACTACAATATGAACAGCACCAGGACTGTTAACTTGTTGGGCATTTACAAGATACAGTCTGACCTGTACCAGGTTTTGTTGTGACATTACATATTGATGGATTCCAAGTCACATGTCACAGTTACTGACATATTAGGTTAAATATGTCTCACCTGTGTCAAAATCTGCTTTAAGATGATGGGAGGTCACATTAATTTTTTTTAAGACCTTGGAAAAATGGCTACAGTGAAAAGCTTAAGGACAGACAGGTAGTTATGTCTGTGTATTCCTGGGAGAGTTTATGTATCTCGCTGAGACTGTGTATCCTACAGAGACTGTGTATCGCCTGGAGAGTTTGAATGGCAGATTGTAACCAGCTTAGTCCAAATAATATATGTGATCAGTAGAAAAGTTAAAAGAGGCATTGTTGGCAGTAACAGTTCAGCCTCGTGTAACTCATCAGAGACACAAGATATTTATTTGATGGCTCGCTAATTATTTACGAAGATATCAACATATGAGATTAAATCAACGGACAAATAGTTTATCACAGCTTCATGCATTCGTCATACATGATGTAAAGATAACCTGCCCCTCATGGTTAGGGCAAATGGTGTTCCTCTGGCTGTCACTCTGTCATTATTTTGTGTTGATTTACTGATGCAGAACAGTAATTTGGTATGTATTTGTATATGAAAATATGCAGACCAAGTATGATCTGGTTATGGTTGATTTGAGTTATTGCTATCAAACTTTAAGAATTTTAATTAAATACTCATAAAAATGATAAAACCAAAATTGGAGTCTTGCCTTACTCCTTAAGGAATTAAAAAAAACTCTGTAAATGACAATATTTTGAAGGCCATAGCCACTGTAGTTGCGATGATTTACTTGGCAACCCATTCATGGTCAACCAATACCTAAATTTAGAGTACACCACTTAACAAAGGCATGACACTGAAAAGTTTCAAACTTCTCCATGGTTGCTTGTCAGGGCATTTTTGTGTTTCCGACACATTTACAATATTTTATATAATGTTGAAGAAGTGCAGCAGTCTTCCATATGTATTGAAATATTTTCTATTACACAACAGGTAGAGCTTTGTTTAAAATGTATTCTAAGGACCGGATGGTATTCTTTTCAGCATTGGACTTCAAAGATCATGAACAGTAATTTGAAATGTTTGTGAGTTTACAGTTCTGGGACAAAGTATAATTGACAAAATCACTTCACATTTATGTATTAAGAAATAGTTGCGTCTGTGTTTTAGAAAAAAAAAATTAAGTCACGAGATTAAAAAATCTAAAGGAAAATACATTGGTATATATTTCATTTTTGTGTGATGAAATCTTTAAAAGAGAAGCAAATTAGTATTGGTAACAGTTTCTAGATTAAAGTAATCAGATCTAGATGTATTAGAAAAACAAATGACGGACTTCTTTGTGGAGGAGGGAGGGGTATAATTAGACAATATTATTGTAAACAAGCTTTGATTCACATATTTCATATGTAAAGAGATACATGCATGTGTGTAATTTTGAGCCTTTGTGTGTTTACTGCCATAATTACACATTAACTACATAAGGATATGGTAGATATAATCTAGAACTCTGGTTGTCAATACATATATTTAAATATGTTTGTATTTGTAGTGTGTGTGTATATTTTTATCCAGTTTTGCTTCAGATACAAATAAAAAAGAGTGTTATTTAGAGATTTGGATGTAATTGACTTAATATCTTTTAGTATGTTGATATTTTAAAGGAATGTTTACATATATGAATACATTAATCAAATATGAAGGGAAATGAGCAAGTCTATCTTCATGTACATTACTTTCGTCAGATGAAAAATAACTTTCAACCGCAGTTTTGTTGTCTCATATTTTGAATTATTGCTACTGTAATTGACACTTTTCTCTGATCTGTTCAAATATCCGCTGATCTGTGCAAATATCTCCAAAATGATATTTCAGAAATCAATAAATACCTTAATTGATCATAATGTCATTATTTAAGTCTCTACTTTCCTCATATGAATATTTTTTTCTTTTATTTCTCATGTTTTACAAGAATCTCTGATTAAGCATGATCAATTTTTGATACTTCCAGTTACAATTTTTTCTGATAAATATAATAATATACTAGAGCTATGTGGAGTAGTAGTTAGGATCTGATCACACTGTTCTGATGAAAAGTTAGCTCAATACCTTAAAAAGAATCAATTTCTGTGATTATTTAACTTTTTCTCCTTTTTGGAATCTGTTGATATTCTATGAAGTAGATCTGTATCACACATCCTTCTGAAATCAACCTTGTAGTAGTTACATTCTCTTTATCTAATCTATGATAAGAAGATATTTGCTTTCTGGAGAGACTACAGGGTAAAACTGATTACAGTTTGGTTTAGACAATGTTTAGCGTTGTGATATAAAGACACCAGTAAAACCTTGTGCCTGTTCTGTTTGCACTTAAGTACAAACATTTTTTATCATAAATTTTTGTAATATTTACTAATTTAAAAGAACTTGAAACTTTTTGAAGAAATATTTTAGCTTTATCTTAGGATATTTTGAAACCTGTTAGAATCCATCATTTTCTGTTGATATGAAGACAAGTTTGTTGGTAGAGGTTCTGTGAATGCCCATTATGGTAGGTCTATTTACCAGTTATGTTAATATAACTATTACCTGTTCTTTCAGGTATGGCAATGGTAAAATTATAAATTGTACTTAAAATTCAGTAATGGCCATGACAAACTATAAAGGGGTTTCTTTTGTTGATACTGTGAATATGTCAACTAAAGAGAAGTATTTTTGTTGTAGAAAAAAAAGTCACTTAATTTGACAGTAATAAGGATACCATGGCTCTGGTATTTGAAGTCACAAACTGACAAATATGCAACTTTGGTGTAATATTTGATACTGTCAACAAAATACTTTCATGGTTGTTTGAGAGCAAAACCTTTTAGTGATGGTGTGAAAAACTCAAAATTACTTAAAATTTTCATTTAATTTCATTTAATTCCCATTTTAAAATAAAACTGATAAAACAAAGCAAGCAGAATAATCACATGTAAAGACTTGGGTGTGTTTTTAGAGTCACTGAAATCATGTGTGAGAAGACTAGCCTGATTTTGTTGTGTGATCCCGGTCATTTATATAATTCTTTATTGTAAGTAGAAAACCTTTTATACCATGCTTATGTCTTAACACTTCACCATGAAACTGTAGACATTAATGTTCTGTGCAATACAAGTTCTATAACGCCAGAGTAACATGATACAAACTTTGTATTTTATTATGTAGAAATGATAACCATATGTAAACAAAATTCAATAAATCATAAATACAATTTTTTGTTTCTTCTTTTGTCTCCGTCTTACCAAGAGATCCCATAATGACATGTCTCTGTTGATGGGATAGGGCATTGTTTTAATAAAATATTTGATATGTACCAATATCTGCAAAAAGTTTCATAAAAGCAATCATTGATCTCTCCATGAAGGATGAAAGTACAAACTGACACAATGAATAAATAATCTTTTTATTGTAAAAAAAACATTTGTCTATTTATGTACATACACAAGATCTCACGTGGTGATTGATAAATAGGATTCATCAATAGCTTATAGTTTTAAATTATTTACAAATATCAGTGTTCCAAATTCTGGCAACACAATGAAAAAATTTTGACTTCGAAGGCACAAACATGACAAATGTTAGTTAAAATCATAATGGCTTGGTTATCCTTATTCTGAAGGGAATATGACATTAACATAAGTATAAAATACTCTCTATTTTGAATTAACGGATAAGTAAAGACTTATGGGACTACATAAAGAATTCATCACAGTTTCACTTATCTCCTAGTAATCCATAATCTCAAACATATATCAAAGTGATCAAATTTCATTAAATACTTTTGGGTTTTTCATTAACAATGGTCAATTCATATAATGTAAAAGATTTAATGGAATGTCAAATTACCAAAATAGAAAAAAGAAAAAAAACTCCATCCAATAAAAGTTATTCAAAAGTAAACTGTATGAGGTGGGCATGTGAACCACTATTAGCTGGTGATATTCCCCTCTGCTTTCTAAAGACACATGCCAAATTAGGCACTTGCAGATGGGTGAGCGTGGAAATGCAGCAGAATTGGTTTTTGTGTGATTTGCTGGGTATATTGCTAAGTGAAAAAGCTGGGGTGACTTTGAAGTAGGGTCTCCTTATAGTAAGTGGTGGCTACTTCATTGAACAAGATACAAGAGGCCCATCACACCATCACATGTCATTTCCAAGCCATTGAGTAATGTCTTGCCAAGAATACAACCACAATAGCACAGGATGATCTGTGATATCAGCTTCCTAAAAAACACAAACCGTCTCAAGTAGGAATAAAATGTCAGATCTGAAGATCTTAACCAGAGGTTGAAATGTCTGATACAACCTAACATAAACCCAGCAAACAAACTAATTTACCTGGTCATTCACCATATGAAGATGATAGCATACAACCTTAAATAATTATTTTTTCACATTATCTCTCCATAATATCACTTCACATAAACAAATAAAATTGCCTCCATACAAAATTATCATCCTTTAATCAACATGAGATATACTTTAAAGTCTAAACAGCTTGATTGACATCTTTATAGATATTTGATTGCCTTATTATATCACATCGGGTTCATAACAATGTTTAACATACAGACATAAACTGGTTGAGGAATGTCATTTACAGCCCTATAAATCCCATTTCTCTCTTGTTTTATATGATTGCATTGCTATACACTTTCAAGCAATAAACTTGGCCGAGGTAACCCTTACAACTCCTTCTTTATGTATTATCTCACCTAGGTGTTTCAAATGCTGTATGAGTGCATTGATACCAAGAGTTTATGCACTCTAGAAACTCTATCTCCAACGTAACATATGTATTATACTGTAAATCAGAAAGGTGCACAGTATTTACTTCAAACATACAATTTCTGTAGCACTGTTACAGTACTACTATAGCATTTCTGTAGCACTGTTATAGTACTACCATAGCGTTTCTGTAGCACTGTCATAGTACTACCATACCGTTTCTGTAGCACTGTTGTAGTACTACCATAGTGTTTCTGTAGCACTGTCGTAGTACTACCATAGCGCTTCTGTAGCACTGTCACAGTACTACCATAGTATTTCTGTAGCACTGTCATAGTACTACCATACCGTTTCTGTAGCACTGTTGTAGTACTACCATAGTGTTTCTGTAGCACTGTCGTAGTACTACCATAGCATTTCTGTAGCACTGTCGTAGTACTACCATAGCATTTCTATATCACTCCTATAGTACTACCATAGCGTTTCTGTAGCACTGTTATAGTACTACCATAGCGTTTCTATATCACTCTTATAGTACTACCATAGCGTTTCTATATCACTCTTATAGTACTACCATAGCGTTTCTGTAGCACTGTCGTATTGCTACCATAGTGTTTCTGTAGCACTGTCATAGTACAGTACCAAAAATAATTACAGTGTGGAGTTTTGAGTAAATAGGTCAAATATTTTTAGTTGTACAATTTTCAATTCACACAAACATATACAGAGAGACAAACGTAGAAAAATGTTCATTACCCGAGCCTGTACGGCACATAGGAACACATGTGGTGATAGCTCTGAACAATGAACACAGTATCCATCAGTTATGTAGAACAACACTATATGTTTGTATGGTGGGATAGGACAGGAAACACCTGCCTCACTCATCTGCTCCAATGGTAACAACACTTTAACATCTGCCATTCTGAACAAGTAAGTCTGGGGAGACTATAGAATATCCACACTTTTGAATTTTGGCCAGATAAGCAGTAATTTGTTCCTACTCTGTACCATCATCTAACTTGTTCTGAAACCACTTTTTTCAAAAAATGCAGAATTATTCCATATTGTGTCTTAGTCCAAATTTGTCGATGAAGTTGAGATTAAAGAAATGACTAGATCCTTGATTCAATTTTCACTCAATATCTCTTGAACTCGCTATCCTTGTACATCGGTACATCGTATCTAGTTGAAAATTTCTTCAGCATAGAACTCTTCAATAAATCTGTTTTCTGATAAAGCCAGTCCAAGCATGCGGTCCCTATTCACCTGCAAGAATCATGAATCATTCATATGTTAAACAAAGTTGAAGGCATATTAAAAGAAAAGAGGAGTGGCGTGGGGGGAGAGGGGGTGATGAATGTTTGTTAAAGGGTTTGCATGATTGCAGTGTCAGGAATTTTCAAAATAAAAACAACATGCATTGTACAAATGGCATTGGCCATGTTATATAAACAATGTAAATCCAAATAGTCTGTTGTATTTTTTGGTTAATCAAATCAAAGAAGCAGTGATGTCATTAACATTATTCTATCTATAGCACCTTACTATCAGGAATTCACAAATTTAGCAGAATTTAAAAGACCCAATGCTGTTTTATTCCAATTTTAATCCAAACCTCTTTAGATAATTATGAAAATAAAGTTTTTTCTGAAGGTTGAGATATCAAGGAATTTTAGCCAGCCAAGAGAATATGGCATAGAATTGTTGGGTATTAACAAACAACTACGAGGTCAGAAATTGATTACACTGTATTCATAAGGAAGAAACTTCAATGTGTATTTAACTTACTTGTATATATTTGTAGCCTTCCTTTTTCAGATGTCTCTTCTTTTCTTGGTACATGACATCAGGTTTATTACCCCAAATGCTGTCAGGAATCACATCTACAGCGACCCTGAATAATATAAGAACTGGTTTTAAAGTTTGATATCCCAGATAACAACTACTCAAGAAGACTGGTACCACGTACCTGGCAAAATATCATCATTTAGAAAGTAGAATTACTAATACATATCCAAAGATGGGATCAGATCCCCGGACTAACACTGATAACATGACTGTATTCATCTTATCACATCTAGTCCTCTGCTCCTCTCAGCCGTTAATCATATCCCTTCGCTGGCATGTAAAACAAAGGGAAGTAACTCTACATCAGAGTGATTATACACAGAACTGACAAAAAGTGGTTAAGAACATATACTGTAAAAAGACTAAGATCCTGACTAATTGAGTGAATGGTCTGGGGGACCCGGGGCATCTCGGATTCGGGCATACCTAAAAACTAACTCTATATGATCCAGACCATCTCAAAATCATTTCAGGCAAGTTCAAGCCATGTCCCAAATTTTTAATTTTCAGTAAAATAACAATGCTTTGTCCTTAACCTCCCCACTAACTTTCATCTCAATGGTACCAATGGAATTTAAGACGGTTAAAATGTTTTTGTCAAGATTGTGGCCATAACTGATATCCAAACCAAACGAAATATAACAACACTTGGTTGATGACTATGTTAGGATCATTGCAAGCAAGTTTCAGTTGAATCCTGCAGATGGAACTTGAGAAGATCTAAATAGGTGTTGTTCATGGAAACAATGATTGTGCAGTCACGTTACGAAATGGCTGCCACATAGAACTTTTCACAAAACTGAATAACAACCCATTTGGTCAGTTTCCATTCCTGAACATCTCAACCAACTTCCAACTCAATGGCACATGTGGAACCTCAGAAATTAAAAATGTTTTTCAAGGATGGCAACAATATTGCATAACCATATCTAGATTATTTCTGGTAAGTTTAGCTGAATCCCAATGGTGGAACTCTAGAAAAATTAAAAATGTAAAATGTTTATGCATGGCACAGGTCACTGGTCAGATGACATCATATTGCAAAAACAAATAGTTTTGATTATCTATTTATATAGATATTTCTCCTAACAAAACAAATGAATGTATATATAATACAACTTTTGGAGAATTTCTGACCTTTTTATACTAGCTGGTAGAGGTTGGCTCAGATCTAATGTGTCTGGTTGAACTGGAGTGCCATCTGCATCTATAAAACACTGAAAATCTGAAATGAAAAGAATTTATTATATCAGTAAAAGTATTAACTCTTATATCTAGTAAGGACTGTCTTTGTATGTATTCTATCTCTGCTAATTACAGCAAGGACAGTCATGGTGTGTATTCTAACTCTGTTAATTAGAACAAGGACAGTCATGGTGTGTATTCTATCTCTGTTATTTAGAACAAGGACAGTCATGGTGTGTATTTTACCTCTGTTAATTAGAACAAGGACAGTCATGGTGTGTATTCTATCTCTGTTAATTAGAACAAGGACAGTCATGGTGTGTATTCCATCTCTGTTAACTAGAACAAGGACAGTCATGGTGTGTATTCTACCTCTGCTAATTACAGCAAGGACAGTCATGGTGTGTATTCTAACTCTGCTAATTAGAACAAGGACAGTCATGGTGTGTATTCTACCTCTGTTAATTAGAACAAGGACAGTCTTCATATGGAATAAATGGCTTTCTGTGGGATTTTACAACTGACATTTGGTCTCTTGGAGTGAATTAAACTGCTACATATATTCTCCACCAAGGTATATAATTATCCTTCCTTTCTTACCTACGACATGCTTGAATCGAGTTGTTGAATTCTCACTCAGGAATTCTTTTCCACCAAGAATACTGCACAGCGCTTCCTGAGTTCTTTTACAATACCTCCACAGATCTAAGATAAAAACAAACAGAAATGTTAAACAAGAGTTGGCTCCTGAGGATCGGCTTTCTGAATTAGGAAATGATTACCCATCTGTAATAATGATTCAGATTTGGTTGAAATCTACCCAAGCATTAAGAAGGAAGGAGTAATGTTTTGAAGCAAAATATGAAAATGTATTGTCTAACTTCCACTTTTGGGGCCCAGTCCCTGAGGGTCAGCCAGGATCAATATGTGCCTACTATCAAACTGCCATCTTATATTAAGTTTAAAATCATTTTAATGTAAATAAATCAAATTACATGGTATGCTAACAAATTTATTTTTTCTATATAAATAATACTAGTAGTAATAGTAAACTTTACCTCTGCCCAGGGTGAAATGTAGGACCCTGGGGTCATAAAATTGAACACCTTAGGACCCTTCCTTAATAAATAATAGTAAACTTTACCCCCTTTCCAAGGGAAATGTGAGACCCTGGAGTCGTAAAATTCACAATTATGGCAAAGCACCTTAAGACACCTCTATTCAGGAAGAGCATTTGATTCTACCATATCTGATGTTGAGAAGATTTTTGAAATTTGAGCCAATTTCAACCCTTTTGGCCCCGCCCCTCAGACCTCTGGGAAATGGGGATAAAATAATTTACACTTCTGGTTCATCTTTGGCCATTAAGTTTTCTGCCAAAATTAATTGAAATCAGTTTAGAAGTTTACTAGAAGAAGTAAAAAAGGTTTATTAAAGTTAACAACAAATGACACACAGCACACAGTACCACACATTGCACACAAGCAACATATCACCATGAGATTTTGTCCCATGTTGCCCCCCCCCCAAAACAGGCCATTGTGAGCATCATTCGAATTGCCTTGTTTCGCCATGTGTATTAATCTATGGATAAAGATTATGCAATCTTTTTATATGCGATGAAAAACTTCTCAGGTCAGTTGGCTCAGACAATGTATACTTTTCTATAGCCCACTAGGTCTATAAGTTGAAGCAAACTAGACACATTAGTGAAAACATCAATATTTGTCAATTTGATGCGAAGACAGACTTGGTTATGCTCATTGGGGCAAATGATATATACATGAAGTGCTTTGTTTGGACTGGATGACCTGCATATATTTTTGTTCTCTTTTAATATATGGTGATTTAAAAACATTTTCTTGAAAACATATGTTAAAATTTGAGTTAGTAAACATTTGGTCAAGGTTAGTAAAAAAATCTCAACCAGCTCTTGGACAAGTTGGGCAATCTAAAATTGTACACCATATTGTCTGTTGGCATTATCTTGATATGAGCACACTGATTTTCAGACAAGGAGCATTTTTTTTGACAAAGATATGTAGTAATATCAAAGTTAGCATTGTCAGAATATATTTAAAACAGTGTTGTCAGAATAGATCTAAAACAGTGTTGTCAGTACAGATCTCAAATAGTGTTGTCAGCACAGATCTAAAACAGTGTTGTCAGCACAGATCTAAAACAGTGTTGTCAGAATAGATCTAAAACAGTGCTGTCAGATCAGATCTCAAATAGTGTTGTCAGCACAGATCTAAAACAGTGTTGTCAGCACAGATCTAAAACAGTGTTGTCAGAACAGATCTAAAACAGTGTTGTCAGCACAGATCTAAAACAGTATTGTCAGAATAGATCTAAAACAGTGTTGTCAGCACAGATCTAAAACAGTATTGTCAGAATAGATCTAAAACAGTGTTGTCAGATCAGATCTAAAACAGTGTTGTCAGAACAGATCTAAAACAGTGTTGTCAGATCAGATCTCAAATAGTGTTGTCAGAACAGATCTAAAACAGTGTTGTCAGAATAGATCTAAAACAGTGTTGTCAGAACAGATCTAAAACAGTGTTGTCAGAACAGATCTAAAACAGTGTTGTCAGAACAGATCTAAAACAGTATTGTCAGAATAGATCTAAAACAGTGTTGTCAGATCAGATCTCAAATAGTGTTGTCAGAACAGATCTAAAACAGTGTTGTCAGAATAGATCTAAAACAGTGTTGTCAGAACAGATCTAAAACAGTATTGTCAGAATAGATCTAAAACAGTGTTGTCAGATCAGATCTCAAATAGTGTTGTCAGAACAGATCTAAAACAGTGTTGTCAGAATAGATCTAAAACAGTGTTGTCAGAACAGATCTAAAACAGTGTTGTCAGAACAGATCTAAAACAGTGTTGTCAGAACAGATCTAAAACAGTGTTGTCAAAACAGTGCTGTCAGAACAGATCTAAAACAGTGTTGTCAAAACAGTGCTGTCAGAACAGATCTAAAACAGTGTTGTCAAAACAGATCTAAAACAGTGTTGTCAGAACAGATCTAAAACAGTGTTGTCAAAATAGATCTAAAACAGTGTTGTCAGAACAGATCTAAAACAGTGTTGTCAGCACAGATCTAAAACTGTTGTCAGAACAGATCTGAAACAGTGTTGTCAAAACAGTGCTGTCAGAACAGATCTAAAACAGTGTTGTCAAAACAGATCTAAAACAGTGTTGTCAAAATAGATCTAAAACAGTGCTGTCAGAACAGATCTAAAACAGTGTTGTCAGCACAGATCTAAAACTGTTGTCAGAACAGATCTGAAACAGTGTTGTCAAAACAGACCTAAAACAGTGTTGTCAGAACAGATCTAAAACAGTGTTGTCAAAATAGATCTAAAACAGTGTTGTCAAAATAGATCTAAAACAGTGTTGTTAAAACAGATCTAAAACAGTGCTGTCAGAACAGATCTAAAACATACATACGTTTCTCTTTATGGATCTTGTGTGGAACATCAACATGCCCACAGAACCAAGGAATGTCCAAAGCTGGACAGTCAAGGACAACAGCACGATTCAATCGAAGCAAATGGTATTCAATATGTGCAGTGGAAACAACTGAAAAACAAAAGAAATTCAGAAATTCTTGTTGAGATATTCCATAATAAAATATACAGCCAGTGCACTGTGCGATTGCAAGTGATATGTACATGTATCACTCTATGGATATGTATATTCATATTCTTTTGAACTGTTACCGCAATACCAATTTGGGGTTGTTCAGTGGTGCAGTGGTATTGCTCTTATCTTTTATCTAGATGTCTGAGGTTTGATTCCCAGAACAGACTTGAAAAGTCTAAGATATAAGGTCACGTTCCCATTCATCTAGGTTTCCTCAGACTCTATACCCTTTATGCCAACTTTCCGTCTGAGCAAACTAGCGTGATTAATGTAAATTATAATAACTTCTTATGTAATTACTATAAAATGCAAAACATTTAACACAATTTTTTTCAACTCCATTAATACGTTAGTATACCAAAGTTACCTCTGCATAGATTATGTCATTACATTGAAATGTGTTGTTTTTTTTTCTAATGTCATCATATTTTGAAAAACCTGTATGCAATGAGTGAAATATATGCCATTTTCACCAAAATAGCAAATAACACACACTAATAATCATTATTTAAGCATCTCCAATACATGCATTACTATTACATAATTTACATACAGCAGAATGTGTTATTTATAATAAGTAACATGCAGTATCAAAGCCTATAAATAGACTGTGAAAGATGGGAATTTTGCCTGGAGTTTCTCCACACTAGCTGTCAATCAAACTTAATTCACTGAATAAATGTATTGCAAATTATGTTTACTACAATAAAAAAACGGGGTTATAACAAATCTCTAAGGACCATAAATCATCACTGATATCCACGATTCGAAAGGCATGTAAAAATTTGTAACAAGCATAATATGACAAAGTCAATTAACATTTCATAAATATCTGTTTTATTAGTGACAGGAAAGCTGTATTTAGTAGCGACGAATGAGGCGAGCAGATACTGAACACTTATTTGATGAAGTCGCTGATTTTTGTCAGTGAAACTGATGCTTCAGCAGAGTCTTTGTTCATTATCATTGATAGAAAATATCATCTGACCTGGTACAAACAGGCACAACATCTCTATTTACATTAATATTAGTCTTCTTTACTTCTGGGAGCTTTGCTCTGAGCCAATCTTATATCATAAAATGATTTTAAAAAAGATTTGCTGATACAAGATATCAATACAGGACATCAAAAATATCATCTGACATTTTGTTTCATTTCTCCTTTGAGTCCTAAAATTAAAATGACCAGAAGTTTATGCAATAAACTAGAATTGAACAGGTATAAATTTGAGAGATACATTACACTTCAGCATACCTAAAAATTACTTTGAGTAAATAAATAGAAACCTGCTATATCCAAATTCATTATAAACACCGAATTTCACCAGGAGCTTTTCAGACCAGTCTAAAAATCAAAAGGGTACAACTGGGAAACAAAGGAAATCTGCTAGAGGAATGACAAAAAGTGAACATACGTACATGTGTATGAACGGAATGCTACATTGTGTAAATTCCCACTGTGGTCGCCGTGAGGGGTTAATAATAAAATATTTTAGAACAAAAACTGGCAAACCTGATATGTTAGGCTTTATCCTAGCAATCTATCAGTAGAATACCATACTTCTGCACATCTTGGTAAATCCGAAGTTGTTTAACGGTTGTAATAGATTTTGACCCGTGACCTTGAACATAAGTCAAGGTCATTTCTTTTCACTGACTTTGTCAGGCTTCGTCCTGGGAACACAACCAAATATCATGCCTCTAGGCCTCTTATTTCATGAGAGTCATTTTAAGGGTATAATAAATTTGACACCGGTGACCTTGAACATAGGTCAAAGTCATTTCTTTTGCCATCTTTGTAGGAACATACCAATCAAATATCAAAACATTTGGTCAAATGGTTATTGAGAAGAAGCTGTTTAAAGAAAAACTAGGCTAGGTGAGCTAAAAATTGAATCCTTCAAGAAAAGCATGATTCCTGAACTCAATTTCTGTATATTTCCGATATATATTTATTTGTGTAGTTTTTATTATTATTATTATTTTTCACACTGTAGTTTGTTTCTTTTCCTATGTATTCACATTGTCCAGGTAGTAAAACCAGTTTCATAATGTACTTCACAGGTCAGGCTGTTTCATAACAGTACAAATATAAAGTAACCTTAGAACTTAAGCCAGAGATCCTGGGTTTGGATCTTGGTCACTGATCACCAGTTCTAACTGAGGTTACCCAGTGTACACATTATATGTCAATATCAATTTTAATTTGCCCACGATAATTAACTACTCTTCATAATTCCAGATACAAACTATTAAAAAGTAGTGAAAATCTATGAACTTACCTCGGCTAGAATTCTTTGTGATGCTTTCATCCACAACATCTAGAAAATTTTTGGACAGGATGGCTGTTAAAGTCTTTTTGGGATATACACCTGCTAAACACAAGTTGTCCACACACAGTAATAAGTAGTCTATCCTCATGAAATCCATATTTTCTTCAAATATCACATCGGCAAACTTTTCTAATTCTTTCCGTCTTGATTTACTCATCTCACCGCAAGCTATTAGATTTGACAGTGCAATAAAACAGTCCAATTCACATGTTTGTTCTTCCTTCAAGATGTTTTTGACCAGCTGGTCCACAGCAGGTGTCGTAAGATGGAAAAAGTCCTTTGATCGGTTATAGAAGTGATGACCTATTTCTTTACCAAGCCAAACAGCACTTGATCTTTGATGTGGAAGTAGAATCACTTCTGAAAGTCTGTCTACCAAGTTGCTTAGAGTATTCCTCACACTTAAAGACCTGCGGCAGCATTCCCTGAAATCAAAGCCTAACAAAAAGCAAGCTACCAACTCGTCCAAGTCTTTTATGTCAGCCATTTTTGTATTGATCAGTTGCAGAATCACTTCATAAAAGGCAATCTGTTGATTATTGTAAACGTTCATAACATAAATGAGACTTAAACAAACAGTAAACAGTCTCTTCAATTCTTTTTCGCCTCTACAGAGAGATAACATCCTGTCCATCAAATCCTTTTTCATGACCGGATCATCTACTTTTTCATGAATATATCCTAAAACAACAGGTAATAACCTTCTGTTACGTCCAAACCCTCTCTTGTTAAGTAGATTTATCTGTATATATTTCCTGAATGCCTCTTGAGGCAGGCTGTACAGCTTCCATCTCATCAATAAAATTTCAAATTTGAAAACACTTTTAAACATTTCAGCATCAGAGTGTGTTTTCATTAGTGCCATCAGTCCATCAAAATGTTTGTTTTCAAATCTATGTTTTGTCATCATTTCAACCAACATTTTCAGAAAGTCAAAAGAATAAGCTTGTTGCAGATGTGGAAATTTCTGCTCCATATGATTAGTAAGGATAGCTAAGGAATCAGGTGAGAGACAAAAATTCTCCATTCTGTAAAACGCCATTATACTTAGCATTTCTGTAATACTCAAATTTTGTGTGTTGTGTAATATTTTCTCACAATGATCTGAAAGTGTTTTTTGCAATTTTTCAGAAAAGATATATCTTGGTAGCTTTGTGCATACAGCAGCTAGTTTAACAAAAGTTCTCATGTCCATATCAGCTATCTGTAGTAATAGACTTTTTTCTATTCTGTCAAAAATATCTTTTTCAATGACATGCGGAATGTTATCTTTTGAAGAATAAGATAAATGGTTTAAAATAGTCACAATAGTATCTGGACATTGCATTATACTTTCATCTGTGACAAGAGCATGCCAAACCTGGGAGAAATCAGTAGGGAATCGAAAGCGGTCTCCGATCATATGCATGGTCTCAACGTTATAGGATATGGCTTGGACAAACTGTTGCTTATTCTGTACATTCAGGTAACCCACTGAACTGAGGTGCTTCAAATGTGGAAGTAAAAATTTATATCTTAACACTTCTGGATTCAAACATTTTACTAAAACCATCTGAAACTTCCTGATATCTTCATAGCCAAGTTCCCCTGCTGGCTCAGCTAAAACAAAGAAGAGCTTGTGCATCACTGGGTGGTTGGCATGTACTTCGTAAATTCCAAGATAACTAAGACACAGGTAAACATGAGCTTTCTCACTTGCAGTCATAGTTTGTAAATTTTCATTGATCAGCGACAACAGTGGTTCAATCTCTGGACAGGTGAAGAAGTCTTTCAATAAAAACTGTTCTGCAAACATCTGCTTACCACTTGTTTCTCCAATTAATCCAATTTTCCCTAAAGATTTTCCACTTTTAAAGTTATCGTTCAGAACTAAAAAGGGATAATTACCATTGGGGTAAACAGCAGAAATAACATCATCAACAGTTTTCACTATTTCCCTGCTGTTCACTTTCATTCCTCGAGATTTAGCCACCTTCAGAAAATCTTTCAATACTTCTTGTCCTTTTTGACAATTCACTACAACACCACCATGGCTTCTAATACCTGATTCTTTGATGAGCAAGTCTGATCTAGTATGCGAAGAAAAACATTGATGTCGACAAAATGGCCATATTTTTTTGTAACCAATTCCACTTCTGACAGCAATATGTTGGGACTGAATTCTAAAAAGTGGTGCCTTGACATTAGCACTGCAGATTGAATGAGAAATGTAAGGCTTTCTCTTGAGGCCCGATGAAAAACTTCTCCAACATATATCTGTGACTCGAGAACACAGAAGTCTGGAAAGTGGATCTGCCATCTTCAGAAACATCTATAATGCAGAAAGCATATTTACAGTCAGAGAAGAACTACACAAACTAACAGCCATTGGAAATTTAATTGTTTGGAATTCAGCAGTTTGACAAGAAGTAAGTTGATGCTATGTCACCAGTCCACTGTAGTTTGACAAGAAATAGGATGATGCTATGTCACCAGTCCACTGTAGTTTGCCAAGAAATAAGTTGATGCTATGTCACCAGTCCACTGTAGTTTGACAAGAAATAAGTTGATGCTATGTCACCAGTCCACTGTAGTTTGCCAAGAAATAAGTTGATGCTCTGTTGCCAGTCCACTGTAGTTTGACAAGAAATAAGATAATGCTATGTCAACAGTCCACTGTAGTCAGACTGTCATTGTCTTAACTAAAATATAAGCATTGAATCTTGCTTTGGTTGATTTCATAGGATGACGAATTGAGTTTTGTCTTGAGACAAAGTTAAGAACTGCTTCTAAGTTTATTAAATTTGTCTCAAGATCAAATCCATTCGTCACCCTACTCACTGCATTAAGTCAACCAAATGCTTAATTGAATCATTTTATTGATTGTATCAATGCATACATGTAAATATACATGTATAAGAACTTGACTATTTGAGTAGGAATCAATTTACTATTTATAGTAACAGTAACCTTGAGGTTTGACCTAGATAATAAATTCCTAGTCTTACAAGCACTCCCAATAAGAAAGCAGCGACACATTTAGTTTGAGATTGATTGGTCCACTTCAACATATGTTATTGTGCGAAAATGGTGATCTTTGGGCTGAAAAGCAATTCCAAGCATGCACTCCCAATCTGGAAGCAGTTTGCTTAGTTTAATTTGAACTTAAGTTGTTGTATGAAAATTATAATGCAGACAGACAGAGAAATGGAAAGAACAGATTATGGAATGATGGCCGCTAATAGACATCAGAATTACAATGGCAATATCCCAGTAATTTTTGTAGAATATTTTTCTTGTGAATCCATAGCACCAATTCCAAAATTTTGATGAGTCCAGTTACAAAAACATGTAGTGGGTTCTGAAAATTTTAGTTCGTCCCACAGGAAAAGCACGAGTCCAGGAATCAAATATTTGAGTCCCAAAAATCGTTGTATCCCCTTTCAAATTTTGATCTGAGGAATAAAAACAATGAGATCACTAGGTACTTTGACCGATACACATTGACCTCAAAATTGGTCACGATATTGGAATTGTCCCAAAAAGACAATACCATTAAGAAAATGATTTTCTTGGACCCAGGTATTTGAGTTCTGGTCTCGTGATTTTCCTATGGCAGTCAACAAAAATTTTGAGGATCCGCTTTATGTCTTCGTAATGGGACATTTTGAACATTTTAAAATTTTAGTCGAAGTGAATAAGTGGCCCAAGACAGTGTCGTTGATAAGTTAACCACGAGCATGAGGTCCAGACATACTTACTGTTAGCTTCTGCCAAAAACTTATATCGCATAAATTTTAAAGTGTTTTGACAGAGTTTTCTCTAGACATCACCCATAGTCTCTTGGAAAACTAGTAAAGTGCTTTGGAGCAGCCATGTGTCCATAACCGGAAGGACCTATCTGTATTGCGGCGCGTTCGAATACAACAACATGACGTGCAGATGCCTACTCTGAAAACGTTATGAGCATCCAAGCTCACAAATTGGAAAAGTGAGCATTTCATGAATGTATACTAAAATGTGTTTGAGGACATGATAATGTGTGTTTTAAAATAAGATATGAAAAAAATTCATAACGTCCAGATACTTAACAGATCCTTTCAAAAGCGTAAAAATGACAACACGCGTAGCTATAAATTAAGCACCTAACTTGCCATGTTTAAAAAAAATCACAATCATGCCCACAAGCAGATGTGATTTATACTAATGAAGTAAATCAAATGTTTATGTACACAAATACTTCAATCAAAAGAACAGTGCGCTGAACAAAAAGCTTCAAACTTTCTGTACAGAAGACGCATTCAATTCAACATTAAAAAAAGCCTCGCTGTGGCATGATTACCCACAACCGTTAGATTAAGCAAATATATAGGGGTGGGTGTTCCCGATTTCTGCCGGAAAAAAATAAACAAAATAAATAATTTTACCATATTTTTTTGTATAAAATAAAAAAAAAATGTATTACAGTATAAAACGAGGCTTTCAGTATGCTTGAAATCTTATTTGTTCCCTTCAAATATCGAACACATTAGTATTTTAGTATTATTATTTTTTTTGTATTTGTGTACATAGGGGGAAAGTCCATATTATCAAACCCTGTAACCCACGTCCTACATATACACGCCGAAAACAGTATACAAATGTGGTATGCTATCGGTGAAACGAATTGTGTTCTTTCTGTTTTTCTTTAAGCTAACCTGTATTACAGTAAAAAAATGACGCTTTCAGTATGTGTTTTCATTTTCCATGCATTATGTATAATCTTTTCAAAAGATCAGCCTGGGTTTAATTTTTTGTTACTGGCTGGTCATATATTAAATGAAATATAAACAAGTTCATTGTATCATTTTACTGCGTGTCAATAATATTGTTTTTTAAAAGTTTAATAGAAAAAGAGAGAGAGAGAGAGAGAGGAGAGAGAGAGAGAGAGTTGAGAGAGAGAGAGAGAGAGAGAGAGAGAGAGAGAGAGAGAGAGAGAGAGAGAGAGAGAGAGAGAGAGAGAGAGAGAGAGAGAGAGAGAGAGAGAGAGAGAGAGAGAGAGAGAGAGAGAGAGAGAGAGAGAGAGAGAGAGAGAGAGAGAGAGAGAGAGAGAGAGAGAGAGAGAGAGAGAGAGAGAGAGAGAGAGAGAGAGAGAGAGAGAGAGAGAGAGAGAGAGAGAGAGAGAGAGAGAGAGAGAGAGAGAGAGAGAGGTGGGGGGAGAAGAGTCGGTTACATTAATTCAAACCGCTTATTTCGACTTATGTAATTTTGAACTGATTTTGCTTCTAAGATATGACCAATTCTTTACTTCGGATAACCGTATATAAGTAAACCAAACGTGAAATTCTCACTGAATGGTTGTAACGGACGGTTTCGGTTCTGTGTGTATTAGACACAGAATAAAAAATTGTCATCAAAATCTTCACATGGGTTACCACATCTATATTCAGCTGTCTCACTGAAATTTACTCTAAAGAGGTCGTAAGCAAGAAATCTGGCACGGTTTCTAAATCGGAAATTCTGTATATTATTTTATCTAAACCCCATATCTGTAAGCGTGCCTGTGAACATTACTATTGCGTCACTATTCCGGATGCTGCATTTGTCGAAGCAAGAGAGATGATGACACAAATTGACGGTAAATTTAATGACATATGATGAAAATATAGAAACGGAACAGCTGTTACACCTGACTTGCTGAATATTTCTTATGCTCCCTCAATGACCATGAAACGCCGCATAATTAAGTTGACGAAAATTGTGTGATTTACGTTCAATCAGGAAAAATCATCGGTTTTGTTGAAACTAATTTCTTTTTTTTACTCAACTCAGTTAAAATGGGTATTATGAACTAAGAGTAACATTCATGATGCTCGTGAATGCATAGTTAACCCTTTTTGGTGTTTTAAACATGCATGGCATTGAAGTGAAATGCATTTTCATTTTCTATGCATTATGTATAATCTTTATAAAAGATCAGCCTGGGTTTAATTTTTTGTTACTGGCTGGTCATATATTAAATGAAATATAAACAAGTTCATTTTATCATTTTACTGCGTGTCATTAATATTGTTTTTTAAAAGTTTAATAGAAAAAGAAAATTGCTGGCTGATTAAAAACTAACGTTTCTAGTCCTTTTAATTACTTTTTCATAATATGTTGTTTCTGATCAAGCTTAGACCGGATTTATCGGGTAAAATCTAATTTGCATATTTAAATAACGCATTTAAATATGGTGTAAAATTTGGACATAGTGACGTTTAAAAGTGCCCTTTTGAGACAAAGACACCACATTACTTTGCTGTCTGATTTCGTTGGTATTCTAAAAGTAGTGTGTTTTGAAATGAATCATTTGAAACACCGCGTCTAATTTATTTCCTGTTGTAAATATATAGAATACAACAGCAGGATTTCAACACGTCTTCAAAACAAAGCCAATTGTGATTTTCCTGGCAAGCCTAGGTTGTTGCATGAACAAAGTTCCCGAAAATAGTATTCCCCCCTATATTCCTAATTGATTTTAAGAATTTAGACGTGATAAGTCGTTACGGTCTGTCGACTTCCGATACACTCTTGATGTTTCTTGTTTAAGCATGCTAATTGTCTTTTTAGCCTGTAGTATTTATCAATTTATTTCCATTATTTTCTGTGCATGTTGTTAATCTATAAGCGTGGTTCCAACAAGCTCTTTTAATCCATTTATTGAATTTTTGATTAGCGTTTATTGCATACTGTCCGTATGTTGTATGAGCTGCAAGGTGACGAAGGATCGGGCAAAGGTCTAGAAAGAAAATCAACAGAGAAGGAAGAAGTGCACGTGAGGATAAAGCAGGTGGAAGGAAGGAGCCTGGAATTTCCTAGAAGCTGCACACGGAAAGGGGACGGTCGACCGAGTGGGTGCAGAGGTAAAGAGGCTTTCCGACATACCTGTGTTGGTAGCGGGCAAAGACATCATAAGTGCATCAGATATTAAAGAACTTGCGCCGGAAACCAAGCTTCTTTATTTTTTTCTAAATATAGATTTATAACAATATAAGCAGAAAATCCACAAGCATAGACTTTTTCAGACAAATCATGATTGAGTATACCAACCGGCGACCTGCGATATGCCTGAGGCGCCATGGACTGTATAGTGTTCCTGCATGCTAGGATCTCCTCCATTCCTTTGATGTTGGAAAGTCTATTCCGCGTGTTTATGTTTACCAGAACCCGATGGTGACCTTGTTCTGGACCCCTTTGGTGACATCACACTAGCACCTGTAGTTTAATACTTCTCCCGACGTTGTTGGTGACCGTGTCATTGGCCCTTCGGTGATCCTGCCCTTAACTCTGTAAGCTATTCCATATTAGTCTCTACATTTACAGACCAGGTTTTTCGCTTTTTGTTGTTTAGGTTTTTGTGAATTAATTATAACTAGTTTCATTATGTTCTTTCCATTTTAAAAACCACATGGTCATAGTTAAGGAATTGTTTTTATTTTTGTGTGTGTATGTGGTGTGTGTGTGTGGAGGGAGTGTTCAATATGATTTCCTATTTTATTGCATTATAATACATGTTATATTGCGTGTCTATTGACAATTCTTTTTTTTTGTAGGTCTCAGATTTCGTCCTTTTTTGTTGTTCGCCCGTTTACGGTAAATGTGTGAAAGGTGTTTCTACAAATCTGCAGTGCTTGGAGAAGTGCAACACGAATGCAGTACCTCATTCACCTCGGGAAATGCACTGTACGGACACACTGAAGATATGCAAAATAGCAGGATATTTACTTACAGCAAATGGAGGTTTAGCATACAACACTATTATGCCTTCCAACACTAGGGAGTTCTTGATTGATAAACTATTTTTTTTATAAGTAAGTTACGAAAATATCGTAGACAATTATAGCGCGCCTAGCAATCGCTTGATTTGTGTGGTTTTCAAAAGCAACAAGCTGCCCATGTGATCAATTTTAAATTGAAGCGTGGCTGGAACTTCATTGCCCACAACACACTCCGACAAAATACTTTAAGTCTTCAATAATTCAAATTAACTCAACGAATATATACGTTATTGGTCCGAAATGCATGTGATCAAAATCTCGTTGAAAAATACAATTTTAACCATTCAAGATAAGAGCACGTCTGCTCATCAACATGACTGATTTCCGGTTTAAGGCTTAGGAGCAATGCATCGTCTCTTAGACTGAGGCAGCCGAATGGTCCAGATTTGGCTTAAAACATATCCCGTCTCCTCATTTGTTTGAATTTAAATGTTCGTCAATCCGAATAAGTAATGTCATGTTCGCAAATGAGAACAGGTTATACAACAACGGAGCCAATAGGCAAACTTACGAGCACCAACAACAGCAATCTCTATACCGTACAAATAAACAGACCATACAGTTGTGATCATCTTGAACACGCTAAATTTTGTCTGTCAGTTGTGATCATCTTGCGCTAAAATCGTGATGTTCGGAGTATCCCCTTGAACATGTTAACACCATTGGTTAGGGATGCAGAATTGTTGCTAGTAAGAAATGGTGAATTCACAACCGGGAAAATGAAACATCACGCTTATCATACAGCTGACCATACTAGTTTCTTTGCATTAAAAGATCGAGATAAACGCCTGGTGCAGAAGAGTCTATGTCGTTGATTTCCAATACTGGTGGGTAATTTTGTTATTCAAAATCAATACTTCATTTTGTAATCGTATTTATTTTTGGAACCGGGGCTCCTGAGGGGATAAGCTATATTTGTATTCTTTCCCCAATTCAAAAAAGTTTTGTTTGGAAAGACTGCCTTATGGCATGCTGTATCGCTGTTTCATTTATTATTGACAAACGTTTCTGGGGCGAGCAATGCCATTACATAGCATCAAATAAACAAATAAAGTTACAGACACTGTTTCTACGTCTGT